AATCCTCTGTACAAGAACCTCTTCTTGTACAGGTGTAAGACGGCGATTTTTGGAGATAGCACCGCGTTGTGGAGGAATACCACGGGCGCGACGCGTAACCGTCTTTCTGGGCACATCGTATAGTTTCTCAACGCCTCGGAAGGATGTAATTTGGCCGGTCTTGTAGGCTTGAACGCCTAGAATAACTCTGCCTTCTTGAAAGATGGCTTCTTGTTGTTGTGGTGCTGCCATTGGGGTGGTTGTTGGACGACGCGTCGCGTGTTGAGTTGGGTGGGCCACTAGCTTGTGCGGGCCACTAACTTGTGGATTACGTTACAATAACACCCTCATATACAATAACCTACTCAAGTACTCTATGTCTAACGTCTAACAGGCGACGTCCGGTGTGTGCTACCGGCGTGAGATACTCGTGGGCGCTAGTATCGATAGGCTTGTGTAGGTAGGCTCGACGTTCACGAAAGGTCTCCTTGGCGAACGGCACGTAGACCTTGGTTGAGGTGATGAAGTTCGCAAGTGCGAGAGTGTACTGGCGACCGGTTGTGAAGAGGTCTACAATGGGGGTTTTCCATGTGTGATGGAGGTATATCAGCGGCTTGTCCGTTCCTGGGCGCGCGTACACGTTGGTCATGTGTTGGTCAATCCGAAACTTCCTATCCTTGTCATTCCGATAAGAAGGAAGCTCAGCGTAGCCCTCGGAATCGATTGCCCAGGCTAGAAACTCTCCATTCGAAAATCCTCCCATCTTTCCGGATGCGAAGACGTCGAGGCGATCACCAACAGGACTCCTATCTAGGAAGTCCAGAGCGAACTGTCCTGAGATAATACCAGAAGCTTGGCCGAGCTTATTGCGGAACAACTTCGAGTTCTTCACAAACCTCTGCAACGCTGTATTGATGTTCCACTGTGATGCCTGTGCAGCGAGGTAGACGACGTTCAAGGATGTGGAAACTCGTCGGAGAGTCATCATATCGGCCGCTCCGAGATTGAGAGTGATATTCTTGAAAATTGGATAGTATCTGTCCGGCTGAACCAAGAAGTCGATGAGTCGTCCTGAGTTAGACGACGCTGTGGGGGGGCCTGAAGAGCTAGACATGGTCTGGCGAGATACTGGGCCAGGGTTTGAGGGATCGTGGATGGTTGGATCTTTACTGCTGCTTAGTGTCAGTGGTGGCAAGGTTTCTATTATCTTGATCTTACTGGGTAGCGATACGAGGATGGTGATGGAAAGATGGTAGTAGTGCAGCGATGTTGACGAAGGAGCGGTGGGGGGTTTCGGTGGTTGTGAGTTGGAAGAACCCAAACTGCCATTCGGGAAGTATTTATGTACGAGAATCAATGCAAACGGTGGTGAATTCGGTACTGAAGAGGACATAATTGCTCAGTCTGCCGCTGGTCATCGCAGTTGTGCATCGGTGAATCACTCATTTACTATGCTCCGCGAATGTATCGTGGCGCAAGCCGGTTCCTCCGGGCATTTCCAGACAGCTTCGAAAAAGAATTCCTAGCATTATAAAACTTGCCCTGTAAGACACTTTACATAACGCGCCTGTGCTCGGGCAGAACATCTCCTAGAGCTTGTAAAGCAAGAGGCATACTTCAGCTTTGTGATCCCTCGGGCGCTTTGGACGGTGACGTCTAGAGGAATTTTCACTCACATTACCAAAAACATACAGGGGTTCAAAAAGAAAAGTAGTACCCCCAGGACTCGAACCATGTCCCACCACATGGTGGAAAAGTGCAAAAAAATTTCGAAGCTACTCTTTGATAGAGCGTGTCATCCTTAGTGCAGGGGCCATGCTAATCTTCTCAGGATCGCTTCAAATTGACCAAATGCCCGAAGGCGAATTGCGTTGAATTTCTTGGAAATATATACCCTTAGCTGGAGTGGGGCGTTGTTATGATGTAGCAATTCCGCGCTGGGACTCACGTGCCGCGAGGACCCTGCCACACTTCGAGTACTCCTCGCCAACAGAGCTTCGACAGCAAGAAACATTTGCTGGGTGGCGTACTCACCGGCGGATCTCTGATGTTCAATTTCTTCATTTGCTTCTAGAGTTTGCCACCACTGATTGCGGTTTCAGTTCGCACTCCCACTCTTTGCCTCCAAACAACGGGGCATTTTAATTCAGCATACCGAGCCACCGGCCGACATCTCCGAGGGCAATTTGAAGCAATTTGACAAGAAATATCACGGTACCCACTCAAGCGCAGGATAGAGAGCTTGCCCCTCGAAGCACTGTCACAATTGAAGAGAATATCAACATAACCACAAATCTAGGACTGAGATCAAAAGCTAATGTAAGACTGCAGACGCCTCGGATCCTACATAGACCCCCGAAATCTCGAAATCATATCATCTAAACTCTTACAATTGGACTTTGCATCCTCACAGCGACAGATCTCGCAGCCTGCTAGCCTACCGGCCATCCCCCTCAAGGCTAGCCGACCGACGGCCCTCCCTCATCCCCTTTTCAATCCACTCTACGAGACCTGCTTATCGCCTTCGCCCAATCCACCACCATCCCATCCAACCACTTCGGCGGCTTAAACTTTCCTGGTGTAGTGTTCGAGCCTCCTACTACCCTGAAGTTGGCGAGATCCACTGGCCGATCTGCCCTCGGCAGCTTCGCAATCTCCAAAGTGAGGGCAGCGTGAAGCTGCCTCAGCAGTCTCGCGTCCCGAAGCCAGAGTCCTGCCCAGCGGTACTCGAGCCCAACGAAGTCCAGCGGGGCTAGGTCCATGATGTACCGGTCGCAACCGTGCGAGTAATTTGTCTCAGTTTGCACGCTGAAGTCGGTCGCCTCAATTACAAAGTCTGGTTGTTTTGGGGGGATGAGTTCGTCTGTTCGGAAGGGGATGATCCAGGTCTTCGAGTCGTTCAAAGTGCGGTATTGAAGCGTTGCTGTTAAACTGCTGGCGGTAGTGGTGGTAGTGGTGGTAAATGATGTCTCGATATCGCGTAGCTCGCGGCCGCTCTCCGAGACAATGCGAAGCGCGGCGCTCATTTCGTCGTCGTTTTCGTTGAAGAGGGCGTGCTGGTAACTGCGGCGCTGCTTGATTGTGGACTCCGCAAAGGGGACGTACGCCTTGGTGGCGGTGATGATATTGGCAAGGGCCGTCGTGTACTGCACGCCCTTGAGTATTGCCACAACGGGTGTATCTACGGAAAATCTGACTCGTACTTCAGTACGCAAGACTCCCTTGGGTCGGTTTCGAGTATACCGCTGCACCTTTGCACTGTCAATTGACGGACAACTTCGAATGGTAGGGTATTACTTACGTGTGTCCACAGCTTCTTGCTCATTGGTGCCGGGTGCCTATAGGTACCGCATGCGTCGTACCCTTCTTCACTGAGAAAGTCAATTATCGTGTACTTATTCGGCTCTTCTATAGACATGAAGATGTCGATGCGTTCCCCTGGAGCTCGACGATCCAGAAAGCGTAAGGCGAAGTCGCCAGTAACGACTGCTGAAGCATGACCTAAGGCGTTTCGGAACCCCACAGCGTCCTTGAAGAACTTGGCCAAGGCAGTGTCGACGTTCCACTGACTATTCATGGCCGCGGAGAAGACGTCGTTCTCAGCTAAGGTGCGGTTCACCTTCCGTAGGGTGAGGATGTCGCTAGGTTCTAAGTGTCGGGTGATCTCGTCAAACATTGGGACATATCGAGACCCATGAGCTAAGAAGTCTAGCGGATTACCTTGGGCTGCCTCAATAGAACCAATGGTGGATATATTGGCAGGCTCGGGGTTGCCTTGAACTGCGCCTATAGTATCAATGGTGGTTACATTGGCAGGCTCGGATCGAAAATCCAGTTTTTCAATGCATGGTAGAGTGGGTGATGCGGTGGAGGACAGTGCGGCACCCATAGTGAATGAGGTGGTGTGGTGAGTAAGTGGTGTGGTAGATGGGTTGTTGGAGTGGTTCCAATAGATATGCCCGGAGCTGGGGAGGTTTTTACAAGGGCTACTTTCATAAAAAGCGTTTTTTGGAAGCAGTGAATGGTCACTTTGAGCGTGATGGAAACATTTTACGCTTTGAATTCGCTAGATTTATAGTGCGCCCTGGGCAGGCAGATATCAAAGGTCATCGAGTGGACAACAGCGTCCGCTTGCTGCGGAGGCGTCGCGTCTTTGTGTTGGGAGCTATGCACCAGATCTCCGGTCCTCTCAGGGAGCGCTAGGTGATGGGCCAGCGCATAAAACTGTTCATGTCGGTCTGACCGTAGTAAAACTGCCCCGTGTGTCAGGCCTTGGACGGCCTTTTCCTTTGTTTTGCAAGCGACATTCACCTGTAGTCACAAGACGTCACGTGGTCACGTGACCGTCAGGCGGGCGCACTGGCAGCTAGCGCCAAACGCGCCAGGAACCTACTTCAGGCGGCTGCGCCCTTGCCCCTCTTCTCTCTTTGTATCACAACTTCCATAGCATAGCAATGCAACCCTTTCTAATTGCTGTTTGCCTATCGGGTCCTCACACCGTGGAAGCGACTTCAATGTCGCCGAGGTCACGGCCCGTGGCGAGCGACTGGGTGGTTGAGGAGCTGGAGACCGCATTGAGTGACCACGAGCTTGGAAAACTGGGCTTTGGAATATGTAATTCGCTTTGAAGGAAGCTGTCGTGTTGATAAGAGCTCAAATCCTCAAGCTAAGCTTCTATATGCGCTATAAGTATGGCGAGAATAAGAAGGATTGACCGTACATTGGCAAAATCTGGACTTCAAAGTACAAAGTGCCATGGCTTTCCACCACCCGCTTTATGTCAGATCCGCAGCTTGATGAAAGAGGCAAGTAATTGTCGGTTGCTCTGAACTTGCAAAATAAAGAACACGCGACAGACCAAGTCGGAAGAAATCAAGGGAAGCTTGCACGTTAAGCCGTCAATCATCGATATCCGACTAAAAGGAGCAAAGAGTTCTTAACGGGTAGTGCAGCCTTTGGAGATACTTCTCGCAGGCTACAAAGATAAGTTTTTCCTCCTTTGCCACGACTAGAAATAACTCGATCATTATAAGCATGAGGCATATCCGGGGCCGATCTCCTCAACCCCTATTTGTCTTCATCGACCTTTTCGTAAAAGCTTCTCGGACCATTCCGTCATGATGCATCTGAGATGCCTCCATCCCTTGCTGCATCCAAATTGACCGTCAAATCACCAAGAAATCACATAGCGGAAGCCCTTCTCCGGTGCCAGGGGCTTGATAGTGCAAACTTGGAAAGTTGTTGCGTTGACGACGACGTCGGGCTGCCTTGGGGGCGTGATCTCCTCATTGTGGAGTGTAATCGCCCAGGTCTCAGAGCCGCCTGGTGAGCGTTCGCTATTTGCTTTGAAAAACCAGGTACCATGGTTGCCTGGCGGGAGCTCAATTGAATCCTTGTGAGCGGCGTCAATGTCGCGGAGATCATGGCCGGTCCTCAAGATGATGCTGCGGCCCGTTTCAAGGGGCTCACCTTTCTGCCTGCTGCCAAACCCGAACAAGCAAGAACTATCTTCATTCATAGTCCAACGTGCGAAAGGGCAACAGGCCGTCGTGGCCGTGATGAAGTTGGATAGTGCCGTGCGTATATACAGCCCGTGAAGGATCTCGCTGATCGGTGGCTGATTGGTGAAGAAAATCGTGACGACCTCAGGATGGTCCTGTCGCTGGTACATCCTAAACTGCCACTCGGTTAGTATATCATCATCAAGACTAGGAGGAGCTGAAAGATAGATACTCACCGTATAGAAGCCTCCCACGTTACCCTCGTCAATTATTATGGAGCCATTCTTCTCGAGATGCTCCCCCATCTCATTTCGCTTGGGCTCTTGGTCCCAGATCAAGACGTCAAGATTGTGGCCGGGGTGTGATCGGTCGACAAATCGGAGAGCAAACTCCCCGGATATCACGCCTGAAAGTTTGCCCAAGCAGGCTACGGAAGGCAGTGGGCTTGTTCACGAACTTAGCCAGTACGGGATTGATCTGCCACTGCGTGCGAAGTGCAGTGGACATCTCAGCTGCCAATTGTGGTTGACAAGGCGAAGTCGAAGGATATTCGCGGGGTGTGATTGACGGACAATTTCGTCAAATATTGGTAATATCGTTCCCCTTGAACCAAGAAATCCGGGACGTTTCGAGCCTTGTTGCCGGTTGTAGTGGACTTCGTGGGCTTCTTAGCCGTCATCACAGGCCTAGGTCTAGAAGTTGTGGAGACTTTGTCAGGAAGTGCGACGACTTCAAGTCCGTGGTGTGCGGTTTTGCGTCGGCGCGAAGCCGGCTCCACGCGTTCCGTGTCTACTTCCTCGATCGACCGCTTGCGGTTCATGACTCTAAGCTCCTGATCATAAGTCTTTGCACTAGGGACCCCGGAAGCGGACATGTTGGCAGTTGTAGAAAAGCTAGCAATGCTTGGATGATTAGTAGGTGTGGAAATGCTGGTATTGTGTAACAATGTGGATGGTGTGGGTTATGACTGACATCTTCTCCCCTCCACAGAGTAGGATATATGTCATAACAGGGTACAATAATGCATCTTTCCAGTGAGTCGCGTGACGTCGTGAAGTGGTTGCAACTGACTGGATAAAGTCAGATGCCAAGACTACGTAGCTGCCCAGCATTGATTGTTTACAATGCGTTGCTAGAGGCCTAAGCAGACGATTCTGAGACTAGATGGTATGCCTTTAAGACTCTGCGTATCCGGAACCGATCCTTGTCGATGAATTTAGGCTGTCTTTGCAACCTGAGGACAGTCCAGCTGCACTCCTGGACGGAACCCAAGCAGGGGCAACCTGCAGCTACCCGGCAAGCCTTTACAATCATCCCAGCTCAGGAGTTTCCTATATGCAGATACACTATGGTGATTGTACCAAACTTGTGACAACTAGAGGGACCAAGCACAATGACAAGTACAAAGCACATCATCCACCAGCTGTGCAAAACTCCCTCTTAACTTCTCTCAAGACACATCGAACACAATGGCCACCCCACCGCAACCTCCCCCCGGCTCCGTCCTCGACTTCCTGCTCAACGAGCCGCGATACGTGCCAATCTTCGAACGCATCGTGCACCACCTCTCTCCCGTCGACCTGGTCCGCTTCCGCCGTGTCAACCGCGCATTGAACGCCGCGGTATCCACTGCGCTTCGAACGCAGTGGAGCATCGACAAAGCCCTAGCTCACTACTTCAAAGACCCCGAAGCTTTCCGCAACGTGTTAGGCCAAGTCTCAGGGGTGCTCTCCGGCGGTTTCGCCCTCCGCTTCTTCGACCGCTTATCGAACGAGGAGGGGGAGGTGTGGTGCCGGGATCTGGATGTTTTTGTGTGGGGAAAACAGCCTGAGACGGAGCTGTTGACGGAATACGTAAGAAAAGAGGGGCATGTGAGCCCACAGACTATTACGGAGGAGCCTACGACGGTGAGTGCTTACCCTTCCTCCCCCCTCTCCCAGCTTCGAGATACTAGCACCCCCCAGGTCGAGCGATACGAGCTCCCAACCTCCGACCACGCCATCAACATCATCTTCACCCCCTCGCCGCCCATCATCACGGTTCTAGTTCTAAAGGGCCTCTTCCCCCTCACCGCATTCGCGAACATCATCACCTCCACGAAGGCGTACGCCCCCTTCGCCAAATGGACCTTCAAAGCCCACCGCTCCTACCTCCTCGGCCCAGACAGCGGCGGCTCGAACATCACGCCCAGCCTCGCCATCTGCGCCGCGACAGGCCGCGAGGTGCACGACGTCGAGATCGCGTCGCAGAAGCGTCCGCAGCCACACCTCGGGATACGCAGCTTGGGCGATGGGCAGACGTGGTGCATCCCGCTCACCACCGAGGGCGTCACGCCACCCCAGCTGCCGGATTTTGTGGTGGATGGGACGAGTTTCATGATCAGGGCGCGAGAGAGCGGCCTTTTTGGCCGGTTCGGGGGAGCAGCGAATCAGCATACGGACTTTTACGACGTGAAGGTCAAGGAGGTTGAGCATGTTGCGTTGGAGCACCCGTGGATAGGGCTGCAAGAGGTGAAGAAACGGGTTCATTCGGCCTTGGTGTTGCAATTGATGGCAATGCCGAAGGAGACGCGGCCGGTGGATTTGGAGAAGTTTGGGGTTGATTCGGTTATGGCGCAGCCTAAGGCGTTCGAGCCGCTGAGTTGGTTGGATGGGCTTGTGTTGGAATGGGTCGAGGAGATGACGGGATAGGATGGCGCTCTGCCGCCGTCTGAGGTGGCTCGGTAAGGTTTCAGGCCTGCCAAAAAATTAGATCATACCATGACTTGAATTGATGAAAATTCTTTGAAGCACCCCGAACGGTGTCAGAAAGATGCAAAGAAATCGTTGCCCCAGTACTATACACATCGTAGAGCCGCTGATTATCTCCCCCATGTCAATTCCCAAAGCCCGATTTGCAGAGCCATGCCAAGGTCTTAGTACTAACCCACGGGATTCCGAGCATTGTAGGATGGGATGGTGAACTGGAGGACTTCAGACGGCGCTTTTGCATTGTCAAAGCGCAACATCAAGGGCCTGATATTGTCGTGCTAGATATATGGTCAAATCAAAAGCTCTGTGTTCCACCTACCCATTACTCGGATTGTAGCTGTTAATGAAGGATCGAAGTACTTCAACAATGTGAGAGCATTCCTTTGGAAGCATATGCAATTCTAGCAGTCCTAAATATTACATTCCATGTTGAATTAGACTAGTAGGTTGAAGAACTCCAACAGCGCTAACACAGAAGCAGAAAGGAGAACACTTAGCCGTCATCTTCCTCTCCATCGCGAGGATCCCTTCCCAGCGTCAGGAGTCCGACACCACGTGCTAGTGAGCACAGCGGCCAGAACGAACCAGAGAATTCAACGTCATACCTAGTCACGTGAGCTGCTGCGACCGTGGGAAACGAAGGGAGCTTACCAGTAGTTAACAGCACAGCAGATGCCCTCAGACGACGCTGACTGCGCCACTTTGTGATACCACAACGCAGGCAGGTACAGCATATCGCCCTCGTTCAACGTGACCCGCATAGCCCTAGAGTACTGCGAGAACGGCGTGGCGCGTTGACTTGGAACATCGGGATCCCAAGTTGCGAACGGCACGTTTTCCTCCGGTTCATCGAGACACACGACGAGGTCATCCAGAACTTCATCGTGCGTCATAGCTGGGCGAACTTGTGAAGAAGACATGGAGTTGTCGGAGGCTGCGGATGGTGAGCGGGGGGATTCGGGGGTGGCGGGTTCTCGAGGCTGATAGGTGGCAGCTGGGATGAGCTGCTCGTTGACGCATGCGCACTCGATCGGAGGGAGGAGCGTGAAGTGCTTTTCGCCGAGGACCTGCACGTAGATGTTTTCGTAGTTATCTTTGTGGAGTGCAGTGATACTACAAGAGTTGCCTGAGAATCTTAGTAAAGTAATTAATCCAAGGAGACTAGATAGCCAAGAGACAGCCTAGACTCCGCTGCATGCGACTTGACGTTACTCTTTTGTGAAGATCTATGGGGGCACTCTAAGCGGTAGCAAACGAATGTGCGCAAGCTAGTGTCCTGTAAGGAAAGAGATTGTACCTAGCCAGAGGTTGATGGCGTCCGGAGATTTTTCCAACGCGATTCGGGCGAATGGTATGTCCTTCGGGAGGTCGGAGAATAGTGGCATGTACTCATTTCGGAGATTGTCGTTTTCTACGAGGATAAGCCAAGACAACGAGCAGGTAGGTTATGCTGGAATAACGTACGAGTCTGGGCGTATCTGGTAGGTCCTGAAATGAGTGTTACTTGAGAGGCATCCGGAAATTCTTGCGGATAGATTGATCGAAAAAGTTACCTGGCCCATCTATCCCTTGGCGCTCTTTTTCTTGAATCTTCTCGAGGACCTTGTTGAATGGCTCTTCGGTATCGTAAGGCTTCACAAATAGCAATCCGTCATCCTCAAGTTCAATGACCGAGTCTGCGTTTCTTAAAAAAATCACTAAACATCAGCATAATGCCTATTGAGACGATTCTCCGCAAATTTGCTCAAAATGAGGGCACGGCGAAGGAAAAGCTCACCCATGCGGAGTGACAGCGACATTGACAAGCTGCCGACCCATGACATCGACCAGATACTTCGCATTCCAGACCTTCCGCGCCGTCCAGCTCTCGGCGCCCTTCCGGACTACGAATGGCCGGTTGCGAGCTACATATCGCATGAACTCCAGCGGGCTTGGTTCTTCATGCAGTTCATCGATGGTTGTGGAGTTGAGCTCGTGATACGACACGATAAGATCTGATTGGACGGGTTAGATAATGGTAATTGCGGTTGTACGACCAGCATAGCAACGAACGTAGTATTCAAGATTTGGAGGAATAGGAAAGGATTTGATAGAGAGTAGAGCGCATTGTACTGAAATTGGAGGGTATACCTCTTACAGCACCGGGAAGCTTCGCCATATTCGGCACATTGAACGTCATAATCACTTAACGTCGTCGGCAGCCCACAAAACTAGAAGTTGAGTAGACACACTGGGGCAAGCCTGACGACGTCAGCCAGGTTTGAAGAACGGTGGATATATATGGAGTCTGTAGAGGAGAGGATGGTGGTGTGAGGTTCGATCACGCTCGCCGCCTCTCCTAGCGCTGCCGGATTTGTTAGGCACCGGATCGGCGGAACAAATTGCCGGGCCGGAGATCTCCGTCTCACTCTCAATCCTCAACACCACGACTCTATCACCACTTTCAAGGCCTTCCATTGCTTCATCGCTACCACTACTAGCTATGTGTGATCGGAGCTGCAGGCCGCCATCATGACCCTCCTCCAACGCCTCCGCGCTGCGCCTCGCGCCCTCAATGGCTTCCTCCGACCCATCCCCTTCATCGCCTTCAACGTCGCCCTCGCCACCCATATCACCTTTGGCTACTTCTACAGCATCCGAACCTCCACCGGCGAGAGCATGTACCCCACACTGGCAGTCCGAGGAGACTACTGGATATGTTCGAAGCGGCACCGGCGAGGCAAGGATGTGAAAGTCGGGGATATCATCAGCTTTACACACCCGGTGCTACCAGGCTTCGGTGGGGTCAAGAGGGTTGTCGGAATGCCGGGAGACTTCGTTCTGGCTGGTACGCCTGGAGTAGATGGGGGAGATGAAGGTGTTGGGATGGTGCAGGTGTGGTCTCTGCGGAAGTTGCGAAGCTGGATTGATGCTGACGAAGTAACATAGGTTCCCCCAGGCCATTGTTGGGTTGCCGGGGATAACCAAACACTGTCGAGAGACTCACGAATTATCGGACCCGTACCCCTTGCCCTGATTACTGGAAAGCTTGTTGCGATATTTTGGCCGCTGTGGAAGTTCAAGGTGTTGGAAAATAATCTGAAAGAGCCTGTCCCATGGGATTCATGAAATGATATTGGAAGAGGAGCATTAGATACCCTAGAGAGCTGTTTAATACCTATTTAGCGAGGGTATGTCGATAAAAGTCAATCTGATCGCGATTCCTCCAAGCGACTGTACACACCCAACCGTCCGTTGTAAAGACGTAACGAATTAACGCCATTTCCTATTTTTTATTGCTTTACTACATCGTTTCACTCCTGCTAGATATAGGATCAACACCACCTTAGCAGACCTTTCGAGTACAGCAATCGTCTCGTATTGCCCCACGCAGCGACAAGACCGCTGTATATTTATTACTCCCGAGCATTGAAAGGCACAAAGAAGCCTTATGTCAATTTCCTTCTCCCATTTGAGGACTCTGGGCAATGCTGTTTCATATCTCCTCGTTTGCTCGCCGCCTCATTCAAGTCATCTTCACCACAACAGCCCGTGTCCTAATCTGCATGGCCATAGCATTCCCATTCGTTAACAGCGACAATTACATCCCTTTCGTGCTCATATTTACCTGGCATGATCCCCGTGTGCTTTACCAGCTCTGAATCTCCAGGAAGCAGCTGAGTGGAGTGGAACAGCCCCTGTCGAGCTAAATGAGATGCTGTTACCAGAGCTATGGTATATGCAGCTTCCTTTCTATTCCCGCTTACACGCGTTTGGGAAACCTCACGGCAAAACGCCTTTCTGGGCGACAGAACCAAGGATTACAAGCATACGATCAACACGCCTCCAGCCGCAGAGACGACTAGGCAGGCTATTCAACAGGCTCAGCAAGCTCAACAGTCGTTCCAAGCGCCGACCGGAACCCAATCTTCTGCAATCCAGCAGCATCCACAGCTATCCCCATCCACTGATACTCTATGCGCAACCTTGTTGGTCGAGTTATTAGATCTGCTGTTATTATGGCAATGCAAAGCTCGATTACGAGCTGCAGCATGGGGATTATGGCGTTCAGGTATGTGCAAACCGCGAGATGGAGTCCTTCACATTCATCCAAAACTCCCTTCGACTCGTCGCTGCTACCATAGAAAAGGAACGCACACCGATGGGGGCTGCCGAAGCGGTCCAGCCCTAAGAAATCTTCACGGCGTACTACTACTAGCATACAAACCTGCATGCCGCCGCTGAGTGGCTCGCCACAGCCTCCAGGCTCGTGTATCTACACCAAACCTCCTTTGTCCTAACTCTATCAATCGATCTCCTTCGCGTCGCCTCGAAGCCTCACTAGCCCCGCCGTAGCACCATACCCATAAGATCCGTATCGCCAAGCTCATCGCCTATCAAGCCAACACCCGTGCTACACATCCAGCCATCGTCAACGCGGTAGTTGAAGACCCCCCGCCGCTCCTCTCCCGCCAGCGTCCCGATCAGGCTGCTCATACCCGTCCGCTTTTCCTATAACTGAAACGGCATATTGCTGCCACTCCGGTGCTAGGTGGATACCCAACATCCCGAAAGACGAGCCTGTAGATGAAGTCCGAAAACGCGCAGGCTTGGTGGCTATTCGTCTGCAAATGCCTGCAAGAGGGAACTCGGCAAGCAGCGTGGTTAGTTAAACCGGCCAATCCTCAATTAGATTGATGGCCGGATTGTTAATACATGCTTAAAAACAATCCAATCAATCAATCTGGGCCCTTTTAATCCTTGATCCGTCTAATCCACCACTAGAAGCCTCCCGCTTAGCCTAAAATGGATAAATTTATACCCCGTTTAGGGCTTTAGTTAAATACGTACTAATCCGGCTAATTCATCTATACTTATAAGCGGCCAGTCCAATCCAATCCCTACTTTTATCCAGCCAGTCTAATCCAATCCAGACCTGGAATTTGCAATCTGCCGGTTGACTAACCCCGCTGACGGCAAGTGTCGGTAGCTAATCTCGCGGAAGTTGAGTTAGTATGGAAGAACACGCACACAGCAAGAACCACCACCTGCAAGAACCACCCCGACGCCGCGCGAACACGAATCCGTGGAGGGCGGCGAAGGTAGTCGTGTAGACGCGCATTCTTGGTCTATTCCAGCTTCGAAAAGCCCTTCTCTTTCCAGCCATCTCCGCTTTTCCCAGTGGAACAATCAAGGTCGTATGGCTGGGAAAAGCAGTCCCAAGGCCCTCGCGGTCCCGTGGGCACGCTATTCCGCCGACGCCTTCTCGAAAAACCTAGATTCAAGCGTGGCTCTAAAGAGCAGACTACCTTCTTCATGAGCCACCCCAGGGAAACTACTATATCGTGTGAAATGTATATCCTCTGTTAAGCTCTACGGACGCCCCCGTGCGCCTGGCTAGCATGCGTTGGAAAGCCCATGCCGTACGGAACGCAAGGATTTGGTTGATAGGGTCTGTATCGTCTCCTTTCTTATTATTCTTGTTACCCTTGTAGCAATGATGCTAGAATGAGTTTAAATCAAGCAGGGGAGCTTGGGAGGCGGTGGCATTTACTGCGAGTGCATATCCCCTAAGTGCGTATGCAGCCTCGGATGCTCGCACGCGCGATAGCGGCCACGAGAAATCAATTGTTGGCACACGCAAGGCTGAACTATATACTCGCCCAGCTTCACTAAACTCCTAAAAGAGAAAAACAATACCTATATTAGTTAAAGAGTAAAGCACCAGGGTCGAAGTATATTCGTCACGTGATATTTCAATTCTCAGGCATCTCTCGAAGTTATAGCGCCACTAGTAGAGGATAGTACGTGTGATAAAAACCTGGTCAAGCGCCAGTATATTCTGTTCAAGAAGTTTCGTAGCAATAGCGCCTACAATTACCCATTACATCAAAAGCGAAGGTCGGCATGAAGCGAATACACTCAGAATCCCAAATCCGCGAGTAAAACCCATCCAGAACGCCATCCATCAAACCATCGCTAATGCAGAAAATCCAAATGCTCAAACCCATCATAGCTCCTTTCCTGTGCCCTAGATATGGATGCTTATGCCTTCCCGTTGAACGGCATGCTCGGCGGCGCAAGCGTCCCACCGTTACCGGGCTTAGGCGGCGAAACCGACACCCCCGTCCACGCCGCCATCTTCTTGTATTGCGCAAGGGTAGCACCGCCGTCGAAGTTCTGGTTGATCACAAGGCTCATCCCCATCTGGCAATGATTCCCCTTCGTCTGCGAGCAATAGAACCACTTGGGCAGCTTATCCGTGATCTCGATGGTGAACGCGTTCGGCGCCTCAGCCTGCACGCCCTTGGTCGCGGGCTGGAAGCCGCTGAAGATGGCGTTGTCGTCGATGGGCACGCAGGGCTTGGCGAAGGACGACTGAGCGAACGAGTGGTTGGCCGGCGCGAAGTGCACCTCGACCAGGTCGCCGATCTCGGCGACGATGTTCTCGGGCTCGAAGCGCAGCGTGCCCGCGAAGCCGGCCTCGACGCGGTGCGTCGCGCCGGAGCGGCGGGCGAGGGCGGGCGAGGCGGCTTGCGGGGTGGTAGCGGTGGGGAGGGCGGAGGCAAGGGTGAAGGCGCCGAGGAGGGCGATGGTGGTGAAGGAGACCATTTTGAGTGATTGGATTGGGTTGGGTTTTCTGGGGTTTAGTTGATTGGAAGGCTGATGGGAGTCCTGATGTACGAATGAAATCAAGGGAATCAAAGAAATAAAAGACGACCGAAAAGGGAAGAAATGGATTGAGGGTGGTTGTGGTGGTGAGTGATGATGAGATGATGGATTTGAATGCCGCGACTTCTACCTTTCCTTTATACAACCTCTCTACATGTCAGCTGTGCCTCTCTGCTCTCATGTTTCCGAGAAATGCGGTCTGGAAGCGTGCTCCGCAAAGGGCCTAAGCCGGATGGCGGCTTAGAAGGGAGTGAGAATGTGCTGCGCACCCGTGGTGTGTTTGCCTGAATAGGGTTCACCAAGGCGCACAGCCTGCGCAGCATCAGCACCTTGAATTAGAGTGTGGAAATTGTGTGCTGACGTCCCGCTGGAAACCATCAGCCACTAGGTTTGAAACGGTGTTCCCGGGGCAGTGGTGGCAGCGGGCGGCGGCTGTCAGTTGGGAACTCAGCCACGAGCGGGATGGCTTTTCGTGTGCAGTAACTCGCGCGTACCCGAATAGCATCAGCGACAGGCGGTATGAAATTCCGGTCTGATACAGTTGTACGGCTTCAGCACCGGAGAGCTTGGACTGTTGCTGGCGCCATCTGTGCCGCAGCAGGTACCAGGGAAATCGTTGAAGGCTGAAAACCACAGCCCACGACTCAGTCGGTGTAAAGCGATCTTGGTCATGGTAATGAACATAAAGGTACTGGTAGCTGGCGTATGGATGGGCCTCTGTCAGCTAGGCCGTGAAAATTTATTTCGACGTGCTTGGTCAGGACCTCGGAATAGCCGCGAGAGAAGGGTGTGCTATTAATAGCTTTGCCAAGCTGAGGCGTGCTGCCAACGGTACCAAGGCGATGCGGGGAAATGTCTCTGTATCTCAAATCATTGTCCCCATGAGAGTATTAGACGTCTCCGGTGGACGGTGTTTCTGTTCGGGTCGAAATATCCTCGAAGAGTTCAGACATTTTCAAGGCCGCCACGGCAACGACGACCAACTGAGGCCTCCAGCGTCGTCGTCACCAGGCTGCGTGTTGCTATAAAAATATGAAGGTTGTATTTGGTTGTATGTTGAAACAAGGCAGCTGGTGTTGTTCAGGCTGAGCATGCGGAAGAGCATGCGTCCGTTTTGAAACAAAGTTGGTGGTGTTGGAGTTCAAGAGTCTGCGCCTTTGGTTTGCCGCCGGGCGTGCTTCAAACTTTATATATCTCGACTCTGCAGGTCAAGAACGAGGCCGGCGGTAATATTCTTACAACGAGCGCAAAAATATGCTCAATGAGACTTGTCTGTGAAGCTATTCGGAAGGGTGGGGACCTTGTAGGATTGACAGCAGCAAGCAGAAGCTTGGCATGTAAGCTGCACGCTAGGACGCTCGGGAATCTGCAAAGAGCTGCATGTCAGCTGCCTCGACCAATGAATGACTCTTAGGGAGCATGGCTAGTTAGCGGTGCTGGATAAGTAATCAACCGTAGTTATTCTCTAAGAATATACAAACGCCACTCTTGGCACGCTGGCAGATGCCCTAAACCCATCAGCGTAGTAGTGGGTCCGAATTTGAGTTGCCAGGCGCCGACGGGCGCACACATTAGGTCGATAGGGGCGACCTGATACGCTCGAATACGTAAGATTACATTATCGTGCCAAGAGTGGCGTTTGGGATATCTTAAAGAATACGGTAGGTGAGGCTGACGGTGACTCGCAAACCTCGTGACTTGCTAAACCAGCAAGATCGGGCTTGATCGGACGCGATAATGACAAAAACGGACTGAAATTCGTGGGGAAGTCGACAAAAGGGCTGAATTAGTCCTGTTGTACCGCATTAATCTTTCGTCGAGTTCTTGAACCTTGAGCTGCTTCCCTCCAGACTCTGCCAAAATGCCCGCCCTCACCACATCAGCACTCCTCTATGTGCAGAGCGTCCCAATCCTACTCAATGGGATCGTGAATCTTGTGGCCCCGGAGACAGTCGCGGTTCCAGGGACGCCAAAAGTCGCCCTCCATCTGATCAGGTAGCCTCCCCTTGTATTGTCCGCGGTGGTCTGCAGTGTCTCGCATTCATCATCTCAACCCTAATGCGCCTCAATGAATCCAGCCAATCCCCAGCGCAGGATAGTATCTCTGACAGAACAGCAGTATTCTCTCGCTTTCCCTAGGCGTTGGCTACATCGTCGCGGCGCAGGCTTCGGCTGCCAATCGTCGAACATTCATGCTGGCGTCGGTGCCGCTGCGAGGCCTGGCGGCAGCGCTGTTCTGTGCCGATGGGGAGATGGGCACTGCCGTCTGGGAGGGGTCAATGGCGGTTGTGAACACTGCAGCGGCTCTGTTGCTGTGATGGAAGGGGTTGCGGTGTTAAAGATGCCAGGGAGCAGGAGCGCATCATCCCGGCAGCGGTGGCCAAACCAAATGGGGGCCAAAACACCAACTTTTAGGCCCCGCCATCAACCTCAACTTCATCCATCAAAACCTGTAAATACTTTTTCATTGTCCAAAAATAGCATTTAAGCATGTTCCCATCTCGCAATCTTGTGTCGTTCTTTTCTGTTCACATGTCAAACCCTCGTCTCTCCCTCTCTCCGCACTACACCATGCGATATTGCTGTCTCCATCATCGATAAATCCTCATTAGGATAATAGGCCGACGTCTCTAGGTCCAAGCATGAGGTTCATACGCCAAGGCTGTGGTGTTTCTTCCATTTGCTGCTTGTACAGAAGAAGACGGAGACGTGGCAGAGAAAATCTATTGAGAAGATGCGTGAGAATGCGTAGGGTAAGGAGGAGCCGGTGGAGGATGTAGTTCTTCGGTGAATCGCAAAACGCCCGGAATCTTGCTGTACTACAGCTGGATCATTTATGACGAGCTGTAGGACGACTGTATCTCGTTGCGATGTATCTCTGAGTTTAGAGCGTGAATGGCAAGCTTTCCGTGGACTGAATTACTTACGTATCTAGCGTAAAGGAGCCCGTGGAGAAGAATTTCGCTCGAGTCTGGAATTTATCCAAGTTTCTACGCAATGCCAATTCTCACTATCCTCCTCTACCTTTCGATAACAAGAGCATTCGTCTACGCTATCCAAGGCTTATATCAATCCGCTTGCGGCCCACCGGCTCTTCCTAACAGGCCACTCAAATTCCGAATCCAGTCAGGAACTCACATCACCGCCGTCATGACTCTTCGCAAACATCCACGGGATCGACAATCCTCTCCTGTCCGTGGCTCGGAAAACCTCCAGATATCCGAGCCAAAGCTTCACATCCCGAAGAAGAGGTTCCTGAAATGGTTAGATAGTCTGCCCATGTATCCTCGGGAAGTAAAGATCATACCGGAAGGGGAGTCCTATATGAAATACTGGTGTGGTCCTAAAACAGAGTACGACCAGCACATTATAGACGAAGCTAATGTATGTTCACCTGACCTCACCCCCTAGCGCCGCCTGTGCTGCGTCCGTCGGCTGACCTATGAAGTGGCTCATGCAATCAGAATCAGAGGGGTGGGACATGCAGAAGAAGATGGAGCACTACATCCAAGACTGCCACATGACGGGATGGGCGAATTTCCCTTCCTCGCATTGCCTGGTGAGCTGCGCAACCAAATCTACGAGGCCGCACTCGTCAGAAACGAGATACGCATCACATCCACATCAAGAAAGCCATCCGAATCCTAACTTCGGGCTAGATGGGGACCCAACGGCGACAGAAAGACCTACATCCGTGCACATCCATACAATAAGCACGAAGACTCGTATAAAGTCAACCTGTTCCTCGTCAATCGCCTGCTCCGCGACGAAGCTCGCCGGATCTTCTACAGCCAGAACGAGTTCCGCTTCGACACAAGCCCTGGCGATCCAGAAGCATGTTTGGGCGTACCCTTGGCCTTCTTCCGCGATCGCCCTTGGCAAGTCGTCAGAAACATGATCCACAGAATCCACATAACCGCACCATGCAGGAGCGAGCTATTCGAGTTCATCCTCCGCCGCAAAATGTCGCTGCACTACTTGGGCGTGACATTCTACGGCCACGTGCCCACAGCACGCCTAAGACCAGACGGAGGGCGGGAATACGAATGGCACCCCCCTGGTGAGCGAGCGGGGGATAGGCACGTGAGAGCAACGCATGATTTCTTGGAGGTCCACACGAGATTGTGGTACAAGACGGACCCGGAGACGCCGACGCGGGGAAACGCTGTTGCGTTCGTGGCTATGATGCGGCAGAGCATGCTTGTGGATGCGGCAAAGCTGCATTTGGGGGAGGAGGGTTAGAGTCGCGCAGTTGGCTGAGGATGATTGTTGTCCTTGTAGTAGCTATCGCTTGCGGAGGTGCTGCAGGAGTCATCCGAATTATCGCTTTGGAGGTGGATTGTAAGGATGACTGTAATGGGGTGTCGTTGCTGGAAGAGGTAGGGAAAGGAGACAAGAAATTGGAAGTTGAGAATTGAAAACTCTTGATGGAAGCAGACATGGTTAGCGGTGGCGGAGAGAGCACACAGAGGAACTTGACGTCGATGCTAGAGCTTTGGTGTATCGTCTCGAATATGGATGACCGCCATTTTTGCTCATTCAACGAGGAATCGCAATTTGAGGTGGTTCACGTCCTGCGCCTTTCAGCTTATCAATCCAGTAGCCTTCTCCGACGAAAGGTTCTTAAGTTTGTTCTAACCATTCAACGGGAACGATTCTTTCGAGAACCACCGGATAGCGAATGAGTTCCTTGCCCCGAGTTGGTGGTGTTTCTTCAATGTTTGCTAATTTTGTAGAAGAGAGAGTATTGGAAGAGAATATGGTCAGAAGGTGCATGAGGATGCGTGGAGTAATAAAGAACCGGTTAGGAAGGACGTCGTGCCGATATGAAAGATATGGAGTATAGAGGAATCGATTCCATGATTCTTCGACATCTGGAATATTCTTCAATGCTGCCGCCAAAATTATATCAAGCCGTCCACGACTGACCGCCTATCATCACGCATCCTTTCGCAGTTTCTCTTGGAGTAGCGACGAGTTTACATCTGCAGAACGTGGTATCAGTATCACCTTTCTATCATCCACTACGAGATGGGAAAGCGATCGAGAGAAGACACCGATGGAGACAATAGTAGCGACGAGTCTCGGCTATCGAAAAAAGTAAAGGGCGAAAAAGCACTGGACAGGGAAGCCCTTCTTGGTCAAAAACATCTACAAGAAACCGATGCTTACAGAAGAGAATCCTATCGCCTAGGAGCTTTTCCGTTCCTAGCTTTGCCTGCGGAATTGCGTAATATTTTCTACGAGGTCGTGCTTGTTAGGAAAGAAGTCCTGATCACTTCCACTCGGCCAAAAATATCGCAGGTTCGGGGTACATGGGGCCCGACTAGTGAGAGAACCTATACCCTTGATGTCTCTGAAGATGCGGATGAGAGTCCAGGCAACGTAAACCTGTTTCATGTCAATTGCCAAATACGTAACGAGGCCCGGCCAATCTTCTATAAGCAGAACACGTTTCGTTTCAAAATGAATTCAAAACTGGCAAGCTCCCAAGACGCCATGTGTGCTCCGATAGCCTTCTTCCGCGATCGTCCCTAGGGGGTGGTAAGCAAATGGATCCACTCAGGTTGAAATTGATGTGAACTCTGTTGTATTGTAGATGCCGTAAAGGCGGACTATATAGAGGAACGAGATGAACTACCCCTTAGGGCGCTCCCTTGGTCGTTCCCTTGACAGCAAGGAAGCACCACAACTCCGTAAGGAAGAGAAAGGGAGAGTAAGGGATACCTAGGGGGGTGGTGTGCACGCAGGTGAACCGTATGAGTTGCTGATCCTAGGTTGCTGCAACCCGTGTGATCCGCAAGGTACATCACAGGGCCATGTCAGCGCGAACTATTCAACTACATTCTCCACCACAAAATTCCGCTGCAGCATCTAGGCGTGTCTATCTACGGCTACCTACCCAACTACGGAGATCGGGACGGTCCAACTACGCCGACTTTGTCCCACAGGTGGGCTGGCTTGCCCAGGGGCAAGGATGCGAGGCGAAGATGGGATGCGAAAGAGGGAAATTTCTTCCAAGGCATCTTTACACTCCAACCTGTCAAGACGCTTGCGCTAGAGCTACACACTTCGCTCTTCTTTGACACTAGACCACCGATCTCAACTCAGGGGAATGCCCTCGCTTTTGTAGCGTTTCTGCGATCGCGCTTGCTCCTCAATGCGTCGACGCTCGATTTGGGCGAGAAGGGCATTGAAGTAACGGAGTTGCCTGAAGACGAAACGCGCGAGTTTTCTTACCGCAAGTATAGATTGAAGCTAGAGTGTAAAGACGACTCGACCGGAGCATCCCTGCTGAAAAGGGAGGAAACGAGATGAACAGACTTGATGTTCAGTAGCAATAAGAAATTATCAGAAAAGGGGAGGCAGAGAAAGAAAGAGAGGCCATTTGATTGTAGCAATAGAATTCTGCTCTTCCATCCCCAATTACGCATACCTCTCATTTTGCTGATTCAATGATTGTTGGAGTCTAAGTCTAGTGTCTTCGAACATCTCGCCTCCCTGAGAGCTTTCCCTACCAAGGTCCGTGAGTCTCACCAAGAATACCCAAATACTAGAAAAATTCCATGAGACTAGAGCATCGAGAGATATGAGGTCAATGCGTCTCCCGCAACGCCATGTCCGTATGTCCCGAATAGCTATTGCCGCCGAAGAAACGAGGTTTGCAATCTTGCGTTGCCCCACGTCTCGTGCCTTTTAGCTCATCTAATGCAGTTTCATCTCCCTGTGAAGGCTTTCAGGGTTTGTTCCCTTTGGACAAGTTTGCTAATTCTTCCGGAAGTGTCTCGAGTTCGTGATGTGTCGTGGATACATCCAACCCCTGGAAGCTTCCTTGGGGGCAGTTTTAGTAGTTACTTAATTCTCTATACCCCTCTTCTAGTTTAATCTCTACCTGATTTTCTATTCCTGAAAAAAGCAATGGGTAAACGGCGAAGAACAAATGCGGACAAGGGTCATGAGAAGCAGGCCAAAAAGCCGAAGACAATTGCCAAAGGTGAAGAAGAGGCCTACAAAATCCGTCTCACCGAAGATTACAAACGAGACAGCTACAGAGCGGGAGCATTCCCCTTCCTAGCACTCCCCGGCGAGCTCCAGAACCGTGTCTATGAGTTCGCGCTGGTCAGAAAAGAGATCCGTATCGTATCCACCATTGCCGCTCCCGGCCAGAAGCGGCGCTCATGGACTCCCTGGGCAAAATACAGGCCATTAACATACACGCGCCGCATCCAAGACACATCGGAACCCGACTGTTGCGGTGACGAGGACGAGTACGAGCATGATAACGCAGACGACAAATTGAGCGAAGAGGCGCGCGCAAACGCAGAGATCTGCCTCAATCTGTTTCTCGTCAGCCGCCCGCTCTACAACGAGGCGAGGGCAGCTTTCTACAAAAGAGACCTCTTTTACTTCCAGGAAACATATCTGAACATTCCGGGAGTCTCTTTGGCTTTCTTGCGCGATCGGCCATCCGAGGTCCTCCAGAACTTTATCCAGAAAATACATATCGATGGACTTAGCAGAATAGACAAGCCATCGCTCAAGCAACTAGTCGATTTTCTTGGCCGAGAAAAGCTTCCGCTTCGGTACTTGGGGCTCTCGTTTCGTGACTTTGTCCCCTTTCCCATCACCAAGAACGACAGATCATGGACATGGCAGTGGGGCGGCACTCTCGACATAGAACGGGGTTCTGGAACGGTATTAATGGAGGGGTTCCTCAACGTCCTCCTCACCATTACGCCCGTTGGCACCTTGGCTCTGGAGGTCTACACGCGACCTACGTATTCTGCACCCACGCCCAACCCGCCCCATAAAATGGAACGACATGTAGTGGCATTTATAGCGTTCCTCCGCTCCAAGCTACTACGTGACGCCGAAAAATTAGAACTGGGCTAGAGAGCGATTGAGGTCACGCGGGTTTGGTCTCTCAAGAGGCTCATAATGGGCAGATGGGGCAGATATAATCCCAATCTGATAGCCGATCCTGAAAATCGTGTTGTGACAGGTCTGGAGCTGCGTTGCATTGATAATTCCAAGGGGAGGTCGCTGTTGGATGACGGAGATGAGGGTTTAGAGATAAACATGGGTGAAAAGTTAGTGACAAAGGTGCAGTATGTGGCGTTGGCGGAGGAGGGGCCGCTTGAGGACTAGCATGTGTAGGAGTTGCGAGGGGTTTTGGCGTTTAGGAATCGCAAGTATGGTATCAGATGACGGATTTCAAAGCACTCCTACTACCTTTTCTTAGGCCTGCTGACTTTTGCGAAATGAAATAACCTTGTGTTAGCTTCTGTACGTGACTACGTCCGCCAGCTTATCCCATGCAAGATCCTTATCTGACAAAAGGGTCTCAAGTTGTCTGAAGGACGTTTGTTAGTTCGTACTAAAATTGGTCAGGCTCGTGCCGGCTTAGATATGCTTTCCAGTAAAGCTTTTATAGAAATCATGAACCGCGGCTATATAAGCCTGCTTGCCCTCCTTATACCCTAGCATCCCCCTTAATTCGTCCGCCCCGGCACATGATGGGAAAGCGGCTAAAGACAGACAAGAATAGTCGCCAACACAAGCAGACTAAGAAAATGGAAACTAACGGTAAAAAGGAAGAGAATAGTGAAAGCCAGCAAACCGAAGAACACAAAAGAGAATGTCGGAAACTGGGAGCATTCCCCTCCTTAGCACTACCGGGAGAGCTACGAAACCGCATCTACGAACACGCACTCATCAAGAGAGAAATAGTTATCACATCCACTCGCATAGCACCAATACAAACGCGGCGCAAATGGGTCTGCCCGGTAGATGGCAAGCGAACATACGTGTTCCGAGGCGCTGACTTGGGAGAATCGGAACAATCTCCTGATGGCTTTAGGGTTAGGCCTCCAACGGGAGCTGCTGCGAATGGAATTTGTCTTAACCTCTTCTATGTGAGCCCTCAGGTCTACAGCGAGGCCCGCCCGATCTTCTACGCAAAGAACGTTTTTGCTTCCACACATGGGCGCGCGATGTCGAAGATGTTGCACTGGCATTTCTGCGCGATCGCCCAGTCGAGGTGCTCGACTCGTCGCTCGAGAACATTCACATCAAGGGATTGTACAGCACGGATGAGCATAGGAGATTGACGTCACTAGGAGAGCTAGGCGATTTGCTACGCCAACATAGACCTCCGCTGTGGTATTTTGGTCTCCAGTTCCGGGACCGGGCGCCTATCGTCCATATCAGAGAGGACGGGACGTTGAGGTGGCAATGGGCGCCGGCGGACGCATTACACAGGGGGTTCAACACCCGTGCACCCACCGATATGATGGAAAAGTTCCTCTCCGGCCTCTTTGCACTTGCGCCTATCAGCACCCTGGCTCTGGAGATCTGCATATCTTCCTCGTACGTCGAACGAGCCACCAATACGCGTCGACCAATGGTGCGGCATGCAGTCGCTTCTATGGCTTCCCTTCATTCGAAACTGCTTTTGAATGCCTAGAAATTAGGCTTGGACGAGAGCGCGATTGACGTGAAAAGGCTTAAGAAACTTAGGGATCAGTGTAGCAGGCGAGCGCTTAAGATGAGCGTTGAGCGGCACAGAGCGGTGTTGGAAGATCCGTGGAGCTATGTCATTGCCACTTTGTACCTGCGCTGCAAAGATAATAGCAAGGGGACGTCGTTGTTGGCTGAGGGAAGGAAGGAGATGGAGGAGAAGAGGAAAAATGAGGTCGTATTGGCAGAGGAGGGGCCATGGGAAGGCTAGTAGGTGTAGTTGCCTGAACGGATTCTTCTTAGAGGTTTTTGTAACCCCGATATCGAAAGGATATCGAGTGGCAGGCTTTGAAGTCTTTTTCATGTTTCTTCTCGAGTTAGCTGTCCCTTGCAAAAGCTAATGAACCTCATGTTAGATTCTGTACGTAAAAGATGGCTCAAGCATTTAAAAAAGTGTGGGATTGTATGAGGGAGGTGATAGATCAATTAGGAGGGAGCTTTGAGCCGGAACAGGAAGGAGGCTCTATTTTGACGTGATGTTGATAGCAGAAGGTTGCAGAGTTACGAGTGATCTTCTCCCAACTGGAAGCTTTCCCCTTGCGTGATTCGTTCTTTGACTTCCCTAGTGCTGGCATAGCGACAGGTGCGAAAAGAATGGCTAAGATGGAGAACGTACCTACTGAGGATTACACTATTATGGTGTCATGACGATGTGAAGATAGCTACCAAATAGCGATAGAGTAGTTGAGATCACATCATATGTAGATAGCGCCTCATGTCACGTGCCGCTGCTCTCTCATTTGCGTTGTCCTTGATTGCCTTCCCTAGAAAAGTTATCTTGTCTATGATCATTCTTGCGATTCGAAAGACTTCTAGTGAAGATTGCAGTTTCTTAGTCGTGCTTGCGATTGCTGGAACCCTCTTCTTGGGCGGGCAGACGCTATATCAACCTCCCGTTCCTAGTTTTTTGGCTCCCACATTGCTTCAGCTGGAATAGCACGTCAGCCCCAAGTCAGCACAATATGCCCAAGAGGCCAAGATCAGGTCAAGAAGAGAGCTCCCATAACCAGACCAAGAGGGTGAAGCAAATTGGTGTTAGCAATCGGCAATGGCCGAAGAAGTCTGTGATGGGGATAAGATGTGCAGATACTTCTAGGGGAGTCTTCTTGTTGGAAGACAGTGTTGAGTAGATCGAGGAGCATAGGACGAAGGAGGTGCTTGGAGCGGAGAAGGTAGCGTTCTGACCGCCTGCCTAGTAGTTCGATGCCAGTAACCAGATACGGTGCTTAGATGATTGTTTAGTTGCAATCTTTTATCGCTGTTCGGAGGCGCTCTAGAGTGTTGTTGAATATCTGGATAAAATGTAAGATATCAGAAAGCGTAAATGAAAGCCGCTCGAAATGAATATGATCATCATGTGTTATTATGTTCTGGATTGCCTGAGCGCTTACGAAACTAGGAAGTTATGTAAAAGATGTACCCACATCATGTCTGAGTGCGGTATGGTTGATGACCTGATCAATGACTGTTCGGGGAATGCTAGAGTCACGTGACTTTATCACTCTGATTACATGTGTACCTATAGCTGTCTACCCATGACCATAATTCAAAGACTCTTATAAGGATTCATGACCCGTATACAGCATATATGGCGATGAAATATATGTCTTTTCAGAAGGGGATTGCTTACAGATCTTCCTTTCTACCATTGGTCGCCGTAATTTACCCCTCCGTTCATCACCCCTCAACCCCACGTAAGCATCATCGACATCATCGATCCAACTCTAAACCTCCGACGCGCTTGCGGGCGTGAGGATCCCTCTTTCTCGGAATATGATAATGGTATGGGTTCTACACTCGCACCAGCCTCCTTGATCCCTTTCCCCAATATTGTCGAACCAGCATCATAATGTCCGTGCAAGAGTAAGCCGCGAGAATCCTCGAGCTACCTCGTACTGCTGCGCTAACAGCCACAAAGCTTAGAGAAACTCGCCCAAAGACTGGCGAAAGACGGCCCCTACAAGCACGAGAGCACGCCTCGACGCGTGAGAGGGCTGTTCAACGGGGCATACGCATTCGACACGATTCGCGCGCACTATGTTTGGGAGATTCCGAACTATCCACAGTAAGCTACTCTCAACCAACTCCCGATATACACCCAGCTCTAATGCTCTTCCAGGTTTTACATACCTATCGAGGACTTCACTTCAGACGCCAAGCTTGAGATAGCTAAGGAGCCAGTGCCCAAAACCGACGGCGGGGCGTCTTTGGCCGTGCTGACCGTGGGTGACAAGTCCACAGTCAAAGTAATTTCTTTTAAGAAAGGACCTTTGGCCGGGTTGGTGAAGACAATATTTGGCGCCATTGGTATGTCTTCATCGGCTGACACCAGTTCCAATGTCCGGGCAGTTGCTTGCTAATCGCCTGCGCCTGCTAGACCAGTGGTTCGAAGAAGAAACACCCATCTACATCCACCCCAAAGACCCTTACAAGCGCATCTCGATCCTGCCCTCCACCCGCCGCGTGCGTGTCGCGCTGGACGGCGTGACGCTTGCGGAGACCTCTGCGTCGATCTTCCTCCTCGAGACTTCGCTTCGTCCGCGATATTATATACCGCCGACTAGTGTAAATTGGCATTTGTTGAGCAAGAGCGACACTGAATCTGGTTGTCCGTATAAGGGAACGGCGAATTATTACAATGCGGAGGTTAATGGAAAAGTGTACCGGGATATTGTGTGGTGGTATCAGCACCCTACGATGGAGAGCGCACCGATTGCGGGATATCTTTGTTTTTATAATGAGCGGGTGGATGTGCATATTGATGGGATTAAGGAGGATAGGTAGGTTAATAATGTCAAATGATTCAAAATCTTTGCAGGATATCTGGTTCCCATTGATTGAAGAGACGTGGTGCCGAGCTCTCCAAGCTAGTCCCAATTTACAAACATCCTAATACCTCTTTCAACATCCCCCCCCCCCCCCCCAAAAAAAAAGGTTTCTCCGCCTCCATCCCCTCAATCTAACGGCGGCGCCCCCGGATCCATCATACACTGATCCACCCTCATCAGCCTCCTCCCCGTCTTCCTCGCCTCCCTCACAAACTCCCTCAAATACCCCACCGTGCTCGCATACAAATAATGCATCACCACCAAATTTCCCCCTTTCCTTACATCCCGCCTAAACGCCTCCAGCTGCTTCTCCGGCGTCTCGCTCTCCCCCCACAACCAGTCCTCAACATCCACACTCCACATCACCACGCTCGGATCATCCACCCCCAGCACCGCCGCCAGCCGCTCCCGCATGCGCGCGCCCTCGGTGCCGTAGGGCGGGCGGAAATACGTGGAGTTGGGGAGGGCGGGGAAGGTGGACGCCATGGCGGCGAGGTCGGAGGCGTACTCGGCGTCGATGGCGGCGGTGGTGGGGAGGGACTCCATTTTCGGGTGCGTGAAGCTGTGGAGCGCGATTTGGTGGCCCCTTGCCGCTGCATCGCGGTACACATTGCTTAGATTGGTAGAGGGGTCCAGCAGGGCTTGGCCGACGGTGAAGAAGGTTGCGGTGACGTTTTCTTCGGCGAGGATTTGCAGGACGCGGTGGGCGTACGCGGGCTCGCCGTCGTCGATGCCGAAGGCGAAGGAGTTGGGGCGCCGGCAGTGGAAGAGGAGGGAGCCGGTGGGGAGTTTTGGGGTGGTGGGGAAGGAGGGGGGGATGGTGGGGAGGAGTTCGATGCGGGTTAGTTTGAGGGATTCAGTGGGGTGGTAGAAACCTTTTAGGGCGACGCCGATCACGCGGGTCATGTTTATGTTGAAGTGGGAGAGCGGGATGTAGATGTCAGTGCTGTTGGCGTAGCGCGCAGCTTCGACGGAGTCCCAGGTCTCGGGGAAAGGTGCGACGTCCTCCGAGCAGGCAGCGTTGTGTTGCTGGAGGGCGACGGTGAAGGCAGTGGTGCCGGTATAGACTATGTGGAGGTAAGCGGAAGCGTATGAGGCCAGAGAAACGCAGGTGTCCGAGAATTGAGAGTAGAAGCTGTAGTCGGCATCGGAGGATTTGATCGTAAGGGATTTGGTGCCCCAGGTTAAAGACATGCCATCATCCGCGCCATGACAGTGCCCAGCGGCGTTTGTGGAGGAGGAGGCGAAGGTGTCGATGAGGGAAGGGGTGGGAGCGGCTTGGGGTTTCTCTGATGCGGAGGTCGCTGCTGATGCTTTAACAGAGACAGCAGCTATTGTGGTGGACAAGGATCTATCAAAGGAGCTCGATGTCGTCGTATTGCATCCGAAATTGACCCCACTCAGCTTCCATGTCGCCGTCGTATTCGAGAACGTCCCCCATACAAACGACGTTATCGCATTGAGGTTCGACTTGGTGTACGATGACAGCGGAATCGAGAGCAGCTGGGTCCCTCCCGGGAATGAGCCGAACACAATCTCTTCGCTAGAATAGTTTGGATTTATGCAAGAGGTCTTCGTCTGAATCTCGAGATGGAATGTAGCGCCAGCGGGTGCATCAATGGCGAATTGGATGCTATTGTAGCCGTTGTCGAGGTATGAGGTGCATGGCAAGGTCTCATAGAAGTAGGATGCGTCCTTCGGCACGATAGATAGGATGCCGTTTGTAGCGGAGATGGATGACATAGTTCCATCGTCTGGTTGGAGCTGTCAGTCTCACAAAAGGGTGGGAGTGGAAGACATAGTACCGCTAACAAAGCAATTCAAATCATTCGTATTCGTTTTCCAGCCCTGGAAGTCATCAATCAGAAGAGGCTTCGTGCATAGGGCGAGTACTGTTCGAAAGCAGCAGCATAGCAAGAAATGAATGACGGTGACGATACGCATGGTAGGAAAAGATGATTTATCAACGAACGACCAGGTAAGAAAACGTGAGCCAAAGACTCGAAAACCCAAGTGAGAGAGATAATCTTAGAATAGAGAAGTGGTGGGAGTAGTCTCCTTTTATGAAATCTGCTCCATAAGTTCTTCCGATATCAATGTTTCACTGCAGAGCAAACCGTTCTCGTGTTACGAATTGGTTAACATCTCTCGTGCGGGGCCAGGCACAATGGACAACGAGCAAGGCAGACATCGCAAAAGAAACGCATAGATGGCTGAAATCCGCCTTATGTTATTGGCGCTGGGATGTGGTTGTGGTTTCGTAGGTGTTGCGGAGGTGCTGCGGAGAGAATCGACCCCTGACGCTAACTGCAATAGGAAAGGTTTCGTCGGAGATTCCATTATTCAAAATCGCTGAACGTCACGTGCACAAGCAATGTCCTTGAAGAAGAAGAAGGAATAGGGTTCGTAATCCAAGCTCCAACTCATCTCACCAGATCATCGTGCTTCGCCCTATGAACCGCATACGAGACTACGTTTGCCCCGGACGGAATCTCGCGTCTGCACTCCCTTTCTATGGGTAGCAATATCATTATTCTTCCATAGATAGGCTTGGTCATTGGTCCAGGGAAATGGTTCAGTTCATCGAGAGCTGCAGTATTGAAAAGTGTCGCAAACAAGTCTTGGGAGCTGCCATCTTGATTTCGAATGTAATTGTGAAGATACAGCACACCGACACCATATGACTCGAATTGGTCAAAACCCACACATTCATTCTGTCATGTCTGAGTCTTCTGCTTCCTCTGTCAGTTCGTTTGTTTCCGCCGCCGCCGAGTCCGACCTCAGCGTCTTCCCACCTGGCCCAGCCGCCACTCCCTTGGCGTCTAGTGCCACCATGGCGCCTAAACCACCGCTGGGTAGAGGCCTAATCGACTTCCTCGCCGAACCGAACGTCCATTGGCCAATCTTCGAATCAATAACCTCCCAACTAGACGTCTGCGATTTCATCAAACTCCGCAGAGTCTCAAAGTCTCTTTCAAATGTCTACGAGACTGTGCAGAAGTCGCAGTGGAACATTAACGAGGCGTTGACTAAGTCCGTGAAGGATCCGCCGGCACTTCGTAGTAAGCTAGGTCAAGCTTCAGGAGTTATATCTGGACAGTTTGCTCTCAAATTCCTTGACAGGCATGTCGTCGGCGATCGTCTTGACGTCTTTGTGCACGGGCGAATGGAAGGTATGGCCAATGTCGAGTTCATGGCATGGGCGATCGAGCGCGAAGGATACGCCGTGACCCGATCTTACAGTCACGACGAAGAGCGCTCCAAAGGCACTGTTGAAGACAAACAGTACAAAACCGACGTATATCAACGCCCAGGGAGCAACAGTCCATCAATCTACCTTCAGCATACGCGCGAAACACCTATCGTAAACCTCCTGTCTACGGGATGCCAAGGCACCATCGCTCTTTCGAACTTCATCACACCAAACAAGGTGTACGCTCCCTTCGCAAAAGAGACCTTCTACGAGCACCGTGCCTATCTTCACGGACCCCTCAAAGATGATTTTGGTGAATATCTCAAGGCCGTTGCCAAGACTGGACGACGAATCCTCGGGATCCGATGGAAAGACCAGCACAAGAGTCCGCATAAGATGCGTAAACTGACTGACGGCCACATGTGGAGCATGGCGCTCGACTCGACAAATGTCGCTGCTCCTGTGACACCCAGCTTCGTCACAGATGCTACCACGTTCAAGTTCTAGGCTATTACTAGCATAGGGGGTAAGGAGCAGTACCATTACGCGGAGTTAAGCCAGATATGCCATCCCGCGCTACGACATGCCTGGGCACACTTCTTGTCTGTACTTGGAGTTGCTGGCATAGTAGCTGCCTACATGCCTAGCCAGTTACAACTTCTACAGAGAGGGGTTGGGGTACGGTGGCCTACCGTGCCTACCGTGCCTACTGCTGTCTCTAATTAGTGCTTCTGCCTACGCGTACAGTCACTTCCTACGTAGTATATAGTTTGGCCTTCGGGCCCCCGAAATAAGACAGAGTTCACGTCAATTTGCAACCTGAGTTCTGTCGACTCGTGCTTGAACACTGCTTTGGGTGTGGAGCTTTCTATGATGCTGAGGGATCGGTGGCCAGACAACGGGAATACCAGCCTGCGCGACCTCCTACGTAATTGCCGACTTCTTCGCTCAGACCAGCTTGCGTTGAAGGCGAAGTACGATGATATGATGCCAGAATGGCTTCTGAAGCAGGAAGAGGAGTATATCAAGAAACATGGGGATAATTAGCTGGCGAGAGGTTTGGAAAGGTTTATCAGGCCTAGTTTCTCTCTACTGGAAACAGATGAGGCCCACAGCGCCGATAATATCTTCTCCTTCTGTTTTTAAATAGCTTGGTAGGTTACTTCGGGGCATCTTCTATATGAACCCTTCAGCGGGCCAACTTCGCTTTTCTTTACTTGACTCCAAAATGGAAGATCGATTATACGATCCCAGACTTTCATATCAGTGAGGGGCCTTAGCGCGCAGATCTCTTAGCGCGATTGTTATTCACTTATTTGCCAATCCGGATTAAACCGTTCAAACCAAAATTCTAATCAATCCAATCAATCAAGCTTCATTATATATATAGCAACCCAATCAATCTGCTCTCTAGTCGAGCCGGCCGCCGGTTTAGTAACCACGCTGGTTACAGCTGTGGAACCGCCGCGCCAGCCACCTTCCCTATGTTCCTCACAGACACTGAAACGTAGAACAGAGGCGTTCCTGGATCCACGTTTCTACCCGGGATGATTAGCGCAGTGGTGCTCGGTGTGAGCGCAACGCTATCTCTTAAAGGCTTCGAGATCTGGAGACCAGCGAGCACGAAAGTGGTATAACTCAGTCCAAAGCCGAACAACAGCCTTTCTATCCTTCTCGAATTGTGGTAGTCGATGAGCTGACCTTCAATACAGTCCGCCTGCCACTCACCCGCCATCCTCCGTCTCCACAACACTTCTCCCATAAACCCTTCACCGCAGTCATATAAGGCAACCGCCCACTCGTCCCCAACATCCCAAGACTACACATGCACCCCTCCCCCCAACCTCCTACCCCGGCATACAGCACCGCCGTCAACACCCGCATCCCCCGCCCGCGGCGCAGCGCCCAGCACCACAGCCACCGTCCTCACTCACCGCCCCGCCCCGCCCCCGCCCCCGCCCCCGCTTCTCCAATAGCGCTCGAGTCCCACCACGCAAGCTGCGCTACGCGGTCCGCGCTCTCCGCGGCCCAGGCCCCAAGACTCCAGCAGCAGCAGCACGCAAACCCCCGGCGCCGGCGTCGCTACCCCCGTGGAAGAGAGGAGAGGAGCGTGTTTGTACTGCACCAACCAGCGCGCTTTGATTGCGGCGAGCGGCGGGAGTGCGTAGCTGAAGCGGCTGGTTGCGTAGTTGCCGGTGGCGATGTCGGATGTGAGGGAGATGGTGTCGGCTGGTTGCGTAGTTGCCGGTGGCGATGTCGGATGTGAGGGAGATGGTGTCGGCGTTGCTGAGGACGGCGAGGTTGGTAGGGCGGGTCAGGGGGACGGTGGCAGTTTTGGTTTTGAGGAGGGCGATGCCGGTGGCGCTTAGGGTGCGGATGGGAAAGGCGGGGGTGCGGATGTTGGCGGGGGGGCGAGGGCGAATTGGTGGACCCAGATGGATTTTGGGGGGAAGTTGAGGGGAACGCCGTTGAGTCGAGGGGGGAGCAGGAGGTGACTTGGTGCAGGGGATAGAAGGGTGGCATGATTCCGTTGATCATCTCGTCCACGGGGGCGATTGGGAGGGAGCTATTGTTAATGGTGGTGGTGATGTTGCTGCTGAAGTAGTAAGGGGAGGGGATGCGAAGGTGATGCCGCCGGGCATGTTCATGTCGAGGCCTAAGGCGATGGCGGGAACGCCTCTGTTAGCTGCGCTCCGGTTGATACGACATAGTCTTGGAAGCTGAGCTTGTCCTTCAGTAGTCCGTTAAGGGTCTTCAAGATTTGGTAGCCGTAGGAGCCGTTGACGCGATTATAGGAGCACATGATGCTGGCTGTGTCCACGTGGAAGGCGGTGGCGAAGGGTCAGAGTTAGGGCTGGTGCATGGTCTGGTCGTGGATGTTGGAAGCAATGGCTTCGATTGTCTTATCCTCGACAGATACGTTCGGGTTTCGTTGGGTCTCTTGTTCGTTGCCGATGTAGTGCTTTGAGCAGGCTTGGACATCGGCTGCCTGCATTTCGGTAATGGTCTCTTCCATGCCCACGCTAGCAAAATAGAGGTCTGCGAAAAACATCTCAATTCCGTCCTCCATGCGGCGAAGGGCCAATAGGTCCAGAGACGGGTCCAAGGATAACATAGGCGCCTTTGTCTTTGAATCTTCCTCCCATGAAGAGACCGGGCTGGTACGTGAGATTTCGGTCTCAGGATGCTTCAGCGGAAAGGCCTAGGGGAAAGACACGCGCAGGCCTTTTCGGAGCTTAATCAAAGCTAACAGAGCTTCCCCGCAAACTTAGCTGTATGAGGCGTAGAAGAGTGTCTATTGCAACTGCCGTACGGGGCACAGATCAGGGAGCACAGCATGCTAGCCACTATAATGCGGAGAATGCGTCAATGGCGGGCATGGCGCCGGGGAAAAGAGCGTTTGATTCTCGGAAGCGGGATTTAGCCTTGTCGAGTCGACAAGTCCAGAGGTGTTGTGATGGGGTGTGGAGAGAAATTTGTTGGGTAAAGGAATCGTCAGTCCGAAAATGTCGCGCCCGCCTCACGGAAGGGAACAGGAGATGTTGAGGCAGAATATAGTGTATTCGGAAAATGGGTACGCTGATTCTGGTAGATTTGGTCACAGGCCTGAAGCTTGAAGGAAAGGAAGAATACTTCATTCTCCCCATTACGAGTGCAGAGGGTGGGCCGAAAGATCGGCCGCCAGGCCCCCAACCCCGAAATCGAGCGGGGAAAAACCTACGGCGGACAGGAAACGTCAGGGAAAGAAATACCTTTCATATTGAGCAACTGAAAGGGTATCAGGCTTTGCGGAGGAGATGGCGATTGATAATGCAGTCCGCCGGAGTGATGCGTGGTTGCGAAGGCGGGTTGGGAGAGGCGGAAGAGCGCTGCCACCGCCCTTGGCCCGTATCGGCATGCCGAATTATTACTCTCGCAACATAAGAGCGTTGAGCATGATTTCGAGCTCGCAGTGGCTGTATTGACGACGACGGAGCGTAACGTCGATGTGGGAGGCGATGGTTGCTGTTGGCGAGTCATGCTTAAAGCAACTGATGCGCCCGCTTGACTCGTCGTCGCGAAAACATTCCGAGCTCATGCCAAAGAAAATTGCCAGAGTTTGCGTTGTAAGGCATCCTGTGGGGTATTTACAGCTCGCTGTGAGCAGAGATACTAATTAGAAAATGACGGTTGTGGCGGATCTAACCAATCTTGATGCAGGCATTCAACATTTATCCGCCCTCAGATCGCGCCAAGCTCCGACCCCAATATCACCCTCCGGACTCCACACCTGAGGATTCTGATGTTGCCAAGACTTGCCCGACTGGATAACACCCTTCACCTACACTAAATCGTCCCCATCAAATGAACAGCAATTTTAGATGCCCGTCTCGCACTTGGGGAATAACAAGAGGTATTGCAATTCAGAATAGAAGGCGGGCTTCCTAAACTCGCACTTTCAGTCTTCAATAGAGCGCAACTGTATATTTTTGGCATTTCAGGCCTCCTCTATCCGCTAATTATGCATTACACTAACTTTCTACATGCCTCTACCCTTTTTTCAATCCACCAGTCTCCTACAACGCAAGCGCCGCAAGCACAACACCGGCGACCCCCACCACCGCACCCTGCCTCACCCCCACCGCCGCCGCCCCCCCCGTTGCAGTCGCCGCACCCGTCGCCGAGCCAGTCGCAGTACCCGTAACCGTCGTCAAGCTCCCACTCGCCGATTTCGTCGCTATGCCACACGTTAACTTGTATCCTCAAAGACGCACCCACCATCTCTTAGGACCCGGAGGAGGAAAACTTACTCGTCGTCGCCACGCTCCCACCCGCCAGCTTCTCCCCGCCCGCCGTCACTGTCACCACCCCAATCACACTCTCGTAATCGCTCGGCTGCATCATCGTCGTCTGCACCCCCGCCTCCGAGCCGCTCACGCTCGGCCCGCCAATGCTCTGCGTGCACGTCAGCGCCTGCGTGTGCCCGATGTCGCCCTCGCAGCGCGCGCTCAGCGTCTCCTCGCCCGCGACCGTGTACGCGAAGGCCCAGATGCTGGGGCCCTGGGTGATTGTGAACTCGGGCCCGCAGAAGTCGCCGTCGCCGTCGGCGGTGGCCGAGGCGGACGCGGGCAGCGGCGCGCAGGTCACGGCGTACTCGGTGGAGGAGGGCGCAGCGGTGATGACGGAGCCGAAGTAGGTGGAGCTGGCGCCGTTGTAGGGGAGGAGGAGGGTGACGGTGGGCGTCGTGGTGGTGGCGAGGGCGAGGGCGGGGGTGGTGAGGAGGAGGGCGGTGGAGGGTTTCATAGTAGAGGTTTGGAGGAGTTCTGGTGTGGGTGTGTGAAGAGTTTAAAAGTTTGGAGGAAAGTATAACGAGAGTCTTAGTTCAACGAGTGTGGTTTTGACAGAAAGAAGATTCGGGGGAAAAATTGGTTTGTGCTGTGGTGGAACGAACGTGGTGTTACAAAGGTACGGGCCGCCATCACAGAGAAGGCACGACGTACTTTTCTACTTTCCCATGCCGCACGCGCCGCCACTCATGTCACATCGCGTGCAGGCTGAAGCCCTAGTGGCGTGCAATGGCGTTAAAACCTAGCTGCTCTAGACCAGGCCACCCGTGAGACCGGCCCAGACTAGGGTTAGTGTGGGTTAGTCAGGGGCGTCTGGGCAACCTTAAAGTTAAACTTATCTCATGCTGCAGGGAAAAAAGGCTTAGGGGGCAAAAAGGACGTTTGATTGGTGTTTGGATTAGGGGGATGCAAGCGAGCGGGCGAATCGGGAGGGTCGGGAGGGGACGAGTGGGCATGCGGGTCGCGGGCTCCGTCTTCGCGAAGCTGGACACGAGACGGGAGGCAGTCGGGAGCCTGATATTTCGGTGTAGGTGGTTTGAAGGCTGTGACAGGATTGTAGAGAGGCTGCAGATTCTTAGGGCATTCCGGAGGCGACTTGCGATGCTTCGAGGATTCCAAGAGCAGAGGGCTGGTGGATCACGAATTTGTGGGACTGCCAGATGCTTGACAGCGCCACCAACGGCCGCTGGCTGCTGCCACTTTCGTCATGCTTTCGGATTCATCGTCTACCTAATCGGTCAAGCAGGATTTCAAATGAGTGCGGCGATAAAATTTGAAGGGGACAGCGGAAAAGCAAGAGCGTTGATCGCAATGCCTGGAAGCTCCTCCGATCCACTCCATCCCAACTTTCTAAATTATGCAGAAACCACTTTGTACCCAGTCCATCCGAGTATTCCAACGTCCCTCTTCAGCCGTAATCTAGTATTCGAGTCGACATTTCCTCGGTTCTAGTCGGAATGGAGCGTCGTATAGAAATCTGGAGGCCGGAGGCTTCTGTGGACGCTAAAAGAGGATGGATGCAAGAGAGGGAGAGCCGCTCGTGAATCTGCAGGCTTTCGGTGCTGGATCATTAACAGGCCCTAGAGTCTATCTGCGTATATCAGTGGTTAGAGGGGAGCGAGAGAGCCCGGAATCGTGAATTGCTGACAGAATTGCTGCCAGTGCACGCTTCATTACAGTGTTTCGACCGTCACTTTTGGCCGTAACACGCCCTCTAAGAGGATTGGTAGTGAGAGCATATCCGATTGTAATAGGGCAACAGCACTACAATGGGCTGTGTATAGAAATATCGCAGTCAGTGGAGCGGCAAGTTCGGAAGGTTGGAAAAGTCAGGGGCTGTGCCAAGCCTCGGACCAACTCCGGCGACCTCCGCCCGCCAGCCTCGTCTCGTCTTCCTCCTCTACCCTCATCCACCCTCATCACTCAGGTATTAACACGAGTTCATGAGACTCATCCCTTCAGCCATCTTTCGTTTTCCGTCTGGCGCGCTGCTTTTGGGGCGCTGTCAGGCTTCCTGAAGCCACCTGCTCATTCCAAGTCCGAAGAATGGCATTTCTAGGATCACGATAAGCTATTTTATTGAACGAATATCTCCAATATCAGCCGCATGATGAATGAATTTGCTACATCTACCGGCTACTCTTACGTTAGACTTAGCTGTATATCCGCTCGCTGTATACGAGGTCGAGCAGTAGACTTCATATCATCCTTTCGTCACCTGGGCACCACCGTCGGGAATGCCAATCAGAATCAATCAATCGCAGGGCCAGTTAGATCTGTGGCAAACTTCTTTTCAAATCTGGAGTCTCTACGATGAATAGTAGCATGCTGAGTAATTGCAATTGAATGTGTTCAAGCGAATCTGAGGCAACGATCAGAAACAAGCACTTTAGAGTATTATGCTAAGTCCACGGTAACCTCATCGCTTCTGAACTCTCCAGTCTTCGCTGTACTACCTCCTAGTTCTTCCAAGTCACTCGCTTGTACATCCCCAGCAGCCTTCTCCCATAACGCCTTCCATTTTCCCTCCGCCTTAATCGTAAACTTGTCTCTGGGCATCCATCGCTTGTCCAGCGGCAATTCCTTGGACGCCTCTGCACCGGGCACAAGTTCCACCAATGCTTCTCTGGGTGGCGGAAGTTTACGATTAATCATCAGTCGTGGAATGCCGATCTTGGCACCCGTCGCATCAGCTGCTTGAAAAACGCCAACGTTGAAAGCCTGCTTGTCGAGTGGCGTATCCCATTCCAGCACCGTGAACGTGGACGAAGTATGGGTGTTCTTGAGCGTCACCTTCAATGTCGGAGGGCTTGTGGATGTTTGCGCCAGAGTCAGCACAAGGCTGGACACATCTGCAGAAGAGGCGGAGGTAGACGCCATCCGGAAGGTAGGCGAAGAGGATCGAAAGAAGTAGAGGGAACCGAGGACGGCGACTGTAAGAACGGCGATTATGGCGGTGCGATCCTTCATCAGACTCATTTGCGACGGACAGATCAATCCTACGGAGTCGGGAGTTTGCTAGCTATTGATGCAGCGGGAGACCAGAGGAGTAGGTATCACTTCTTCAGCCAGGCTCCTCATCGCTGCTTGTCGAAGATACCCTGCAGGCAACTAAAAAATGCTCCTGATTGCACGCGCAGAAGGCTGTTCGTTCCTCTGAGTTGCCTTTCGTGGAATCTGTCGCCGAAGTCATGCGATTGTTCTAGGACAGTCACGACGGACATGGCAGATATCCAACCCCATGGGCATGCTCCGCGCAGCGAATCAGGCACTATGCAGGCTGCCAGGGCAGCAATTTCGACAATCTGATTCGCATGGTGTCTCCAGCAAAACTCGCCCGCTGCGATCCTGCCATCCGGCTGAAACGGGCTGGGCAGTGATCCCAGCAGTGGCGGCGAATCGCTGCGGGCGCGCGGGAGAGGCTGATGCAGTGCAGATCCTAGAGGAACAAGGAAGGTCAGATTGCGCATTCTGTGGGGTATGCTAGGGCTGACACACGACGATGCGTAATCAGCAATATAATGAAGCGGAAACAAGCAGTGTCAAGCTCAACGCCCACGCTGCCAAGCCCATCCTGATATCGCGGCGAGCGGTTGGGGCGCCGACCAGGCGAGTCCGGCAGTGCTTCCTCCACCATCTCCACTGTTTAGACTGCGCCCACGAGCCGAAGTGGTCGCCGATTGGCCCACGCGCACGACTATCCGGCAAACTTTCTTTCGACTACAATCACCTGCCAGTATGGGATGCCAAGGGCGGAGAATGAATCCTCCTCCGCTATTGCTATCTTCTCGCGCCGTGCTAGCTACAGCTGTAGGCGTCACCTGTGTAGAGAACGCTGCGATTAATATACACGATACCACACCACACTGGCTTGCCAAGCCGCCGGCGATCTCCGCTTGAAGGATGCCCTAGCCCCCAACTAGCATTTATCAGCTATGTTTACTGGTGGACCTTCCCAGCTACGATTAGCTGCCGTTGACGCTTGATCCCGAACTTCAAGGGTACCTAGCCACTAACTGGCTCCCAGAATGCTTAACACCGACTCCTAAGACTGCCAAGAGTATAGAGACACCCTATCTTGCTATACAGAATCCGGACTAGCCTCCTCAAGCGAGCGTTGTAGCTACTAACCACCATTCTAGGTGACTACAGCAGCCACATGAAATTGGTGTGTATGCTGAAGTGAAATCAATTCTTTCACACAGATGTCCACCCCTGCAAAGCTACAATCGCGATCCTACGAGCTGATGCAACCATGAACTTCACACCACCAGACCCCAGGAACCTCCGCCGTGCCAAGATGCCCAGAACGCCATGTTTTAATATCCGCCCTGGGATCGTCATCCCGCTTTACCCATCTTCCCATCTCACACGATACGATCCATAACACTGGAATCACATATCTGCCGGACAGTCTTTCTACCTCCAGCCTAGCACTTCCGCCATTTGCCGCATCATTCCCACTTACGTAGATGACCCATTGGTTTCCTTATTTGGATAGATCCCGTTTCGAGATACATCCAATGAACCCTCTATCCACTGCTCGCGCTGTATACAGAACCGTTGCAGACCTGAACGTAACCACGCCGACAGGCGGAGGATGATCAGTCGGGCACCCGACCCTGGAGAAGCCTCCATGTTGCGAGCTGCCTATATTGGAACATGGAGATATCTTGGTCCGTTGCCGGAAGGGAGAATTGAGAAGGGGCAACTGCCAACTCATTCATACCACTGCTTGATACCACTGCTTGAAATATATAAAGCACTCGCTTTCCTCTCAAAGTAGGATCATCAGCACATCGACTTTGCACGGCTTCTCAATACTTCGCCTAGCACCTTTCAAATAGTCGATTCTCGCACTACCCAATCACGATGAAGACTTTCACGCAGCTGTCCCTGGCAGCCTTTGTGGCTCTTGCTAGTGCTACTACTGTCGATGTCAACAAGAGGGACTCGCCGTTGAGTGTCGAGCTGTCTGCTGTGGGCAATACCGAGGTCAAGGTTGCGGTTACCAATACCGGTGCTATTGAGCTTAACCTCCTGAGCAAGGGGACATTCTTGGATGAGGTGCAACCGGTGCAGAAGCTTAAGATTTTCTCTGCCAGTAAGTCTTGTTTTCGATTCGCTTTCATTTGATTGGGCTGGGGCTTGAAACAGGGGGTTCAAGCAGGTCTTGGCACGTAGCCAGCGCCATCCATGGACATTCATGCATCAAATCACCTACCCTAGCCCTACACCACAAGCCTCGACCCTACTCCTCTAATCAACCGGAGAATAAATCAAGTACAACAATGCTAATAGTGCCCCCAGACACCGAAGTCCCCTTCGAAGGCCTGAAACTCCGCCTAAAGACCTCTTCCCTCTCCACCGACAGCTTCACCACCCTCGCCGCCGGCGAAACCAAAGAACTAACCGTCGAAGCCGCCTCCCTGCACACCTTGACCACATCCGGCGTCTACGACGTCTACGCCGCGGGCGCCATCTCCTGCGCCGAGCCCGGCTCCACCACCCTCGCCGGCAGCATCGCCTACAGCTCCAACAAGCTCTCGCTGAACGTCGACGGCGCCAAAGCCGCCAAGGTCGCCAAGAAGCTGCGCAAGCGCACCGCCGTCGCCAGCGACTGCACGGGCTCCAAGCTCAGCACGCTCAAGAGCGCCCTGGCCGACTGCAAGAGCCTCGCCAACGCCGCCGCCAGCGCCGCCTCCGCCGGCACCAAGATGAGCACGTACTTCAAGTCGACGTCGTCGAGCGTCAAGTCGACCGTCGCCGCGCGCCTGCGCGCCGTCGCGACCGAGTGCGGCAGCACCTCGTCGGGCGCGACGGAGACGCACTGCACGGACACGGACGACGGCTGCGAGTCGGACGTGCTGGCGTACACGATCCCGAGCGAGAACTACATCGTGTACTGCCCGCTGAGCTTTAGCGATCTGCCGGTGCTGAGTGGGTCGTGCCATGCGCAGGATATTGCGACGACGATTCTGCATGAGAGCACGCATGCGCCGGGCGTGTATAGCCCGGGCACGGACGATAATGCGTATGGGTTTAGTGCGAGCACGGCGTTGAGCAGCAGTCAGGCGGTGGATAATGCGGATTCGTATGCGCTTTATGCGAATTCGATTTATGTGGGGAGTAGCTGTGCTTAGAGGGGTTGGGAGGGGGTTGGGAGGGTGGGGGGTTATGGATTGGCGATGGGACTAATTTGAGCGTATGAGAAGTTGGCATGTTGTGGGCGGGTTGGTGGTTGGATTGGAGGTGCCGGGTAGTGATATACAGGGGTGCAAAAGATGGAGAATTGAGTTGGAATTGATCACGACTTCTAAGACATGGGATTTTTGATGAAGCTTCCCGCAGCTTGGTATACCAATCCAAATGCGTGATTGCACACGTCTAACATCAAATGCCGCTAGCACGAATCCAATCAGCGGCCCCCTGACAAATGTAGCCACTCCAAAAAGAGCACGAAACAGGTCTGAATTTATCTTTCTGTCGAATAGGTACTGTCGAAGATTTCCTTTGCACCATAGTTAAGAGCGTGGGAGATGGGATAGTAGCGAGACTGAAAAATAGGTCGTATGCAATGGGTTTCTACTCATACTTTAGATTTCGGATATTTTCATTTGGCGTTCAGCCTGCTGAACAGAAAACTACTTCTTAAGCTGCGATTGACGTCAAGGAGGATGCTAGCATCTTGACGCATGTTCCATGGCTTTGCGAAGGACGTCAGGCGGTAGTTTTGAGGGGTGAAAAGATTCTCATTTTTCGATGCATTAGACCGAGAGGATTACGGCTTGTCGAGGGACTATATACGGTAGCTTTGTTCTTTTAATGGAGTTTAGAAATGACTTTCGTTGGTGGGCCCGCGGCTCGATCGGTGCTAAGAGTCGAGGAGGGACCCAAAGGCAGACGTTGTTACTCGCGTGCTTCAATTGCGTTGACCAGTACGTCTTCAATAGGGTGTCTTCGCCACTGTGAGATGTCTTCACAGCATCTGGCCTGTGACCTGTCCTCGTCAGCAGCGCTGTGAATCTTTACTCTTTCATAGCACCTGTGGGCTTCCCAAACTCCAGAGCCGATCCGTTTGACTGACTGCAAATCTGTTTGCTGGGATCCTCCCTACAGTGATGTCTACACAATAAATAAGCAGTCTGAGCAGTCCACTCTGCGCTTCGTACTTCATAGTAGGGTAGCGATTAGCATACCAGCTAAGGTCTCTGATCCTTTCTCCAGCCACTTGCAACCGTCAACGGACCTCTAAGGATTTAATACAGACGCAGACACTACCTTGTCTGTGAGAGCGTCACTGGAGATGCTTGCTGTGGTACACCGTCTTACCACCCTTCGAGTCCTTGCTGTCTTGCTAGAGACTCGAAAGTGTTACGACCTGCCCAACACAACCAGTCCCAGCTTCGTTGAGCAGCCTTCTCCCATATCCTGTGACTCTCGTCCCTCCTCTCTTGGAACCATGAGGCGCAATCATCTGCACCACATTCCCTTCCTCATGAATGTAGATGTCGGTGGAATGTTGACGGTTGGGTGCGTTGGTGGAGTAATCGATGGAGAGGGATACGAGCTGTGCCGCGTCAGAGAGGAAATGAATTTCTTCAATCTCCAGGAAGAGCGGCCGCCAAAGCCTAAATATCTGAAGTTGGCTGCAATGCGGTGGGCTGAAAGACGGCTGGGTTGTCGGTTCGGTACGGGATGTCTCCCTTGATCCTGGGACGACGGCGTCGAGAAGGGGAGGGATATAGTCCTACAAACATTAGCCCCTAGTGTTGTAGAAGCTGTTCAAAGTTCGAGGGATAGATAGCTAGTGGAGGGAATATCATGACACCGGCTTTGCGTTGTTTCCGCGGGGCGGACGAGGAGATTTTGGCGGGGAGAGGTCGTAAAGGGGATGCAAGCCTGCTTTTCCTGGCCTGGCGAATCAGTTGGAATGTGTGCTGTAGTATGTCAAGATGTCAGTACCTGTCTCATGTTTGTAGAAGCTGCGCTGGATGGTAGATGTGAGGTCATGATGATTTTGGAGGCCCTCCGGCCTCAGTCACGCCGGAGGAGGATTGCTGAGACGAAGGAGCACCGTCACCGTCCTAGACGTGTTCTGGATCCCCCATAAAGCTCAAATTGTGTTTGTGAGGGTTTCATGTCGAGTCTAGATTGAGGATTCGAGGCTGCGATGGTTTTGGGGTTCGGTCTGGTTCGGGCGCGCTGTGCAAAGCCCGCAAAGGCGGAGGGCCACCACGAGGAGCTGAGGGAGGTTACCAAAAGCTCCAGTTCATTTTCCGAAGCGTGAAAAGTCTGTGACGGGCGGTGGGTACAAGTTCGTGAAGTTTTTGAAGATCGGCCGGCCTCGCGCAAGACCGGGGAGTAGCCTCAAGACATGATCCACCACCACATCGCCCCCAAAGCGTGTGCGGAGGGTGCTATAGAGCCTTCAAAGGCCTTAGGATGTTATCAAGAAGAAGGGGAGAGCTTATCGCTGGGGCTGCTGTTCACTGGTAGACTGATTCCTGCGACGTAGGCTCAGGCCGCGCCTCTCCGTGCGATTACCACCACCACACACGCCCAAAATAGCTGCGGAGGCCACAATCAGGCCTGGGATGCTCTACAGGGTCTGTGCCAGTGGCGTTTATGTCGGGGAGAGGCGTCGCTATTCAGTGACAGCCGGCCTTCTTAGAGTTCGGCGCAGATTGCGTCCCCACGCGACAGAGAGGCAGAGAGGCAGACAGGCCACGCAAGAACTCCAAAGGCTACTGGAGGATGTGATAGGGCCTGATACAGGCCGATGATATCGCTTTCGCGATGCCTACCCAAGAGTAGACAGGCCGTGGCCAGTGGCAACCGTTTTTGGTGGTAACCCGACTCGCTGACTGCCAAAACACCATCCGGCCTGCCTGGCAACATCGTGGAAAATGACACATCGACTATAAAAGCACTGTGCACATAGATGCTGGCAATCTGACAGCTCGCCCGCGCTGCGTGGCGTCGTTAGGCTACATGTCGCCCTCAACACCATGGACGAGTCGCCCTCGGCCAGAGCAACAACAATCACCAGCATCAAGTACAGCACTCACCAGCAACATGTACAGCGCTGACCAGTATCACACACAACAATCATCAACATCCTATGCAACAGTCACCAGCATCAAGTACCTCACAGCAATCGAAAGGGCTGCTATGCGACACCAAACCCCAACCCAAACAACCAAAGCAGACTTCTTCTTCAACTACCAGCACAAGGCAAGTGAGTTAATGAAAAAGATGTGCTCAATGAGCGGGCCAGCAAAAATTACGCCGGTCAAGCCCCCGAAGAGGTGAGATGACAGCCTGTCGAGCGCTGTGCAATGCCCGACAAAACCGCAGGTGTACCAGATTCATGAGCTTGGCCACCCCGACATGGTCTGTGAAGATTGTTAGCAAAGTCTGAAAGGATGGGGGGTGGAGGTGGTTGAACTTACTTGTATGAGGCTCGGAGAGTGGGCAACGGCGAATACTTATAGTTGGAGAGGAGAGCTCGCTTAACGGATCACTAAGCCGTGCACGGGCACCCGCGCAGTGTTCCGCGGCCTACACAGTGTTCTATGGGCTTCTACGCTGTTGCCTGGTGGTCTACCTGTGCAGGTGGTGCGGGTAGCTGCGGGTAGTGGTGATCCCGAGTCGACTTGGCGTGGCCCTCGCGTATCGAGATGTCTGTCACGGGTGGTTCCCAAGTTGCTGAGCAGCAGGCCAGGCACGTAGAGTTGCCTTGGGGACCAATTTGAGAGATGTGAGTCTTTACGTTTTCCTATCGGTGTGGATGGCCGACATAAAGACCTACTTGGAAGATGAAGCAGTCCCAGGCCGCCATCTCTCTGGCATAGCTCCGCGTGTAGCTTCCCTTGTTGCTCTCTGCGTTGCTCAAAATGTCTGGGCATAGTCCTTTTGATGTATCTTTGTAACAATGTCTGCCCTCGACGTGCCCTGGCATTGAGACCCGTCCGACAGTGAGTAGATTTGCCACCCCTGGGTTTGCATACTTAAATTCCGGGGGTGCGTTCAGTTTGTACCCATTGATGCACCCTCAGCATAGAAAATGGTGCACTGAGATGCATCTGCAGCATTCGAGTGGCCCGCCAACGGCGCTTGGGCCACCACGGAGAACTGACCTCGACTCGAAATATATTTGCAACCTCGCACACAACCTCTTCACGCTCATATCCAAAACGCCTTGAAGTCAGCGCTGCGCCATCGTAACCCTTTGGCATAGGCGCTTCGAGTCGTTCCTTGCATCGCTAAAAGTGGCTCCACATCCGTATATTATGACTCGGGTTGCAGCACTACAACCTAGGGTCAGCAACTCATATGCAGTAACGTATCAGGATAGCATGCTGATACAGGAGGAAGTAATAGGTAGTGCAACAGCAGTGCTGCAGCACAGTATCAGTACTGTATCAGGAAACAGGATGAATCAAGTAACGCGTCAGGAAGAGATACCACGTTATGCCCCCGGGGCTGGCCCCCCTCCTTCCCCTAGTATATAAACAACGAGCTAGACACCCATAGAAATCAGAGTTCACATCAATTTCAACCTGAGTTTATGTTTCTAACCTCCGAGACGAAGCTTGCTAATTCACAAGCTAGACTTCCGAAAGGAGTTTAAACACCTCGCATCCTTGGATTGCCTGATCGACGAAGTCGCCGCTTGGGTAAACGTCCGCCAGCAAATCCTGCTGAACGTCTCCCCCCCGATGTACTCACCGACCTCACGACTTCAAAGCTCCGGAAGTTCTGTGATATGCTTGCGACCTCGACCCGATTATTCGCGCCGAGATGCTATTCGTCTACAAGCAGTACGAGCGGGATCGCGTCGAACTTCTGCGAACCCGCAACCAGCAGCGCATCGTGAAAGCTGGCTGATCAGCGAGCTCCTCAACCACATCGTCGCGAACAGCCTGGCCCAGAAGAAGGGCGGCACGGTCAAGTATCTCAAGTTGAAGAAGCAAGGCAGATATAGACCCCAACGTTGCTGGAAGGGCGGATGGAGGCACCCCGGTGAAAGCGTCATCTACAAACCGTACAAGGCACCCGACGACAATCTGGGAGGACGGGGAAAGAGTCTGAGGGGCCAGGTTAAACACCAGAGACAGCTAGGGCGTCAGCGGGACTGGAGGTGCGGATGGCGGCAACACGGCGAAACTGTTGTCTGCCAACCGTACAAGGCACCTGACGATGACAATCTGGGAGGACGGGGAAAGAGTCTGAGGGGCCAGGCTGAACACCAGAGACAGCTGGGGCCTTAGCGTAGCTACCGGAGCGGAAGCTAGATGATGGAATGCAATATGTGCTCTATTGATCGATCGATGATGCCTTTGGGATGCTTTGACTTGTTCTCTTTGATGTGCGTCGTACAAAGCTTTCGAAATGGCCCAAGGTGCTTGAGGAAGTCTTATTGGACAATCCTCCGATCTAGACCACCGTTGACTCGAAAGTCACTACATTTCTTCAACGCATTTTGAAGTGCGCTGGGAGGCTATGAAAATTCAGCATAAATACAACACCTCTACAACTTGATTCTATGCATCTTTAGATACGTGTAGTCGGAGACCTTCTAATCGTAGTTCAATTTTGGTCCACAGTTGCATGTGAGTTAAGTAACGCGGCCAGGCAAACTGAAAAGTTACTTGAAAACCTTCTTGCATTACTGTTTCCTTAACGCTTCCATTCTCAAGAACGTACTACGGATCATGTGCCTGTAACCCCGAAAACCCAAACCGTAATCCAACGGACAAGAGAAGTCGTGTAACTGCAGGTGCCGATTGCTGAACGTTCTAGGAGCAAATTCGTCGTTTCCATGCTGTGCCACACCGTCCCCAAGCCAGACAGAAGTCGCGAAAACTGTTCCCAGATCACCGTGCCGCCGTGTAAGCCATGCCCGCCATGTCGCCACCCGCTCAACGGTGTCGTCTGTTGGGCGTAAATGCTCGGAACAGTGATCATAACCCGCAGATGAAATGGCTTCCAGAGTAATAACAACTGCTTCTGAGCAGACCATGAAGATAATCTTTCAATGTTTCGTGCCCACATTTGGCAACATAAGTCTTCGTCTCAGCATATCCCAAGCCTCGTTGTGACGGCAATCATCTTCTTGCAACGTCTCCACTGCCTCTAGCCAGATCTAGTCGTTCCGTAATCCAAGGGCGCTGCATGCGTACGAGGTAGGGTAGTATGTAGTGTCCCGAGGGGGCAGCTTCAGCTGGCGCAGATGGGTAGGTTGTTCGAGGATATTCCTGGCCGTTTCCAGCTTCACGGCCCCTGCGGTATCCCAATTCCTCCTGTAGACTGATGTGGTATCTCTGCTTTTGTGTGCGGATTGGCTGCGTTGGTCAATGTCTTTCACGGTGTTGACATGGCTGCATTCCACTCCCAAGTGCTGCGTGCTATGGCGTTGCATAATGGCATTGAAAATTTGAGGATCTAGAGTGGAAGAGGAAGAGGATGACACCTCAAAGCCTGTAGACGATCGTGTGCTGGTTTCCTCGAGTTTTGTAAGGCTGGAATTCACCCATGAGCTGGTTCTCAACGGGCTGGTCCTCGCCGCCTCGTGGCAGTCGGAGTGCAAACGGCGTGCTAGTGGGTCGTCCTGGGGTGCAGCGTGGAGAGAAATGTCCATTGGAAGCCCCTTTTGGTTAAAGTCCGTCCAAACAGCGTCTGGGGAGTGTCATTCATTCATGCTGGTTGGAGCATCCTGAACTTGACCCGCGATTTATTCTTGGTTTTACCAACCGGCCATGGACGAGAGGTTTTCCAGTGAGACCATCGGGACACACATTGAAAGGCTGCTGGCTCCACTGGTCTGTCGCTTCGACCGCCGGAAGGCTGATCCCCGCTGCTAACTCCGCCGTAGCCACCCGCGCTGAAGTCGTCGATGTCGTCGCCGGTGTGACCGGCGTGGGTGCGGTCGTTGCTGTGGCTTTGTCCGCTTAGCTTGCTCCTCATCGATCTTGTGTCCGTCATCAGATACAGCGATGATGCGGCTGTTGGGTTCGGCGGTGTAGGACTGCGCCATAATGCTGGCATGCACACCCTGCGTGTCTTCTATACCGGAAGCTTTCGTGAGATCCAGTTTCATGTTGGTTTCCGGGTGCTTGGTGGTAGCCACAATCTTCCGCGGGGTGAGGATAGTTTTCTTAGAAGTCTTCCATGAGCCAACCGCTTTGTAGCTGAAATCCGCGTTGAAGCCTTCGTCGCCTATCAAGATGATCTGCTCCTAGGCTTCAAGTAGCGCCCCGTCACTACGTCTACGGCGGCTCCGGGCCAAGGTGGCAATGGAGAGTCGGGAAGGGGCCTCCCCAGCCACCTCCGAATGCTGGTTTCCTTGATGGAGAAACACGATGCAGGCTTCTTCTGCCTGCTTGTCGACGAAGACCGTCTGTTGCTGGTGCTCTTCTTTCCGGACTGGCTGCTCCGGACTTTTGGCGAGTAGCAGCTTTGATGGCTTGAAAGCCTCGGTCTGCATTCGAGCTGTACGCATAGTCTGTGTATATCCTAGGGACGAAATTTCGCAGGATAGAGGCTGAAGGCGGAGAAGGAAGGCGGCTGTTCGGAGATATCTGCGAGAAGGCACAGCCGGAGGAATCGAGAGGGTCGCCATACGAGTGGCTTAGTAGATGGCTGGCATTGTATATTCATCCCCTTCGTTATCGAAGCTGCGTCCGTACGTAGTGGAAGAGGGGATGGAGTGGGCATTGTCGAAACGGCGGGTTCAACCTTGCGACAGCGGGCGGAGGAGGGCTCTATTGTTGATCGTGGCGATCGTCCAGTGCATTTCAGCGACGACTCCCAGATGGTGTCCACCACCTAGAGCTCAATTCCACAAGTAGGGAGCTGATTTCGTGATGTTGTGGGCTTGTGTTCCGGCTCGGTGCGGGAGTTTGAAGAGTCGACGAGGCGCCGCCTGGGGGTCAGTTGGAGGGGAGAGATGAGTCTATTCGAACCTACGTAGCCATACTGCGAGAGGATCTGGCGTTTGTTTTGCCGTGCCACTCAAGGACAGATGGAACATGCTCTTCATGGGCAACCAACGGGCGGCGCAGGGAGCAGCGTAACCCAACGCCATGCCCACGCCACACAGTGCGCACGGCAGTTCACGGGGTAAATGGGAATCCTCCTCGAAACTCTCCTTCTAGAGCTACAGCGGGTATCGCATCACTTCAGTGGCAGACGGGCACTGCTCGCCGCAGGCCGAGCCTGGACGGCGCATGCAGGGACGTAGAATTCACGCCACGACCACCAAATCAACTGCTGAAGGCAGCGCAAGAGGCATGGAGCTCCACTTTACTTCGAAAGCCACGTAGAAATACTATTGAGGTCATAGCAGTTCACTGGCGGCTACGCACCGCTCGTCGCCAGCTCGTGTCCAAGAAGCCCATGGCAGCCACAACGTCTCCACGCCACAGCCACGGCGCAGGGTATGGGGATATGAAGCACCACAGCTTGCATTGGACGCGTTTCAGTCTCATGGAAAATTGATTGAGCACTGCAGTGGATCAGTGGCGGATGAGAGCTGCTCGTCGCCGCCGACCTAGGGCAACACTGGCGTACAGCCACGCGGGCGGACAGCCACGTAGGCTTCTACTCTACAGCAAGCTTCGCGGAGATTACAGTGGACGCTTGTGTATCCTGTCTCTGCGCGCAGGTCTTCGCAGCCTCAAATGTCCGTCGTTGACGTCCGCGGTGCGCCGCGGCGTGGACGCGTAGCTCAACACCACACGAGTCGCGACAGCACACCACAACATAGACTCAAGACAAGGACAAGGCAAGGCAACGGCAAGAAGCCTTCAAGTCACAGCAAGTCACAAGAGAACAATCACAAAGAAACTCTTCTTCGAGGTCCCAGCAAGCTGAGAAGCTCAATGAAAAGACAAAGTGGAGTGCAACCTCAGCAGGATATCGAGAGAACATCTTCTCTCCCTGCCCAGAGGCAGGCAGCCCTAGCCTGGTGTATTAGCGAGTCGAATTGGAAAGAAGGGAGGAGGGATCACTTATCTTTTTTCATTAGGGAGCCACGCGGGACAGAGCCTAGACAAGGTCAGCAAGTTGATCATGAAGGGAGGTCAGTCACTTATCTTGGCTTGGTTGTTGGCCCGAAGGCAGAGGAAGGTCTGTAGGAGAAGTGTAGTTAGCCATCCAATTCTTGAACAGTTAGTTAACAAAATACGAAAGCAAAAAAAAAATCCTCCTCTTTCTGGCGACGGTGGCTGGTTGAGGTTGTAAATTCTGGAAGGAAGAGCTGCTGATATAGTCGAAAAGTTGCGGCGGCGCTAGTGACTAATCAATGACTAATGTGGTCCGTGTGTCTCGTCCGTTTAACAGTGTCCGGTCCCCGTGTTGTGCAGTATGTGGAGCTGGCCCGATAAGTGCAAAGGTGGTGGCGGGAAGTCAGGTGGAGAGATCATAACGGTGCAGAGAAAAGTAGGATTCCTTGCCCGTTTTGCAGCGCTCAACCGCATAAGCATCTAGCACATAACAATTATTACAAGCAGACTAGGTCTTGAAAATGTGGAAATGAGAGTACAAACCATCCACTAGAATAGTGAACGGTTATTCAATTCTGCTTGCTACTATAAGTTGTCGATGGTCTGTGGCACGACCAGAGAACTCATGCTGGAATATAAGAGATCACGATGTCCTTTCAAGACTGAAGGGTACTATCCAAGGTCCCACACAGTCCTTCCCCCCCTCGCCCCGCCCACCTATTTTGTTGCGTGTATGGAATGAGGCTACGCTATTGTAAATATCTGACTCAATCTACTCTTAGACCATCTATATTTTCAGCCCCGCAGGAACCCGTTTTTGCGTCTTTTCAACGCCAATTTTCGATGGGATAGATCCAGAGTAGACAACGTGGTAGCATCGCATCGCTACAAAAGTGCTCAGGACTTCGATGGTGAATCAACAATATCGGCTGCGTTGTTCACCACCACAAGCAGAGGACAATGACGTCACCGACAGCGTGTCTGAAGGTCAGTAGGAATCCTACATGACTGTTCACATTCATTGTGTCGCCCAGATTCCTCGCGATGAGTCCCGGTGCCGTACACAATCCCGGTGTTGTGGCTGGAATAGACCTGCAATCCACGCACAACAGTATACACACCTCCCTGACCACAACTTCACACCACACCTCTCAAAGTCACCACGATCTTTCAAATCGAATTTGTTAACAAGCCCCGAAATGCCTGTTAAGCTGGTCTACCCGGAGTTTGAGGCCAAGATGAGCGGCGCGGCGATGGTACTGCATAATCTGTTCGCTATGTCCGGATCTCCCCTTGCTCCAAGTCATCACGTTCTGGTTACGAAGAACTTGACTCCTCTCCCAGTCTCCCTCGACCCACTTACAGTCATGCAGTCTCCCACCCAGGCCGGAAATACCAAACTGACATCTACCTCCGTGGCAAATAACATTGACACAACGTCTGGCTCCCAGACAGAGGATTCCATTCGGCGATCTCCACTCGCCACTTTCTTAACGGAGTCGGACCGATATGTGCCAATATTTGACGGAATCACATGCTCGCTGCCAGTGTCGGGTCTCTTAAACCTGAAGCTTGTGAGCAAAGACTTGCAGGATGTGTACGTCAAAGCCCAGAAATCGCAGTGGAACGCAGACAAGGCTCTTTTCCACTTCTTCAAAGATCCGACGGGGTTCCGCGACAAGCTTGGAGAGGTATCTGGGCTGATTTCCGGTATATTTGTACTTCAATTCTTGGACCGCGCGCCCATTGGAAACATGCTAGACCTGTACGCCACCTACGGCCCTCAAGCTGACGCGTTGGAGAAGTACCTGATCGAGACGGAAGGCTACTTTGTCAGCGCAGAGGAAACTGCACCAGTTCCGACAAACCCAAACATATCGCGATCACGCAAGGCGCAGACATTTCGCCGTGCTCGGAACGAAGGGCTTCACATCTACCTTAGTCACACCAACTCCGCTCCGTTGTTGGACATTCTTCGGGGCGATGCGTACAGCACCGCGACGACTGCGATCATGACGGCAACAAAGGTCTACGCTCCTTTTGCGAACATGACGTTCAGAAGCGATAAGGCCTACATACTCCGCAAACTCGACGAGAATGCTCAAACGCACCTGATAGACATTGAGCAGACGGGTCGCGAGGTCCTCGATATCCGCTTCAAGGATAAGGGAATGGCAAAGCATCGCCACTTGAATGACTCCAGATGCTGGGTGATGAACCTGGATACGTCTAAGCTCGCGACACCCGCCATTCCTGATTACGTCTATGATAACACCGAGTTCTTTTTCACCGACAACCACCACCGGCTCTCCCCTGCCGAGAACCGCGACGGCCCGCTTCATTACAATTGCCTGCTAAGCCCGCTTATGCACCCGGGACTCAAGTACCCTTGGCTTGGCTGCTTCGATGCAGAACATCGAAAGAATGCCATCGTACGTCGGCTCGATGCAGTGGTTTGGGCGGAATTATGGAAGCTTCGAGACCAGGATCGACCGATCAATTGGGCTGAGATGATGCGGCGGCCTATGCTGGTGCGCGATATGACTGCCTATGCGGGAAAGACATTCGACGAGAAGGTGCCGGAGTGGATCAAAGAGCTTGATGAGCTGAAGTCGGAGGGAGAGGACTAGTTGTCACAAGAACGAGGTAGGTATACGGGGTCGCTGCGCGGATGATGCTGTTGGCGGTGGACTCGAGACGAAATCGCATAGTCACGGCTATCCCAGCTTGTAAATCAGCTGTAGATGATTTTTTGTCTGGGAATGGACATCTTGGGGGTGCAGCGATGCCTAAATACGTAAATTAGGCTGATGTGCATGCCAGTTGCAGTCCAAACCGGAAATCAAAATAAGACTCCTTAGACCTCATAATTCAGCCTGGCTCTGCCGCTACTGCTGGTTCAGATGCAATAATGATAGACTGTGTAGTCCTCGTGAATGTCAATGCTGTCAGCGGTGAAAATTAGAGGTCATATCGAGGCTCTTCTAACATCGGTAAAATGCAAGCAGAACTTCGTCTCATTACATATAGTTTCAAAATATCTTTGTTGCTACTGCTCTTCCAGAAGCAGGATCTAACGACAAGTAATTATAGTGATTATCCACGCTATCGGCAGTAAGGCCTAGGACCATGTTGAGACTCCTCAGACGTCATTAAGAGACAAGTAAGGCTTCGTCGTATGTTACTCAATTCCAAGTCTGCTTTCCTGCCACTTCTCGCTATCTGAGCCACCGAGTATGCCTTCCGAACGGCGCTGGATAACACTCAAGAACTTCGCACCGTAAAATAATTCTTAGGTCTCGCCAAAACACCTCAAACTTTGGCGAGCGAGTGTGCCCACACGACAGCATGTTTCACTGGAAAGTCCCCAATTTTGGTGAATGTCGTGGTCAATAGCGGGATTGTCTATACCTGTGCTGCCTTGGCTGCATAACATGAGCTCCAAGTGCCGGGTGAAACAGTCCATATTATGGAATCAGTCATCGACATTCACTGAGGGTGTTCGTGGGCGAGCTGTAGATAATACTTGCACCGTCGTCTACTCGCCAACCACGCTACACCCTGCAACCACGAGCCTCACTTCCAACCACCAACATGTCGACCATTTCGAATGTTTCTCAATCCGATCAGTCTTTGAACTCACGTTCGCCTCTGTTTGATTTCCTTGCGAAACCCAACCAATATGTGCCAATCTTCGATGCCATCACACGTGCCCTCGAGCCTACCGATATCATAACCCTAGGTCGCGTCAGCCGAGACCTTCGCGGCGTGTACCAGAAGTGCAAAGATACACAATGGAACATCAATATTGCGCTGAAGAAGTTCATCAAATATCCTACACAATTCAGGAGCAAGCTCGGCCAAGTGTCCGCTTTCATCTCCGGCGTCTTCGCTCTAGACTTCTTCGATTGAAACCCTGTCAACGATGTGATGGATTTGCACGTCCGCATGGGGGAAGAGGGCGATGCTCTCGAAAAGTACTTGACCGAGACTGAAGGCTGGAGACAGTACAACAGTCTTGTCTACCCACCAACGAGCTCTTCCAAGTTCCAAACACTTGAACATCCCATGCACATGGAGCTCTGCATAGTCATCATTCAGACCAAGGACCCTCCGCTATACAACGTTCTTAAAGGGTACTGGTGTACAACCGCAGAGACCGCTTTCATCACGGCGACGAAAGCATACGCCCCTTTCGCGGATATGACGCTCAAGACGAAGAAAGCCTACCTCCTGCGCGCTCTTGACGCCCAGCCCAAACGCTGCATAACAGATGTCAAGGCCAGAGGGTACGAAGTGTTGGATATGCGCTTCCGGGACAGAGGGAAAGTTCGAGTTCAGCGACTAAATGACGGCTCGTCGTGGATCATGAAACTCGACACCACCGATGTAGAGCCGCCGTCTGTTCCGGATTGCGTCTTCGACCACGCGGAGTTCATCCTTACCAGCAGCACGAATTGGTACGGCCCACTCCACTACCAGCCCATGCTGCGGACGTTCAAACATGCCGCACTAGCTCACACTTGGTTTGTAACTAGCTCGGGTCGGATGGAACCAATCGCACGCCGATTAGACGCAATGTTGTGGATGGAGTTGTGTGAGCTCCCTAAGAAGGATCGTCCAACAAATTGGGACGAGTTGAAGCGGAGGAAGGAGTTGTTGCGGACCATGACGAGTTACGAGGGCAAGATGTTTGACGAGAAGATCCCGGAATGGCTTGAGGAACTCGACGACCTGTTGCCGCGGGGGGGGAGGAAATTGGCTTATCTGCTGGCGAAACTGCTCGGTCGCTTTTAAATGAAGTAGTCGGTCTTTTTCGGCTGTGAATTCGGACTGGATTTGATGATGATTTGATATGGGATTTGATATTCGGTTTCCTTGAAGGATATCCAAATTTGGCATTCGTTTCTTTTACCAAATTGGAACCCCACTTCCGCTACTCCCAAGATCGCGAAACTTAGTAGACTTATGGGCGCTAGAAGTAGCCCGGCGGGGTAATCAGAAGTTATTTCGAATGCCAATCCTTGCTATGCATGAACGAGGCTTCGATTAGTGGTATTCCAATTTTCATTTGCGATAGATAAGACATTTCTCGGAACATGGCTTACACTAGAAAACTTAGTAAAGCTCGGTGGATACTTAAATCGCTTCACAAAGGACTTCAGAAAATGGCTATAATGCTTCACGAACGTCTAATGATAGCTTCAATTGAGTGTCCTGTACGTTTCAAGCTACGAGATAACCCCTTTTACACTTAGCTTGATACACACTTACAGACTCGTCACATCGTCTTTTTAATTGATCTGTATTTACAAGTGGCCTCAAAAGGTGGCGTCAGCGTTGCAGGGAACGCCGGAACGGGCTTCGATTGACTATTCCGCGCATTCTCAAGCTGTATGGTAGCCACTTTAAATGTTGACTCGATGCACCCTTACAGATTCGCTATATTATCTCTTCATTCAATGTTATCCACGAAGGGTCTAAGCAGCAGCGTTAGCGTGGTAGGAAGTGAAAGGAAAGGGCTTTGTAGATGCTGAAGTCGAGACCGACTGCAGGCGTTTTACACATATGAATTTCCACCAGAACACGCATTTGTGCGATTCATTTGTAGTATTCACATAGTCACCGTAGAATATGTCTCTTCGGTCATATATTTAATCCTAGCGTCAAGATCCTCAGCCTCTCCATCGTCCACCACAACCACCAACAAGCACCAGGACCATCAACAAAGCACCAGGACCACTAACAATGCACCAGGACCACTAAAAATGCACCGATCCCACTAACAATGCACCAGGACCACTTATAAAGCACCAGGGCCACTTATAAAGCACCAGGGCCACTTATAAAGCACCAGGGCCACCAAGAAAACACCAGGACCATAAAAAATACCCCACAATCCAAAAACTGCCTTGGTGTCCCACCCTGTATCCAACATCCAACAACATCCGAGTCCGCAGTACCATACATTCAACACAGTCCAGCATGGCCACCACCCAGCCTAACCGGCTCGTCGAGTTTCTTACGAACCTAGATAACGGCTACGAGATCTTTGAGTCTATAACCCGTCAGCTATCGCCAATGGATCTGGTTAATCTTCGCCAGACCTCGCGTGACCTCCAAACAGCATGCGAGACAGTTGTGGCAACGCAGTGGAGTATCAACAAGGCCCTGCGGAAGTTCGTCAAAGACCCGACGGCGTTTCGGAATACGATGAGCCTAGAACACAGCGTCATCTCTGGAGACTTTGCCTTGAGGTTCTTTGATCGGGCTGCCCCTGGCAACGTCCTCGATCTATGGACGAATACGGAAGTCCGAGGCTCGCGGATGGAGAAGTGCCTACTAGAAGAGGGATACAAAGCAGATAACGACCAGCTGGTTCTGGGAAAGACCGGAGAATGGGAGGTCTACGATATCATATTTACTCGACCAAGCCATAGAGGCGACGGACCTAAAATCCATTTCCACATGTGCCGCGCTCTTCCAACTCTGCATATCCTCCGCGGATACCAGGAATGTACTGCCTTGGCTAATATCATCACTTCAACAAAGGCTTATGCCCCGTTCGCAAATCTCACATTCACAAAGCATCGTTCTTACGTGCTCTACCCAGACAGGGAGTACCCACGGATCGGTATTAAGCAGTTCTCGCCTAGCTTTCTCGCGATAGTCAACAAGTCCGGCCGGCCGAACGTGGATGTAACCCTAGTCGACGAGCGGCGGCTCACCACAGCTAGCGGTAACCGCGCACCCGAGATGCGCTCCCTCAGCGACAGCCAGACATGGACCATTCCTCTTGACCCAGAAGGGATCACGCCCGATTTCGTTACGGATGCGAGCGAGTTCAGTATCAGCACGGCGCAAATCTGCTGCCTTTACAGGTCCGACGTTGTTGAGGCCAAGGACCGGTGGGTGCCCCGGACGCGCAATCCGTGGGTCTTTCTCGCTGGCCCGAAGCACGACTTCATCGCCCGGTAGATTGAAGCGGGCTTGTTGCTGGAGTTCGTCGAGCGAGTCTCTGATGAAACACTATAGCAACACGGCATTGAGGAGCTTATGCAATCTGAATCCTATTTTGACGACGTTCATCTCACGAACCGGGCCACGTTCGACGAGATGGTGCTAATTTGGTACAAGAAGCTGAGGCGACGAAGAAGGTGGTGCGGAAGTAAGGCCAAGTTGGACTATCTGGGGTAATGAGGGGGCTCATTGACTCCACCTGTCCCTTTTGCGAAGGTGCATGGGTGTGGGACTTACTTTGGCGGCGTGCTTCTGATTCTTGCAAGATGTAATCTTTCCAAGCTTCGTATCAGCTGGCAGGGTTGTGGCATCACATATTTATTCTGGATAGCTCTATAAAGAACTCCAAACAGTACCCTTCTTGTTTCAAAGATGACTCGTCGAGACTATGAACTTGTATTTCAAGTATTATCTATTGCCAAACCGTGTCGTTATCGTGATGATCCCCTTCTTGAGTGACAGAAGCGCTGAGAGTAGTCTAACCGTGAGCCAGTCTCCTAATTCCTAGCCCCACAACATCAGCCTAGCGAATGTCGAACGGTCCCATGATAATCGCCATCGCCCAGTCCTGAGTGAATATAGGATGCGCTATCAACATCATCGAGAGCAAGTCCGGCGTCTTCTCCCACTTGACCTGCAACGCGCCTACCGCTACTGCTCTACCGAGCGAGCTTTGAGCGTTGACGTTATTGGAGTAGAACAAGTCGATTGCGGGGAGCATTGCCGATGCGTAATCTTTGGCTTTCTGTACAATCTCGCCACTCAAGACTGCATTACGGCTGGTGCGGAGTCGGGTCGCATCTCCCAATAGTGTGATGGCCGTCTTCGTGAAGGCTTGCGCGCAGATTTCCTGTAGTTCCGGCATGAGGAACTTGTCTGCAACACGGTGAACGTGAATATGGAAGAGAAGCTGCGCCACGCCAATCATGCCATCCGGCGTCTCGTAGTCCCCCCCAGTGTACATCCACTTTAGTGCGATTTCAAAGTATTTGGGGTCCTCATCCTGTAAGTCCATGGTCTTATTGTTTGCTTCCTAGGGACCCTACGCATTAACTGCGTTCGCATCCTGCTAGGACGGGTGAATACCGTACCATGAAGCCGCCCAAGCAGGCCTTCTCGATGAACTCGGAGTGGGTGGCGAGGACGTTGCGGTGAGCGGGGTATTCACCAACGTTGCCCTCCGCGTCGTGGACCCGGAGGAGCACGTCGGACAGGCTGGTGTTGTTGAACAAGCTGTCGATTGTGAATGATAGGCTTTCCGTGTAGCACAAGAAGCAGGCTTACTCAGGCATTGTCAGCATAGCGGCTGCTAGCTGGGCAAGGTGTTTACTTTGCGGGAGATGGTCTGCGTGATGCGGTATGTGGGAGGTAGTGTGTGAGAGGCGGAAGAACATCTTCGTAGCTTTAAGGTAGGCCTGTCGCCGAGCCGCGAGCCGCAAGTAGCAACACTAGCGTATAGCGTGCTCTTTGGTGAATCGATATACCAATAACCCAACGCCCAAAACATGAGTGACCTGCCTAGGTGAATCAAAAAGCAAAAAAAGTTTGCCTCGTAAGGACTTTGAGCCGATACCGCTGTGGGGCTCGAACCCGGCTCCCCCCTGTTCTGCAATGGGAGAGTGTGAAGAAGACTAGTAAACTGTTAGCGAAGTTCTTAACCGCCCCACCAGGGAATAGGTAAGGGCGGGAGACAGTCGAATTTTCAGGAACTATATGCGTAGGAAGTCGCAAGGATAATGCACTGGGTGGACGGCTTCTAAGTCCAAGAGGTTGGGAGCCAGAGGCGCGTACTTCACTCTGGAGTTGAACGTTAGAGTGTTTTATATCATCACAATATCATACGACGGATTGACATGCGAGCTTAGGGCAGAATGTGTTTTATATTGACAGTGCGCATAACCATCTAAAGCCTTTCTGAACATCGATCTACCCTTAGGAAAAACATAACCCATGCATAACTCCACGACTAGTACGTTGACCGCGTTTCAAACCCGCAAGTTGGAGACTTCCTTCGAACTCCTATTTACACTTCCAGAGCGGTAATAATGAATCTCCAATTTATGAGGTGGTGTGAATCCTATTAGAGTTCCCGTTTTATAGAAGAAGAGCGGATTTACGAAGCCCGGAAATGACAGGGCCATTTTCTAAAGCCGAGAACACCAGAAGCCCCGTCAGATCACTGGGTAGCCTATCAGACACACACTCAATGGTTTCAATTCAAGTTGATAGATTTAAGAGAAAGGTAAACTACGTGTTAACAATAGACACCTATTCCACTGCCCCGGGAAAGGAACGAGAACCGTGAAACGTGCGTAGCCAATCCGGTGCAACATAAAATTTGAGAGCAAATAGTTCCTATCTCCAAGGTTTGGTTCTAAGATCTTGAGGTGAGATTCCCAAATGCCAACAAGGCAAATTCTTTATTCTGCCACGTCGACATCCCCAAGTCAACCTTCATCGATGTGCTGCTACCCTAGAGCAGCTCTAACCAGACTTCGAATATTGCATACGTAACCAGTAATGCTCAGATTATCAGTGCGGGTATTAGAGAACTAGGTTCCTCACCTCCGCCGTCTTCTTCAGGCCCCCTCGATGATTGACCTCGACAGTGTAGTCTGTGGCGAAATGAGGGTAGGTTTCGATAAGCAGGTCTAGCTCCTTCTGTATGTCCTTGAATTTCAGCTCTAGAGCCGTGCTTGAAACTGCCCGCCCCATTGCCGTATTCTTCCTCACTTCCTTTTCAGCGTAGAAGGTATCAATAACAGCGAGCATGCCACAAAGGATCTCCACCAAATTAGGGTGCTCGAGGTCTTTGTTCTTACCATCCATCTCACTGGCGTCAGGGTCCCCCCGGAGGCATTAAATGCCCTCCGTTTACTTGTAGATGTGGTCTTCGCCTGCCATCTCTTATTGGGAGAGCCCGAATCTGATAATAAACTTCATGGCGGTGGATGCCCACGCAAATGGGAAGAAGTCGCGTTAGGGGTAATACTTACATGCACAGAACGTGTACTGCCGGCAGTGATGTGTAAAATTTGTGTCATGCGAAACGCCTATGGAATGCTCCTTTCGCGCAGAAGAACGAAGTGAATTCCTAAAACCTAAGCGACGATCTCTAGCTGCTGAATGTGTGGCTACACCCTAGTCTGTGCTGCCAAAGCAATCTCATGCCAGTGCGAGGTGTTCTTCTCCATATTGTTGAGGCAAAACTCTTCGATGGTACAGCATTAAGAGATACGTTTGGACACTGCTTGCAACTGGATGGGGTAGCCCGAGCTCCTCTGGAAGGTCTGAATACGATGTAGAGATCAACGCAGAGGGAATTAGACTTCCTTTCGACTATTCAAAGAAATGTTACCTAGGACACTCTCAAGGGTCAAGCCAGAGCGGTGGTCTATCCGTGTGCCTACTCTTATGGCCTAGTACTGTAGATATACGTCCTTTATGAACCGACTCGGTGAAAATTGTCTTCGTCTGGAGACTAGCCCTCTGTAAAATTCGGACTTGAGGTAGAAATGGTAGAATGGCGGAGGCGCCAATTGTTCTTTGCCGGGACTGTTCATTAAGCGAACAATCGTGTAGAGAATGTTCACCACAGTGGGAAAATGGGACTAGTTATGACCCGCGTCCTTCACTATTTCTCCCTTCACTACACTGTAATTTGCTAGTTATAAATCGAAGTGGACGGCCATTCCAATTTCTCTTCAGCACAAATGCTCATTCACAAACTGCTCCTCAAGTCACTTCTTTTCAAACTTCGACCCGACAGCATGTCCATCCCGCAGCGCAACGCCCGTCGCCATGCCCACCACGTGGGACCGACCATCCGCTTCCGCCTACCATCCCTGCCAAACGCAATGCCGATCTCCTACGAGCAGGATCTCCTAGAGGAGAGGCAGCGCGCGCGTGTAGCAAGACAACGAGCAGTATTTAGGATGAGAGTAGACTCCATCGACTACTTTCTAAGGGATGATGAAGACCACTTCCGAGCACTCGGCGTCCGCTACTTCTCCACGACGCCTCAGGCACGTGACAGGGCTCTAGCCCCTCTCCTTCCCTTCTCTAGACCCTTCGAAGTTCCTCAAGAACGCCAAGATGAAGAAGAAGGCGAATTATTCACACACCACCGCTACGCCCGCCAGTTCCTCTTGTCAGCTCGAGCGACTTGGCCGGAACCTCGCGCCTACAACATCCTCCGCCGCGCCCAATTCTGCCAGAACAAGTTTTGGCGACAAATGTCACAATTGGAACGCCTGGTAGTTGCAATTGAGAGAATAGAGAGCACAATGGGTCGGAATGACACGGACCATCTCCGCATAATCGAGGACTGGGAGGGAGAGGGCTTGTGGGTAGATGAGCGGGTTCGGGAGTGGGTCAGCAGTCTGCCTGAGACAGCACAACAGTTGCGTTTGGGGCTTAGTATGGACCGTATCGTCACGAACTTGTTCACAGGAGAGGTAGAACAAGAGGAGTAGTGTTGCTGGGGAGTGGCGGATTCCGGGGGTAGGTAAAAAGGTGATTATGAGAGCTCAGAGTAGCTGTAGCTCTGCACTGCTTGGAAGGCATGTTAGTTGACATAGATAGCAATTGGATATCATTAACTAAGTAATTGCTGCACAGATGACGCCGTGTGAGGTACCTCAATGAGCTTCATTTTGAGGAGCTGTTGATAGTTGACACGTGATGCTGGTGTCTGAAGTGCCCTAATTGGCTGAGAATCTTGAAGAGAGAATGTCAAATGCCGGAGGGCTCAGATTGCATCGGGTCGATTTACGAGGGTCTGATAGGTCGTTGGTACCGTCTGAAGTGGCTCGAGAGGGCTAAAAACTGCAGCATAGGATGTCAAAAGCACAGACGCTAAGATCTCACGGGATGGGCACACAAGGGTTTGGTAGGCTGTTAGTACCGTCTGAAGTGGCTTGAAAGGGTTGAAATATGCACGATCACAATGTTGAAAGCGTGGACGTTCAGATCTCACGAGGCCGATTTGCGTCATCCTGACAGGCACTTGGTACCGTCTGAAGTGGCCTGAGATGTCCAAAAGCTCTTAAGCACGATGTTAAAAGCCAGAGTACCCAGATCTCACATTGTTGCTTTCCCAGGGGCTAACAAGTGGTTGATGCCGGCTGAGGTGTCTCGAAAGGCTTTAAAAATGCACGACAGGATGTCAAAAGCACGTGATCACAGATTGAGCTCCCTTTTGGGAGGGGAGATAGTGAGTTGAGGCCGGCATGTAAAGGTATGTAGTTGCGCAGTCTTGAAGGAATTAAACCGTGATTCGTATCGTCACGAGCCTGTTCGTAGGGGCCCAGAGCAGGTGTAATTCTGGTGCCGTTTGGACGGCATATTTCGTGACATAGCTTGCGTTTCGACAATTATTAACTAAGCTGTTGGTACACAGCTGACACCGTCTGAGGTACCTCGACAAGTATATCAGAAATAGGTCAAAGACAAATGTCAACTTAGGATCAGCGTTGCGCCCATGCTCAGGTTCACCTTTGACCAATTTCTACTGCACTCATTGAGGTACCTCAGACGGTGCCATCTATGTAGCAAGCACTCCGTGGATGGTTGTAAATAGCTATCTACGTCAGCTGACATGGTGACCAGCTGTTCCAAACCCGCCCGTCCCTTCTCGCCAATTTCTGAGGTGCTCCGGTAATTCATAGAAATCCAGACGGGACGTAGAAGCTCAAATAACGCACATTGGAGTAGTCCTCAATCGACTAAGTAGTCGGTATCCTTAGAGGCGGTTTAGTATATCAAAAAGGTTCGCAAGAGCATCTAGGATTTACGGTAAATTGAAGCGTCTAAACAAATGTAAATGTAAATAGGAAGTAGAAGTTTATGCAGCGTAAATTAGAACAGCCCCAAGCGCGTTGAATTAACTGAGTAAACGATATGTTTAGAGGTGGTTCGGTATATCGAAGAGGGTTGCAAAGGCGTTTGGGATTAGCGGTGAAATGAGGTGTATAAACGAAAGTTACTCTAGATGGGAAGTAGGAGTTCGGAGGGCATATATTGGAGCAGTTCCTAGCCTATCTATTCGACGGAGTATACGGTATCGCCAGGGGCGGCCCAGCTATTATGGAGCCCTGCAAAAATGACTGGGATTAGCAGCAATATAGAGTGCACAATCATATGTGAGTTCAAATGGAGAGTAAAAGTCGGACAATGCGAATTGGAGCCATCCCTAACATATCCACTCGACTGAAATAACGATATATTCAGGGGCGGTCCAGCTATTATAGAAGAACGCAAGAAAGGCTATAATTAGCGGCAATATAAAGTACATAAGTAGAAGGCAGTCCAGATAGGATGTAAGCGCAGCACTGCACATATTAAGGTAGTTCCTAGCGTATCCAACCAACTGACTTAGCGATATACTCAGGGGCGGTCCAGCTATTATAGAGGCCTGCAAGAATGGTTGTAATTAGCAATAATATAGAGTGCATGAATAAATACAAGTCTAGATAGGACGTAAAAGTTAAACAGCATAGATTAGAGCAGTGCCAAGCGTATCCAATCCACTAAGCGAATGATATAGTAAGGGGCGGTTGAGCATCTTCAAGGGTCGTGCAAGGAAGGTAGCAATTAGCGGCAATATAAAGTACACAGACAAACGTCCTAGAATTGTGATAACTTCTCACACCAGCTGTGACTGTATTAAACGCATTGCTATCCTCAAGCTACGTCTGTTTCATGTTACATATCCTACAAAGTGACCCGTAATCCGCTACGCCAAGCATCTCCCCGTCTACACCGCGTTCTGACGCGTAGTCTCTAGGGCAAAGTCTAGGGCAAAGAGTGGGTGCTTCTTCAGCATGTCCTGCAGCCCGCCCACCCTGTCCTGCGTCCACACCGCCTTCTGGGCCAACTTCACCACGCAGCGTCCAAGCTTCGAGTCCCCCTCCGCATTCATCTCGTAGTATGTATCGGCAGCGGCAAGCAGAGCATCCTGGAACTCTTCACTCCTCGTATCAAGATCGAGATAGTTGGTCGCGTCGTGGTGGAAGCGGTCCACGCAATGCTGGACAAGATCCGGAATGATGTAGAAGTCGGCGACGCGGTGGAGCAGGATGCTGTCTTCGAGGACCTCGGTGAGGGTGTCTTTCTCTCTGTCGTCTTCATCTTCCTCTTCGGTGTACATCCACTTCAGCGCCATCTCGAAGTATTTGAGGTCTACTTCCTTGAGCTGGACGACCTTCTCTTCAGCCTCCTGGAGGCATTGTTAGTCAAGAAAACAGCTTGTTTGAGGTGTGGCACCTACCATGAAGCCTTCTTCTTGGAACATCTTCTTGAAGTAGGCAGACTTGGTGACTAGGACCGTTCGGTGGGCGGGGAACTCCGCGACATCGCCGTCCTTGCCGTGGACTTCAAGGAGTACGTCCGACAGCCACTTGTTCTTGAACAGGCTACAAGAGTGTAAGCTATTGTCCAGGGGGCGTCGATTGCTGCACTCACTCTGCGTTGCTCGCTAGCTGCGCGATGTTGGCCATCTTGCTGCTGTGTACGGGGTATGTGTGCTGTGGGAAGGGATCACCGGGGCTGTGGTCGGGCTGCTGGTGTGGAGGAGGTTCAGGAGTCGGAGCTGTATGACAAGGACGCGGGCAAAGGTGGCGTGAACGGGAGAGTTTCGAGGTTGGCAAGATGGTGGACGCGGGGACGAACAGCTTGGATGAAGCCCAGAGAATTTTGCTCTCGGTTTAGCCTCTGTGGCCGGAACTTGCCGGGGTGAATTGACCGGCCAAAGACGGCCTCAAGCGATACTCAGCGCCCAGCACTCTTTGCTGAGGCCGATGATGGGACACCGAGCTTTGCACTTGCCAGTAGGCAATGCTGAGAGGCTGTCTCCTTGTGCTTCGGGTGTTTCGAGAGTTGAAACGCGGTGAGGGCCCCTTAGGCCTTGTGGACGGCCGTGAAGGGGCTATTCAACTCAGCGTTCTCGTAATGCTTTCCATAGGGATTTTTTGCCTCCTGTTTGCTGGAGAGAATGAGCCAATTAGCCCCGAACCTCCTATATAGCTAGGCATAGAGCACTTACCGGTGTTTGGCTGCCTTCACCTCTTATGCGTGATGCTGGGAATATCCCACGTGATGACCTCGCCGAGAAGGATCTTCTGACGGAGGCTCCTTCCACCATGTCATGAACCTCTTCGCCTACCTCCCCCAGCAAGAACTTCCTCGAACGTCCTTCTTGACCCATCCGTACAGGTATGTCCATCCTCCCCTGCATCTCCCTCCACCCTAGCAATATCCCGTACTGCATCGCCATCCACGTCTGAACACGCCTCGACCACAGATGACGCCCACGAGCGTCGCCTTCTGTTCTTCCCTACTACCTCGCCCTCCTCACCCCTATCGGGTGCCTTCTCGCTAACAATCCCCCGCGGCCTTCGAGGATCCGCCGACCAGCGCCAGCCATGGGACTTGCTATTCATACCGAGTTGGAAGCGTGTCGTTCACACGGGATCTCGATGACGCTGGGCATACCGGGTCTGGGCCTTGCTATTTATACAGGATATAGAGGTAGCTGCGTATACTAGGGCTGGAGCCTGCTCTTCATACCGAGGAATGGTTGGGCTGTGGCACATCTGTCGAATGTGGATCCAAAAAAGCCGCATGAAGGATCTCGGGATACTCCCCACAGCCTTGGCCTGCTATGGTATGTTTCCCTCTTCACAAGATTGTAGGGCTGTCCGGGTTAGGCAGTCTCCAGCTGGACCATCTGCGCATAAGGAGGGCCGTTGTTTGTGGATCCAATAGAACGAGCGGGATTGCGCGGTCTTCAGGTCGATCAAACATCAAGGAATATTTTGGTCCTGCTCCTTGATTATGGGTTGAATGCTCCCTCGTAGATAGCTTGACGAGTCATTCCTTGAAAGATGTTCGTCGCCGGGCCAGGTTGCCATTGGCCAGTTGTCTTTGCTGGTTCTTCGCAGAGGATATACGCCTAGCGAGGCATGTTTCGGCCGTCTTCTCTCCTTACCGACTCCAAGACAGCCTCGAGGGCATGGCTGAAGTTGTCTTTCTTGTCTTGAGGCTTTACCATACACCGGATCTGGTCCCGATCGAGGGAATTGAAAAGACTCCTGGAAGAGTATGTGGGAATAGGATACAAGGGGCAGACATTCCCCGGGCATCGTGTACAAGACGACGAGAAGAAACGTCAACATTCAGCGCCGAGGTTGGACGCTGTTCCTGTGATGTACTAGGGCAATCGCTTTAATGAATAGGCCCAGAGACGCGTAGCTATGGCGCTTAATCTGGCTTGTTTATCGTTCAAAGTCGCCATACCTCACGAGAAGCGGGGCTTCGGCAAGGCAAACGCCGACTTGAGGACCATGGAGTGCTGGACGGGCTGTCAAGGCATGTCTTGCGCCTAAGGTCTTTCAGCCCCTTGCGTACTGTGTGCGAAATGTCGTGGGGTTTTCTTCATGTCGGATCAATGTGTGGACTCCGTCGTAAGTCTTGACGAAGAGAAGGGCCGTTGCAATTTGTGTCATGAAACACGAAGTGCCAGGAGGCCATGGGCTTCGATGTCGTGTGTCCTCAATTGGACTAAGCATCAATATCGTTAAAGAACAATACCCACGGATGACTTATTCAGGAAAGTCCAGCTTGGTTTTTCCCAGGCCAGCGCATGCTGTTGTTATTCATCCTTCATCGTAGGGGTAAGCCTCCGCAATGGTGGCAAGACCAAAGAAATGCTAGTCATGCTTGTAGGAGGCGTGAAACCTCGGAGGCTCCGTCGAATAGAGCCGCAAGAGAATTCGTGGCTGTGGTAATCCTCCACCGTCCGATATTAATCATTTGGAACTCCTGGATTTGATGTGTCTGCTCGAGAATCCCTCGGGCTTCCTCGACTGTTGAGTTGCCGAGGACATGCGCGAGATGCGCAGTCGCCAACGGGTCGGTGGAAACACTGGCCAAGTTGGCGGACCTCGAGCAACTTCTTTCGGCCTTAACGGCTTTGGTTCCTATAACGAATATGTTTGGTTGTTTAAAGAAAGTCAAGGCACTAGCGAGAAGGTCCTACAGGCCCCTCGTACGGGCGCTGCAAAGGGGGCCGGCCCATCCGTCTCAGTAGAGAGCGCTCATATGGAATCGATCCTTGTTGCGTCGGTGGGCGTTCCGAACTCCTCCGTCTTTGTCGATAAAGTGGATGAGAGACAGGCGGTCGCGAGTCTCGGCATCAGGGGCGCGGCTTCGAAGGATGATGAGGGAGCCGTAGCGACAGTGATTGAGAGATGTATCTGGCTTGTGTGTTAGCCGTTGAGGTTTGTATGCGGGTTTGTTGGAGAAATGCTATCCGTGGCTTGCTCCGCCGACAAGCGTCTGCTCGTCACGCAAAAGCGTGATTCCTGCGTTTCTGTAAAGCCTGGCGAAGCTAAAGCATCCTTTCTTGTTGCACATAGCGCTCACAAGGGCTCAAAAAGGAAAGGGCGACACTCTTGTTTGCTGACGTCCAGTCCTGACCCGTGGTCGGATGGTGTTGGAAAGCCGGCGGTGGGAATGGTAGAGGAGGAGGGAAAGAAGATTGGGACTTTCAAAGGCGCAGGTAACTGGACGGTTGGAAAGACAGCCATCTATACCCCTATTAGGCTCATGTGTCAGTCGTTGAGGTTCAAAGGAAGCTTCTGGGGAGGAATATTGCGCGAAGCTTGCCCTGGCGGAAAGGCTTCTTTTGTTGCGCGAAGATGTTTCCTCCGAATGTGCGATTGGACGTTTGACCAGCCTAGAGCATGTTCCTTTAGCTGCATCTATTCTTGAGTCGATTGAGAGGTTTGTGGGTTTGGTGTTCTGTTCTCTTGTGCTGGCTCGCCGTTGGACGTGTCTGAGGAGTCGGCGATCGTGGATGCGATCGAAGACATCGGGGGTTTCAACATAATTGAAAAGAGCGCGCACGCTAACAGTAATATAAGAATCAACCAGTCTCCTTGCTAGCCAGTCAAGTTCATATAGACGTTTCGGGGGGAGTTGACGTGGCTTCGTACTTGCTTTGCCCGCTCAGAAGCCTCCCCTCGGAGATTTTTGTGGTTGGAGTTTTCGCCAGGCTTACCTCACGAGCGCAAAGCTTCCTTGAAACATTTAAAGCCTCTGGAGCAAGCGCTGCAGCTTCCGATCTTCTTGTTAGTCGTGGTGTTCTCATCGAGCATTCTCTTGGCACGTCGGCTGGACACCCCCCTTCTCCGTTGGCGCTCCGCCGCTCGACCACGGCCCGCTGCCTGCTAGCTCGACTCCTCCCCACTTCCTGTCGACCTTGGATTCGTCTCCCTCTCTAGATCAACATCGTCACGTCCTTCACCCTTTTCTCCCTCCTTCAACTTCTCCCTCCTCCTCAAGATGGCCGACGTCGAGATGACCGACAGCCCAGAGCTCGACTGGGAGCTGTTCAATCTCAAAGGCAACAAAGTCCGCAGAACCGCCTATGCCGTCCTTCAACACAGACACTCCCTCCGCCGCATCACGGTCTGCTTTGAGGTGGGCCAAATCGTCAACTCTTTCGTAGGGCTGGACGACATGGGGAAGGGCGGGCGCTCATTGATTCCACACGATGAGCTCAAGACAGCCGTCGAAGTCACTGTGTCCGCTACAATAGCCATGATAGGCGATCGCAAGTTCAAAGATGAGGAAATCCTAGAAATATTCTCCGAGAAGCGCATCCGAATTCCACAGATGACCAACTACCTCCAATTCTTCTACCCCTTCGTCCGCTCCCTCAAAACCATCTCGCAGCTCGTCGGCTCCAAACACCTCCACCTCTCCGGCCAACCCGTCCCCGTCGCCCTGATCCCCCTCTCCGAAGTCCGCTTCCTCGCCGCCTTCTTCTCCTACCGCGGTGGCGCCATGAAAGTCCTCACCAAGCGCGCCCCAGACACGCTCATGGTGTACAAAGGCCTCTCCTTCTCCGACTACATGGCCTTCGACCCCCCTACCTACAACAACCACCTCGCCGGCATCTACCGCGAGCTCGAAATGCTCTGCACCGTGCTCTCCCCCCACGCAAACATCATGCCGCCCCCCATCGCCTTCGCAACCTTCCAGCAAGACCGGTCCGGCGAGCCCCTCATATGCGGCTCGCTGTACCCGTACTACCCCAAGCTCTCCCTCGCCGCGGCTATCGGAGAAGCCGTCGAGTTCGAGGTGCAGATCCCGCTCCACTACAAGGCGAAATGGTGCTTCCAGCTCGCCTCCGCGCTCCACCACGCTCACACTGTCGACGGCACGTGGCACCAGGACCTCAAAACTGCCAACATGTTGCTGGATAACGACGCTAACGTCGTCCTCATCGACTGGGAGCAGTGCGGTGCGAACTCGTTCGTTCTCGCCCCGGAGGCCAACGGCGATTACGACCTCACCTTGGCTGATATGGCTGCTTCTGCGCTCAAAGGGGATGATGCGCCGGTGTTGTATACTCGCTACGCAGGCCCTCAGCGGCGGAACAACTACATTGGCGCCCCGGGGTGGATTGTGTTTCCGGAGTGGAAGAAACAATGCCCGAAGGCGGTTGAGTTGGCGGAAGTGTGGAGCCTCGGGAGCGTGATGTGGCAGCTGTTGGAGCAGGTGGCGTTGGAGCACCTGCATGATATTGTGGATGTATACGAAGAGGGGATTAAGGACGGGGTTGTTTGGACGACGATGACGGAAGATATACCCGAGAGCTGGAAGGAGGTGGTGGGGGCGTGTAGGCGCAAGGAGCCGGATGAGAGGATGAGGATGAAGGATGTGGTGGGTTTCTGGAGGGGGGAGGCGGAGAGATTTGTGGGATGAAGGGGCAGGTGGGAGGGTGGGACGACAGGGAAGGAGTGGGAGGGGGTGTTACAACGGCGTACGGTAGTTAGAGTAGCTTTCTAACTGGGCTAAGTTCAGGCCAGGGTCTAACGGGAATGATATCCAACTGTGAGCATTATTTACAGACTTGCGAGTAGTATCATCGTGCGGTAGGCCCCTTCAACTCATAACTCTCTAGATCTACACCATTGTCGTCTATTCTAATATCCAGTTTTGATCTATCTATGAACCCCTCGGTAACTATAATCCCCCAGCCTCCGTTTGAGTGTCTGCTTTTCCTGGTAAGCAGCATGTTGTAAAATCAGCAGTGTCTCTTCGATCTCATAAATTCCATACATGCAATCGGACTTCATTAGAACCCTCCTTTGGCGTCATTTTCTACCCTCTTTCTTCCCCATTCCAGCCGCGGAAGATGCCTCATACATTCTCCGCCTATTGCTCATCATCAATGTTCTTCCATCTCCGCACTATCCGCCTTCGAAGAACCCATCCACCGCGCACAACGCCAAAGAACTTGTTATCCGCTCTCCCAGAAGCTACCAAGGCTTGAGTGGCGATGAAAACAGCCACAACCTGGGTAATCCACCACTTCTCAGAGGCAGACACGTTGTATCTGCAGGACGGAACTGTGCTCCAATCGGCCCTCGAAAGCGCTCTTTCGACAAAGAAAGCTATTCAGCATCGCTGTTGGCTTGGCGTTAGGACCAGTGGACACTCCCTCTTCAAGGCCTCCAAGCCCACCTCCCTCCAAACTCACATCAGCGCAGCAGCTCTCTAGTCGCCATACCAAGTTGTTTGCAAGACAATGGCCAACCCTCTCTCCGTCTTACAGCGGCCCACTCCTAATCTCGGTCAGTCAATTGAACAGACATCAATATCCCACCAACGACGACCTCAACCGTGTTCGCGCCGGCCAACGCGCCCAAAATCGGTGCAGGTCTCTATCTCTCTTCTCCCACGGCGTCGTTCCAAAGCCCCCCTCTCACCTATCCCTCCTTCCTCCGCCGTGTATCATCTGACTTCGGTTGAGCAGGGGATGGGCCTTGTTAAGGTGCTATCCTGAGCTTTGGGTTGGTGTCGCGCCCGGCTGCTTGTTTGTAGATGGTCATTCGCAACGCGTTGGGTAAGATGAGAAGCCGGAAACGCTTTTGGTTGACGGGTTGCTGTGTTGGAGGTTTTCTGGATCAGTTGGGCTGAGAGCGAGGGTGGTGGAGAGTTGGGAGGGCTAGGTGCATGGGTTGGCGGGGTGTGGACGGGGCGGGGGTGTCGAAGAGGTGGAACGGCAAGACCAACTGCGTGTATTGCCCTAGTAGGGGGGAGTTAGTGGTGCCGTAGGCGGTGGTTTCAGGGATTCGACGGGCTGCTCGGGTGGCAATTTTTAAGAGGAGTAGATCGAGCACGGGGTGTGGGGAACTAGTTGTGCATCAGCAGAGTCAGAGCCGACTTGTGTTGTCTTGTTGCAAGAAAGGGGAGCCTATGAGAGTTGCGGGGCTGAATGAGCGATTCCGTCCGAGGTTGTCTGCCCCAGCACTGTGCACAGGAGATGAGATATGCGTCAGCAGTGGTATACATGGAAATTCTCGCTCTCTGGCAAAATGAGAAAGGCGTGTGGGCGTTGTAGAGAACGAGTAAGTGGTTCGGTCGGGAATGGCCCGCACCGCGCCTATTATCTAGACTCGAGCTTCTACTAGAGCGACGGCGGATGTAGACATGAAATGGATTGCGAGGAAAAACCGTAACTAAGACCACGGCAAATGCAGTGCATGTAAAAGAGCTCGCATATTGCAAGGGCGTGCAGCTCAGCTCGTCCGCTGGCCGCAGACGCCAGCTTGCGGGCGGCGGCGACGACAGTGAGCTCGCAGACACTACCTGTAGGTATGTACAGCTACTCGCACATGTCTATAGACCACTTTACCGAAGTTCTCGCGGCCTGTACACCCGTTGTTTTGGCAGGGGTGTGCATAACCGTGCACTGACCCTCCCCCCTTCCAAGTGTATATATTTGCTGTAAAATTAACGCACTTCGCCTTCGGGCATTTGGTCAACTTGAACAATCCCAGAGAAGATTAGCATGGCCCCTGCACTAGGATGACACACTCTATCAAAGGGTAGCTTCAAAATTTTTTTGCACTTTTTTTGCGACGGGTAGGTCCCGGTTCGAGTCGCGGAGGGGTGAAGGTGGCGGTTTATTTTCCTTTTTCGCAACGCTTGGGCCTGAGAGGGGTTTTACGCTTTTTTTATTGCTATCGATCATTTCATAGTATGTCTATAGGCTCTCTCTAGACGGCTTCATCCACTGCGCTGCAGTTACATTACTAACAGTGTCCATTTTTGTTCACGCGTGCCCTGATTTACGGAGGCGTCCTACATGCTCAGCACGCTCCCCGCGACCTAGAGGTAGGGTGCAAGCATTTATTTGACGGCGGACGTCTCTTAACGTAGCTTGTGAGGGTCCAACATCAGCCCTCGAGCCTCGCTGCCACCAAGTCCGGATTACGAGTACCTCTCGACCACCCCGCGCAGGCTTGTTGACAAGCATGCTGTACGGGTCTACTTGGTTGCTTGCGTGACCAATAAATAAGTAAGCAAGTAAACTGCAGTGCCCAATTTCCCTCAGGAAGCAAGCAAGCCGTGAAGGGGGAATTTGGTCATTAGTTCACAATTCATTTGCTTGATATTGCTATATGTAGTATATAGATACCTTCACAATAGGGGCGGGATAGAGGAGACGGTGTAGCGGCATCTCTAATTTACACAACTTACTACTACTATATCGACCATACACCTCTAAATAAGCAAATCTAACTCCGGACTCTTCCTGCCACCGCGAACTTAACCAGCGTAAATAGACACCAATTTTTACCACCGTGGTAGCAACATGTTGGTGGCCCTCTATTTCTCATGCCCGTCGTCCCTGAATTGCTGACATTGACGCCCGCTTCACCAGTGAATACGCTCCAGTGTCCGCCTGGCGGCAAGGCCACACCATTAACAGGACCCGAGCTCGTCTCAGGAGACTTCTGCACCTTCACCATGTTTACCGGTGAAGGTCAAAGAACAATAGTGAAGGCGAGGCTCACGCACTGACCAAGCCGCCGAAGCGTCCTCGATATAAATTCATCGCCCGCCCGCCTCAATACCTTCCTTTTCCAAGTCATAATCACAAACTCTTGACAAGACACACAACCCATCACCACCATCATCACAGCAGCTGCGGCTCATCATAACAGTAAGATCTTCCCCCCAATCCACTCTATGCATGCTAACATGATCCAGTTCACCACCCAACCCACAACCGACTCTCCACCACCTCCACCGCCATCATGAGCACCTCTGGAGCCCCCGACGTGGCCGCCGCCGCCACTGCTCCCACTGGCCCACTCGGCGAGCAGATCAAGACCCTCATCGACGCCCTCCCCACCATCACCACCTCCAACCTCGACGCCCACGCGAAGCTCCTGGCCGCCCTCATCAACGTCGAGAGCCCCTCCGAGCCCCGCGCCTGGACCCTCCGCCTCGCCATCCTCATCATCTACCACCGCGCGTACACCGTCGCCGCCTGGGCTGCCTCCGGCGCCCTCCTCCTCAACCGCCTCGCCGCCCTCATCTCCCGCGACATCACCGACGAGGCCCTCAAGGACGCCCGCGCCCAGCCCCTCCGCGGCCCCGCCCTCGTCCGCAAACTCGTCCACGGACAGCTGTTCGGAGACTTTGAGCAGAAGGAGAAGCGCTCCGTCGGCTGCGTCGCCCTCCTCGGCGAGCTGTACAAGCTGCCCCCGACGTCGGCCGTCAATGTGCTGGGGTGGACGGTGTACGCGGCGGCCAAGACCATCATCATTGGGGAGCGGGAGGAAGATGGCGGTGATATTGAGAAGTTGTTGATGTTGTTGGGGGACGTGAAGGAGAAGCTCGCGGTGGAGACGGAGGGGGAGGTGTTTATGGAGAGGTTGGGGGAGGATTTGAGGGTGTTAGCGGAGGACGAGGGGGTGCCGTTCGAGGTGCAGTACCAGGTGGCGGAGATGTTGGAGAGCTGGGAGTCTTGAGGGGGTGAGCAAGGGAAGGGGGGAGAGGGGGAGATTTGGGGGTGGTTTTCGGGGTGTTGTTGTGCTGCGGTCTGAATTGGAGCCTTCCTGTGCGTGTGCTGGGCGGGAAGACGGCGGCGCGGAGACGGTCTGGGGGTAGATAGGCACTGGAAATTGAAGAAGGATCTTGGTGCGAATTGAAGTGTCTTCTCGTTGCAATGGAGCCAGCCATGCTTTTTCTGACGTGATATCCAGTGCATTTGAGTTTTCCAACATTTGACAACGCCTTAAAACACTGACACTACCGTTTGGAGTACTCCATCAGGTCGGAGAAATTCTATATGTGATGTCACGAACCTCAGAGTATGGATCACCCCTTAGCTAATTCCAGCAGTTTGGCGCATCAAAAATGCAAGGATCTATCCATTAAAGCTCTTTCTAAAGCTATATGAAACGGTGCAGCCACTGTATGAGGTCCTTCATGAAGCCATAAAACGTCTAACGTATTCCACAAGCGAGCCGTCCACCCAAGCGAGCCGTCCACTTCATCACAAAAACGCGACGCGTCAACTTCCAACCACCATGCGTCGACAACACAACGTGCAATCAATACAAAATGAAGGTCGAATATGCATGGCTATCGCAGCAATCAATCAGCAGCAATTTAAAAGCGAACGGCGCGCTATTACGACATATAACGTACCCAGAAGCACACTTCGAGATCAACGCGCTGGAACAACCCCACGACGCGATTCTAAGCCTAATTCGAAGAAGCTTTCCAAGCTGGAGGAATCAGTTGTTGTTCAACATATACTCGACCTGGATTCGCGAGGATTTCCGCCCAACCTGCATGCTGTACGAGAGATGGCCAACAAATTGCTCGCCGAGCGCGCCGCCGGCCACGTTGGCAAGAACTGGCCAGAGAACTTTGTCAAGCGAACACCTAAGCTTAAAACACAATTTAATTGAAAGTACAATTGTTAGAGAGCTTTATGCGAGGATCCAAAGGCAATTGGCGATTGGTTTAAGCTTGTACGCAATATAAAAGCAAAGTATAGCATCCTGGATAAAGATATATACAACTTTAATAAAGCTGGCTTCTAAATAGGCGTTATCTTAACTGGCGTGGTTATAACAGGCTCTGAGCGGTGCAATTGTCCAAAATTAATACAGCCAGGCGATCGCGAATAGATAACGATAATCTAAGGAGTTAATGCCTGTGGATGGGCTATCCCGCCATTTATTATCTTTTTAGGTAAGTACCACCTCTCTGTATAGTATAAGGGCAATAATATACTACTAGACTGGGTTATAGCAGTAAGCAATAATAGCTGGACGACGAATAAGCTTAGTATTGCCTGGCTGCAGCATTTTAATAAGCATATAAAGGATCGCACTATAGGCACGCATCGGCTGCTAATTATTAATGGCCACGAGAGCCACCGCTCGCTTGAATTTAAAGAGATTTGCAAGGAGAATAATATTATTACTCTCTGCATGCCAGCGCATTTATCGCACCTGCTGCAGCCGCTTAATATTGGCTGCTTTGCGCCGTTAAAAAAGGCATACAGGCGCTAAATTAAGGACTTAATACGCCACTATATTAACTATATTATAAAGCTAGAGTTCTTGCTAGTATTTAAAGCAGCCTTCTACAACTTAATTATAAAGAGCAATATTTGCGCAGGCTTTTAAGGCGCAGGCCTTATACCGCTTAATCTAGAGGCAGTGCTCTTAAAGCTTGATGTTCGGCTTTGTATGCCGTTGCCTCCTGCCGTGGTGGAGGCTTAATAGGAATTAAAAACACTAAGCAACGCTTATGAGCTAGGCTCTCAATTAGCTTTAATTCATGATTGTATTCAAAGGCATTAAAATAGCTCGCCTACAGCAATTCTTGATGCGCTTAGCAGCCTTTCCAAAGGTGCTGCAACGATGATGCATTAAGCCACGCTACTGCGCGATACAGTTGCCAGCCTTCAAAAGGCAAATAAAGCCGCCACAAAGCGCAAGGCGCGCAAAAAGAAGCGGATCCAGAGAGAAGGAACTCTAACAATGGAAGCAGGCTCTCAAATAGCTGCTCAAAGGCTTGATAAGGACGCCCAAAGCAAAAGGCAGCAAGGCGGGGCAGATTCTGGCGGGAGCGCGCGGCGCTGTGGACGCTGCGGCGAGCTAGGGCACAACATTCGTACGTGCAAAAATGATGCAGAGGTTGCTGCAGATTAGGCTACAAGTTGTATATAGTTGATATCTATTGGCGTTGTGGAGCAATTAACGTTTGAGGCCGGTTTTCATGATGAAGTGGACGGCTCGCTTGGGTGGACGGCTCGCTTGTGGAATACGTTAGAGACGATGTAATAAACCTTGGAGCGCAAATTGCCCGTTAGGCAATAACTACCTTTCAGGACGTTGGAATTGCACGGAAGCACCGATTGGGCTTTCTTAGCAGCTGTTTTGGAACATTAAAGCTATCGTCTGAAGTCCATTGTCAAGCCGAAAATTATTTAGCTGCGACGTAATGAACCTTAAAGCATAGATCATGCCTTGACCAATTTCAGCAGTCCCGCGTACTGAAATCGCAAGCAGCTATGGATTGAAACCTTCTATGAAGCGCTTTGGAACGCTGATGCCACCGTCTGAAGTCCTCCATGACGCGATTAATCATCTGAACACGATGTCACAAGCCTTGCGGCGTAAATTACGTTAGGGAAAATAGCAGCCTCCTACCACGTTGAAAATGCGCGGAGGTGCCGATTAGAATCCATCAGGATACTGTGCTGGAACACTAGTGCTACCGTCTGAAGTCCTTCAATGAGCTATACGAAACAAAAGTGCGATGTCACAAGCCCTGCAGCGGGAATTACGCTAGAAAAAACAACAACCTCCTGGAACGATCAAAATGTACGGAGTTGCTAATTGGGCTTCATTAGAATGCTGTTCTAAAGTATTGAAGCCACCGTCTGAAGTCCTTCAACGAGCTTGACCACAAGAAAGTGCGATGTAAAGAATGCTCGGGCGTAAATCACGCTCTAGAAAATAGAAACTCCTCGACACGTTGAAAACGCGCGGAAGCACCGTTTAGACTCCATCCATTGTCGCTCTGGAACGCTAAAGCCACCGTCTGAAGTCCCTCAATTAGGTTTGCAGGATCAGAGTGCAATGTAAAGACTCATCAAGTGTAAAACTAGCCCTAGGAAATAGCAGGCTCCCAGGACGTTAAAAAGTCGCAGAAGGACCAATTGGACTCTATTAGATGCTGTTCTGCAACACCGAAGCCACTGTTTGAGGTCCTCAGTTGAGCCATGCGCAATCCAAGTGCGGTGTAAAGACTCCTTGTGCTTGAATTAGACGTGGAAAAATAGCAGCTATCTGGGGCGTTGATAGCACTGAATGAGGTCCTTCGTGGAGCTATGAAACACTCAAATATGATGTAACAGCCTCTGCAACGTGAATCAGGCATCGAGAATAGCAGGCTCGAAGCAATTCAAACTTGCGTGGAACCGTTGTCTGAGTGCCCTCCTAAAGCTATAAACTTTCATACATAATGTGTGAACCCTCTCAACGTATATTGGACCTCGAGAAATAGGATATGGTCGGCAGATAGAAACTGCCACAGGTGAGCAATGAGTGCGATTCGCGAATAGCCGTCCTTGACATAGTATTCAGATGTAAGTCACTCTTCCGAGTCACCACCTGCGATGGCAAGGCTAGTGCAAAGGTAAACATTCATCGAGCAAAGGTGAATGGCCCTCTGCGGTAATGGGTCAATTACTGGAGCTGTGAGTTGTAGGTGGAGTGCTTTCAGGCTTACATAACCCTCCTCTCACCTCTACTTGGTCACATCTACCACTTCAACTCAAAGGCACACCGCATCCCAGCTTCTTTCTTCATCTCAAACAACAACCCTTCAATTTAACCCTTACCCCAACCGCAAGCATGTCCACGCTCGCATTAATGGACGACTGCAAAGAGTAAGTGTCCCAATCTCTCTTTTTCAAAAACTACGTCATGGCAATAGCTAACGGGTTTGCTTACAGCTTGTACAATCAGCCTCTCTTCGCGGACATGATGGTCCATATCCATTACCTTGGCGGCGTCAAACAGATTCACGCCCACCGTGCGTTCCTCTTCAAGCTCTCAGGCCTCTTCAGGAAGTGGTCTCTTGCCCCATCGAAGGTGAGTAACAACATTCTCGGAACGTCCATCTCTGAACCCAACAGTTTATAACAATGATCTAGAACCCCCACGAAAATGTGTTTGACATCAAGAACCACAACCTCGCAGTCGTCGAGAAATGCCTCCGCTACTTCTACACCGACCGATACCCGGTCTCACTCGTCACCGACACCAACGGCGACAAGCTCGTGACCCACGTTTTGATCCACCTGTGGGCCGAAGAGTACAAGGTCCCGCGTTTGCAGAAGGCCTCCGCTAGAGCTTTTCGCAAGGATGTGTCCACCTGCTCTCTGAGCGAAATCCAGAAGTTCGCCGCTTTATATCAGGTGCTATACGAGAAGAATGTGGATAGCAACAGCCCAATGGGCAAAGCGGTTGCGGAGAGCCTGCCTCGTGACAAGGACAACATCCCGCCAGCTCCGGTGGGATGCGTCATAAGCTAGTGAGCTTCGGCGGTTGGCTTACGCTCGATAGATAACGACTATATGATTCCTTTCACTTGGGTCAGTCTATTTATGCATTTCTTTGGTGAACTGTGGGAGAGTTCTTAGCATACTGAGGGCCCATTATACTTGTGGAGCTTAATGAGTACTTCTTTATGAGCCACAGCTCGAGCATCACGCTATCTTCAAATAGGGCATTATATATACACCGTCTTATCAATACTAATGAACGTGGATCAAGACCGAAAGCCCAGTTCCCAATTTTACCCTATCATCAAAATACCTTCCTCCAAGCACTCAATTGAACGATCATTTTTATCAATTGTTGCAGCTTTAGTATCGCGTTATGTATAATAGAGTGTTCAGATCTTCGACTTCTCTCCTATGCTAATACAAGTGTATCAGAAATGATACTTGGCGCCTTCCTCGTAGTCGCATTTATGTAACCGAATATCCCTGACCGAGCTTTCGATTTGGTGGTCAAGATATTACCCGAAACCCGCTACCTTCAAGGTAACGAAATACCACTCATCTCCACTGAAATGTGTCTCATCCACTGTGCCCGCTCTCGCCTGTAGTTCCATATCCGCTGGCACTGCCGAAAAACAAATATCCTTAGCTTCGGTAGCGTGTTCTCTCACGTGGTCAACGTTTGTCCCACGGCTGGTTAATTACTTCATTACACCTCTAGTACTAAGCTATAATTCTGAGCACACGGATATACCACTGCTTTAGTGCTGCTTTAGGAGCCAGAGACTACTGTCAGGAGTAGCCCCGGCTACCAGGAAGTTGGCCATTCAAAAGGTAGCCCAGATTTCACTGCACGGAACTTGACCTTGGAGGGGTGATCATTTGATATTCATTGGCTCAGCCGGGCTTCTGGGCTAATACGTTGTATACGCTAAGGCTTGAATAAGATCCTGTACAACTACTTCGTCATGAGCACCAGTTTCCGCGCTACATCTATGCGCCTCCCAGCCGCTGCAGGACTCAGGTTAAATTGATGTGAACTCTGATTTCTATAGACGTCTAGCTAGTTGTATATATACTAGGGGAAGGAAGGGGGGCCACCCCCTGGGTGGCGCGCTAGTAAGTTCAGCTGAACACTGCACAGCTGAGTTTTCAGCTGAGCTCTCCACAGCTGAGATCTCAGCTGTGTTCTCTACAGCTGATGTTCGGAGTAGCTTTCTAGCATATGAGTTGTTGATCCTAGGTTGTAGTGCTGCAACCTGAGTGCAGGCGTCGAACCTGGCATTTCGCATAGTTTATGATAAAATTCTTGCAGCACATCCTTTCCTTCTTGATGCTGTTTCATTTTCCAGCCAACCATGTCCAAAATGTGATCGAAAAGCACAATAGCGACATATCTGAGTCATCCTTCTTCCGTTGTCCACGCCAGGACTGACAATCCTCCCTCCTTCATCATCTTCAATGGCACTTTCAAATCGTCGTCATCAGAACATTGTAAAGCTCACACATCAAGACGACCCTAGCCCAAGAACTTGAGTTCGTTTCTCTTCTTGTCGCCTCTTCGCACTGTTTAAGCAAGATCGCAGCAACCTCTTGAATGTTTCCAAGCCACGACCAATTCCCTTCCAAAGTGATTGCGCATTGTCTTCCATGACACAGAATATCTCATCGCGCAATCCGTGGCCCAACGGAAGTCCCACTTCGAATTTGGAAGACCTTTCGAAGCAGACGCAATGATAGCAGCCATAACCCCCTCTGTGCTAATAGCAGTCCCTCGTACTATGTATCGCGCATACAGTTCTGCGATGAGAATATGACCGTAGAGTTTACGCAGGGTTCCAGGCAAGCCCTTCGAAGTGCGGCAGAGCACTTGGGTCGGGTAGCGAATTCGCAGCTCGAAATTTTCAGATTCTTGATACGGGATCATTTTTGCGTCCATGGCTGCGTGCTAGTAATCAAGGCTGGGATAAATTAACGAAGTCCGTTGAGAAGTTGAGGGGTCTCTTAAAAAGCCCTAGCCAGTCCGATAAAACCTCAATGCTCATTTAGCTTTAGCAATCGACCGCTTCCGACACCTTAATTTAACTACTCCGCAGATATTTTGATGGAAACAAAGCATATCCTAGATAGGCTTCGGCATTGATTTGAATGCCCTGGATCCTAATCACCTAACCGAGAAAAATCCCGAACTATTGAGCTTTTAAGTGATATTATGTGGGGAGGAACTGCGTAGTGGACAAACGAGAACGCCCACTTCACTCTACATGAAATCACATGACAACCAGACTAGCGTCATCCGCTTTTCGTATTTCAACCCACAACAAAAGTTAATGTATCACCTCTCACATCCTCAAACTCCATCGACATCACACAGCAAAACCTCCAAATCAAAGCTTTGCAATTCCAAATCCACTCTGACTACCGCCAACACCATGTCTCCACCTCCACCCCAACCCAACCCTCTCGACCTCTCGCAGTGGGCACGCGCGTTGGACTTCGAGGCACACCTCAACCTCCTAGATGGCGTCTATGGCCGACCCGTCGAGCCTCCAGTCTCCGCTGCTGTCGTCGCTCCTACATCTCCGCCTCCAGCCTCCGCCGCCGCAGCCGCTCCTCCTCCACCTCCACCTGCATACCAACCCACCGCCGCCGAGAAAACAGAACCAACTGCCGTCACCAAAGCCGCCTCAACGCCTCTGTCATGCCCGCAGCCCCGTCTATCCAACGTCCTAAGATCAAGAGCAAACATGCGAGCGGCCACGCGCGAAGCCAGAAACGCTGCCGATAGGGCTGAGCAAGAAGCTGCCAGACGTGCCGCAGATAAGCCGAGCGAGAAAGAACGTGAATGGATGGAAATTTTCTCACGGGGTTTGCTTGATTAGCTGTGGTTGAAGGTGGTGGGACGGATAGGCATGGAAGGAGGAGCCTTTGACCAACAAGAGGACTTTTTGCGGAGGATAGATCGTGGTCTAGAGATAGGGATGAAGAGGCAGTAGTTCGAATAAGACGAGTTTGCTACCTATAAAAGGGTCTTCAGATCAGTGCAGCTTGACTGCATTAGAAAAATACTGGGGCCCTCAAGGGCGTATTAGAACTGCAGAGGCGGTTTGCTATTAATAAACACCTTGATTGCGAGGAAGGACGTCGTCTGTTTGTGCTGGCCTATATATGGAGTCATATAGTCTTTACATCCCGTCGTTCTGGCTTTTAGGTTATTCGAGCATCTCATACCTTACCATCCGCACCGAAAAGAAGTTAGTTTTTCGAATCCATATGATCCAGTAAACCGGTATTAAACATCGTTTTCTGTATGTCCCAAGAAGCGTCTCAACCATCTCCATTTTTGAATCTTTTCGGAATACGGGTTAGCAAAAATCTTGCTCCTCCCAGGTACACCCATCCTCCCCGAATAGAGGACTTCCGCGAGGCTGTATTCGATCTAGTGGACTGGCTTCCGGGTTTATGTTGCACAAAAGAGGGCTTCGGAAATGGTCATGACACGATCTTGTATGCCCGCCTTTTAGCCTGCGATCTACATGGATGGTATGTCTACTTAAAGGATAAATTGGAGGCTACGCCCTATACCGAGATTGCGGTTAATTCAATTGTGACGGGATGGAATCAGTTAGTGCTGGAGAGGTCTTGGATTCCAGCATAGCGAGGGTTATATCCCGCTGTGGCTCTCAGTGATGTGCTGGGCCACGCTGGACAGGTTACTAATCTGGCAAAAGCCAACAAAGTAATGTCGCGATTGCGTTACAAGTTAAATTCAGCAGAAGAACTGGGCGGTGTTGGAGAGGTTTTGGATTCCAGTGCGGTGGGCTTCACATCCGGCTGTGATGTGCTGAGCCACGCCAGACAGGGTTACGTAGCTAGCAAAAGGAAATTAAAAAGCGTCACAAGGAGATTTTCATTGTTTACGAGCTGAAAGAATGAGGAGGGCGATCTAAGAGGTGATGGCTCACTTAAGCGCGATTTATGAAGAACTATCGCTAAAGACGATATGTCTCCAAGCAATACAATACTTTTGCTATCATGAAATCTAAAACATACTCCTCCTCGACTTCTTACGACTCGGCAACGGCGCACACGTTCCACTCGCGCAACACGTAGGATCCTCGTCTGCACACCCAGCCTCCCTGTAGTGGCACACGCAGCTCCCATCTGCGCAGCACGCCATGCTATCACTTTTCAGAAGTCAGCAACCACACTCAAAACCAACGGAAGTTTCTCGATGCACATACATCGAGCAACCCGACCCCCCACAATTACAATTAAATCCGCCGGTTTCGGCGCCACCGTCAACTCACTCAACGGATGCAGCCCATTAAAAGTGTACTCAATCCCGGTATCCAAGTCCGTGTACGACCCCCCAAAGCGCGTCCCATCCGGGAACGAACCCCCCCGCGCACGCATCCCGCATCCACCAGCAGCGTGAACGCATCCATACACGTCTGGTTCGGCTCATCCGGATCGTCCCAGTCGCCTTTGATGCGGTCGCCGAGAACTCGTCGGGCTCGATGTGGAACTCGTCGGGCGTCTTACTGCTGCTGTAGTAGCCCGGCGCCCAGTCTGTGACTTTGGACCCTTGCACCCAGCCCCCGTCTTGGCTGTAGTATACCAGCCCCGCGTGGCCGTTTTGGGCGGGCAGCTCGAAGGTGGCCAGGGCGAAGAGGTCTGGAAGGCGTTTTCGGTGCTGGCGGGCCAGACGGGGCCGTATTCTAGGGTTTCGTCGAGGTAGCAGTCGCAGCTGGGTTTGTTAGTAGTAGTTATGGGCTTTTGGAGCGAGACGCGTACTCTTTGTATTGTCCCAAAGGGATGCTAGAACGTGTTAGCTTTGTTCTTCCAGCGTGTATACTGATGGGCAGGGTAGTACTAACACTAACACACTTCCCTCCCCCCGCATTACCGCCTCAGTTCGTACAATACGGCTTCACGTCCTCTGCGGGGCCATTATTCCCTTCCTCTTTGCCTGGGTTCTGATTTTCTGCGATGTCAGCGGCAATGTTAATGCCAGCCTCGAAGTCCAGCCACGCCAACCAAGTCGCCCAATCCACGATGGTGTCGACGGCTGCTGTCAAGCCATCTCCAGCGAGCCCAGCCGCGGCGAAGAAACACGTCCGGCCGTAGTTCCGCACTTGGGTGAGCGCTCGTACCAGATCCGCGTTTTCGGCCACGGGGAATGCAACAGCTACGAAGATGGTCGCGGCGAGGGCATCCCCAGGTTGAGCTGCGGCTAATATGGCTTCGCCGCCTATAGCGACGCAATCAGCTTTTTCCCGGGCAGCCAGGCTCCGAGCTTGCGCTTTGTCGCGTTATTGAGGTCGCGCTTGCAAACGACTCCGCTGAGGGTATTGTTCACATTGTTGGCGAAGTCTTCAGGGAGGTGGATGTTGTGGTCGCCATTGTCTGCTTTCGTGAGGCTCGGCAGTTGACTAGAGCGCACGAGGCTGGTAAGTAGTTGGACGCATATTCGGCCATTGTCACCTACTCGGGAGCGGGAGTTGGTTGCGTCTCGGCCGTAATGGCAGCCCCTAGGTTATCAATTAGCCTTCATTCTTGATCAAGGAGCGAAAGGGACATACCGGGTACGCCTGTGATAGACGCGTACTCAAACACGCCGTCGAAGTTGACGCTCATATCAGCGACTGCGCTCGTCTGCGCCACGGGAATGTGGATGGAGATGGTGCTGAGCGCCTTCTCGTCTTACTGGAGCTAGTTCCACAGATAGGGCAGCTCTGCTGCAACGATGACGAGTAGAAAAGGGTCTTTCGAGATCTTTTCAATGGCCTGCGCCATCGCCACCGCAATGCTCGTTTTTCCATAGCAGCGGTTGCAGGGAACGCGCCCGGGGTCTATCGTGGCTGTGACGCACGCGGCATCTGCGGGGTTGGAGCACTGGTTGTTGAAAACGTTCTTGACAGAGCCGGCGAGGTCTTCGCCGAGGAAGACTGTGAAGCCATCGTCGTAGGATGCGTACATGCTATCAGGGGCTGGGGTTGGGGCTGGGTTGGGCTAGACACCGAGATGTCACTGCTTTGGTCTGTCGTGGAGCGGGAAGGGAAGTATACTACTATGGCGCTGTATGCTGACGGGTTTGCTCTAACGAGATTGGGAGTTGCAGGCGCCGAGCAGACATGAGAGCCTAGGTGTAGAAGGACTGAGAGGAAAGATTCAACGTGCTTCTATTATTTGGTTAGATTTTTCTAGCTCTTTTCATTATTCCACGAACAGCGAAGCAGCACTGACCTAGATTTGGTGAGCTGGGAGTCGAACACGAGCAGCAAATGATGACTAAGATCACTGTGGGTCCGCTCGCTTCGGTAGACTGTGTTGTGTGTTAGATGGTAGCAAAATGAAGCACCTCCTCAGCAGCTTCACACCGCAGATAGCGACGCATCGACAAATCCAACCCTTCAAAACTCTATTCTTCGAAAACAAAAGCCTCAATACTCCACGACCATGTCTGTTCCCGGTCCCACACTGCCTTGGGAGGCTCCCCAACAGATCCCCACGAACGCCCTCACCCCCGCTCACATCTCCAACCGCGATAGAACTAAACTGTTCTTTGACTACGTCGAATCCTTAGAGAGAAGTCTCAGAAATGACGACGACGAGTACAGGCATCTGGGCGTCAGATACTGGAAGGTACACCCTACCGCCAGGACCAGTGCGCAGACAACCGTCGCGAATCGCACCCACCTCGCCCACATCTTCCACTCTAGCGTGTTCCCTGGGGATATCAACCCAGGCGATCTCTACCACCCGTTCAGTCAAGCCAGGGAAGCCTTGAGTCGCGCAAAGGCTCGTTGGGCTCCTGCTGGGAATCATACGGTCGTGAACCAGCTAGTGAGAGATGGAGAACTCAGGTTGAAAATTGATGTGAACTCTGTCTTATTTCGGGGGCCCGAAGGCCAAACTATATACTACGTAGGAAGTGACTGTATGCATAGGCAGAAGCACTAATTGGAGGCAGCAGTAGGCAGCATTAGGCAGGGTAGGCCACCGTACCCCAACCCCTCTCTGTAGAAGTTGTAACTGGCTAGGCATGTAGGCAGCTACTATGCCAGCAACTCCAAGTCTGTACGTAGGTGACCGTGAACCGTATGAGTTGTTGATCCTAGGTTGTAGCTGTTACAACCCGAGTGGAGAGAGATACCAGGGAGTTTTCCATAACCGACTTCAACATCTCAGTACCCTGATTCTCGCACTTGAACAGCTCGATGCTGCGATGGCACAGCAGAACCCACTACATCGCCAAGCTCAGCAGTTTTGGGACTGGAGCTGGGATCCACACGTTCAGCAGTGGATTCGGAGCCTCCCAGAGGGGGCGAAGCAGGTGCAGCTGGGGCGCACCATCCAGCGCATCGTCAAACACGTATTCTTCGCGCTAGAGGCTTGAAGAAGTGGTCGAGATCTGAGGTGCTGTGTTGGTGCTAGTGGACAAGAAGATGGGATTCGTGCTGGGGATATTGGTCTTTTGGAGCGTAGTGGATGGTGTTTGTGGTGGCCTAGCGGGTTCAAGAGTGCACTAGGTCCGACATATTGCAGAGTACAAGAACACATCGAGGAAGGTCAAGCGGTTGGAGGGGGTGATCAAAAGTGGAGAGATGACGGGTTGTGGATTGGGGGGTGAGAGGATGGTTTGCATGTACAAAAGGTTTTCAGCGGCATACTTGGAGTAGACTAGATATCGCGGCGGTAGATGGCGGCGTTTGCTCTCCTCTTGATATCGTTGGAAAGCTCCTAATTCACTCAAAAGTTCAAATACAAATGCTACATTAAAAAGTGTTAAATGAGACCATGCATATTGAGACGTGCGAACACCTACTCTACCGTTTAATGAAAGTCAATAGGGTGGTAATCTTAAGCTGTTATATTGCAGTATGTTGTCATGGTAGCGCTGTTAGGAGGTCTCCAGGGCAGGGCGACTTTAGAACCGGGTTACAGCACTTCGCACACTGAATATGAAGCCTTAGACAATAGACTAGCTAGGAGGTATCTTGTTTTATAGCAGAACCTGACGCCCAGCTGGATAGCACAACCATTACTCTCTGCTTACTATCTTCATCATATCGTTTGGCTTCCTTCTAATGTACTAAAAATATGAAAACAGGATGTCACGTTTGCCAGAGTCGATTTCAGGACCGCTCCAAGTCTGGCGGCTCTCTATACTAAAATCAGCTAACAAGACGCAGGTAATTCAACTGCTATCTCATTTGGACCTGCTTTGGGAGCTCCATGGCGGCGTTTGTGGCCCTCTGATGTATGGTGAAAAAGACAACATGATGCAAACGCTGGCGCAGTGGATTTCAGGATGGCGACGGTGCCGGCCACCTTCCCTGCGGAAAACAGCCTGTAAAGCAACGGGTTCTTGTTTTTGTCATATCTAAGATGTATTTTCTAGCTTTATGGCGCCGTCTGTAGTCCTCTAATATGGTAGAGATAAGAAAACGCAAGGTAACATCTCCTACCATGGAAATTAGAACCACGACAACACTAAGCAGTTCCATTACGAAGTTTAGCTCGAACGCCAATGACTTCCTCAATTTCACACTGTACGAGTTCATATTGCAAGTATTATGCTGCTGTCATTAGTCCTTCAAGGTATTCAAAAACTCAAAACAGGAAGTGATGTTTCCTGACCCGAAAGCCAAGGCCTCTTCAACACCATTCAGTTCTTCTACTAATTCAGCTTTGAAGGAAACCAAGATTTTCTTTTCGAGTTACATTGTTTACTTTTGCTAGCTTTGTAAGCCCGTCTGGCGTGGCCCAGCGCAGCACCGAGAGCTACAACGGGATGTAAAGCTTACTACACCGGAATTCAAGACCTCTCCAACGCCGTCCTGCTTTCATGGAAATTCAGCTCGCAAGACAATAAAGACCCCATCGTGAAGCTATTGTATTTGCTTTTTGGTAGCTTCATAGGCCCGTCTGGCGGGCCCGGTACATCGCTGAAAGCTACAACGGGATATAAAGCCCACCACACTAGAATCCAAGACCTCAACAACACCGTCCGCTTTTCGTACGAAATTCAGCTGAATGAATCTACGAACTTTGTTGACTCGCTCAACATGAAACCCTTGATGACAACGCCGGCTTCTTCCGTTCTTTTAGCGCAGTTCTAGAACTACTTAACAAGCGTCGCATCATACCCCTCTGGCGAATAATGGTCACAATACTCATCACGACGCTCGATCCAGTACTCATGGCCCCAATCAACCTCCAAAGCATATACTACCACGTTAGCCCTCCTGGCCTACCACGTATGAGATGTAGATGTGCTATACCGGGGTGATATCTACACCCCTCCTCCCTCTGCTCTGCCTCGCGATCGAACTGCTCTTCGCAATTTCTGCAGAATGAATGTTCCTTGGCCGGCTTCTAGGCCAGCTGCAAACGCGGATGTGTACTTATCCTACTGGTCCAACTTATGCAGAGCTTGTCTACGCTGTTCTCGCACACCTGTGGTAGGATACGAAGATGCACGGTGTAGCTCACCTTCAGGATGATCCGCTACCCTAGCCGCACACTTTCTTTTTCTTGACTTTGCTCGCTCTTTCTCTAGCGAGGCACGGTAAGCAGTCGTGTCTGTATTACGCTGCATGCGCGAAGTCTTTGTGACTTCAAATGTGGACCGAATTACGGGCGAGGCGGGTTCAGCGGAGTACAGAGACTGCCTCGTACCTCGTATTCTGGGATTTGTCGAGCTCAGATCGTCCGAGTTGACGGATGCCACGAAGGCCTGGAATTTTGCGATAGTGCCCAGCGCTTTTCGAATGGATGCCGTGAGGTCCGCCGGCTTGCCGCAACTTATGATTGTCTGGCCAGTGGCCGCCAGGGCATTGTTTCGGCCACGGTGGTTGTCAGGGTATCAAGCAAGATTGGCGGGTTGGAGGAGTGATGTTGTTAATACCGGACGCGTGAGAGAAAGCCGTTTGGTGCTAGTTAGTCTTTAACGTCGTTGGAATTGTACGATTCAGAGGCGTGGAAACGCGCGAGCACGTGATGTTGGACAGTTCGTTGAGACCGCGTCATGAATTTGTGGATGTACAGTTGCTTAGCCATGCTTCAGATGCTTCCATTTGCCCTTGTCGAGAGAAATGCATCGGGACGACGACTTCTTCAAAGGCCTTTCCATTCTGGCTGAACAAACTTGAACTTGCGAACTCGCTCGATGTGCGATCCTGTACGACAGGGCGCAGCCTTTCCCTTCTTGTTGCAACAGTCCCACCTATAGTTGTCGAGCGAGACACCACATTTTTCTGGAGAAAAGTTCTCACAGGATGGGTTGCGATGTAGAAAGTCAATCCAGAATTTCTCGTACGAGTTCATCTTCAATGAGCCTAGTAATGCGTCAGCATCCATCCGAAGCTTGTGTGGTATAGGATATGGACACATACCAGGATGAGACTTGCACTCCCTCGCCGTTCTCTTCCCCGCGCGATCAAATATCTGCTCGCAATTCTCACACACAGCACTCTGCACCAGTATCTGCTGCCCCGCCTTCATACCAGCCGCAAAAGCGTCTTGAAATCTCTTCTCCTGGAGCTCGATAGACTCCACAGTTCCATAATCATCCACATTATCCGACTTCCTCTTCTTCGCAAGCCGTACTTCCGCAGCACCCTCATCTTCGCTATCGAATATAGTACATCTAGTCCCATTCCACCCCCTTCGTTTCTTCACGATATCAATCTCCTTCCTCCAAAGCTCACGGTACGCCGTCATATCCGGCCCACGGCGCTTCAGCCTCGCCACCACATCCTCTGGTATCGCCCTAGTGAAATTTGGCATGTGTTCGGTAAAGTATTCGTCGATGAGGTAGCGGATTTCAGGCGCTTCTTCCGACACGTGGGCCAATGCTCCCCACCCTATGTCCGGTGTGAATTGTTCGTCGTGTATGGTTTCAGGTTCTGTTGTGGTATCGCTATCGAGGTGCTCCCCTGAAGGTCTCGCGCGCACAGCCTGTTTCGGCGGAGGCCTCCTGCGCGCAGCCTGTTTCGTTCTGGGCATGGCTGCGACTGTTAAGGTGCAATTGGATAGTAGATCGATCGAGGGACGATGGTTGTGAGGATTGGTGGAGACGACGCGTAAATATTGAATAAGTGCAAGGCTTAGCGCGATTGCGCATTTCAGGGGTACCTAGGCAGCGCGTGGAGCACGTGACCTCTCGTCCAATAATAGTCGAACTATAAATCCGAGGAACGGAGTTTAATTGAGTAATTGAGACTGGAAGAAAAGGACTTTTCATTCTCAGAGTCTTTACCGAAGCGCCTAGATGCATCAGCCCGTGGGCACGAGGTACAGCCCCCAATCACGTGATGCAGCCGCCCCCTATGCGCCGCGAATCAAAGGAAAGAAACTCTAAACCGAAACCCAAGGAGGAGGAGAAAAGACCCGAAGAAGCAGCAACATCATTCCGGCCTAGTCCACTCCATGATTCCCAAGTCGATCATCTTCCCCTTGATGCCAGCCTTGCTCTCATGCATCTCGAAAACATTAGGGAAGGCACCTGTGAACACATAGCCGTTCTTCTCAAACACTCTCCTACTGGCGAGGTTGTGGATGAAGAAACCGCCGCTGATGCGGTGTGTGTTCATGAACGGAATGAAGAATGCCTCGGTCATAGTGCGGACGACGGCGGGCATGATACCTTGGCCGTGGAGGGTCGGGGAAAGGTAGACTGAAGTGATCGGTTAGGAATCAATAGTTAGGAGAGATTTTGGATGCATAAAACTTAGATGAAAAGATGGAATGACCGCTTGAAGTCAAAAAATTGAAATGAACGCGAGAAGGACCAAAACAGCCGAGCTAGAAACATAATGCAGCACTTACAACCAAGCTCCCACTCGATTCTCGGATCACCAGCCGGCCATCCATCGTTCTCACCCTTCCGCTCCGCCCTCGCCTCCAGATCCTTGATGCTCACATATCGACGCTTCTTGATCGTGAAATCCCCCAACATCTTCTCCTCCCCCGTAGGCTCTCCCTTCGCCACTCGAATACACGTCACCGGCAATCCCGCGCTCACCCACTTCTCTCTTCCTTCTACCGCTTTGCCCTCCGCGATGGCTCGATCCCGCTGCTCCCTCCACTTCACGACTTCTTGGTACTCTTCCCACGCCTTCTGCGTTGTGCCGGACATGATGGGGTAGAAATCATCAAAGCTTCGCTGGGTGAACGGGAACGGGGGCGAAAACAGCGTCATGTAGATGGCGGGATCGTTGTGCATCTCAATCATTGCGGGCCCGTCTGTTGGCCGGGGTGGGGTGAGGATGATGTGGTTGTGCGGGGCGGGCAGGCGTAGAAACGGTGAACCGTTTTTGTCGAACTGAATCTCTGGGGGTGATTTGTTGGACTCCATCTTGGCGCTGGTGGTGAGAAATTGGGTTTCTCGGCGGGCTTATGTATGCGGTTTATCGATGGTGTTGAGTCAAAGGTGCGGAGTCATAGCGATTGGCCGAAGGAAACTGAGGAGGTTCAGCTCAGCGATAAGCGAGCGGAGCTGCCGACCTTCCTAGATGGGTAAGGCTTGGCGGGGTCACAAGTAAATTCTCCAATGACCGCCCCTACGGAAACGAACGTCATGAGGCGGGCTTACATTTCTTTCTACCAGGAGACATGTGATTTTCAACTTTCCATGGTAGGAGAACGAAGAGTAAATCACGTGCGCACGTGAAGACCCTTGCCTTGACTCGTAAAGGGGCTACTACCATAATTTCCGACACGCGTCACCTCAAAACGATACCACTCCAATCTCCATTCATCAATAATATTAAAACTCATTCGGATTCGTCATCGCAATGCCGGCTTCAGAGTCTAATTAATGCCGAATCCCTGGCTCGCGACATCGCAATCGCCAACAAAGCTTGGAACGACGCAGAGGAATCGGTCGCGAACTACGTCGACTCCGACTCAGAAGCAGAATCCGACTACCAATACTACCAAAGAGCAATCGCGAGAATCTCGCCTGACCCGTTCCAGGCACCGGATGATACATCAACCGGCCTCATGATCTCCCGAGTGACACTTGAGAGTCGTATCAGTATGATACCTCACGAATATGCCCGATGGGCGTTGATCAAGTTGTTGCAAGAGAAGCCTGAGCCAGCCAAATTGGAGGAACCGATTTGGGAGTACGTGACGCCGTCACGAACGCAAGGCACGTTCGAAGATATCCCAAAGGACGTGTTAGCGTGGTTTAGATATCACGCAGAGCCGGATATCGAGGAAGATGTACCTGCGCCGAAAAAGAAGCCTGCGGTGTCGAGGAAGAGGAAGGGCGGTGCTGATGTGGATGGCGTTGGAGGCAAGAATGCTGCGAAGAAGCGGAAGGCTAGTCCGGGTGATGCACAGGAAGGCCTTACTATCGACAGTCTCCCGCCCATTAGTGCCATTATTGGCAGCACCGTGGAGGCTGCCAGTGTCGTCGGAAGCGCTTAAGTAGCTCCACCCCTTGCGCAAGGTTTCGTTGTGAACGCTGTTTGCGAGCACTGCGAGGAGCAATTCGATCGCACTGCCGAGAGGAAGGATGGAGAGTGCAAGTATCATTCCGGTAAGTGCAACCTCTGCACCCCTTTCTGGGCCACCTACTCGCATGAGTTCTAGTCGCAATTGGTGCTAATGCTCCGTTCAGGTCTGCTAGAGATTATCGACGTGGACAACGACGATGAAGACTTCTGAGCAGATAGCAATCCCAGATGTCATGATCTTTCCCCCGAGGGCTTGATAAAATGTCGTCGTAACCGGATTTGATGGTTCGAGGTTTGGGGACTCCTTTAGACTGCTAGAATTTCATTCTACATGAGAAAATCGATTTTGGTTCCTTTTGAATTGCTCACGTTCTGCCATACGAATTTAGCCTTGACCTTCTGTGACATTGATCTCAATTTGACAACGCCAGAAGTCCGCTAATAGACTGGATAGATACAATGATGACTATCTATCTGGCCATAGAAAATGTTGTTGGAGAAAGTCAGACAAACCACTTTACTCTAACAACGATACTCGTGATCATGACGTAGCGAAAATAAACCCCGCGGGTGATATAAATTGGTGAATGAAGAGAGGGAAAGCCCTGGAAATACTACAAACGACTTCACAAGTCGGCTGGCGAAACACATCTATAGGCTTTCAACAGCTGAACCACGTCGCTCCTTCATATCCTCCACACTCCCCACAACCACATCAAGCAGTGCGCCATGGCGGAGATCATCCACGAGCGGTGAGTCTCTATTTGTCTTATCGCGCTCTATTCCTGCCTCGCCCAAGGTTAATCTCGTGTAATCAGTAGGTTCTCCCCAGATGACGGTTTCTCCGACGTCACTCTGCGCGTTCATTACCCAGGCAGAGAATCCGATGGCGCCTTCGACGAATACAAAGCGCACCGTGTTATTCTCTGCCAGCAGTCAAAATGGTTCGACCGGGCCCTCAAAGGCAGATTTCTGGTACGGCGATGTCTTTCCGCTCGCTTTGCCGGGGAGGCTCTAACGTTTATAAAGGAGGCGTCTACTCAAGTCATCGATATCCACGAAGACGAACCCTCCGTCTTCAACTGCATGCTCCAGTTCATGTACGAACGCCATTACAAACTCCGCACTGTCGAAGAGGCCAGCGCCAAGATTGGTCCCTCCATTTCCAAGCAGGACCTCAAGACCATGACCTTGGATACACACATCGACGTCTACAACATGGCTCAAAAGTACCTCAATGACGATCTCCAAGCTTTCAGCGCGAAGCAATTCACGGAGGCCGCCTTGACCATCAGACCTAGCTATCCTGGAGTCCGCACCTCTGTGAACAAGCAGTTCGTGGAGCAGCAGTGCAGCGCTCTGGCGCGCGCGGTGGACCGTTTCTACGAGACAGCCTTGACGACGAATACGAAGATGGGACGCGCGATTGCGGCTGCGGCCTGGCAGAGCACTTTAGTGGACCGGGAACGATTCGATGAGCTCATCAATGAGTATCCGACGTTCGCTGTTGACGTCCTGCTGGAGGTGAAGAAGAACATGCGGCCTTCCAAAGACCACGAGAGTAGTGGAGATGCGGGCGCTAGTGTGGAGGTCCCCACGGGACCCCTGAATATCAGGCGCAGTGAGTTTCAGTCTACCTATGCACGGATGCTAAGAAGCTTAAGCTCATCCTCATTCCCAATCGTCTTAGACCGCAGAGCCCAAGGATAAGGTTTCTCCACGACGAAGGGACTGCGCCCCAACAGAGTAATTCGAGAAAAATGTATCTCTAATTACTGGCAACTAGATTGCGATGCTATCCTTTCTAAGTCAGAGCTCTCATAGCAAGTATGGTCGTAATAGATACTTGTAAACTAAATTGCTACCTTATGCAATATCTGGAAATCGTGTGCTCTGCAAAATTTGTTAGTCCTTTGACCTGGAGGGCGTTTGCGAGATCTAAGATTTTCAATCAGGCGGCTGGGAGACAATCGAGTATCATATCAAACCTGTCAAACCTGTCAAACCATCAAACAGAACTATTCATTGAGCAATTATATGGCGATGTCGATATTGGCAGCTGGTGAAAAGTGATGAGAACTCTGGTGTATTGCTATATAGGAGGATGGGTATATATAGGCGTGGAGGAGCCAAGCCAGCTGAGAGAAGGAACCTTGTTGAGCTGAAAGGTAACGCATGCAAGCTGAAGAATGGCGCTAAGGATGCGCTAGTATAGTAGCGTGTGGACGGCTGCCAGATATTGAAGATTCTCCGAGAGGGAATATATAGTTCGCCCGAATCTGCTGTACCCAGAATGTAGTCAATGAGGTCTCGCTCACTAATTGCTCAAACCCAACACCTCGCGATGTTGCAAAAGTCACTCGTCTTCGATTCAGGTAGGTTTTCCACCATGATTGTATCGCGAGGCGACTTCTGGCACCCTTTAATCTAGCACATGACAGGATCAAGTGTGCAGTAGTTGCTTGTATATCTGTGCAAACGCTCTGGGAAAAATTCTTTCATTGCATCCTTGGGTATTCAGCAGATTATATATAAGGAATTGAATAGTATCGAGGCCTGACACCGCGACTATACAATTCGCGGGTATGGCGTATATTGCGGCTCCTCAAATGCGCACAGAATAGTGAATTACTGACGAGGGTTCTAGAATCACGTGCCCTACCCACGGTTCAAAAGCCCCGGTAGAACATAAGAGTCAACCGTCCGTCTACTCTAACACTCCGTATCGCCTAAAATTCATACCACGACGAAATCTTCTCAGCATAGCAGCCACTCTCTCTTCGTAAATGTCTCCACTCACTACGTTCCTGTTCATTCTTCCGCAAGCGTGAAAACTGACCTTTATCAGTGTCTCCGCTCAGGTCTTCTGCCCAGATGACACCTTCTCCGATGTTACAATCCGCGTTTGTGAAGAAGATGCAGCGACCGATAGGCCGTTCACTGAATACAAGACCCATCGATCTAGTGCCAACAGTCAGAGTGGTTCCAGAAGGCGCTCAAAGGCAGTTCACCAGACTCTAACAAATTCCTGGGAAGCCTCCACCAACCTGATTGAGATCCTCGACGACGACCCTCGCATATTCGATTACATGATGTGCTTCATGTACGAACAAGCATACGAGGTCTGCGCGACCAGTGAAGCGGAAGAAGACGTCAAGGCCATGATACTCATCACCCATATGGGTATTTACACCATGGTCCAGAAGTACTTCAATGCGGGCCTGCACTCTTTCAGTGTCGCCCTCTTCAATAAATACATCTTGACACTCCGACCAGGCTTTCCCAGCAAGTCGAGGAAAGATCAAGAAACTACTCACATGGCACTGGTCGGTGTCGTGGAGCGATTCTATGATTCCGCTATAGCTTCCGGTACGACTATGGGTCAAGCTATTACTTCTGTGCTCTGGGCTTGCAAGGAGCTGGTCCATACTGAGAAGTTTGAAAGGCTTCTCAAGGACTATCCGACCCTTCGCTATGGATGTGGCTATAGTAGCAAAGGCGGACAACTCACTTGCCCGCGATTACGAACGCGGTAGACGATATAACAGGATGTCTAACATCAGGAAAGAAAAGTTTGTTGTTCGCGGTTAGCTTTTGTGGAGGGGCAAGCTACCGTGGTGACTCGAATAGTATAGGCACACTCGGACCAATTCGAGTACCTTTGGAGGACGAGCGCTGATTTCAAGATCGCTTTACTCAGGCTTCCAATTGATTCACAATTGTGGGTGGTCGTCATTAGCATTGAGTTTCTTTCGTGTCAGCGAGAATAGTTAGATATTTAGGGAATCCATGATTAGCTACCTTGAGGTGAATAGAACATACCGCGCTGTGAGCATCTACCATCTAATCACGTCCAGAGACATCTACGGGGAGGCCTCTAGATTCCGTGGCCAGCTTTATGTTTGGGAGATACTACAATTCATGATCACGTGGCCAAGAAGTAAAATCCAACGATCACATGTAACCAGCGGGCGCTAGTACCTGCACACTCCCTTTTCAGTAGTTACATACCCCCCTTCTTAGTAAACACACGCACCCTCTAGACCCTTGTTGTTTTATTACCTTCCTACCTTTGTATTAGCTGGGAGGCCCGGCCGGGGCCCTCCGGGCATTTTACTCTTACGTCTCTCTGCACGTGCATCCTATCTGTTTTATAAGGCCGTACATAAGGCTGTACGTAAACTAGCACAGCTATGCAATCTCTCTATTTTTCGGTGCAGCCTGTGTGTAAGCTTATATATAAGGTTGTATATAAGGCTATACAACCTCTTTATTTACATTTCATCCTATTTAATTTATGCACCTGTATATACGGGTATATAAATTAGATAGGCTACGCAATGGCTATACAAATTGGATAGGCTATATAACCTTGCGTATAGTATATGTCAGGGCCTGCGGGCGACATACCTGTGAGCGTACAAGTAGCTGGCTGTTGGGAATCGAGATCGAGTCTCAATTCACACTCTTTTGTGGCGCTGTTGGTAAAGCCAGCTGCCCGGCCTCACAGTATAGCCCGATATACAGTCTCGCCTACGCCTAAGTGAATAGAAAAGGCTATACGTGCGGATGCGCGTGAAAATAGAGCTCCGGACAAAGCTCTAAGCCGCTCCAGCTAATTAAAAAATCAGACAAAGGTTTGGGGGGGGGAGGGGTGTTTATCGAGAAGGGCGGTGTATAACTACTAAAAAGGGGTACATTCTATTGATTAAATGATCCGCCGGTGTGCTCTTATAGTTTATATATCCACTCTAATCTAGTGCATGATCACGCTTCTTCTACATCTTGCACGCCACCCACTTCACAAGACTCAGGTTGCAGCACTACAACCTAGGATCAACAACTCATATGCCAGAAAGCTACTCTCCGAACATCAGCTGTAGAGAACCCAGCTGAAATCTCAGCTGTAGAGAACCGAGCTGAAGCCTCAGCTGTGCAGGGCTCATCTGAACTTACTAGCGCGCCACCCTGGGGGTGGCCCCCTTCCTTCCCCTAGTATATATACAACTAGCTAGACGTCTATAGAAATCAGAGTTCACATCAATTTCAACCTGAGTACAAGTGCCTAGCAAACAGCATGGCAACGCTTTGCACGCAGTGAGTTCTTTTAACCATTTTCCATAATTATCAGAAACAGAATGCAAAAGAAGAGCAGAAGGCGCTAGTAGCCGCTGTGGAGCGCTATTACGCCACCGCCTTAGTCTCAGGTACAAGTATGGGTAAAGCTGTGGCTTCCGCAGCCTGGGCTTGCAAGCAACTCGTTGACAACGAGGAATTCGACCGCCTCTTGAAGGAGTATCCGATGTTCGCAGCCGACGTAGCTATGGCGGCGACGAGACGACCGACTCCGTCGCGATACCGAACGACGCAGACGTTATACGGAGAACAACAGGTTGCGAGAGCTCGAGTTCGACCTGCGCGGCTAAAAGCGCGCTACGGAGGAAGATATAAAGCGGGCTTCGCTGTGGGGACTTTGGGGAGGCCAGTTATCTATGAAGAGAGATGCCTTACTTTTAGGTCTCTTCATAGGTTGCAATTTGCGCCTTCTTTCTCATGCAACTTCTTTGAAGCTCATGCTTAGTCATTTATCTGTTACGCCGTACAACAGAGATGTTATAGGCCTGCTATGCCAGTCAACTCTGCTCTCTATCGAGTACATGAGACTGCCTCCTGCTGATATCCTCAAATGAAATGCATGCTCTAGCAAGGGAAGATTTGCCATTTCCGCTAACTTGATCCGACCTATATAACTACATACCTATGATCTAACTTTACTTACGCATTCTAGGTTTTCTTGTTTCATTCACCAGTAGTCCAACTCAAGCACGGCCATACAAGATATATCCACTCATATCCACGGCAAGATAGTCACATTAATCTTAAATAATTCACGAATCTCTCATGAAGTCTAATAGCAGAAATGGAGGGTGGGATGAGCTCTTACATTCCTACCAAGTTTCCCTCTAAGCTATTCCATATGCTGCATATGCAGAAGGTTAGCCGGTTAATGATTGGGAAATCCTAGTAAAAATATCGCTTGGCGGTCTGCGGCATCGGAGCTACCGGTAGTAACGCATAGCGATGGTTCCCCTAGGTCCGTTTGAGAGGGAAAATCGTTGCGCCGAAGTCGTAAGATCACGAGGGCTCATGCCTGTCAAAATATAATCGTCACAGCCGAATAACACTTCCACGACTCGCACACCCCGCCAAACCCCAGCTCCCAGCACCGACCAAATACTATGTTGGACTATCGCAAACAGTGAGTTCTTACGCTTACCACAATTATAGTTCGAATTCATAGCATGAGGACTGATCGAAACACGCAGATTCTTTCCGGATGCGGAGTTCTCTGACTTCGTCCTCCGCGTCCATCATCCCCCGATTGCTGTGCCCGGAGCGCTGTTCACCGACTACAAACTCCACCGCGTTATCCTATGCAGACAGTCTCAGTGGTTCCGACAGGCGTTCAAGGGCGTCTTCAAGGTACGCCTGCTGTCTCTCTTACCCCTTGCCATGTCAATCCCGAAATCTAATATTCTTGACCAGAACACCTCTGACGTCACCGAAATCCGCGAAGAAAACTCGATCTACTTCAATGCCATGATCCAGCACATGTACGAAGGTTCCTACGCACTCCGCGAAGCCCACAACGGAGATGAGAAAATTCGGACCATCGTTACCCACATTGGTATTCACAAGCTCGCGCAGAAGTACCAGAACGATAGCCTCCAAGCCTTCAGCGTCCAGGCCCTTGCCGAATTCATGGCAAAGCTCGCATCTTCTACTAAGGCCTCCAACCTCTCTTCGGCACAACAAGAGCTCGAGCGGCTCGATGAGAGGATCGCGATAGTGACAGCCTGCGAGAGGTTCTACGAGACTGTCACTGCAGCCACGACGGATACACCCGTGGGCCGGGTCATCGCGAGCGCGGCATGGGCTTGCGACGGCCTGGTCATGTCTCAGCAGTTCGACAAAATGCTGAAGGAGAGGCCCACTCTTGCTGTTGACGTATTGCTGGGCATCAAGGCTACGAAGCCATCTCCTGAGGAGCTCAATCGCCGCTGCGAGGCAAGTATTCTGGCGGACCTCGGGCGCGATTCTCGCCCTAGAAAGATCAGAAGGGGAGAGCTAGGGGGTCTTTGAGATAGAACACTGCTCTATGAATTGGGGAGGGCGGCAATGTTGCCGGTGGATGTGGCTTGAGTGATAGGGGCAATGGATGGACAATACAGACAGTAAAGGCCTTCATTCGGCCTTCCTTCTAGATCCAGTGCTAGGTCATAAATTCAGACACACGGATATACCACTGTTCTAACTTCACTCTTGCTCTTTCGACACCACCGTAAGGAGTGTCCGGGGTAACATGTTTTGAATTGGTCAAAAAGTAGTCTAATTCCCACTTCGGTGACCTTTACGTCGTATTTGGAGTTTTCAAAGCCTGTCGGGGTACTATACCAACCCGCCCGATCCTGTTACACGGCCTGTTTATCAATCAAAAACTCTTCTTAATGCCTCACACGTGCCTCAAAGCTGGAAAAGCTAAGTTCTGTTCTGATAATTGATGTCGACTGAGACATTCTATTGACTCTTTCCTTTAAACATAAGCTTGAGCTAAAGCCCCTTGGCAACTCTTCGGTCGTCGTCGCTTTTCGCTGTTGTAACTACAAAGTCCAGTACTTACCATTATTTACCATTTATGAGATGAACAGAAGTCTTTTCATTTTTTGGGATTAAGACTGATTGGTCAAGAAATTCTCAGTCGCCGTACATAACAATCACATGAACACATTCAGTAAAAGTATAGTCGTTTCTGACGCCGTCATCTCGTTTGATTCTCTATGGTTGACCAAATTTATCCGTCCGTGCCGAGAATACAAGACCGTCTCTCAGCGTGAAATGGGAGCTTGTTTTGTGGCGTCCTTCACTCGAGAGCAACCATCGCCACAAGTTGATCCTCAAGCTCATGTAGTGTCGTCTCCATCACCTAGAATTTCTCCGCGGCGACCAGCATTCTTCGCTTGATATCTAAGCGCGAGCACGACGTCGATGGCGAAGATTGGGGACAGTGCGAAGAGCTCAACCAAGTCGTCGTCCGATAGGCAGTGCGGGAAGATGGCCGCCCTCGCAATTGCGACACCCATCTCTGATTTGCTGTAGTCTCCAGAAACATACGGGCCCATATAGTGAATGCTGACAGTGGTCTTCAACTTCGCAATCCACCAGCGCTTTCGGACAGGAATGCTCAGGCTGCCTCTGTCTTTGTTGACAGACTTCCTCTTGTTCCAGTTGCTGAATAGCTGATCTATACCAGCAATAGCCGCCTTGCACAGCCTGGGGACGCCGTATTTCTTTCCGAGGTGAAAAGCTACGACGTGGCTTGTGGGGGCTTCAGACGGCTCGAAATTATTAACGGCAGCGAGGTTTTCGGTCTCGTAGTCATAGTTGGAAGTGTAGAGGAACTGCAACATGGCCTTGAACGCCTTTGGCTCACGCTCGACTACATCCAAGGTGCTCACGCCTTCCTGTTCTACATGTTAGACGATAAATACTGCGTAGGTTGATGCAGGCCACCAAAAAGATGGACAGTGTTAGGAATGTACTGTACCTCTATGAGACATTCTCTTAACAAAGAGGAGTGCAAGCAGAGCACTATTTTGTGCGCCCTGATTTCCTCTACGGGGGAGCCGGGAGCATGGAGACGAAGCAGTAAGTCCGAAAGTTCAGCCCGACCGTAGAAACTGTAGCGGGTCAGTCGTATGTTCTCATGTAGGCGCAGAGCTTGTGGTGGAGGGAACTCACGGGAACGCGCCCGCCATTGTGACTGTTCGGCGTCTGGGTGTCGAGGATGCCGGGGAGAAAATGAGTGAGGACGATTGCCAAAGCTGAAATTGAGGTCACTTTTCGCGTAAGTCTTGGCACTCTACTTAAGCTATGGTGAATTTTGAAATGCTGCCTGATCAAACCCTTGTTTTCTGCGAACAGTCGAAGACACATGGCACTCGGTCTTGCGCTATTGTTTGATGTAGAAACACATCCTTATACGACCCTTTTCGAAATCATGGGAATCTACTACTAAACTACACTATTTATTTGTCATTGGGTACAAACTCTTTGACTCAATTGAGATATATCTTCGGTGAAACAATGGCAAAATGTAGCATGTGTCGCGTCTGATACAGTTAAGCTAGACAATCTCATATGACCTTGAGCCCAAATTAATGTACACATCAGAGACCTCTGTCTTAACCTATTGTCTGCACTATCTGTCTCTAGAGTTGAAAGTTGAATCAACGATAGTTTGAATACAGCGAGAATGCTCTTGCAATGCTACACCATTACCAGATGTTCAGCTAGTAAAATAACGAAGAGCAAATGCGTGAGGATCGTTTCAGCTGAAGAGCTTCCCAGGAAGAATTAACACCTCTGCATGCCCCTCGTCTCTTCTAATACTCGCACTCCAGGACAAGCCCATGTCCGCACCTACCGACTCGCTGCGTAGCCCAGGTAATATATAGCCGTCTCTACGGAAATAATGTATACATAGGGATTCATCTTTGAAGGAGTGTCGGTCTTTTACAACGATCCATTGATATATATTCAGATAGGTAAAAAAGCGGTTACACACAATATCCTCGATCATACAATATGAAGTTGCATCAAGCTAGGCCATATGGGCGATCTTTGACACAGAGCATATTGAGGCGAGTCATCTTCCGTCGCCGCATCCCGCTATCGATACTTAGGTGTGTCTACACCGTCGATTCGGTGAAATGAGGCAATCTCTTTTATATAAACTGTGCCAGAAAACTATTCATCTCGTGTCTTGAATAGCTTTCTACGGGCTGCTTGCACCAGAACACGTACCGCAAAGACTGGGAACGCACGGCCGCACTCTTTAAATTGAGCAGTCCTAGTCAAACTCGCAAGAAGAATGACTCTAGCCAGGACCATACCAAGCTCTGAGTCCTTCCCATCTTGCTCTTGTAGGCATCGTGAACCAAGCTCCAGAACCTACGCATGTTGTCGCAGCTCTCCCAATCGCTTTCTTTTGCGTCCTTGATCGTGTTTAAAAGAGCGCTAGCGGCGGTCTCGAATGCTTGAACGGCCTGCAATTGAAGCGGCGCAACTCCATACTTCTCGGCTGTCTTAACGATTCCGACCAGGTGGAGAGGTGGGAGAAGGGATGTTCGTTCGCGGAATAGGTGAGATAGGGGGTATAGTCCTGTCCTAAGTGGTAGATGCATCGTAGGATTGTTTCGAAGATACCGGACGTGTCGCCGTAGAGATCAATGACGGTGGCACTTGAATTTGTGTCCTTCAAAAGGCGCTTATCAACTTCGATGTCGGATTTTTGAGGGGGTGGTGACATACCGTCTCGAGGATTTTGGCCTTGAACCAGCTAGATTCTCGAGAGAGAGGTTGATCTTGTGTGCATGAAAGTCCATCTGCCCATGTTTGCCTTGCAGGCGGAGCGTGATATCTAAGAGTCGAGGGTCGTTGAAGTAGCTGGGAACGACATGAGTACAGTGAGAGAGAGAGGGTAGGATTTATCATACGAGCCCCTGACTTACGTGGTTCTGCTTTTGACAGCCATAGTGGTGGTTATGATGTGCGGAGTTGTTGAAAGTTGGGTTTCGGAAGCTCAGAGGCTCGGGAAGTAAATAAATAGCTACGGTAATTAAGCGTCCAGTCACCTGGCGTAAGGTGGCTGGGGCTGGTCAACCAGTTCAGATGCTTTAATTCACCGTGTGATGCAAATTATGGAGACCTCCAAGCCCAATCTTCTTCCAAGTTTGACCTCTACATTACAAACACCCAACCAAGAGCTATCCCGATCATCGATTTCAAGATGGCTAGCATAGCAGACATGTCCTCGTAATTTTCTTCATGCTGGCTACCTTGGAGTCGACCAGCTGCAATCTCTGACACTAGTGCATTCGAGTAGCCCGCCGTAGTACCACCAATGAAATAGGTCTTATTGGATCCTCAATTGACTTTTACTTGCACGTGCTTAAGAGAAAACATTCAACACCTCGAAGCTGCCAATACCCCGTCCAACCCCAACTCCCAAATTTCCTTCACATCGGGCAGTTGTACCCGTAGAAGGTACAATACCGCATCTCCAAATTCTTCTGAACCGCCTCCGCATACTTCGAAACCTCATCTATGAGCCTTCTGAACTCTTCGCTTTGAACGAACCCGTTCGAGCTATCCATCCCAATATTTACCATCAGATCGCCCATAGTATCTTGAGTCGCAACATATTCATAGTGACAACGAATGGCAGCCGCAAGCGCCGTGTGATAGGGACGAGCTGGAGTGGATGTCGGGGCAGCCACAGCCTGTTTGAAGGATTCGAAGGCCAGGCGCTCGAGCTCGGGAACTTGATAAACTCGCGCTAGGTGGTAGAGTTGAAAGTGGAGCTTCAGGATAAAAGCGACCGGGTCTTCATTGCCACTGTCGTAGGGGTGAGGGTCATAAACTCCAGTTGAGAAGAAGGCGACAATTTGTTCGAACGCGGGTTTGGGGAGGTTGTAGAATTCGAGCGACTCAGGAAGCTAGATTTCGGTGAATTTCTGGGGTTCCACTCGGGTAGGGGAGTTCGGTGGACTTATGTTGAATCTTTCGGAAAGCGTAGTGCGAAACCACTTAGACTCGGCGCACAGAGAAGAACGATTCGCGGAGTAGGTGAAGACTTCGTGGGAATGATGGAGGCGGAGGGTTACGATAGACTTGTCGGCGTCGGTAGTGTTCCTATGGGCCAGTGAGGTAAGTTTCCTTCAAGATCGTTCTCCCTGCGCTTGGGGCCTTTTGAGCGAAATCTGGAACCTACTGGTCGTTGAGAGCTGGCCTTGCCTTCTCCGCAAACTCCATGACAAAGAATGTGGAGACAGGCTGCGTGTTGTGGACTGCGGTGGTGTGGCGATGAAGAGATTGGAAATCTGAGATTATAGTGCAATCGGGCGAACTCTATAGAAAGGTCGTACGATAGCGAACTGCCTGAGGAATGTTCACCAAAATTTCAATCTTGGCGGCGAATTCTTGGCTCGTCCCCCAGCTGCGATTTGGAACCACTTATTTCAGTTCAGCTTTGAGTTCATCTTCTTCAGACCTCCAAAAATTACTATTCGCATGTAAAATATGAGATAGAACATATCTGACGTTGAAAATGGGTTGTTGTCGGAAAGAGGGCTTAGAACTGTGAAGTTTGAAGCAAGTGATATTACACGAATGGAATGGCCAAAGCTCAAAGGGGTCTCTCAAATCTCTCGAAGTTATACGTTGGCGCTAGACATGCTGCCGCATCGTAGGTTCCACATCCACCTCTGCGAGAAAGGCCAATCAAGGTTCAGATACTACAAAACGCTAGATATCAAGAACATGGCAGTGACCTCTAATGCCTTCCAGATCGTTCACGCATCTGAATCTTTCTATATCGCTGCAACACGCAAACTGATAAGTTCAGAAATAAGCTTGACATGGGCGCCGTGCTCAAAGGTTTCATTCACATCACAAAGCTCTCAATTTCAACACACACTCACCTCTACTAGCTTGAAAGGCTTTTCAATCCTGAAAACACTAACTCTAGAATATGAGCTCCCAAAAGCGAGAAGGGTCGCCCTTAGAGATGCAACGTGGGGCAAAGCGGCAACAACGGGAGATCGATAGAGACGTGGAAGACTCAACCGTTTCAAAAGGGGCAAAAAGGGAGCTGGAGAGTGATCTGCTGAAAGACATGCTGCATACTCAGCATCAGCATCGCCAGGAGGAAATTCAGGCTATCAAGAAATCCATGGCGTTGTAAGTCGAACCGTTAAACCGAATACCGCCATTTTCTGAGAACTCTCACGACGCTGATACTCAACAGATACTACAACAAAGTCGATCTCTCTGACGTCGAAATTCGACTCTATGATCGCAGTGGCGAGGCCGTAGTCTCTCGGTATCCAGCACACCGTGTGATGTTGCATCAGTCGCTCGTCCTCCGGGAGCTGCTCTTCGCTCGAGAAGAAAATCGTTACGCCAAAGGCATGATCCGGGTATTTGTATCTTTGCTTATTTAGAGTAAAGTTAAGCTTACGTTCATTCTAGGGGCCCTACATTGAATCTACCCTACACGTCTCAGAGCGAGCTCTCCAGGACATCAGGCAATTCTTCGAGAAACGGGCGCATGATCCGAAAGCACAGACTGATCAAACTGAAAATACTATCAGCACCTGGATTAACCTATATGCCAATCATATGCCGCAGAATAATTCTGAACAAATCTTGGGCGTGGATCCTATTCGGGGAGTTCTAGTGAACAAGACTGTCGAAGATCAGATGACGGTTCTCAGCATACGGAACATACGAAAGGATGATTTCGAAGAGGTACTGCGGTTCCTCTATAGTGGCACATACGAGCCGAAGGGCCCCGAAACTCCTAAAGAGGAGGGCGATACATACGGATTCCACCAGTACATGAACACAGCCATCGCGGCAACGAAATGTCAAGTAAGAGATCTTCAATCTGCTTGCAGCAAACATTTCACGATAGCGGTCAAAAACGCTAAGAAACACGGAAATGAGATTCTTCAGCCAGGCAAAGAGGAAGAGTTCCATGTCGCTCTTGGCGCAGTTATCCGTTTATACTACTCTCAGGCGCCGGCCGCATCCCCTCACGACACGGTGGGTCGTGCAATCAGTGAGCTCGTGCTTCTTGATCTAGAGGAGTTTGTCAAGACAAAGGAATTTAGGGAGCTTGTGACAGGCTTCCCTGACTTCAAAAGACATGTCAAGATTGTATCAAACAAACACAACCTGCCTTTTGAGATGACATCAGGCAAGCAGCCGCTCGTCGAAAAAGCGTCGGAGTATAGAGAAACTCCCGATATCAAGTCAGCGTAGGGAGGCTCTTTAGGGGATGACAAATTCGTCGGTCAACTCGGAGGTGTCAAAAGGGATGTTTTTTCCCCAGAATTTCAGTTTTTCGAAGTCTCTTCGTCCATAGTTTAGTAGTAACTAAGTGTTAAGCAAATCTTTGGCTTTCTACCTAATCCATGCCTTCAGCGATATGAGATCACTCGCTCACGTTCTTCAATCGTCCGAGGGGGCCTTAAATCAAGTATCTTTCCGCTCAAACCTGCGCCCAACTAAAACCAATTCCTAGGGGCCAGTCGACCATTCTCATGCAGGAAAACGAGCCCCGCCTGCACCTCTTCCCCCTCGAACTGCCAGCCATTTGTGTCTCGCAAGATATCCGTACCAGGCATGTCAGGCCTATTAAAGCGCCAAACAGAGATATTGCCATCCCTGGTATATTCGTTTTCATGAAAGAGATAGGCTCGTAGCTTATTAGCTGACTCCTCGTTGCCGAAGACGTAAGGTACGTTCTTCCTGTTGAAGATCGCGCGAACGAAAATGTACTCCAATTTCTTCCCGTATCGCGCCAGTACTTTGAGGACGAAAGTCATGTCAACTGATCTATATGTAAGAGCTGTTCGAGTGAGCATAACGCCATCTAAGCTGACGTAGTGTAGCGAGGCGGCTTTTGCTTCGAATAAGGCGGATAACCTGTCTGGGCAGATGTTGAGGCCATGAAGGGACAACGAAGTCAACATGCCGGACGGGATGTGGGCTAGGGACCAGCATTCGACACACGTGTTGGAAGCTGGGATGGTGCTTCCATTTAGGCTGAGGTCGTTCAGCTGCGGCGAGTACTTGATGAGATCCTGCCACAGGCTCCAGTAATAGCGATCGTATCGATACAACGAGTCGTTCTCACCGCAAGAGTAGATCTTGCGTAGTGAGCGTAGCTGAAGGCGCCTGCCGTTGTGGCCAGGCCAGGCGGCAGTGATATCTTGCACGAGACTCGAGAGTCCAAGCGCATGTGTGTCGTCAAGTATATCTACTTTGAATTCTGTCATATGTGCCACGGCTCTGCAGAGAATGGTCTTGTGGATGCATTGGCCAAAGATCGAAGGCTTCTTGCAACGGTTGCACCACGACAGGTCGACGAATGGCTTCGCATGTCGGGGCGGAATGGAGTCTCTGGCACGGAGGAGGGTGCCCTCTGCGTGGTAAGGCGCATCAACCAGCTCGACAACTTCCAGAGCAGGCAGTGCGGCCAAGGACGCGAACAATATACTCAGAGCGACGGCGAGATCACCCTCGTTTCCCCATTGTTGCGGTGGAGGGTCAACAAAATACGCCGGCCAGTCCAAGTTTCCAGTATTGTATCGATAAGAACCAGGAGTGCTGCGGTAGACCGCGCACGGAGCGCAGCTGAAGGACATGCCAATGACCACCTTTTGGACACGTTTCGCAAAGGAGGCATTGCTGGCGAGTTCGACGAGTGCGATTAGGCCTGCACGTGACTTGTCGAAGTTCAGCACAAAGTGCTTCTCTTTAAGATGACGTCGCGTGAAGTGGTAGTTCGTCTTCTGTTGTAGGTCTGTGCAGGTGACTCGAAGAGCGAGGAAGCTGTTTCGCGGTAGGAATTGGGCGATATGATCGATAATTTCGCCAGGGCAGTTGAGTAGTCCAGCGCCTCCATGGCATTCCATCTTTTGCTCTGCTGCTTCCTTTTCAGCCTTCATTCGCTTCCTCGGGGATGTCGAACCGCTCAGGATATCCGTCAATTTGGATACATTGCAATCCTCCAGCTTTCGCTTTCTCCTGCCCGCAATGTCGAGTGCCATAATGTAGTGGCCTACAGCGAAACGGCTTGTAGCCAGGGAACGGCTGCGGTTGGATAACTATAAGTGACCAGGAAATTTTGTGTAGTGAGGCAAGGGTGTGCGGCGAAGGTTCCGAGTATGGGAAGGTGTTTGTGTGTGCTGGAGACTTGGTTTGTACCGAAGGTTCAGGGTGTGGCAGGGACAAGGTGATTGATAGAGAGAGGGTGTTGTAGCATGGAGATCGTACGTTGATATATTGGTGTACACCGCAGATTTTGGATTTCATCTAATCCGCCGCATTCACTACCGCGGCCTACGGGGTGAATCGCCTACCGGGTGCATCATTTCTGCACCAACACTAAGCCTTATCGAGATCACATCATTGGTATCATTCACCAGGCTGACCTCCAGCCAGTGCTTCTATACAGAAGCTCCGCCGTCCTCCGCCCGAACTCATTCCTCTTTCCATAAGTCCCACCACCCCGAATCATCAACACCGCACCATGGCACACCCACAACGTCTCGATCCTCTTAATACCGGCCAACCTCCCCTCACCCCTCCGGCCAGCGTTGCGCTTGGAAATATCAAAGAAACTATCACCGGAGATTTGAAGAGGATGTCGGAAGACTTCTCCCCGGACACCAAAAACCAATACCCTAAAGTATCTACAGGAGCGGAAGAGCCCATAAGAATTCCCAACACTGGACGCGCTAAGTGCTTCCGCGTAGCATGCAACCTCCCCCAGACTGGCGAGCGCGTCCGGCTATGCCTGTACGCTCAAATCCACCAGCGTCGTATTACTGGCCTCGTCCACCGCAAAAGGCTGGAATGGGATATCGAAGCTATTTGACTGTCCCAACCCCTAGCCCTCCGCCCATGACTGGTGATCCAGACTCCCTTACAGCGTGATTGACATGCCAAAGGATAGAGGAGAACCTGCACCAAAGCAGCCCCGAAGCCTAGCTACGACGAAGTCAATCCTCCAAGAGCTCAGGGAGATCTTCGAAGCAATGCAAACCCCAAGCTCGTTCGAGGTCAATAAGCGCGGCACGCTGCCTCCCAAGTCATTCAGCCCTCCAACAGGGCTCCTCGACTGCCCTGGCGAGCTTGTTGACATTATTGCTCAATACCTCCCGCGTAACAGCTTCCTAGACCTTCGGGCTACCTGCAAAGACATGAAAGAGAAGACAACCTACCACTTTGAGCGGCGCCACGTTCAGGAGAAGCGACTTGCGCTAGGTGGCTCTCGTGCAGGATTACACTCCCTCGTCGAAATCGCCAGCCAACCTAGCTTCGCAAAGCGTGTTCATAAAGTTGTTGTTGAAGGTGGAAACCTGAACACATTGGTCGTCCTTAAAGCACGCCAGTCGCTTGGTCGCGAGTGCGGGACCTTATGTCCAGAGCTATGCTTCCACGATTGCACCCTAGACCTTGGCGTCTTGGTTGTGGATAGCAGGACCGTAGACTTTGGCCTTTTCATCGCTTCCCTTGCCACATTGCCGGCGCTTGAAGTCGTTGAAATCACCGACGAAACGCGTAAGACTAAGGACCTACTTGATCGGCCTCCGCTTTTTGATGATCGCGCCGCGGCCCGATTCATGAACAAAGAGCGCTGCTTTCGATGCAAGCAATCTGCAACAGCAGGACGATGCGTTCATCTGACTATGCTCAGCAAGGCGCTTCTAGGACTTACCCTTGACGCGAAGCCAAACGTGCCTCCCAATCAGCCTGTCCAGCCCTTTCAGAGCCTCCTATCACTTGGTCAACGTCTCGGAATGCTGCCAGTCGTGGAAGAAGAAGACTTCAATCCCCTCCTCCCCCATTCGCTTCATTCTCTTCGTGAGATACATTTCCGAGCAAGCCCAATCTCGCTTTACAATAGCTAGGAGCCTAACGTTTGGAGTTTTTGGAACCACGTATTCCGCTCTGCGCCCAAGCTGGAGTCGATCAACCTAGACTGTGACTGTGAGCACTTTCGGCATTCCTTCTCTTACACAGTGCATGGCTGCTGGTCTCCGCGTGCGCAGTTCTTCGCGTCGAACCACCTTACTTCGCTCACGTTGAGGTACCTTCGATTCCACCCGACAGCCGTATCGGAACTCCTACGCCGATGCAAGAGTACTCTGCGCAAGATCACCCTAGAAGGCGTCGTCCTAGGTAACTCAAGCGATATTCTACAGACAATCACGGAATGCAAAGAGCTTGATTACCTTTTCGTTCGCGCTCCTTTCGTAGTCGTAGGCTTCCCCATCATCTTCGACGATGATGAATCAATTGAGGAATTGCGCGAGTTCCTCCGGACGCTCATTCGGAGTATCGGGCATTCCCAAATTACCCGTTACCCCAGAGGAGATAGCTTTAACGAAGTGGCAGTGTACGGAGCACGCCGGAGTTACCGAACCAGAGCGGAGTCGTGATGTAGTAGGTTGGAAGTTCGAACATGAGGCTGCGGGTCCAGGAGCAACGTTTCTGTTGGCTCAAGCGCGAGGGTGGTGGCCTTAGGTTGCATAGTCGTATGAATGATATGGGTCCTTATAGAGGAAATTGAGGCAGGGTTACCACGGTATGCGAATTGTAAATGAGTAAAGTGACCAGAGGAGCCTCATGCTATAGACTTGGAGCTTAATCATGAAGCTACTCTGCATCTCTACCATGTGACAAAGGACCATTGCAAGCCACGAAATACCGTCAAGGGTGGCCCACCTGCTAGGCAATGAGCTGATATAAAGGTAGCCTAATTTTTCACTGCATCGATCTTTACAGGCTTTCATGATTTTTAAAGACCCACCGGAGTACTCCAAGTAGTACTAAATGCGTGTGAATGGAATTCCACTGATATGCTATAAAAAGCCCCTTTCGTAGACTCTCACAAAGGACCATGAGTTCTCATTATCTAAGGTGCATAATAGATTTCTACAAACCATAGCGGTACTGTCGTTATGGGGATAAGCTTCGCCACGACAAGGATTTAGCCGACCACAAGTCACGTGGTTCCGACCACGGATGGATATCTTCATTTGTCAGCCTCGGCGCTGGCATGCCGTAAGGTACCTCTATGGAGCACCTCCACCACAACTCGCACCGGCTTCAAACAGCACGCCCCTGGGCCATCCAGTCTAAGAACTTTGCAATGAACATTAACTTCTCACACCAACCTTTTACCGTCCCCGACTCCATAATATTGCTGCCGATCAACCTGTGTTAGCATGTCTCAAGCTCTATCGCCTTATCAACCATACGCTACGCTTCAAAATTGTGTGATCCACCGCTCGATACTTCCCTCAACAGCATTCAATGAAGTTTAGAGCGCTAGGAACCAACGCCCTATAAACAACGAACAATTAATCTCATGGTACTATGTTATAAACACGTGCACCTGAATATATAATTGCGTAGGGTCATTCTTCATCTTTTCATGCCACCGTTACAAGTGGCCCAGCTAGCCAGCAGGCGCTCAGTCATGAGACCGGCTAATTCTCACCGCGACAGCAATAACAACGTATTAAGAGGTCTCATGACAAGGCGTTCATGACAAGGCATTGTATGCGTTGACCCTGTTAGGGATTAGGGGTGAGAGCTACGGCAGGCGCACAGCACCTCTTGTATATAACCTCACCTTCCTCAGACCTCTCTCTCTTCTCTATCATCATCGTCCAATACATCACGTACACGACCTACAGCTCCTTGCTCCGTGATGGATAAACAGATGAATGTTTAATGCGGGGAACGGCGGAAGATCGAGGCGAAAGACATGGAGGGGCATGAAAATGGAGATCTGAAGGGGTGGAAATTCGAGGAGCAGGCGGTGCAGGCGGGCATCCTTTTTTGGGGGCGAGTTTAAAGGATTGGGCAAGTATAAGGGGAAAGAGGAGGAAGAAGGGGGAGTCTTCCCCTATAGTCGCGATATCAGTATCATGGCAGTAGAATCTGATTTATATTTTGACTGGCTAGCTTCCTAGCTACCGGGCTATTCCTGACAGTGGTGTCTCGCTTCCAAGATAGTCTTCAAGTAGTTGTATGTCCTTACTCCCAGACTTATGTTCTAGCACTGTATATTCGCACTCTAATAGGGACTATATATGACATCTACGTCTAGGATTAACTGAAGTTTACCATGAATACCTTACTCTCGATAGCTGTTGCCAAGGCCTCACTATTAGAGCTCTATCATAGCTAGTATCATTGTGAGTAGCACCGATCAACAATACTGCACAAAGGTTGGAATTTGCAAGAGCCTCCGACCGTGTCTAAGACTTTGAGTTGTTCATGAAAATAGAGTAGCCCACTACTTGGGTCGAATTAAAGATACCCTTCCCACGCCCTGCTCTGCCAGACTTAGGTTGCAAATTGACGTGAACTCTGTTTGATTTGTGAAGCCGTACGAGCAGACTATATACTACATAGGGAGCGTAGGCATAAGTACTAATTAGAGGCAGCAGTAGGCAGCGGTAGGCAGGGTAGGCCACCGTACCCCAACCCCTCTCTGTAGAAGTTGTAATTGGCTAGGCACGTAGGCCGGAAACCCTGAGTGCCAGCAATGCTGCCATATGTGTTTCCTACTGCTGCAGTACTCTACCATTCTCTGCTAAAAACCTCGCACCGGCCGCTACGTCCCCACCCTCGAACTTCCACCCGATCAAGTCCCTATTCTGCTCCGAGCCAGGGATGTCCGACACCTTCACCTCCCCGTTGCGCCACATCTCGCGAGCCTCTTCAAAGCCTCGCGCGCCCAAAAAGAAGAAGTCCATCAGCTCCATCTCCTCGGTCAGAGTCCCAAAGGCCCACGGGAAAGCTCCATCAATCGGACGCAAATCGAACACGGCGCGTACAATTAACCGAGTCAGACCTTTAAGTCGCACTATTATGTTGAAAGCCGCTTTAGGCCCTCCCACAACCATGACACCCTCGAGCGTGAGCTGCCGCAGCGTCCTTGTCCGGATCCCGCCAAAAGGCGCGTGGTAAGCCATGATTTGCACATTGCGAAGCGTCACCGATGTCAAACAGTAAGGGCCGACATCTAACCGGACCGACACTTGCCAAAGCGGGCGATTCGCGTCGTCATGCTCGTACTCGAGGCGGCTCCCGTTGACGTCAAGTGTGTCTAGCGCCGGGGCAGACTTGATGAGAAGATCGCAGAGACCGAAATCGTAGAACCAATCTCGGTACAGCATGTCCGGGTCAACGTGGATCTTCAGCGTGCATAGAGACTTGAAGCAGGGGTTGTGTCGAGGAGCCCAGCGTTTCTCGTGGTGATAGGAAGTCCGATCCTTGACCAGAGCGGACAGTGCGGGGAAGGGGACGTTGAAGAGCTTGGCGAGATCATGGAGGTGCGGTATGGTTTTTCCTACCGCCACGAGACCTTTGCAAAACATGTCAAAGTACGATTCTTGCTCAGACGCACTAAGCAACGGCTCGCTAGAGCTCTCAGACGTATTCGAAGTGCCAGCCGGTGCGTAGACGAGTTCGACGGTATTAAGAGCCGGCATAGCCTCTAGCGAAGCCAATACGAGGCCGATGTCTGCGATACGCTGGCGGTCCCTTTGTGGGCTGGACTCGGGAGCTCGAACAAGCACTCGATCGGGCTGATCGGTGGCTAATGCAAGAAAGTATGCTTCAAGACCGATTACCACCTTTTCCGTGCGATCGGCGTATGAAGGATAGCTGCAGAAATTGACGAGAGAGTGTAGTCCGGCACGAGAGTTCTTTGCAAGGACGACACGCTTTTCCTTGAGATGTCTCCGAGTCAGATGATAATCTGTCTTTTGCATCAAGTCCTTGCAAGTCTGTCAAAGGGCGAGAAAGGAGTTGCGTGGAAGGTGTTGGGCAATCATATCGATGAGCTCTGCCGGAACACCCAGGATCGGACACCTTGATGGAGGTTGTAAAGGCGAAACGGGCAGCTCTGGGTCTGGATTGGCCTTTGCAAGACCCGCATTAACGTCTTTCATGCTTGTAGCTATAACAAGAGGGTATAGATTTTGTGAAAGAAGGCAGTGCGGAGGACGCTGAAAAGTGGCTGAGAGAAGTGATTGTATACGGATTGTGTGATGTGGTGAGTAGTGTGTGGTTGAGGTGGTGGTAGCAGGAACTGAAGTGGATGTGAAAGACCCATGGAGCGGTAACGAAGATCAATACATACTGGAAGATTTTAAGATTTCAGTGAATGTGACCACCTACGGTGTATCTTGCCACAGACAGCTGAGTTTCCAACCTGTAATCGAACTCCATTCACTTGGCCGCACATACAGTTAGATTCACGTTAAACTGGTCGGAGGCCAGTGAACTGTAATTTTTTTTTATACTGAGACCCGCACGAGGCTGCTTATGCTACAAGTCTACGAGTCGAGGTTTAATCAGAATACGACGACAGGAGATCCCAGAAACACGTCAACCGAGTCAAACAAAGGTAATGAAAGAATCATAATAGAGTTGTATGATCTGAATTTCAATAATTTAGAGAGAACGAGGAACCCTGTTCCTGCGGGGCTACCGCTCAACTTGATATAGACATGCTAGTACTGACCAAAGTGGCGGCGAGCGAGCAATCGTGTTCCCAAACTTATGACCTGACAATGTGGAGATCGTCTTGATCTCCGGGAGTTGATGGGTTTACTTGACCATTTAGCAACTTTCCAACAACAATTCGCAATTCTCCGTACTTATCCACTACTCCCGCACCTGTTGTCCGTTGTCATTCAGCAATTTGACCACTTTCCGTACATTCGCCCCCTCGAACTTCCATCCCGTCAAGTCCCTAGCACTATCAGCATCTATGCCCTCAGTCACCTTGACCTCTCCCCACATCATCCGTGCCTCATTGAAGCTTCTCGCACCAGAAAAGAAGAAGTCTGTCAGTTTCTCCAAAATAAGATAGTAGGCTTCCAGTTCCAAGACGACTTTTTGCACACGATTCGCGTTGGGCAAGTCCAAAGAGGTAGTTCAAGCTGGCGCTGGTCTGCTCTATGAAGGTGATGCGCTTCTCTTTCAGACGCCTCATGGTAAAATGATAGTCGCTCTTATGGTGTAGGTCCTTACATGGGCTTCGAAGCGCGAGAAAGTCGTTCCAAGGCAGAAAGTGCGCGAAGAGATCCACAATCTCGGAAGGGCAGCTAAGTATTGGGCATGTCGTTGCTGGCACAAGCGCCGGAGAGGCCTGGTTGTCAATTTCGGTAGCCGTGGGAGCGGGATTGGAAGTGGTGGTGGACAGTAGGTGAGGTAGGAGTGAGGAGTGAGGAGGGAGGCAACTTGGAGTGGGTAAGGCCAGGAGGGAGACAAGTCTGTGATGAAGAAGAGTGCTCCGAGTCGAGTGGATTATTCATGATCTTTCCCGCAGCATATTTGCTGCCGGCTGCCTTGAGCCGCCAAGACCCTCTCATGGTCTCAGTCGATCCGTACTTCCATCACCGAATGTACAACTTCCTTTCAAGTACATGCGGCATAAGTGAACCTGCACGATAGTAACAGAGCACCACTTTATTCCACCGTGTATACCTGGGCGCCGCAAGCGTGTGTATATAAAGACTGAACCATACGCCATAGATTAAAGCTCCAAGCAGCTAACCAGATGCGTGCTGGACTGCTGAACTTGCCTATGGACTTCTCGAGCGAGCTCTTAATTAAAGAAGCAGTAATGAAGATCCAGACAGTAGAGTCATCGTTCTTGTAAACTACCTCTAACGCGGATTGTTTAACCCCTTGTGTCGTCGTGTCTTTGTTTGCAGGAGTCAGAGCAACGAGGTTTGTAGGGAAAAGGCCTCTGGTGAACGGGGGTGGGGCTCTGAGACTAGTGAGTGTGCACACAACACCACTACCGTGCGCCATCATTCACCATCCTCCTACGGCTCCTCGTCCAACTCCAGCTTTTGTGTTTTATATACCTTCGCCAATTACGAATGCCAAGTTTATAAGATGTCTGATTCCTATCAATACAGGAAGAACGCTCAAAAATTTAGCTCGAACTCCGAACAAAATATGTTGAGCATGTCAACATGCCTTCCGGGTACTAGTAGAAAAACGCCATCCAAGTAACCCCCCTGCACACCTCACCCCGCAGCGCACCCCCAAACCGGCCCAGGAATAGCCGTTGCGGTACTTTGGAAGCGAGGGGAGTGGTGGGAGGATGGAGGCCCGAGGAGGGGCGTAGGGCGTAGAGGGGAGAAGAGCGCGGAGAGGGGGTGTGTGGAGGGGGTTGATGTTTTGAGAGAGGGAGTGTATGTTGGGGGGGGAGATAGAAGAGACGAGGGGTTGGAGTGGTACGGGCACGGGCAACCCGGGGGGGGGGGGGGGGGGCGATTGGCGGGTTATTTGGGATTTGGGGGAGATGCGATGGGCGGGTTTGCGTTGCGGGTTCTCACGATTCTTCTGGTACGGCCGAATCGGGACGGATGAGGATGAGCGTGTGGAGTGGAATGGAAGCGGGGTGAGGTTATCCCCCACCCCCCCAAACACCCCCCGGGGGGGACCACGAGATGAGTCAGGTTACAGAATTAAGGCGGGGGTTGGATTGGATTGGATTGGGAAAGTGTAATCATTTCTTTCCTTTTCTTTTTCTTACTTTTCGTTTTCCCTTTCCTTTCTTCTTGTTCGTCGTCATACAGTTGGGTACTCGTATCATACACCTTCTCTTTCAAACAGCTGTGTGTACAGGTCTTACACTCACTCCTACTCTTATCAAAACACCCCAAATGCAATGCAATGGTATCACTCCCCAAAGAAAACGCCGGTGAACGAATGCGAGAATGGAAAAGTAGAAATATAGCCCAGGTCCCGAGGTCACCGCACCATGAGCACAAATCCTAGTAGCCCAACAAGGGCTAACACCCCCCTCGGTGTACGCCGCGCCGCCTCGCCTGTCGCTTGCACATCAAACGGACTCCCACCCCCCGAGGACGAATTGCTCAGCTGCGACTTCCCCGACTTCTTGGGTGCTTCGGCGGTAGAAGTAGATGTGGACGTTGAGCTCAGCCCGAAGCTCGCCGTCGAGCTCGCCGCCACAGCGGGTGCAGACGTCACCGCTGCCGACGACGCCGCGGCCGAAGACGCGGAACTGCTAACCACAGCGGTGGAGAGCGTCGACGACGGTTTCGCGGGCGTCGCCGACGGGTCCACGATAATCCCCGCGCTCGAACTCTCCGCTTGACTACTACTGGTCTCGCTCGTCCTACTCGAACTCGTCTGTGCCGCGCTACTCGAACTCGTCTGCGCGGCCGGCGGCTCGCTCGTCCCCACTGTCGTGACGACCGTGTTACTACACAGCGCGGGAATGCCCTGGCCGAGCAAGAAAACCCCGATTATGCTCGTTTCCGCGACATCCGCGTCCCCACAGCTCGCGGCGACGGCTTTGGAGATGGCGACCAGGCCGGCGATGCAGGCGGAGCTGCAGGTGGACTGGAAGTCGTGCGAGACGCAGCCGGCGATGGGGGCGTTGTAGACTTTGTCGCAGGCGGGGGGCAGGGAGGCGATGCGCGGGTTGAAGCTGGACAGGGCGATGGAGTCGGCGGCGGCGAGGGCGAGGAGGGTGGTGGGGAGGAGGTGGTGGAGGCGCATTGTGGGGGGTTGTGAGGTTGTCGTGTATTTTTGTATAGTTGCTGTTGTAAGGTTGCAAGCCGCGATGGCGGTGGGGAAGCCGCGCTGCGGTGGTGTTGGAAAGCTGGCTTTGCAGCAATTGAATTGAAAGTCGCGATGAGAAAGCGTGCAACGCGGGTCGTCGTACAGGTCCCGGGTCTGCGTGGTGGTGAGACGGGGCGTGTCTGAGGTGTGGTGTCGTTTGCGTCAGGTGGCGGGCACGCGCAGCTGGAACGGAGGGAATAGCGAGGTTGGCGAACGCAATGCAATGCCAGTACCGCAGGGAATCAATCAACGATGCGAGAGTGGAAGGGACAGAAACACGAGACTGGAGCAGCGGTGGAGTACTGCAGCTCAAACACGACTGTCAGGAACGAAGGATGGAGATGCGCGAGGTCGGCCAAGGAAGGTGGTCGCGAGAAAGAGAGAGGTCAAGCACCAGGCCTGCAAGGAATTGCTCGCTGTTTAAAGAGGCGGTACAAGAAAAAGAGGGCGGATGAGAGAAGGGGCGGTGTCAGTCAAGCGCAGGGGATCATGGCCATCGTCATGGCACAAAGTCAAGAGAGGCGGTGGGGTGGGGTCGGGCGACGCGGTCGGGGCTATCACGACCTTATGGGGGGCCGATCGACTGAGGCCAGCTGCATTCGCGCCCTCAGGGTCAGCGATCCGACCGTGGCGGGCGTCTCAGTGCCGGTTTGGGGCTGGCCATTGCGGTCAAGCTGCGGCGCTGAAACACGGGGTCGGGGCTCGTTGATGTCATGATAGGCCCGGGATGCTGGGCTGCGGCCCTGGGGCGTCTGCCGTGACAGGAGGCGCCGAGATGCAGGTACCATAAACCCAGCACATCCAGGAGGAGAGGAGAGAGCATGTTCAGCTGGACCTCTTTCCGGGCCGAAACAACACGGGCGTAATCGCATGCTTGTCCTCAGCAATTCCCACGGCGAGATGGATCCATGGTGCCATGGTCCCGAGTTTGAGCCTCGCGTTCGCGCACGCCAGTCGCGTCGGCCCGAGAGCGACCAGCAGGCCAGGCCTTATTTTTGGCGTCGCAGCTTGCACAGTCAGCCTGAGACCAAGTCAGCCGTCAGCTGCGTGCCCAACATCACCAGCCCCATTACCCAAAAGCGTGACGACTCCCTCTATCTACACTTGCTGCATCTGTCGCGGCGGAGAGGCCGGCCTGTTTCTCTTCGACTGCCTGTGGCGTCCGTTCATGTGGCGGACCCTGCGCGTACCGCTCCGAGCTAAATGGGAGCAGGGCGGGGAGACGGGCATGGGTAGGTATTTGTTTTGATACGAGAAGGATTGGACGAGTCCACGGGTGTTGGATGGCTTGTTGGGGGTGGCATGTTTCTCTCGCCATATTGCGACCCTGATCCAGGACCGCGAGCCCGGGCTGCGCAGAGGAAACATCGATGACAGTGTGGAGTCTTGTTATGCTTCTTAAATTCGCAAACACCAACAAACTTTGGCTGCGCCTGGAACTATCGTTCCGTCTCAAACCCTATCTGCACATATTCCGAAAGCGACACAGGACAGGCAAAGTACATTCCGACTCCAGCTCTCGCTGGTTTCAAACGAAAGGATTTTGTTTCATAAATCTTGTCACCACGTCCATCATTTAACTTCAACTAGTTTCAATCGATTCATCATTGCATCAATCAAGAACAGCTTAGAATGGAACAACTCCCCCATTGTATCGATAACCTCATCTGGTCTCATGCGAAAGTGTAATCACGTCATCAAAGTTAGACTCATGAAACAGTTTCATCATTGCTTCAAACAAACCCATCTTTCACTCCCATCTCATCTTCTCCCATGCGCATGTCTCAATCTACTCCTCCATAACAAGCACACTCCTAAACCTAACCTTCCCACTCGTAACCCTCTCGACGGCATCCTCCACCTTGTCAAATGGAAACTTCTCAACCATACACTCAACCCCCTGGTTCTCAGCAAACGCAATTGCTTCCTCGGAATCCAGCGCGTGGCCAGAAGGCCAGCCATGCACCGAGATGCCTTTCATGATCATAGTCACCGTATTGACCGGGACCTCTCCAACAGCTGCAACACATCAATATTAGCCAATTCAGAGAGACGGAGAGTGGAGGGGCGAGTAGAAGGGCACACTCACGCGTCAAAACAACAACCTTCCCACCCGCCGCACAACCACCTACGAGCCCACTAATCACCTTCGGATTCGGCGCCGTGACAACCACACACGCCGCGCCTCCCAGCTTCTGCAGCGCCTCCGCCGCATCCTCCTTACTCGTGTCGATATACTCGTTCGCGCCCAGCTGGAGCGCGAAATCCTTCTTCGCGGCCGACGACGAGAGCGCGACGGTGCGGTAGCCCATTTTACGAGAGTACTGGAGAGCCAGATGCCCCAGCCCGCCGAGTCCCTGGATCGCGACCATGTCGCCGGCAGCGATGTTCATGCGCCGGATGGAATTGAAGACGGTGATGCCGGCGCAGAGGAGGGGCGCGTAGGTTGCGGCGTCGGCACTGTCGGGGATGCGGACGACGGCCTCTGTTCGGAGGGTGCAATACTCGGCGTCTACTCAATGTTAGCTAAAGGGACCAGGACCTCCTTCGCCCACCTCGGCCCACCCCGGGGTTTATGTGAAGAAGAAAAAAGAAGAGCAACATACATCCCCCATTCCGCGTAACACCATTCACAGCCTCGTTATCGCACATCTGGAACAAACCCCGGTTACACGCTTTACACGTCCCGTCGTGGCCGCCGTGCCATGGACCGCCGACTTTGTCGCCGATTTTGAACTTTGTGACGCCGGAGCCGAGGGCAACGACCTTGCCGATGACTTCGTGGCCGGGGGTTATGGGGAAGTTGACCCTGCGAAACACCAACTGGTTAGTAGACGAAGAAAAAAGGACTCGGCGAGTAGGGATGAAGAAAAATAACGCCAAACCCCCTCACGAACTGAGGACAGAGGAAAGGTAGGGGTAGTATGTTCTTTCAGAGCTTAAGAAGGTGTGAGGGAAGTAGAAAAACTTACATTGGCCCAAAATGGCCTTGCTGCACCGAGATGTCGGATTGGCAGACCCCGCACGCGAGGACCTTGATCAGGACCTCTCCATCCTTCGGTGCTGGGGTTTCGACTTCTTTGATCGTCCATGGCGCGTTTGCGGCTTCGAGGACGACGGCGCGGGAGGTTTTGGGGATGGAAGGTGCCATTCTCCACAAAAGAAAACTTGATTTGAAATACGAAGAAGCCAGGTATTTATTGTTTCGAAGGCTGTCCGAGTCTAGAGAAAGCCAGTTGAGTTTTGGACTTTGTTGCGAAGGTGCACAAGAGCTAAAGTCAAGAAAGAAGCGTGGTGGGGTGACTATTATATTTCTTTTCCGAGGGCGCGCTTTATCAACCTCCGTCAACGATCCATGATGGAAGGATGATAGCTGTGCCCCACTTAAACTCCTAGACTCCCGCCCTGATCATCTCCTAGACTCCGAGGCTCCTGAACTCCGAGGTTCGAGGTTCGAGGTTCGAAATGGCTGGGAAGCTTGATACGGGGAGGAAATATTGGAATTTTCATGTTTCCAGGATTTACTGCAGAGTTTGGGAGACGGGGCGTTGTGGTATGTGATGATGTATGACGTCGCTGATATTGGGAGGAGGTTCAAGCTTCAGACGCGGACTTTGCGACGTTGGTTACAACGATTACAACTCTAACAGAATAGAGAGTTTGTTGAGCTAAGAAAGAGAGAAGTGATATGATTCCAAGTTTGCTTCGTGGTTAATACAGATCTCTCCATAAAGGCAATGCACCCACAAAGAATTCTGGCCAAAATAATCAACAATTCTACTCTCAGAGCTTCCCAGTCCCACTCGCCCCAATCCAACCGGAACTCAACCTGCAAAGGTACGAATGCCTGGAATATTTCATCCTATCCGATCTTCAAAGCTGCACCCCCACCTGCACCCCCACCTGCGCCTGGGCACCAATCTCGCGCCAAGCCCCATCCCAGCAAGCGCGCCCCGATCTCACCACGTCAACCCACTCGACCGCGCCTCCGTCCCCGCAATGCAGGAACACAGTCGAGGCTCGCCATGAAGAAGACGCTGCTGCTGTGCTTTATCCACGGATTCAAGGTCCGCACATCTCTCTCTCCCAACTTTCCGACGCTGAGCAAGCTCCGGGCCTCACGACTAGCTGGACGCCGCCGAGGTCTCGAGGGCGAGCAACTCACTCCGTTATTCCACCCACGGCGTCGCAAGCTCCTGACTACTGAATGTGCTCGCTGACGCTCGTACATGCAGGGCGGCGACGACACCTTTGGAAACTTTCCCTCTCACCTGAAAGCGATCCTCCAACATGCGCTGCCCAAGGTCGAGGTGCTGGCGATTACATATCCGAAGTTTGAGACGCGGGGGGATTTGAAGGAGTGTGTGGCCAGGTTCAAGGAATGGTACGTTAGATGCTTTCTATATGAAGATATAGGGAAGCTGGATGTTAGTTCCGATCAACGAAGACTGACCAAAGAACATCGCAGGCTCCAAAACAAAGTCATAGACCTCGAAGTCGCCTCCTCGACCCCCTCCCCCACCGTCGACCCCTCGGTCCACACCATCCTCATCGGCCACAGCATGGGCGGCATCGTCGCCGCCGAGACCCTCCTCTCCATCACGCGCGAACAACCAATCCACTCGCCCTCCGCCTCCATGTCCAACACTACCACCACCTCCGACTCCACCCCCTCCCTCCCCTCCGCCTCCACCCTCATGTTCCCCTACATCGCCGCCCTCCTCGCCTTCGACACCCCCTACCTCGGCATCTCCCCCGGCGTCGTCGCCCACGGCGCCGAAGGCCACTGGAACACGGCCAAAACCGCCGCGTCGTGGTACAGCTCGCTCAGCTCGGCCTTCACGTCGGCCGCGCCCGAGAAGTCGGCCGTCGAGGCCTCCAAAATGCTGCCCGCGGCGCCCTCGGCCGCCGCCGAGGACGCCACCGTCGACGTCGCCGCCGCGCCGCTGTGGCAGCGCTACGGCCGCGTCGCCCTCTTCGCCGGCGCAGCGGGCGCCGTCGCCGCCGGCGGCGCCGCCGCCTACCTCAAGCGCGCCGACCTCAGCAGCGGGTGGCAGTGGGTCGGCTCGCACCTCGAGTTCGTCGGCGCGCTCGCGCGCGGCGCGGAGCTCGAGGCGCGGCTCGCCGCCATCGTCAAGCTGAACGAACAGCAGCACGTCGGCTTCGCCAACATCTACACCGCGCTGGGCCGCGCGGCCGAGCCGGCGCCGGCGCCGGCGCCAGCGGCGGGCAGCTCGAGCTATGCGAAGCAGATCTCCGGGCCGAGTCGCACGTTCTGTAACCTGCCGAAGCGGGATCTGGAGCTGGGGCGGTTTTTCGTGAAGAGCGTGAATGATAGGGCGCGGGACGAGGCCGGGGCGCATATGGGCATGTTTGAGCCGCGGAATAATCCGGGGTATTACGGGATGAGTGAGCGGGCGAAGGAGTTGGTGAGTGGGTGGGTGCTGGGCGGGGGGTGGTATGAGGAGGCGACGGGGGGGGGGCGGGGGGTGGCGTTGGAGGAGGAGGAGGAGGGGGTGGTTGTGGATTTGGAGGAGGATGGGGGGGAGGGGGGGGATGGCGAGGGGTTTGTCGACTTGAAGGGGAGTGTGTGAAGACCCGGTCGTGGTGTGTATATGAAATGGAACGGAATGGACGATATGGGTTCCTTCACGGTGGGCGGCGTTTTAGGTCTGGCATTAGGTCGTGGTAATACCCGCCTTCATTAGCATAGGAAACGAGTACACGAGTTCTATCCTCCCCTTCCATCCCCCCCCCCCCCCCCCCCCCCCCCCCCCCGGTCGTCCCGTCTGAGTCTACGCTCCCATCCCCCCTAGTCGTTCAATCTCCAGCCGTTCGCCAGGATATGCACGCCAGCACGCGAGCACGCGCGATATCAGGCCCGGTGCACAACGAAAGTGACCGACTGTTCGCCCTGCTGGGACACCCCCCAGAACGCTGGTCGCGTGTAGTCAAAATAATCAACATGGATCGCTTACGTAGGTAGGTGGTTCAGCGGTCGCGGGTCTTGGAACTGCATCCCAAAACCTTTTCGCAGAATTGATCCTTCTCTTTCGGAAACGCGCTTGCGAGATTCGCTGCCTAGTGGGCTGGTGGTTGAAGCGGGGTCCATCGTTTTTCTATGGAGGAGATAGGGGAGGGGAGAGGGGAGAGGGGAGAGGGGGTGGGGCGGGGAAGCTTTTGGTTTGGGAGGGGTGCGTTTGGGCAGGAGTCTGTGGAGGGGTGTTGAGGGGATAGATTTTGTGGGGGGTGTGGAGACAGTTTTGAAGTAGGTGTGACGTTTGACGAGAAATTACCGGCGGAATCTGAAGAAAGCGTAGAGGAGGATCCCGGACAGCGCGCCAAATATCAAGAAGACGAAAACAAGGCGATTCCCTTTTATGATAGCTCTGGGTTTGTTTTCCAGTCGTTAGCTCGTCGGGGAATTCCGGATTTTCTGCACGATATAGCCCGTATCGAAAGTTCTTCCTCCAGAGCCTCAAACTCGGCTGGCGTGAAGGGTTCGGCCTTTCGTGGCTTGATCTCCCACGTTTCAGCATCCTCGAAGAATCTCAGAGCCTCCTCTGCACTAGGTATGCCAAGGTCCCTAGCGAGATCCAACACCGTACGTCCATTCTTGTCTTTCTGTTTCTGATCCGCCCCATTTTCTATCAAGAGCCGATATGAAGCCACGATCGCTTCCGGGTACAGCCTGGTCCAGTATTTGATGCCGTGGACAAGGGCATGGAGTGGCGTGCCGCCGCCATCATCAACGCAGTCCGATCGAGCGCCGAGTCGCAGGAGCGTCTCGATAGACTGAAATGCGGGCCCGGGAAATGGGGCAGCCAAGGCGATTGCTGTACTACCTCCGGAGTTTTTCTGCTCGATATCGGCGCCTTTTTTGACGAGAAATGGAAGTATCTCTGGATGATTACAGGCTGCGGCGGTTTGTAGTGCCGTCCTCCCGTTTGCCGTCGACATGTTGACGTCCGCGCCACGGTCTATGAGGAATGATACGAGTGGCTTACAGCCAATTGGACAAGTGTTGGTAAGGGGCGTATTCCCTGTCTTGTTGTTGACGAAATGGATATCGGCATTAGAGTCGAGCAGCAGCCGTGCAAAGTTGACATGCTCATGCCTTGCTTCCACGAGATGTTTATTGCGGCATACTAGGAGTAATGGTGTATCTCCATCACGGTCTGTGGCATTGACATTGGCGTGGTTAGTTATGAGATATCGAGCTATTTCTATTCGGCATGGAAACCAGGTGCACGCGATATGGAGAGGAGTCCAGCCGTAGTATCTGTCCACCGCATGCACGTCGGCTCCATGTTTGAGAAGCACCTTGGTGGCATTCGCTCTCCCTGTGCTCGTTGCGCCATGGAGCGGAGAAACATCCCTGCCCGTCTTTGGTCGTCAAAAGATGCTGTCCTCCAACACTGACTATCCTTTCCAGAATTTCCTTATTATCAATATAGATCGCAGATTGGAGCATGTCAGTTCCGATACTACTACCTGGAGGCGAGACAAACTTCGAGGGTAATTTCGTGTCAAGATGCTGCGGCAATAGGCCTTCAAGCGTAGGACTGAGAGTCTTTCCAGACTCACTCGCATAGTGCATGACGTTGCTGGCGGCATGATGCGCAAAACTCAACACATAAAAAGCTGTATCGGGCTCAACATCCCGTCGAAGAAGCTCGCAGATCTTAGCCAGATAAGCAAAACAAGCTTCCGCCATCATACTGTTGGCATTGGCTTTTTGTATCTGGACATGTGCGCTCTAGCCAGAGAGCAGAAATTCTTCGACCGAAAAATGTGCCAGACAGCTCTTGCGGCCGTACTCTGGGTTGCCGTTGCCGAAGATTAGCGGGGTGACGACTAGTGAGCTTAGTATGTCACGAATGCCATCTCCCGCATTCAAAAGTCTATCGTCAGGATCAAATGGAGTCTACGCGCATGGATCGATGATGGAAGCTTCCGCAAGCACATCGGCTAACAGTGGCGACCTGCTAAAAAACAACCAGGCGAGGGCTCTATGGGCGATGGGTTGATGGGCTTTAGGAATAGCTTCGAGGATTCGATCGTATGTTTCGTTGAGATCAGTTGGCAGGCGATCCAATGCCTTGTAGATATCCGATGATGAGATGCATTTGCGGATGACTTCCATCTGGCAGAAAACCCATCGAATCCTGTACTACATGTTAGCTACTGATAAGAATAAATTTTCATCTAACATGGCTGAATCAGGATTTCATGATGATATCTGAGTAACGTCGTTCCGCCACAAAGTGCCATCGAGCTAAAGGTGTAGATGAGATCTGAGAATACTTGCATTCCGTTGGCCTTTTCGGTCAAAGTATTTTGTATCCTCAAAGCATCTTCTGGTCGGAGCTTTCGCAGGGTATTGCTCTCTCTGATCTGTGTCGACACATAATGGGAAATGTCGGCCTGGATTTGGTGACTCTGGATGGAGATCCCTGGAACGGTTAATAGTGGTGCCAGAGAGTCTACAATGTCCAATTCCGGGCGACTGGTCAGAAGTAAGTGCAGCTTGGTGTTTTTCGTACCGGCCAGCCGCTTGACAGCTTCTAAGACTTCTTTTCGGGCGTCCTTCTGAAGGGAGGACTCGTCCAACGCATCGACTACTACATAGACGTCTGAGATACTGTCGAGTTCTGACGTCGTCCATGCTATGAAACTTTCTAAGCCCGAAGCCAAACGTCTTTGAGAAGGTTTGGACTGCCCATTACTGCATTTCTCGAATAGATCAATGACACTTTTGGGGAGTGTTCTCGAGGCTCATACAAGTTGCTGAATTAGGGATGCCAAAAGGTGGCTCGCGCTTCTTTCCGATCTAAAATCGAAATAAAAGTACGCCAAGATGGAACTAGACTCGACCTTGCAGCGCTCTTCCAGACGCTCGATCGCTGTGGAACCGGACAAGCAATTAGCGACCTCCTTAAAATGTTGGGAGTATGACGCTTTATTAGGGCTGGAACTTATTGTCATTAGTAGGAAGTCGGGACGATGGTTCTTACCCAAGACGGTCTTTCCGCAGCCAGCTACGTTTAATCAGTCTACAACGCTTATGAATTTGGAGCATCAAACATCTTACGCATTCCGTTAAGCCACATCACGGAGCCTCTGTTGGAGATCCAGTTTCCCCATTGATCCGTCTTGAATAGCCATTCTCCCGTTCCGTCCTGGTGCTTCTTACGAGCTTCCTCGTGGTTCATTGCGGTATCTGTGGTTGGTAGCCACTCGAGTATTCTATCGCAACGGTCGTCCTTCTGCTTCATCGCCGTATTGTCATAAATTTGAGCAATCATACGGTTTGTGGCTACAGAAATATTCCTATCTGCTGTAAGTTTTGTGGGATGTTACGATAAAACAACCTTACAAGTTGTCACTACTCAGCGCAAAGTCTAGATCCTTTCTATGCCTCTCTAGAACCGAAATGCCATTGTCCATATCCTCTTTCTCAAGCGGCCATTTCATTTGCTTGAATACTTTGCGCTTGGCATGTCGATCGTTCCCTTCGCCAAGTTTTGTGAGTAGACTGCGCAATAGAGCCTGGCATTCTTCCCGTGGGCCATCGGCTTTCATCAATTCCACGAGTATTGGGACTTTGGCTGCGTCGGGCGAGGTCGCTATAGCGTGGAGTATCCTCAGGTTGGTATCAAAGGACCTAGTTTCTTCGGAAAGTCTTTTGATCTCGCGCGGAGCTTCCTTAACAGCCCTGTAGTAAGAGTCGCACGCCTTGAATAGCTTCAATGAGAACTCTGCAACGGCGATAAGGGCGGTGGCTGTGCCGATGACTTCCATGATGAAATGGTTAAACTGAGATTACGTGGAAAATGGACATGCTGTTAGTAGAATAGGTTCCGAGCGCGATTTCTGGGGCCAAAGTGTGTTGTGAGTAAGGTTACGCCGTCTGAGGGGTACACTCTATATATAATCCCTGTTTTGGTGTACTGATGCTGCGTCTTACAATACGACGCATTGCTCGACTCGGACAGGCCCTACTGACCGCGCGTGATCAAGCTTGTTCAACCGCTGGGACACATATTGACGACTTGACGAGAACAGTGATACACGCGAAGGCAGAGGGGCTGATTCGGAAAGGTCAGGGAGGATATCGCGATCCTAGTTCAGCTACATCTTGCTGAAGTATAACCATCTAGCCAACGGGCCGCATACAGAGTCGTGGATCCCACTATTGACCTTTTGATGAGAAAGCTGCTTTATTTCAATTATTCTTGGCTCTCTTTTCCTGGTGACTGCTTGAGCAAGGTGTATGATGTCGTCTCGATTGGCTTCCCGGGCGGTCTTATCACGAGGGCTCTAGTCATGAAGACTTCAGTTGAAGATGCATCAAATGCTTGTGTCGGGGATGGTAGTGGTGATAGATTTGGATACTGTGGGAATGAGAGAGCGTTGATGGAGTTGGAATGGGATCAAGAGAGGACAGGCTCGTGCCACTTCGGCGGATTTGAAATAGAACTATTGGCAATCTTACCGCCGAAAACATCCTCTTCCCCATTTCGGACTGCCGCTATGCGCCCTACCTAAATTACGACTCTATATATACTTGAAAATGATATCCAAAAGTGCTTAAACGCACACGTCTTAATTTGCGTTCAAAATATATGGTGCTTGACAACCTCGTACAGTCGCATCATGTGAGCAAATGGTTCATCAATTCGCCGTAAAATCTTCTGAGACGGCTGTGAAGCTACATTTTTGGCCCTAATCCTCAGCACCTTGTCGAGCTGATGCTGTTCAGTTGCAACCTTCAGTCAAGTTGATAGTGATAACAGAAGGGGGCATTTGTACATCCCATGCCATTTCTGTAGCGAGCTTATTAAGATAATTACGATTCTCACTTGTAAGTTGTTTGTCTATAGAGATTCTTCAAGACCGAAAGCTCGCGATCTCATCCTCACTAAGTTTCGCCAGATCCAACGCAGTGTTCCCATTCTCGTCCTTTAGATGTATATCGATGCCATTCTCGATCAGAGAACCGAAAATTGTCTTGAAAGTATCCAATGCCCATCGATCATCGTACCACTGTTTTTTGCTCGTCGCAGGGCGTGACACCAATCGGTGAAGCGCGCTCCTCTTCCTTGTATCAAGGACATTGACTTCAATCTGGTATTTGATGCAAAGCTCAGTCATATGCATGTCGAGCCTACAACATGCTGTGTGCAACGGCGTGGTTCCGTCTCTATCTGCCATGATGTAGGCCCTGTTTTCAAAGAAAACGTCTGCGACAGCGGCATGGCTTCTTTCAGTAGCGAGGTCTTCCGATTATGGTTTGTCGCATTAAAGTCAGCGCCATTATGAATTAGCAACTGCGCCATTCTGGGTCGTTGCAGCTTGTAAGGTGTAGTGGAGTGTTCCCAGCTAGGTCTTGTGCGTTGAGGTTAGCATCTGATTTCAATAGGATGCGGAGCATTCCCGCCGAAACTTGAGGACCTGAGTACGAATAATCCCAGTGTTGGGCGAGTAGGTGCAGAGGCGTCCATCCTATATTACCTTTTGCGCCCACGTCCGCGCCGTTGTCAATAAGAAGACCCATGGCGGGAATATCTCGTCGATCAGTTTCTTAATGCAAATTGGTGCGTTCTCGCCCGTCTGTTGCATTAATCTCGGCTTCTCTCGATCAGCAGTCTAACGATCGCTTCTTTTTGGGCCTGTGCTGCTATGTACAGAGGAGTCATTCCTTCCGAGCCACTTGTACGAATAGGAATCCCAGCTTCGAGTAGGGCTTCCAGCACATCTATCCAACCAAAGGTACAAGCCAACTTAGTCGCCACGTTTAAGTCGAATGACTGGAGCCTCTGTCGTTCCCATACTTCAGGTTGTCGGCGTCCCAGAATTCCGGATGCAAGCTTCGTGAAGGAGAAGGCCGTGTGGAAACCTTCCACGACTGTTTTAGAGCTTCGTGGCAACATGCAGCTCAATTTGAAGGCTTCGCGCAAAAAAGATGGCAACTCTCCTCCATCATTGCCCGAGCGGTGGTCTCCGTGAAATCAAGTTAATATCATCCCCGGACAGTAGGTACACCCTGACGGAGGAATGAGCTAAAGGAACGAATCTTCCATCTGCGACCACGAGGCTGCCTAGGATATCGCAGATGTCGGTTAGGGGATGCCGAAGTCTGCCATCCATCGTAAACGCCGGTTTCCTAGTGGGATCTACTATGATGGCATCGGCGAGAGTACGTGCATCTATAGGATTAAATCTTTGCCAACTGTAGCTTTCAGGAAGGAGAATATCCTTGAACAGAATCTATACTAGTGCGCGATGTGCTGGCTCGTGGTACCTTTGGTCGATGTTTCCCAGAACGCGTGAAATAAGTGGCACTAAGGGATTTAGGCAGATGCTTGAGCGCGTCGTCTAGATCTGACAACCTTTTGCATTTTTGGAGCTTAGAAAGCTGATAATAGACCCAGCGCAACCTTGGGAATTACTTATAAGTTAATACTTATGAGGTACGGCCGTGGCCGAGTTACTCACATTCCGCCAGCGTCTTGTATCAACTTTGACTTCATCCTAGCCTTAGCTTCTTTCGGCCGGTTGTTTAGTTGGTTGCCGTTCTCGATCTCCGCTGATACGTAAGTCTCGATATCACCGCTTATCTAGGAAGCATCAACGAAGATCGATTCCGCCATGGGTATTGAGCTGCTACTGAAGACTCTTTGAATGTCTACCTCTAGTTGGCTGGTGAAAAAGAGGTACATCTTTGTCTCTTTCCAACTTGTGATCTCTTTGATGACACCGAGGACTCCGTTTCGGTCCCCCACCCGACAGACACTTATCTAAAGAGTCCGTAATATCGAAGATATCGGTTACCCTATCAGACTCTGACGTAACGAAACTTCTTAGAGCATCAAGAAGTTGCGGTAGAGATGGATTGGAGGCTCCGCCGTTGCAGCTTTGATGAAAGTCATGAAGCTTTGGCGGAACCTTGCCATACTGAACGAGAATTTGCTGGATGAGGGACGAGACATAGTTGGTGGCGTTCCGTTGGGCAGCGAAGCTAAAGTAGAAGTATGCCGTTACAACTTTAGAATCAAGCGCATACTCTTACTTAGTGCGTTCGATGATTGTAGAGCTGTTTCGCGTTAGCCCGAAGGATATTACACGATGTTTGACCTTTACCTCAAAACCGTCTTGCCGCAGCCAGCTAGAATCACTTATTAATCCGATCTAAACTCGACTATAGAAAATCTCTTACTGATTCCGTTGAGCCATATAACTCTCCCTGCCGTTTCCTTCCAGGTTATATATTCCTCCCGATGGAACAGCCATTCTCCAGTGCCAGCCTGATGTCTGGAGCACGCGACATGATGATCCGCCGACGTATCCACCGAGGGTAACCATCGTATAACCTTCTCAAGACAGGCCCGCTCTTTCTCCTCCTTAACTGTCCGGTTCGTATCTGCTGACAAAGACCTTCACAGATATGAGCACTTTCCCGCACAAGCCGTGTGCGCAGAACACATACGCGTTATCGACTTCCAAAGCCTCGTGAAATATCTCCCTGTACTTCTTGATCATGCCAATCGCTCTCTCCACTTCCTTCTTCTCAACCGACCATGCCCAGTTACTCAAGACTTTTCCCCTGCGGTACCTCGACCGTTGCTTGGCGCTTCTATTTTGCAAGGATTTACCAATCTGTTCCATCTGCTCCTTGATTCGTTGTGCCATGCCATTCTTCTTCAGAACTCCATCAATCGTGGGAAGTCGGTCCGAGTCCTCGGACTGGGTCAACGAGACGATCTTCTCCAAGATGTTGTGGACTGAGTCCACTTTCTCGTATAGACACCTGACGTCTTCGTCGGCGTCGTTGACGTCGCTGAGGTATTTGTGGCACTTTTACGTGAGCTTGAGGGCGAGCTCGGCGAGTGCGGCGATGCTGACGACTGCACTTAATGGATCCATGAACTCGAATAATCTAAGAGATATTTGAATGCTGCTATGATAGCACTGAGGGCGGGCTTTTACGAGGAAGAGAGAAAATAGACTAAAGAGCGAAAGAGCATGTCTCAGAATGAGGGGTAGTAGTGCAAAGTGATACCACGGCACAATGTTCCACTTTCCCACACCGAGGACACAGTCGCTGCGTTATTAATGAGCCGAGGGGGAGCTTTTGCCAATAGCCCCTAAATCGGGCTAGAAAGCGATGAACTTTGACATCCTTGATAATATGTTGAGCCACCTCAGACGGTCGATACCTGGTGTGCAACATGCGGATTCTTATGTCGCATTACTCTTTATCTACTCAAGAGTAATATGCACAACTTGCAATAACAACATGCGTCTTAAATCAGGATGAAAATCCCTCGTCGTTGACACCCATGATACCACGTTGGGCCACCTCACACGACCGCTACCTTCGCGCAAATAGCAGACTGATCAGGCAAGATTTCAACTCCAATCTGATATTTTGAATGAGGTGTATTTTCATACATGGTCAAGATATTTCCATAGTAGAAACCCCTCCAATCCTTATCATAACGAAAGTAACATCCCTAGCATAATAACAACAAGCCCACATAACAGAGATATCGCCACAAAGCTACCGACGACCAATGTTGGCGGGGTCAAATTTGCTAAAAAAATCCGTAATGAACACCCTTCTAGCCGTGTTTCGACGGTCGGATATCTGGTTTCTAGTATCTTGATCTTGGAGGCGTTGCTTTTCTCGCACCTCCGCAGCCAAGGCTTGGGCTTCTTGTAGCAACACAAGGAATTGCTCATCTTCGAAGCCTTTAGCAATATCCGAAGGCGAATTTCCGTATTTATCTGTCATGTTGTCAAGGTCCAGGTTTTTGATAAGAAGTTGCGTCATAATGAGCTTTCTTGACTGGTCGTCACATGGCCCCTTTCCTTCGAAACACTCATCGCGTTTCTTCCTCAAGCCACCAAGTTCCCGTATATTGTTGATCCCGGCTTTAATTCGCGGGCGAAACGTGACATCAGGGTGTCCGATTTCCTGCGATCCGGATATTTTCATCCCTTCGTCCGTCTGAGTCGCGAGAGGCACTTGCTGTGAGAAGTCGTAGGCTAGGAAGTGGAGCGGGGTCCGCCCACAAGAATCTCGAGCATATACGCGATCTGTATGCTGAAGGAGGGCCCATATCGCTGCTGGCTTTTGTTCAGAGCTAGCGTAATGTAGTGCAGTCATACCATACTCGCTCTTTGCGTTCACATCAGCACCATGGTCGAGCAGAATGGACACAGAAACCTCATTTCCCCGGGCGGCTGCCACATGCAAAGCCGTGTTCCCGTAGAAATCTATAGCGTGTACGTCTGCTCCTTTTGCGATCATTGTGCGAAGAGTCTCATCCCATCCCGCCCATGCTGCGAAATGCAAAGGCGAGAAACGATTGGCCTGTGTGTGGACATTAACCTCCAGGCCAGATTCTACCATGAGGTCGACGATTGCCAATCTTTTGTAAGCGCATGCAACGAGCAGTGGAGCACCGCCGTGAAGAGTGTCCCCATTAGTTCGTAGAAAAGCCTCTAGTAGTTGGCGTACCATCTCGAACTCTCCAAGCTCACACGCTCGAAGTAACATCCTTTCTCCGTGGACAGCGTTTGCGTCAATGCCTGCTTGGAATTCGAGCAACAACCGTACAATCTCAGAACGATCCTCTAACTGTATTCGGCCGGAATAGCCGACTCCTTCGAATAAAGCCAGCTGGATGGGTGTTTGTTGCAAAAGATCTTGCGCATTAACATCTGCCCCCTGCTCAAGGAGACAGCGTACTATGTCTAGAAGACTCCACCGAGCTGCCCAATGGAGCGGAATTCGAGACTCATCGTCTCGTGCCTCGATGTCAGCGCCGTGTTTCAGATAGACCAGTGTCATTTTAGGATCCGAGTTACCCATGCACGTCCAGTGCAGGGGTCCTGCTCCCTTCGCCCTTACGAGAGTTCCCCAATCAAGATCTATAACATTCAATCCATTGGCAAGAAAAGCATCAAATAAGAGTTCGTCCTTGAACAGGGTCAACATATAGAAAAGATCGTGATGAATCTCTGGACCAAGAGCTCTTGATGGCTTCGGCGATTGACCGTAAATGGAGACCGGAGGAGCAGTTATGCATTTCGGCTGAGCATGTGTATTGTTCGAATGGTAATTGCGATTGCTTGCCCGGTGTAATAGGAGGTTCATCGCCGGCCACAGTAGGTGAAATACTTCAGTCATTCGTTCTTCTGTTTTCTGTAATTCGCTTTTGAAAGCGCCACATACATAAAGCTCACGGGCGGCCATGACGGTGGTATTATAATCGGTTTCCGTGACGCAAAATCTCTCTTTATGCCTGAGTAGGTACTCCTTCACCGAAAAGTGAGCAAATCGAATGCCGTCTAGTCCATTAACCGTCTCTACCACTACAAGGCTTCCGAGAATCTCGCAGAGATTAGCTTTAGGGTCGCAGAGTCGGTGTTTGACGTTAAAAATCCTCTTCTGCTGCACATCTATAGTAGCAGCTTCAGCGAGCGCTTGGACGGTCAAGCACTTGTTAAGGAATACCAGCCATATTATGGCATTGCGAGCGTAATGCTCGTGCTCACCGCTGATCCCGGCTAGAATGCGAGCGTACGTTTCTGGTAAGTCACGCGGGAGATCTGATAGTTTCGCACGCAGAGTTGCTTCGTCCATGCATTTTCGGAGTTCGTAGATCTGACAATACACCCATCGAAACCTTTAGCTTTGAGTTAGCTTGGAGGGCCCCCTACGGCTAGACATAGAGGACTTGCATTCCTTGAGCCTTGCGGGCTAGCTCGGCTTTCATCTCTGACTTGACCTTCTCGGACCACCTATTGAGTTTCCAATCCTCCGATATTTGGGTGGATATATACGCATCAATATCGGATTGGATGTCCTCTCCTTCTATACGTATAGGATCCCAATCGAGTAATGGTCGTCGCAGAGACTCTCCGATATCCACATCGAGCCGACTGGTGAATAAGAAATGTAGATGTCGATGCTTCCATCCAGCTATGTCACGAATAGCCCCCAAGACATCGTTTCGAATTTCTTCCTTAGTAGATGACTCATCCAGCGCATCCGTAATGATGAAAATGTTATTGAAAGATGCGAGGTCGTTCTTGACCATATCCTTGAAGAGTTTGCCAAGTTCTGATATACTAGGCTTGCGGGAGCCGTCTTTCTTGCAATTTTCGAAGAGCATTTTGAGGCACTCTGGTAACGTACCCGACAGGTATGCCATTTGTCGTATGAGTGTAGACAAGTACTTCAGAGCATCTCTCTCGGAATTGAAATCAAAGTAGAAGTATATGAGCGCGGACTGAGAATCTGAGCGACAGTACTCTTTCATGTGTTCGACGATGGTTGAACACAACACCGTCTTTCCGCAACCCGGTATCCCGTGGAGCACCATATTGGACCCTGGCGTTGTTTTCCACTCGGAGAATTGCGTAGATTTCTCGGTTAGCCAAATACCAGTCCCGGGCTGGTATCTCTTCCGCGCCGCTTCATGATTCGATGATGTTTCGATCGCAGGTAGCCATTCCATGATCTCTTTGAAGAGCTCCCTGTCATGTGAAGCCACAGTGTCTTTGTGTATCGCATCGACCCCATCGGCGACGGTCGTGACTTCGCGGGCCGTAGTTGCAACAGTTGTCCTTACTCCAGGTCAGCCTCGCAAGTATCGTAGATTGCCGAAATACACTAATTGGCAATTGTAGCAGGTTAAGAAGAGTCTACTCACGCCACATCAATAGTAAGCGCCTGCTGCAACACATTCCCATACTTCTCCATCCTCCCAACGACCTTTTCCATATCCTTCTTATCCAACGGCCATCTCCAATTCTTCCTGAACTTCGACAATACCCAGCGGGAGCTTGGCTTTTCACAGCCCTTCCGAAGCACAATCTCAAGGCCCTCCAACTCTTTCCTACACTTCTCCGTCGTTTTGTTCCTAGAGAGGAACTTGATGACTGCTGCAAATTTGCCTGCATCCTTCGATCGCTGGATACTGTCTATCCGCTGTCCCAAATCGTGGATCGTTTCTATCTCGTTGAGAAGCCGCTGGATGTCATTCTCGGCATCTTTCACTTCTTTCCAGTAGGAGCGGCATAGGCTGATGACCTTGCTGGAGGTCTCGACGACGGCGAGGACGCTGGCTGCTGCGCTGAGAGGGTCCATGTGGAAGTGCGTTGCCCATAAAATAGTTTGATTGAGGACATAAGACTAACGAAAAGTTCCTTAGGAATTAGGTGTGGTCAAAGGTAGAATTGGTATCGCAGGAAAAGAGGGGGCTTCGTGTAATTTTCATCCAGCACTACGTGGTGCAAGCACTGTACTCCCTAGAACAACGACGACGTGGACCATTGCACAGAGCTTTACAGCTCGGGGTGGGGATGACCGTGCGAGACTTTTATAGGTTGCAAATCAGGAAGAAAAATGAGTGCTTTTGACGCACGTGATAACGGGTTGAAGGACCTCACACGGTTGCCAGCAATGTGACTTCAACTTGGCGGCATTTTATACCTCAAAGCCGGATTAGATGTGAAGACGATTTTTCATTGCAAAGTTGTAGTTCAGAACGATGAACCAGCGCGAATACGAGCCCACTCACGCCTTCCATGTTTTTGCTCGTTTCTGAAATCAACGGTACAGTCTCTAGCCACGCGCAGCTCGTGACTGGAGACCACCATAGCCCCATCACTCTCTCTTAGATGCGTCTTGAGCTCTTCCTCTGAAAAGTCTTGCACCTTTGTCCCCAACTCTTCTCGGATCGCATACGAGAGATCCATGACGGACCGAAGCAGGCCTAGTCGACGGCCAGCCTTGTACATGCGGCTTTTCCGAGCGGCATCTATCCACGTCCCGGCTAATATGGTGCTCCAGACGTAGTTGTGGGTGGATATCATGGACAAGAATATGTAGGAGAAGCCCCACTAGTATGAGTTCCCAGACTGACATGAGCCGTGCTCGCGCAAGTATTTCCAGGTGTATACGTTGCCTTGTATCCGACACCCTCGAAGCTGAACGGCTTATTGTCGTCAGTGGCCAGGTACCCGTAGCACCAGGCAATAGTCAGGGAAGGTGGGGCGAGGTATTTAATGATGCCGTCAATTGTGATATTCGTTTCGATGTCCGAGGGGCTGTTCGATTTTATGTTCTACATTTTGTCGTCTACGCAGAAAACAATTAGTGTCAAGTTCGCGTAGCGGACTGGAGCCAACTTACAGCTTCCGAAGTCATACACCAAATCCTCGTCATCTTCCGATAGCAACAACGGTTTAGCATACCCGAGGCGAGTTGCATCGTTGACGATGACCTCGACTTGACCTCGACTTGCTTGTATTTGCTGAACTGTTGGACTGATCCGTTCTTGATTCTGGATGAGCTTCCGTCGTGTTCTTCTCATATTGGCCTCGCGAGTCTTCGAGACCGCGCAGAACCTCTAATGACGCCGCCCATGGTGGAGGGCGAAGTCGTCGGTTAGTATTTCGGAGATCAGTGTCGGCAGGATGGAATTACTGAGGGTGAAATCCATCATGTATGCCCGGGTGTCACTGGTGTTTGGGAGTCGTGTCGCAGGGTTCGAAACATCGCGATGCTGCGCCTTGCTTGGCAGGACCGCCACCAACCCTTGGAACACCATTCATCCATCATTCCACCATCGACAACTGCTATTTTCCATCTCCAAGATCCTGCACTTTCTTCTTTCGTGCCTGTCACATACCAGCGTACATACGCACAAGCTGTCAAAAGAGAATTGAAAATACCATCTTCTCTACATTCCTACTAAGGTAGCCGGTTGGTACTCGGCCCCTCACCGGTTCTTCGAAATTCGCTTCGCGCGGGCAGAGGAGGGCATCGGCATAAATTGGGTACTCTTGTACCAACCACCACTTGGCGAATCTGGTGCTCAGCTTGGAGCATGTGTTGATATTTCTTGGGGTCGAGAAAGCTGCTCTCGAGCTCTATATGGTTATTCTGCGATCGATAGATGCTAACTTCTAGAAATGGAGCCTCGACCTCTCGAGGGAAATGGCCCTGCCATGCAATAAAGACAAAACGAAGTCGTGTTTCACCACCTATGTCAATGATATCAAGCCATTCTCGGGGTTATGACTGAAAAAAAGTATTTCATGTCCTCGATTTCCAGCACACAGCCGCTTTCGCCGAATATTTCTCTTCGAATCCTCAATCCCAACTCATTGCTCTGGCCCCCTCCCTACCAGTCGCATTGCATCAACCTTCAAAAGATAAATTAATCAGGACTGATCGCAAAGGACAAGGTATAGATCAGTCGAGGAAGCGATCGTACGTCCATGCAAATCGATCGCTGGTCTTAAGGAAAATTCGTTCAAGAATTAGTCAGAAAACATAAGGTTGAGCTTACTACCGAGCTCCTGCGATATTCTACAAGCGGAGAAAAATATTTCAGCGATCAAGTACCCTCGAGACCGTGTGAGAACGATAAGGCAGAGGCGCGAATTGACGTTGATATTAAGGTCCAACGTAATTTACACGTGACTAGCATCATTTTCGCGAGTTCCAGGTCTAGTCACTCATTAAGAAGCTTTTGAACCACAAGGTCAAACTTCTATGACAGAAATGCTTTGGATCCATGAGATTTAATCTAACCTAGTACACTAGGTATTGAACTATCTGGAACCAGGAACACGGCATTCGGACCGCAACACCTACTTCCCCACACTCTTAAGCTGCCTCCGGATCTATAGCCCCAAACGAGTCGCCTAAGATAAATTAGATTCGTGTCATCTTAACTTTTAGTTGTCCCTCTACCAATTCTACCGAAAGCCAGCCCTTCTACCCGAATTGAGTTTTCTACTCTGCTCCGGATCCTAATTCGCGCAATTGAATCCCAATCTTTCGTCGAACCAGGGGAAATCAATGGCTCTGACTATTGTCTACTGCCGATTAATGAACGACCCACTTATAGCGAAGAGAGAAACCCCTTGGAAGCTCCTGACGTCTTCATAAAGACGGCGAAACGTCCACCCGTCGACAAACCGCATCTACGCGAAGGCTTTCGTTGTCCCAGAATGCGTCACCTCTTTCTTTTTGCTAGGGCTGACTCCGTCGGCACTGAACTACACTAGCAAAGCGTGCTGTCGGCGCTATCAGCTGCCCCATCGTCTTCGACGGCCGCGTACCCGTCGGCACCGCCGCCACGTTTTTTGACACCTCGAGCACGCTTTTCAACGCCGACTATGTCAAGGGCGCCAACCTGAAATGGTCTCAGATGCTACAGTTTCCGAATGTATCCGGGTTTCGCTTTGATGGAAACGAGTACGAGGCTATCGAAGTCACGTTGTCGGATGCTAGTGTCTTAACAATCAGAACGGATTTAGAAGAGTGGGATTGCAGTTCGCGTCCGACTCATCGACGGGGCCGGGCACGAGTGACGTCAAGACATTGCATTTGAGCGTCAAGCAGGATGCAGAGAGGCCGTTGAATTTGACGCATGACTATCTGGTATGGTGCTGTTCTGAATTCAACTTTTGGGAAGAAAGAGTTGACGCTGACGGGTTTTAAGAATGTCTGGCACGAAACAGCCGACTACTCAGCCGATCATTTCATGCTCGAAACCGACACTATCATCGGAAGCTCTGGCAGCGACAAGGCGAGCTGGAAGATCTTGAACCGGAGCAATCAGATTCTCTGGTCTGCGCCAATCGACAACACTAAATGGCAGGACTTTGCTGTAACGCTAGATTACGACAAGAAATAAGGATCTGGCCACAGATGAACTTCTTTATATAGGCTAATTTTGAGTTCAAGTACAGTTAAAGTCTACAATTCCGCCGGCACCGCCGCTCTCACTGCTGCCACGGGTGCGCTTTCGGCTAATATCTCCGGGAACTGGCAATTCCAGATCGGGCTATTGAAGAAACCCACCGGGACTAGCGATGTTGTTGATAGTGGGTATCAAGAGAGTAACTTGAACGAAGGACATAGTTACGGTAGGCTCTTTGTGGAGGATAGTGCCCATGGCTGTGTAACAACGTAAGTTTCGATATAGGGGGAAAGAATCCTTAGAGGTGGCACCGCCCCTCAGATTGGGTGCATGAGCGCTTCTTCTTGACCAGCTCAAGCTACCGTAGGAGGTCCTCCCACCCCTCAACAGCATTGTCAGCCCGCCGGCGGAGGTGGCCTCATTCAGCTGTGGTACTCTGTTAGTTATTTCAAGCAGATCCAAACGATTATCGCAACGTCGCTCACGTGCTATATCCGTCGCCTGACTTCTATGTCTTGGCGGTAGGTATAAAACTTCTCCTCACTAGATATTCTTTCTCTAAGATAGTCGTTTTGATTTTATCGGCACATCGGGACTTGAACAGGAAAATAGGTAGCAGTGGTTCAAACTGGACTTCATTGGCTCGTCATGGGTGTGTAGGCTGTACTCGAAACGTCTGGATTGCCTCCGCAATAGTGTTTACAGCAATGCAAATAGTAAGCGTTGTTTTACAAATGGAGGGGGCGCCATTTCTCCGTTTTTGATGCTGCTTCTAGTCATTCTCGACCAATTCCGCTAATCACCTCGTTCTCCCAGGTCAGAAATCCACATCGTATGTTTTGTAGCTTGTTCATCATCGCCGCCTTGCAGTATCGTTTCGTCGCAACGACGAAAAGATGGCCGTCATCAACCCGGGCTCAGGCCCTCAATGTCTCCGAAGAACCATGTCCATCGATCGAGATTGGAGCTGGCTCGATCCCAACAACTCAAATACCATTCGGCTTTCTTTGGAACGATTTGATCTCCACTCACACTACATTTGGCGTAGTATTACTCCAGTTTGCAATTACCAAGGCCAACATGTGCCCGCAGTTGCTGCAAGTTTGCGGTCCCACTCCATGGTTCTGCAAGCTCTTCGATTTTGCTCCTGTCCCGTCTCCCTGCAAGACCATGAGAGAAGCAGACTTGAACATCGGGGCGAAAGATTTTATACCCTCCGCCAAGGACGTGTCACGCGGGTCCCGTGATCTAGCGCTCCATCTCTTGACGGCAGATAGACAGCGGCAGGCACGTGAAGCTCAAGACGAGGAGTGGAAGGACGTATTTAGGTATGAAAACTCTTTTTTTTACCACGGAAACGGGGTATTTCCATGAGTGGGCCGATAGCGTCTGCCAGAACATGCAAAAAGACAACCTCAACAGCACGATGTTCCGGGATCAGCAAAGCCCTTCTTGTTCCGCAATCGTGTGTTGTTTTCAACAATTGAAGAGCACGGCGTCAATGGAGACGTTGGTCGCTGATCGAATGTCATCTTTTCAACTTCCTGGCGTTTGAAAATATCGCTGACGAGAGGTGCGGAGCAATCCTTTCAAGTAGCAATGCTGACCATCATACTCATCGTTCGCGCTCTGTTTCTCTATCGAAGGGAAGAGATGATCATCAACCTCACTCAATGACCACCGCAGACCGCCGAAGCGTCCAGCACGAATCGGCCCCATGATATCGGATCTTCTTCCATTTTGATCCTCCTCCACAGTCCATGAGCCCAAGACGATGCTCAAGTTAATCTGAACCTACTCTCACCGCAACATACATAGTAAGTCGTAATTAAGACATTGCTTGCTTCCACCACCGTGTCCTCCCAAGAAACCTATGGGGAAAGCGAATACAATGCGGGGGTGGAAAGATTATATACCCTCTCCTGTCTCGGCACATATGTCTCGGCAATTTGCTTTGGCTCAGATTTTAACCCCTCTTGCTAGATTCTGATAGCACGCTGAAGCACCCTGAATAACGGCGTCTTTTGTCGAGAAGAGGCGTTTGACCTCCTCGCTCAATTCGCACTTTCTAGACTTGTTTATCTCATTTATACCTCGAGTAATACATCGAATACGCAGACCTCCGTTCAGGCACTGTATCACGTAGACCTCGTGATCTAGCACCTCCGCACCAACCCGAGCTAAGGGAAAGCACGTGAAGCACGTGAGGTAGTAATCTCCCAAGTATAAGATCTCACCCTCGTCCCCAGATACCCGTCCTCTCATCAGCGGAGGAGGTGTTCGGAGTGCGCGAAAAAAAAGAGAAGAATCGGCTCAATGGGAAGATTGCGGGTAAAATCCATTGCAATTTTTGCCCATGTCCCAGAGTCCTTATCAAGATCGACGATTCGCCAGCCATCATGTGGCAAAACTCTCGGTCTTGGTCCTTGCATGGAGCAGCTGGGGAGAGATAGTTTGGCGCCGATGTCCGCGCGTGCGCCTCATCCCCTAGCCCTCCTGATGATGCCCGCCTCTTTTCGCTTCGGATGTTCTCTCTTACGTTACCATCTCATACATCTTCCCCAGCACCTAACAAAGCTCCTCCTCATCACCGTCCCATCAAACTTGCGGCGGGCCCACCACTCCAGCGAGCCCACTCCATGACATCTTTATCGGCCTTAATCTTGATCCCCACACCACCTCCATCAAAGATCTGTCAATGGCGTTTCAATGCCTCTCCCTCCGACCAGCACCAACATGCTAATCTTCTCTGGGCCGCTTTTTACTCCCTCACTGTCTCCTTGCGAGACCATGAAGAAAGAGAGACTCAGCGGGTCGAGGGGAAGATTTTATATCAGAGGAAGAGGGGGTGTCACGTGCGTCACATGCGTATCAGGGTGTTCACGCCTCGGCGCGTTGGAGACTGGGAGATGCATGGGTGGATGAGAGAGCGGTGAGGGAGAGCACGTGAGACGCGTGACACTAGGGCCCGAGCGTGAGGAGGGGGTATAAAATCTTCTCTCGCTGTCGGAGACGTCGTTTCTTTTTTCACGGAGGAGGAGGGGGATTGGGGTTGCAACATAATTCTATTGCAACGACCATGGAGGAGGCAGCGGGCGTACCAATTCCCGGACCGCTCGATGTCCTGGATCAACGCGAGAGACAATATCTTTTCATGGAGTGTGGTCCGAACAAAATCGGACCGACGGGGACTGCCATGAGGTCAACCTCGAATTCCGAGAGATTTCATGTTGGTGGAGCAAACCCATTTCCTTTTCCTCTCATGGAGTAGTCGTGTAGGAAGTGCAGAAGCAAGGGGGCAATGTGGTCAACACTGAATTTGCCGAGTTGCTATGTCGGTGCAGCACCTTCGAAGAAGAAGAGCCTAATGGCGGAGGGAGATTGGTTTGGCCGTCGTCTTACGACTCATTCAATGATCGGCGTCTTTCGGCTGAGATGGTGATGGGAGAGATAGCGGAATAAGGATGCGAAATGGAAGTTGGACGTAGTGATACTGAGGAGTGGTTGCGAAAAGAGGATGAAGAGCAGCATCACGTCACGGAGGAGCCGACTCTCAAATCCATTCGAAGATTGTGCCAGCTTTGTTGAACACTCCCTCCACCGTTGCAAAGCCTGAACTGTGTTGACACAGGGCGCAATCCCACGACGCAACATATGGCTTCGGAACTGCGTATTTTGATTCCTCCAATCAGAGATCCATCGTCTCTCATGTAGCGGTCTTTCACAACTCTCCATCGCGAGCAAAGTGTAGCATTTTTTCCTAGAAAATCCCAGGCCTCCAACCATACTGGGAGGAAGATTATCGGAGAGAAGACTTTATAGTGGAATGGACTGGTTGCACGTGATGTGCACGTGAATCTGGGAACAGGAGATACTGCGCCTTTGCCAAGGACTGGGCACACTCGCTTACTACTGTTTGAGGTCCTTCATCGCATTGTGTATGTTCTATTATACTGTAAATTTCTTCAAACTTAAATCAAAGAAGTTCCATAAGCTTACAGGCAGCCTACTTGGCGGCTGTTTGAGGTGCTTCGGCACATGATCGTAAATTTGGAAGAGGATGCAAAAGACAGCGCGGTCAAAGTTGTGTGCTAGAACTGTATAGGGTGTGGGATTTGACAAGTGCAAAAAGGGAGAGTTGGATCTAGTCTATTCCCGTCGAAACGAAGTCTCGACCGAAGAGGGAGACGACACGCTGGCATCAGTCAGCTTGAAGCTTCGCTACTCCTAGAAAGACACTCTAACACAGACCATGTCTTCTATTCCCGTCAAACCACTCTCTAATCCTCCTTAAACTCCTCCACAAGCCTAATACTATCATGATCCAACATGGCCGCCAAATACCTCTCCGTCATCGCGTCTACTCGCGCCTTACTCTGCATCATCGGCGCCGTCATCGCCCACACAAACCCATGCACATGCTGCTTCTGGTAATCAAACCACACATCCTCAACCGAGAACTTTGGCCCGCCGCTCTTATGCAGCGCATCTAAGTACTCCTGCACCAGCTCCCTCTCATGCTTGCGCCTATCCTCCACCGTCAGCGCCCCACCGATAAAATACAACAAATCATCAATCGCGCTACCAATCGACGGCGCCTAGAAATCAATCAACCCGAGCTGGCCTTCAGGCGAGATATACGTGTTCCCAAGATGCCCGTCGCCGTGCGTCATGCATCTGAACTTCGGGTTCTCAGTCCGCCACATCTTGAGGAACGCGGCGTACATGCGCTCGCGGTCTAAAATCTCCTCTGGGACCCCCGCGGGGCGGAAGTCGGTGTAGAATTGCGCTTGCCAGTACTCTGGGCTGAATAGGCTCGCCGCGATAGTCTTGAGGATGTTGCCGTCGCCGATCCAGGGGTAGTCCGCGGATGTCTTGCCCCATGTCAGCGCGTGGAGACCGGCGAGCTGTTCAAGACCGCCTGTGACAAGCTCGGGTGTCCATGGCTCAGTGATCTCGCCGAACTTGTAGTTTGCGGCGTCCAAGTCCTCAAAAATGACGATGCCTTGACCGTTGACGGTGTCCGTACTGGCGTGTAGAGCGCGCGGGACGAGGAAGTTACGCGCGTGCAGTTCAGGGGCGATGTAGGCGAAGAATTCGGCTTCGCGATGGTAGGCGGAATCAAGTCCTAAGGCGCGCATGTTGGCGTCGAAACCACCTTTGACGCAGATGCTGCTCGGGAGCTTCAGGTTCCCTGCGGCAGCTTGGTCTGCGTAGGTTACGTTGAAGAGGTATTTTGTGGCTGTTCCAGCCATCGTTTTCGAGACCTCAGCCTTGGTTATCTTGACGCCTAGGGCTTCGGAAAGCCATTCCGGCGTGATTTCGTCGACATCTAGGGGCAGAGCCTTGTCGACGTTGAGGGTGATTACTGCAGGAGGGAGGGGGGAAGTAGATTTGGCCATGATTGAATGCTTGCGCTTTAATATGGTCGAACGGTGAAAATGCGGGGATGTACTATCTATTGTTAGCTAATTCGGCCTACTGGAGGTAGGGGTCCGGGAAACTAAGCTATGTCAAGCTCTAGCTTCAATTTCCGGGGAAGCATAAAATCGGTCCGGGGGTCGAACCTTAATGTCGAAAGCAAAAATGGTCTATGAGAATGGAAATGACAGGAACGAAAAGGGCTTCGTCAGCCATTTTAAGGGAAAGCAGCAGGCCCGAAAGTAAGGACATGCTTAACCACACTAAGAACATTGCGCCGGCGGCCCAGATAATTTATCGGTTTGTTGGTTTCCAAGGCTCTGGGCGAGCCGGGTGCAGCCCTGGCGGCGATCTATGAGGACGCGAACTGTTTAACGGGCGGCAGCATCGAGGCAGCCCGGTCCCGCATCCTGGAGGTGGTCAAGTGTGGCGATGCTTCTGGTCCCGTGTCCCGGACGAGAATAGAAATGATATTCTCGATGAAATTGTTGAATTCATGAGAGGATCGAAATAATCTCAACGTGATGGATGCGAGTTATGGAACATAGTGTGAAACTATAGCAACGTGCCCTGTGTCAGGGGAAGTCCAACACATCGATTCTTACCGTCGGTTCGGGGTAGGCTGTGGATGTCTGTAGGCGTCCCTGGGACAACGTTGTAGCGAGGTGGATCGTACGATCGAAGAGGCTAGATGAGCCGGTATGGGTTCGGAACGGGGTCCGTCATCGCGAAGTCCATTGTCAGTCGAAAACTTTTAAAACGAGGCAATTTGCATGAAGAAAAGAGGAGGAGCAAGTGTTTCATCTGTTGTCGTTGAGAGAAGCTTATGTGAGCAGCTGTCAGGTCCAATGAACCGAGCTACTTTCACCACCACCGAGGCATCTTTCCTCTTCCCCCAAAGGCCCCGCTCTCCGCTGCGAGTCGTTATGACCAAGCCGATGGGGACAAAACCATCAACGCCCCGAAGAACGATGATCCTCTATCTCATTTATTTAATATTTTGAACTCTCTCTTCCGTTCCATTCCCCAATACACCTGCATCATGACTTCCGAGGCCAATCTCTCCGTCCCGAAGCTCTTTGACTTCAGCAACCATGTAGCTCTCGTGACTGGCGGTGCGACTGGCCTGGGTGAGATGGCTGCACAGGGTTTCGTCCAGAACGGTGCCAGGGTAATAATCGCGAGTAGAAAGCGATCGGAACTTGAAAAAGTAGGTCATTGTATTTCATTCAGCATGCGTTTTCTATCCTTTCTCTTCCATGCCAAGGCCTGCTCCACTCACTATATGTTAGACTGCCACCAGGTTGAACGCCCTAGGCCCCGGAAAATGTAATATTGTCGTCGCAGATCTCAAGGACAAAGCCGGTTGCGATGCGCTTGTTGCCGAAGTAAAGAACATAACGGACCGGATAACTGTTCTCATGAACAACTCCGGAGCTTCATGGTATGCTATTCATTGCCCCTCGAATCATGAAATCTCTCATTATCAGAATCACGTGATCTGACTGGCATATCTAGGGGAGCACCATACCACGACTTCCCCGAAGGCGGTTGGGACAAAGTCTACGCTTTGAACGTCAAGGCCATGTTCTATAGTATGCACTTATACTTGAATTGCTTTGATCTTTATTGACGCTCCTTTAGCTACCGTCGGCCTAGAACCGCTGCTCCTGAAAGGCGCAACAGCCGACAACCCATCCCGCGTCATCAACATTGCCTCTATGGCTGGCATTTCGACCGTTGATGTCACGTCCGCGGGAGGCGGAGTTGCTGCGCCCGGGAACGGGACTTACAGCTGTATATATTTCTCGTTCTCGGAACCGATAGTCACGTTACTTACATGAGAAACTAGATGGTCCATCTAAAGCGGCATGCATTCATCTCTCGAAAATTACGGCTTCGAAATTAATGCCGCAGCACATTACTGTCAACTGCGTGTGCCCGTAAGTCGCGGACCATCCATCATCAGAAGCGAGTCTGATAGTCACAGCGGCGTCTTCCCATCCCGAATGACTGATTTCGGACTCAAGAACCATGCCGAAAACCTTCTTGTCGGACAGCCTTCCGGCCGATGGGGCAAGCCGGAGGACTTTGCTGGCCTCATTCTCTTCTTGAGTAGTGCGGGTGGTGCCCACATGACCGGTGGTGTGTTTGAGATCGATGGCGGAGCAACGCTGTCGAATTGGGGTGCCGTGCGGCATAGGCCAAGAGAGACGAAGATTTAAAATAGTGCGGTGTGATGGAGGAGAATCTTTACTCGTAATGCCTCAGCATTACCTCATCCACGTGATCCTCATGCTTCAGGATGTGCACACAGGCTTGCCACCGTCTGAGGTGCTCCAGCTTTCTGTCAAGTGTATTGTGGACCAACGCGTTTAAGTAGACTATGAAACTTCTATGGGCCTAGTCATAGCATCGTGGAGAATGTGAGTAGGACGTCCGTTCAGGGCGGAGACGAGGGAGATGCCAAGACCCTTACGAAGTAGTCGGCCCGATGTCAGGTCTCGTTTCCAGCCCGTCGCGTCCTGGCGTCTCCTTCACAAAACACCAAGTCTCCATCTCGTAGGCTCGAGAATCGTAGTCGTGAGTGCTGACCTACTCGATGTTGCCTCAAGAGCCTCAATACAGGGAAAGAAGCTATAGGAGCTCCGATGGAACGGCAATAGACAAGCTGCGACCCTCGCCGTTCCCGCAGTCTCCCCATCCTTCATAGCCACGGTAAGTTCACTCTGATCCCTCATCGATGTTTCTATTCTCATTTTGGCAGTAATAATTTAGGCATACCATTGTTTCCCCTCATATTAGTAGACGTACGACACAGCGATCGCCCAGTTGCACTGCCACCGAATTCTACTCAAACTCCCTCTGCACAGTTCGCTGTACGAACTATTACTCTGCCTCCGTCTCTCACAAGCTTTCTGGAAGCTTCACTAGATCCATACCAAATTTCGGCGGTGCTAAAAATCTGGGGATGAAATATGGCCAAGGGGAAAGGCTATACACGTTGATTAGGGTTAGCATTCGAGGATTACGGCTGGCCCAGAGCGCAACTACAGCGGCTGGGAATGCTCTTGCCTCTAGCCGTAAGGAAACATGCGAATACTAGGTCAAAAGTCTGGGCACACGGATTTGTCAAGAAGCAGTCTAATTTGCACCGCTTGAAACTTAACATCGGGCCTAGGGTTTTAAAATTCTGTAGGGGTACCCCAAGCAGTTGTAAACGCGTGTGCAAGCGGTAAACGCGTGTGCATAGACTTGTGGCCTGTCACCGTACAGTCGAGATTGAATCAGCCACATGTTGAAAACAAGCCAATTATTGAGCTTTGCGTGCTAAGTGGGGTCTAAAATCGAACGAATAGAAGTTGCGTTAAACCCATAATAGATATAATGGCAGAACTTTTGCTATTGGATCCTACACGTACTTAGAAGCTGGAGCCTAGAAAGGATGAAGTAATACAGCTAACGGGGACGTCAGATATGACGTCGCCCAGGCAGCAAGGGTACCATCTCCCCGAAACGGCTTCAAGTGTGCTTATTCTGTCGACAACTAGCGCCGTTACACCTATATATTGCAGACATTCTCCTCTCCTCCCCGTCGCTCTCATTCTACCATTACTATCAACGTCAAAATGACCCCGAAATTCGACGCCTCAAAGATCCTCCACGCAGACCTTCCGGCGGTAGAACGCGACCTCTCTCAGCTCGCTCTGGAGTTTGCGGTGCTCGGATACCTAGACGTGGCACGCCGCTTGGTGTCTCTACTCAATAGCTGTAGCACGCTCCCTTCCCTGTCCACTGGTGTTGATTTCAAGCTCTTATGGTTCGCGTGGCAAGAAACAGGCGAATGGCCCACGGGTGAGGCCGAAAAGGCCAAGCGAGCGGAGAAGAACCCAAAATCTGGAGACGAAGAACCAGCCCGGAAGTCCCAACGCATTGCAGAGAAGCGAGCCGGGGAAGAATCAAAAGAAATAGATGAAATAATAGAAGAGATGGCCAAAAATAATTCAGAGTCATGGTTCTTCCCGGATGAATCAGAACTTGGGGGCCGATCTAGGGGTGCGGAAATCCCAAATGGTGAAGAGGCAAACGCCATTACAAAGGTGTTGGACGCGGTTGGCAAAATGACCACGTTCGCTGATGAAACCTCTGGGAGTGTTGCTATGGACAAATCCTCGGGACTTGTGCGCGCTCTGGATTTGAGAATCAAACTCGCTGACCAGGGTCACGTGGACGAGGACAAGGTACCGTCGGTAGATGATATTCTGGGCATGATTGCAAGCAGAATGCACGCAAACTCGCAGATTGACTATCTGGCCCAAAGCGCAAGAGCCTGGAAAATATTGAAGGACGGTGCCTTAGCCAAGGCAGTTGGCGTGGATGACAAAAAAGTTCAGCAGTTGGCGGAAGAGGTCGAAAAGACGTTCAAGCTGCGGCTAGAAGGTGGCAGACAGAGAAGGCCAGAACGATCAATGTTAGAACTTCTCCAAGAGCTTGCGCATAACACTGTCCACAACCCTAGCTCCAGAGAGGACTTGATGGCAAGGCAGGACAACAAAGACGAGCCAGACTCTCCTTTCGATGGAAGGGAGCCAGCAACTCCCGAGGAAATTGCGGAGCTAGAGAAACGGCTCAAGATCACTCTTCCAGACGACTACAAAGAGTTTCTACGAATAAGTAACGGCTTCGGAAACACGTGGGGTGGAATCCTCCACAATCCACCTTTGCATCCCACCACAGATGTCGACTGGTTTGGAGATGACGAGGATTACTTCTACGACCTTCCTCTGGATCTCATCGACTCCCAAATCAACTACATGACTCGCGACTATCCCGTCATTGCCGAGATTGCGGACGACTGGCCAACTGTGGGTATGGCGATTGATATTGGGAACGAAGACATCGACAGTATATGGTTGCTCCCTCCCGCAAACGTAGAGAAGCAAAGGGCTGCCTGCTTGGAAATTCTCGACAACGATGTCTACCCAGAGGAACTCAAGAGTAAGGTGCTATCGTCTATTGAGGATTTTGCAGGTAGCCTTGAAAACTTCAAGAACCTGGATTGGTGTTGTTTGACTTGGGCGTCTGGGGGATCTGCACAGATGGACTCGTACTCAAGCTTCAAGGATTACATAGCCACACAGGTGGTGAATTCGGCGGATGAATATTATCCTCACGGCAAGGACGAAAACTACGAGAACATATGCTTTGCGTATAGCTGTCGATGAGTACGTCGTCCTTCCAACAAGATGGTGGAATCACGGGGCTGCAAAGACTATCGGCAATTTTAATTTCTCTGTACTTTTCTCGAAAGTACAGTATTTCGGTCTCACTCATTTCATCTCCATTGCCACTAGAGTCTATCTCTTTGACCCTCAATTGATGTTGTTGGATCCTCGCCGGACCTCCGCCTCCGTTAGTGTCACTGCGGGCATCGATCACCAAGAGCATATTAGCCATAGCTAAATACAAGCTGGTGTACCCGTTCTGCTTTGCCTAAAACCTGGAAGGCGGCTGTGTTTACGCAATGTGGAGGTAAGCTTATTGAGAGAAACATGTCAACTCGTGGTCCGGGAAAGTATCGAAGTCTTTCTGTTTAGAGGGCATGCACACACAAAATCTCCATTGAACGCCAAGGTCACTTAAACTCGTACTACTTTTGGCAACAGAAATTGGTCCGTGGCCGAATTGTCATCACTAAACTCGGTTTTCAAGGAACTTGATGGAAGTATAAAGATGTATCTAGAGCGGAGCTAATGTGGACTCAACGTCGAATCTATGCTCTCGCTTGGTTTCAAAGAGCCGCTGGATGCACTCAAGCAAGACTTTGGGGTAAACCTTCTAATACCGATACTCCAGATATGAGATCGTGGCTACATCAGGAACTTTGGAAGGTTCTCCACGATTTTGCCACTGGCTGCATTGGCTCGCTCCCATATTTTTCGTTTCTGGTCATCAGACAGATTTCAAGGGGTCGAGAGGGGCAGCAATTAAACCGCGTTTCACTACAGGGCTGACCTGGGAAGTCTCCTGACATGGGTCGGTAAACTTATACCCCAGAGATTAAATTGACACCTTTGTCGTTTGGAACATAGACTCTCTTCGATGTACACTTCCGGATTCAAATATCTCCGCGAATGGGGAAACGAAACCGAGCTCAGATCTCGCCCGACTTGCCATGGGTCTTTATATATACCGGCTCTACGACCCTTGCGAATACCTTACTCTGGTTGACGTCAATTACGGTCTGGTCCTGCGATGTCAGTCTAACATCAACTTCAAACTCCTGGTCCTCTAACCCAAGGAAACATAAAAACACCGCAATGTCCCCACGGCAAAAGTCACCCCAAAACATCCAGCACCAACTGTTCATCATGGTCGCCTTCAACTCTCTCCTTTTCTCTCGCTCCTCCCCGCCGCTGCCGTCCTCGCGGCCCCCAGCACCCCCTCGACGGCCACCTCGACAAGCGCCAATCCTACACCTCCAGCTCCACCGGCACCAACAATGGCTACTATTACTCCTTCTGGACCGACGGTGGCGGCACCATAACCTACACCAACGGCGCTGCTAGGCAGTACAGCACCTCGTGGTCCGGCAGCAGCGGCAACTTCGTCGGTGGCAAAGGCTGGAACCCCGGCAGCGCGCGCGCAATCACCTACTCCGGCAGCTGGAGCACCAGCGGCAACGGTTACCTATCCGTGCACGGGTGGACTCGCTCCCCATTGATCGAGTACTACATCCTCGAGAACTTCGGGGACTCTAACCCGTCAAGCGGCTCGACGCACAAGGGGACGGTGACAAGCGACGAGAGCGTGTACGATACCTACACGGCTACGCGGACGAACGCGCCGAGCATCGATGGCACGCAGACGTTTACGCAGTATTGGTCTGTCAGGCAGAGTAAGCGGGTGGGTGGGACGGTGACGACGGCGAATCATTTCAATGCGTGGGCGGCGTTGGGGCTGAATTTGGGGACGCACAATTATCAAATTGTTGCGACGGAGGGGTATCATAGTAGCGGGTTCTCGAGTATTACTGTTTCTTAAGCGTGTATGGCTTCAAGGTTCTTTCGATTTGGGAGGGCTTGCTGCGTCTTTGCTAGGCCTGTATACAGTACTGTGCTTGGAGCCAGATGGTGGATGTTTCCTACCAGCTCAACATCTTCGTAGGGATTTGTGTCGGTGGTTAGTGTTCTCGTGGCCCCGGAAAATACTTCATTCCGTTCATCGATTTATTAACAGAAGACTAGGGGAGACTGGGCTACAAAACCTTGTATGTTGCCGGGGTTCTTTTGTAGGTAGGACAAATTGGAGAAAATTGCTTACATTTCAATTTTCTCCGTCTCACAGCTGCATAGAACACTATGTGGTGAAATCGGATAACGCTCAATTTGTCCTTGAAAATGTTCCACGTCGAGATAAAGAACAATCCTTGATGCATGCTGACGCTCTCCCAGCGTCATGGCTGACAAATTGCTGGTGTGCTGACGCCAGCAATAAGAAACGTAGTTACTACAGCCGGAATTTCTTGCATGACTTATAGCAATCTGTCTATAACGCCATCTTCAAGCTCTAGCCAACATTCCCAGTACCCTCCAATATCTATTCCTGATAAATCGAAACTTCTAACACCATGGCCCCTAACATCCCCTCAAAGATCCACCAACACGTCGCAACCATCCCGGACTCCTCCTCCCCCTTCTCCACCATCCGCATAGGTTACACCGACTATCCCGCAGCCACCACAACCCAAAAAGGCACCATCCTCCTCATCCACGGCTGGCCGCAAACATCCTACCAATTCCGTCACGTGATCTCCCCCCTCACCACCGCGGGCTACCGCCTCGTCATCCCCGACTACCGCGGCGCAGGCCAGTCCTCCAAACCCGCCTCGGGCTACGACAAAATCACCATGGCGACCGACCTCCACACCCTCGTCCGCGAGCACCTCGGGTTCAAGGAAAAGATCCACATCGTGGGCCACGACATCGGCGGCATGATCGCCTACGCCTACGCCACCCGCTTCGCGGACCACGTCGCGAGTGTAGTCTGGGGCGAATGCCCCCTCCCGGGCACCACGCTGTACGACGAGGTGAAAAGAAGCGACGACGTCTTCCACTTCCTCTTCCACCGCGTACTGGACCTCCCCGAAGCGCTCGTCGCGGGCCGCGAGCGAGTGTACATCCGCCACTTCTTTGATAAGCAGAGCTTCAACACGGCGTGGATTACGCAGGGGGCGATGGATGTGTATGCGAGCGCGTTTGAGCAGCCGGGGGCGATGAGGGCGGGGTTTGAGATTTATCGGGCGTTTGAGCGGGATGCGGCGGAGAATCGGGAGTGGTGGGAGCTGGAGGGGAAGTGTGGGGTGCCGGCGTTGGGGCTAGTGGGAGGGGAGTTCTTGTTGAAGGGGCTGGCGGGGGAGATGATGGAGGAGGGGCATGTGGAGGGGGCGTGGAGCGTGAGGGTGGTGGAGGGGAGTGGGCATTATGTGGCAGAGGAGCAGCCGGAGGGGTTTGCGAGGGAGGTTTTGGGGTTTGTGGGGGGAATTGAGTTGGAGAGTTGTAATGGATGAGGAGGCATTTGGGAGTGTTACTCATTGTTATTCGTGCATGCAGCCCGCATCTCGAGGAACGAATGTTGAACATTATCGAGTTTGAAATCCCTTACTCCAACGTTTGTCAGATCGTGAAGTTGATGCCCGACTGCCATAAGGCAGTAATGAAGGCACCGTATGTCAATCATCCTTTAATAATGAATCCCGAGCTTCTAATGCAGTAGCGTTATATCACGACCCTCTGCCTTTCCCATGTCCGCAAACTTCAAAACAGTACCAAGGCCGTTGAAGTGGCCGTCAAAACCTCAGATCCTTCCATCAAGTCCGGCGTTCGGTGAGCCCGCTGTGGATGATGCCGCTTCATGGCTAGGTTGGTTTGGAGATTTGGCCCAACTAGCACAATAGACGTAGGAAGTGGTACCAAGGAGCTTGAGTTGTGACAATCTTGTGCCATTCTTTCCAGGAATCCATGACAATATACACTGCCTCAGTCCAACATATACACCATTATTTGCCTTCCACACGCCCCTCCTCTTCGCCGAAAGTCCAAAGTTGGGCCGTGTGGTTGTAGCATCTTATGAAATAACAAACTGCTGCAGCTTCTCTCGCCGCTTTTTCTCCATCTGCTCGAGTAAAAAAATTCCATGATATACGTGGAGAATCATTGGACTGATCATTCGCATCGAGGACCCTGGCTGAACCCGAACAATGAGCGGTGTAGCTAACTCCGAGATGAATATGACCTTGTCCCAGGCGCGACATTGATGAGGACCCATTCCCAAGCGCCATTCCGAACTGTTCTGGAACAGTTTCTCAAAGCCCGTGACAGTAGGTACCGTCATGATTGCGACTCCCGCTCCATTTCGACTTAAGTAGTTACAAATAGAGATATGAAGGCGAAAGGTATCTTCCTCGAACGATTTCCCGCTCGTGAAACGTTTGAAGCAACGTGTCACGGACTCCCTTTCGAGGGTAGAGATTCCAGTGTCGTGTGATTTTTAAACACCATGCTGAACTCCAGATAGATGTCTTTATCAACACACTAAAGTGGAACAATGCTTTTATGTATGCGATATTGTCTTTGTGCATTTCCGCTTCACTAGTCTGATATGGGAACGTCGTGGATTGAAATATGTTGCAGCGTTTGATGGTACATAACTCACGGCCCCACACCGTCAGTGTATCGCTGCATACTCCGAGACGACTGAGTAAACCTAGGGGCTTTGGGAGACCTATCCCCCATGCTGGAACAAGAAGCTACAGAGGTCGGTAATATTGCCGATAGCAAGAAAGTGTCAATCTCAGCAGACCAGTCTGGAACCCAAGAGGGTGCGCCCGGATGGTTACTTTCGGCTGCTGCGAGTAAAAACCGCAGTGAACCGGTTATGCGAAGCAGATTGACAGTAAGCAGTTTGTAGATCTCGCTCTGCGAAGCGCTGTAATCTGGTCTGGATAGAATACTCGTCGACGATTTCTGAAACACTGCCTGGAGGGCAAAAGCCAAGTCTTTGGGATTGGTCGCTTGTACTCGGGTTGTAACAGCTACAACCTAGGATCAACAACTCATACGGTTCACGGTCACCTACGTACAGACTTGGAGTTGCTGGCATAGTAGCTGCCTACATGCCTAGCCAGTTACAACTTCTACAGAGAGGGGTTGGGGTACGGTGGCCTACCCTGCCTAATGCTGCCTACTGCTGCCTCCAATTAGTGCTTCTGCCTATGCATACAGTCACTTCCTACGTAGTATATAGTTTGGCCTTCGGGCCCCCGAAATAAGACAGAGTTCACATCAATTTTCAACCTGAGTCTTGTCGAGTGCAGAGTACTTGCCTCAGGTCGCCGGTAACCATGTATCGCCATATGGGAAGTGTTCGATATGTCCTGAAATGAACAAATGGGGTGTTGAAGTTTAGTATATATTCAAAGAAAGGAACAAGCAGACGAAACCGCTCAAAGACAACCATATTGGACTTGCCAATCTAGGATCTATTCCGAGGGATACCGGGGACAAGGTTAAACAAGAAAAGGCAACAGTAAATAGTAAAATGGCCGATATTTGTACAAGCTTGACTCGGCGCTTTATTTGTGAACGAAATTCCGGTATTTTAGCAATGTGCTCAAGTCCGGCGACCGAGTAGCTGGGCTAGTGAGATCTGGTGTGTGTAGGTGGAAGGTGTCTCGACTTAGAACAGTGTTCTGCCAATTCTGCACCGCCGGGTTTGTCTCTAGGGCCGGATCTTTCCTAGTCACAGCAGGCTGGATGGAATGAAGGAAAAGTATGCTGAACGCAAAGGGAGACCACGCCAGTTGAGCGTCACCACATACCAGGATGGGATTAGAGGCAAGAAAGATTTCTTGGTATGTCCAAATTCTCTTGGTCCAATGTGTGTCCAACAGTTGCACCAAATTTTCCCATGCGACGTATTTTACCCTGGAAAAGCCTAGGAATCGCGCGTTGCGCGCCAGCCGCGCCAGGAGTGGAGCTTTCGGGGACCTGTGACGGGCTTTGTGTCCAGAGCTATTAGCCATCATCGCCAAAAGGAAACTTTGAGTACCTAGTGACTCAGGTTGAAATTGATGTGAACTCTGATTTCTATAGACGTCTAGCTAGTTGTATATATACTAGGGGAAGGAAGGGGGGCCACCCCCTGGGTGGCGCGCTAGTAAGTTCAGCTGAACACTGCACAGCTGAGTTTTCAGCTGGGCTCTCCACAGCTGAGATCTCAGCTGTGTTCTCTACAGCTGATGTTCGGAGTAGCTTTCTAGCATATGAGTTGTTGATCCTAGGTTGTAGTGCTGCAACCTGAGTTAGTGAGCTTACTTGATCTACGAAAAGAACGAGGATGCCTCCAAGGACTCCAATGCGCTGTAAGCAAACAACAAATGGCAGCCCATAGCCAAAGCCTTCTCACCACGTTTACCCCCTCATACGCTAAGAAGTACTCTACATATCCAGCGGTGGATAGATAATCCATCGTTCTATCTGTAGACGCGTCTCCTTCTCCAAGCCAACATAGACCTCGTGGGCACCAGAATAGATATCCCCCATGAGCGGTACCTGCTGTTCTTTCTCCCTGTCGTCCTTTGATTGATGCAAATCGCGTCGATCCAGATAGTGATTGCACCAGCTTTCCGTCTTAGATGGACTAGAGGTGAGTGGCAATTTTTGGTAATTGGGAGGACGATATCGTCGCAGATGATGGTGTATGGCTCGTCCGCCGTTGTGCCCCAGACGTATGACAACGCAGAAAATGTCGGTTGCTGCTCCAGGTCTGCCAAAACCAAATTGCCTCGAATGGGCCCCTTATCCTAGAAGTCTATTGGCGCATGAACGTTGAGAAGCCTGATCAATTTCGAGCCTTGGGGAATGGACAAGACATTGTATGGAAAGGATGCCTTTCCAGTATCTGCTGCCGTGATGGAAAATGCCATTCTAATGGATTGAGATTGATGCGAGAGGAGCAAGGAAAGAGAGAAAGGAAAAACAGGGAGGGCCGTGTCTCAGCCTTGCATGCGAACATTGCACAAAGAACTTCGATTGGTGTGGGTATTCTGTGCGTCCTCAGGCATGATGTGAGATGATTTTCCGCAGGTCACTGATTGGATGCCTCGGAGCTACGAATTGTTGCTTTTTGCTGCTCTGTCCTTTCACCGGACAAGGCTGTGGCCCGTGAGTGAAGGACAGGCTCGGAGATGCATCACGCATATGTGAGGCTGGCATGTTTCAGGCATCCTTCGTCAAAATATCCCTATATGTATTTTCCCTTGTGGTCGAGAATCAAAGACCTAGCTAGGTAGGTAGGGCTTCGATGCACCGCCCCGGCGCCACATTATCTAAACCCCACCTTAATTTCCAGCCACATGGCATATAGGTATATCGTCTCATTGCTAATTACGCCCGCCCAAGCCTTGCGGTATTCAACCTCGGATAGACAGGTGCGTAAGGATGCCATAGTGTCATCATCATGCCGATCTTTTGGCCTTTAGTCCCCTAACCTCGCCATCAATTTTTTAAATCTTCACAACAAGACCTTAATATGCCAGGGGAGCGGCTCCCTTAAAGGCACCAATTCATTTCCACGGCTTCGTACTGTCCGCACCTATCCAACAGCACTCCCACCATACTTTATAACAAACCTGAGCTTCAAGAGCTTGCACGCTCCGGTTCAAGCTACACTGTGGATAATACGCACTCCACCATGTCCGGCTCCGACTTCACGACCCTTGTGGACCGCCCTACGAACGACTCACACTCCATTAGGTTCCGCTCTAAGCCCACTAAGCCCTCCCTCCTTGCCGCACCTACCGAAATTCGCCAAAAAATTCTCTTAAATCTCTTCAACATTGCCAGAATTGACCACAAAGGCGATATCAGCTGGGTGCCACCGGAACTGGAAGATATTTGCCGGCTACTCAAGGAAGACATAGAGGTGCTTGAAAGGCTCTGGGTGCCTCCGAAGATACAGTCTTTCGTCTGAGTTCACCTGCTGAGATGAGACAAGTCCCTGCTGCCATCGTCCGGCTGAGAGATAAACTGGCTCGGAGGAATCAAGAGTGGGGGTACTTCAATGAAGTAGAAATGGATATTTTCCACCCCCTTGCGCTCGAGGAAGGCAGGAAGAATCCAAAATATCGAAATCACCCAAACACCTTCTTGGAACGCACAACAAGCCGCTGCAAGCTATGGGCCAGGTTGTTATATTCCATCCAAGAACGAACGAGGACACAGTCATTCAGGACCAAGAAACAACAAATCGACGAACTCTTCTATACGGGAGAAGCATGGCAGTATCCATTGGCCTTTCTCTATCTGGCCTTGAACCTGGATGGTACTTCACTCGTCAAGATCGACATTGCACGTCTCAATCCGGCCACCGGTTTCCACGATGGAAAAGGTGATCGGTGTCGGTGGTGTCTGTACGCGATCGGCTGTGTTCAACAGGCAGTTGCCACGGTCCACCACCATGTTCCTCGACTTGTCAAGAACGGTAGATTGGGTTACGATGTTACAGCTTTTCCTCTCGGCGCGGTCAAGGAACAGGACAGGACTTGGCCGAGAGCCCAAACTAGGTCGGTGGTCACCGTCTGCTCTTTCCCGAAGAAACTTGAAGAAGGACGGAGTTTTCGAGTAATAAGTTGGATTGCGCAATATGTCTCGGGCCTCAGATCTCTCAACGCAATAACGCTTTGGAGACCAAGAGTACGAGCTTCGCGTTCTCTTAGTCTACCAAAATCTAATAGGAAACACCGTTGAACAATTCCTATTATCCCGAATTGTATTCGCTCTGCTTAAACCCACTAAGATCTGATATCGTACATTCACCTATTAACTACACGTTTTATGTCTTTGGCAAACACTACACAGTCACACGTCGAGTGCGGCCCGCTGGATTCACTGGCTGGATCGGTAGTGAATCTGGTGCCGTTTAGCGGACGAGCGTGGTATTTAGCCTCCACTACGATCTTTATTCCTGGGATATTATCCACCTTATCTGCGTCATACATCCCACAAGCCACCACTAAATCTAGGTTCAGCCAACAAGTCCCTATTACTAGATCAAATCAAGGTACTAAAGAGGAGCCACAATGTCGCACCCAGAGGCCACCCAGCCCTCCCTTACAACCGCGCCGGCCGAAATTCGCCAGCAGATACTGTCCAGCCTGTTCGAGCCAGAGTTCAGTATCAAGAATGGCGAACTTAAGAGTTCACCGTGGCAACTGGAAGCTGTGTGTAGGTTGCTCAAACAGGATATGGAGGTTTTACAAGACCTTCATTTCCCCCCAACGGATGTCATACTGCGCCTGACCTCTCCCAACGAGCTACGACAACTCCCCGCCGTGACAACAAAGGTGATGGACAAGGCTACGAGGCTGAACAAGACTTGGGAGGGGTTTAAGGAGGTAGAGCTTGCGCTCTTTCACCCCAAGGCACTACAGGAAGCATCAAAGGATGCAGCCCAATTCTTCAGATTTCTCAGCCGTACGGGAGGAATCCGCTATTCGGATTCTGCGAGACCGACTGGATCTACTCGACAGCTAGTTGCCGAGGTATACAACACCGTAAAAGCGTGGCAAGAAGACTTGTATTATCTCTATACCGCATTCGATCCAGCGATTGCTCCACCCGGAGCGCTCGTGAGGCTTGAGGTGACGCTTCCTAGCGCCGTTGCCTTCGCTCCCAATACTCTCCCGGAGGCTTGGATATGGTGGTCATGGGAGCTTGACTACCTGACAGATTTCGTTGCGGGAATTGACCAGGACTACGGGTTCCTCTATGATGCGCATTGGTTGAAGTTCGATGCTTCGCTTTTCCCTTTCGTCAAAGAGAAGAAGGGATTGTTATACAAGCCTTACTACGCTCTCAAAGCAGAGAAAGGAGAGTTATCAGACCCTCGAGCCGAAATCACGGGATCCCTGCCAATTAAGTACAGGGCAGTGCTGCCGGATCTAGACGAACACGAGATCGAACTGGATCTCTCTGGCGTCACTTTCACGGAGCATGATGACGCTTAGGGCGGTTAATAGGTTCGCGAGCTTCTGGCTCTCGTTCGCAATGCTACAGTACTAGGCTATAAGTCTAGGCACATGGATATTTCATTGCTTATCTCCAATCCTACTCACTCGACACCGCCGCGAGGAGCGGTCCAGCCAGTATGTAGCCGGTTAGCCAAGAGGCAGTCTAATTTGTACTACCTAAAGCTGAAAATCGCGGCTAGACTTGAAATCCCACGGGGAAGCACCGCAGGTTTTTTGGAATGTAGTTTTTTGGAATGTAGTTTTTTTCTTTAGTGATCTTTCTTTCTTACTTAGAACTCATAAAACCTTCGAATTGGATCTCCCAAGAATCTATTAGCACTGCCCATCTTGTGATGATCATCATCTAGGTTTGCCTAACACCTGCCAGTATTGGAAATAGCAGTGGCGAGCACCTACCGGCAGGGTTAAAATCGAGTAGCACCTCGGAAGGGGTTTTGATTCGTTATTTTCTACGAGCAGTCGAGATTTGCGGAAATCTCTTATTTCTCTCCGGTAGTTCATATTCGTCGACATGTGTACACGTTCTCACCGCTACTTGTGGTGTCTCCCCGTATTTTCGGAAATTTGGGTGAGATCCATGTGTATGATTTCGAACAATAGTTCAAATTGATAGACCGCCCTAGACAGTGATAGCGAGGTGCATGCCGTGTTCTGGCGCCCACGCCTTCAGTTTACTGACCCTCTAACAGCATGAAATTACTACGAGCGTCAGCGAGCTCTCACGGGTAAAAAACAATACCGACCAGCGCCTTCGGCGCCTCCAATGGAGGTGAGTTACTATGAGCGCATGACATCACCTTCCTACTTTCTCTAATACCTCATAGACTTACGTACACCTCTTCACCACTACTTAAGGTACTCGAACTCACTATTACGAATCCGAATACAATCTAAGATCAGCAATTTGACTAACCATTAAAACTACTAAGCCACCTCAGTCGCAGTCACGCGGGTTCACCGCCCTGCTTGGTGAATTGCTGTCTGTCAGGCACGCCTACTTAAACACATTCCTGCAGGCTTAGAACATCAACTCTTCCTAGCACCTAACCGCCACACTCCACGCCACCTCTTATCACCATCACCACCACCAGAGCCAGCAACGCCCAGCATGGCCACCACTCCAGAATCTCGCCTCATGGCCGCGCCAGCCGAGATTCGTCAGCAGATCTTACAAAATCTATTCACCAACGAAATCCGAACCAACAAAGACGGCGAGATCTTCAACATGCCGTGGCAATTGCAATCCGTATGCAAGCTACTCAAAGAGGACGTTGACACGATCCAAAACCTCTGGAGCCCTCCTCAATATGCCACGCTTCTCGTCACATATCCGAAAGAGCTCCCCCAACTCCCGTCTGTCATCGCACAACTGAAGCAGAAAACCGCCAAAGCGAATAACGGAAAGCAATGGAGTGGTTTCGAAGAGGCTGGACTGATCATTTTCCATCCAACCGCCATAAAGCAGGTCCTAGCCGACTTACCCGATTGGCTTTCGAAGGACCAGGTGATGCAGTCACTTTACTTGTGCGTCGTCAGAGAATGGGATCTTAACCGTTACGTTTTGAGGCCTACTCTAAATCCAGAGGTTACTAGAATCGTCAAATCTAATCTTACGTTACCTAAGGCCGACAGGGATGCTGTGAAGGGGTGGTCAAGCCGGAAATGGGACAGTATGCAGACCGGGGCTTGGTGCGTTTTAAGGGAGCTCGCGGAGGACTACAGTTCTGCGTTCAAAGGAGACGCTGGGACTCCGTTCGTGCAGATGGAGGACCGGAAAGGTAATGGCGTGCAACCGAGAATTGAGTTCACAGGCATACTTCCAAAGGAGCACAAGGCGACATTTGAAAAGAGGAACTCGGAGGCTATGATTCCCTTCCATATCGGGGGCATAGAGTGGATCTGAACTGCAAAGGCGTAGGTCTGTGTACACACAGTTGACACTGTATGGGAGGCTTCAGTGTAGTTGAGACAGATGTTCATCATTTTGAACATTGCGTAAGCTTGGCGGGCCACCTCTGAGGGCTGCAAACTGAGCGATTGAGTCATAGACTGGTGTTTTGGGAATGACGTTTCGGTGTGGCATCTTCCGTTATTCAAGAATTTGAATGCGCTATGCGGAATATATTATGGCCTTTGAATTGGAATCTTCTTACTGAGACATCGTTAGAGCTCCTTGACCTCGTGATTGCAAAGTGTCACCGATCTCTTACAGACAGAACTAAAATCGAATAGCTTCTCCGAATAAGTTTCTATTGAATGAAATTCTACAATCACACAACATCTCTTCGTTTCCCTCTATCTCTCGTTTGCTCTTTCTACACTCATACACCATTCACTGCCCATGGTCCTCCGCCTGACTTCTAAACTTCCGAACGCAAACCTAGATAGAAATCTTGAAACATGGCAAACTCGCTAGGCCATCATAGGCAGTGATGTGTACCTGTATACAGACTAATTTTCTGGCACTCAGCCCCTTCCGGCCTTTAGCTATAGACCTTAGCCACATATGTGTAAGGGAGTAGCGGTGAGGGCTACGGCAGGCGCACAGCACCTCTTGTATATAGACCCACCTTCCTTTAGATCTCTCTTTTTTCTCCATTATCATTATTCTCCAATACATCACGTATACCGTATGTAGCTCCTTGTTCCATGATAATCAGTAGCTAAGCAGGTTTCTTAAGCACCCGGAGATTCATTTACAGATCAATCACCACTCACTCTTCCGACTTATGTCTGTATTTAAGCGCAGCACTGTACTTAGTTAACACTTTCTACGAAGGCTTCATTTTACCGCGGCACTGCAGGCGGCCCTCTCCTAACACACCCTCCCTGCTCTCTCTATCGACACGGCGTTAGACACCTTGTCCCTTCTTAACATTCCTTAAACAGCCGGATGTTGTCGACTCTCTACGAAACGACACCTACGAACCCAGCCTATTCGCCTTTCTAAGCTAGCCCTCTTAGCATCCCTAGCAGCCCGCACGGTATAATTGACTTCTATATGCACACTTCCTACACTACTTTATTATGTATAACGTGTGCAGCTGCTACACGCATCTACGCCCTGCACAGCCTGCACAGCACCTACTCCCCCTTCTTAACTTTGTTTCAATAGGCACCAGACGGGGACGCCTGCTATCTTTTAGGGCTGCTAGGGAATAACGGCAAGGGCTACGGCAGGCACACGGCACCTCCAGGGCTACCGTCTATTCAATCAATTAATCGGGCAAGTAAAAATTAAGGGGAGGGATAAACGCACACCCCCTAATCACTCCACGCACACCCTGTTGCTTCACCGCCTTCTAATTGGCTTAGAGGACTACTCCATAGCCTCCGATTCGCTCGCTTAACTCGCTCACTAATTCCGAATGCTCTCTCCAAATGCGGCCATGTACAACACAAGCAATCGCATTATACCGATTTGTATGGGCGAGCCTAATCGTAGCCCCCCTTTTCTCTCCGTGTAGCCCCCCCAAATTAGGTCTAGCTCCGGCCCGTATAAATATTGTTCCACTAATCAAACTCACTCGCTTGCCTCTATATAGGCTGCGTAAAATGGAGAGTATGTATACACAAATTGGAAAGGATGCATTATCTAGGCCAGCAGGAGTCTATTCACTCTATCTACTCTAGCTAGTCTAGAAGCGGAAAGCGCCTAGATGGCCTCCGTCCAATTGCAGTCGCATTACACAAAAACTTTGCGCACTTGTGGTGGAGTACGTTTGTCATACTTATTACCACATTTTCGCAAGGCATAGCCCTGCGCCTTTGCATAGGCCTGGATAGATGCTATACCAGCCTCTACGGACTCGTAGCGGGCCCAAGGGGGTGCCCGGAGTGGCATGGTGTTGAGGTGGGATGTTGGAGAGAATGTTGTGTGTTCACTGGTGATGTATATATTTGGTGATCTTGGCGTGCGAGGCAAGCTAGAGGCAAGCGAGTGAGTTTGATTAGTGGAACAATATTTATACGGGCCGGAGCTAGACCTAATTTGGGGGGGCTACACGGAGAGAAAAGGGGGGCTACGACGAGTGAAAAGGGGGGCTACGATTAGGCTCGCCCATTTGTATAGCCTTACGTACGAGCTCACATACAAGCTTACGCACGAGCTCACGTACAAGCTTACATACAAGCTTACGTACAAGCTCACGTACAAGCTCACGTATAGCCTCACGTACGAGCTCACGTACGGCCTCGTGTATAGCATCACGTACGGTCTCGTGTATAGCATCACGTACGGCCTCGCGTATAGCATCACGTGCAGAGAGATGTAAAGGTGAATGCCCGGAGGAAGCTCCGCGCTGCTCCGAGCCAATTAGAAGGTGGTGAAGCGCCAAGAGAGGGGGGGTGTGCGTGGAGTGATTAGGGGCTGTGCGTTTATCCCTCCCCTTTACTTAGGGGGACTACTAATCGTACACCCCCTAATTCCTAGACGTACACCCCCTTTTCACTCCATGTACACCCCCCCCTCTTGGCGCTTCACCACCTTCTGATTGGCTCGGAGAGCCCGGAGCTTCCTCCGGGCATTCACCCTTACGTCTCTCTACACGTGATGCTATACGCGAGGCCGTACGTGATGCTATGCACGAGGCCGTACGTGAGCTCGTATGTGAGGCCATACGTGATGCTATACACGAGGCCGTACGTGAGCTCGTACGTGAGGCCGTACGTAATGCTATACACAAGGCTGTACGTGATGCTATACATGAGGCCGTACGTGAGCTCGTACGTGAGCTCGTACGTGAGGCTATACATGAGCTCGTACGTGAGCTTGTATATAAGCTCGTACGTAAGGCTATACAAATTGGCATGATGTAATTGCTTGTGTTGTACATGGCCGCATTTGGAGAGAGCATTCGGAATGAATGAGCAAGTTAAGCGAGCGAATCGGAGGCTACGGAGCAGCCCTCCGAGCCAATCAGAACGTGGTGAAGCGATAGGGGGGGGAGGGGGTGTACGTCTAGGAATTAGGGGGTGTACGATTAGTAGTCCCCTTACTTAGATTCTTAATCTATATTGTTCTTTTTAGTATTTCTAAGGTTAAGCGCGCTATTACGACGGCATAGTAGTGGTGGTGTTAGACATGTAAAGACTCTACCTGGGATTACTAACCTCCGGCAGCCAAGTCGCGATATTATATTCTAACTCCAACGGAACATCAATAGTCAATCAACCAGGCCTCTCGACAGCCAGGCCTCTCGACAGCCAGGCCTTCAATCAGCCTCGCCCAACTGTTCAACTGGTTGTGACATATGTTAGGGAGTAGCGGTGAGGGCTACGGCAGGCGCATAGCACCTTGTGTATATAGCCTCACCTTCCTCCAGACCTCTCCTTCTCCTCTACATCCTCATCCTCATCATCAAATACAACACCTACAGCCTTCACTCTCTCCTGTTACTTGTCAGGTTGGTTGAACGGCCGCCCTGGGCACCTCTTGTATATAGCCTCACCTTCCTCTAGATCTCTCTCTTCTCTATCATCATCATCATCTAATATATCACGTACACGGCATACAGCTCCTTGTTCCGCGACAATATGCTCGAAACTCTAAATAGGTAAATTGCCTTTCATCTCCAACATAGCGCTTTTAGCTGAGTACTTTACCTGCATGAAAGATGATTTATTTCTGCTCGCACAGAGTCAGTAGTAAATGAATCGTTACTGAGGTACTTAAAGCGCGTTACAGATTTGGTTCTCTGGACACCAATCTCTTTCTCTACTATCCGTAACACACCGTCAACCACCAACTCGTCTAGCACCCGCTCATGAACCACTGGATCCAGGGGTCCGTTTACGGCTTTGTTGAGCAACTCGCAGGCCATTGCGAGAATGCGTATAATGGAGAGCCTTTCGTGCGGATAATGGATCGAGACACGGTGTATCCTCGAGTCGAGTTCACAGGGACCATTCCGAGATCACAAGGTCGATTTTGAGAAGTCGAACAAAAGATCAGCTCGCAAGATCTGCCTCGGAAACGTGGAATGGGTTGAATCAGTTGTTTTAGCGAGGAAGAGTTGAGCCTGGATTATTATCGAGCCTAGAGCATGAATGCATGCGGAGCCACTCGGGAAAGTTCAGTCACGAGACTTCTTCGCCTAAGGATCCGCCAGCATTGCCCAGATCCAAATCATTGTCCAATCACCTTCCACTGCCAAGATCCTGCACAACGTCTTTATCTTCCACTGCCAGCATTGTACAACGCACTGCAAAGTTGCACCATTCGCCAGCTCAATCACAACAAACGCTCCCTCGAAATGTCGTTCCTCCTCGCTGCGCCACCTGAGCTTCGCCAAAAGATCTTGGACCATGCATCCAACAACAAAGTCCAGATTCGCCGAAACGGCAGCATCTACATCATTCATTCGGACCTCAAGACAGCTAACACGGTCTTCAAAGAAGACATCGAGACCGTCGAGCGCCTGTGGATTCCGCGTGCCGATACGACCGTACGGATAACTTCCCCGAGCCAGCTCTGCCAGCTTCCTGCCGTCACACAGCGCCTCAAGGACAAGGCCGCTGCGGCCAAAGAGCCGTGGTATGGTTTCCAAGAGATCGAAATAGTCTGGTTCCACAACAACGCACTTCAGGAAGCGAACAACGACAGAGAATTGGGCAATCACCTAGCTCGCACAATCGGCGCGCCGGGTATCACTCATCGGAATCGAGAGATCTTCATGAAGGCCGTCAACGTCGGACTATCGTGGTCGCCATTGTGGGAGCCCTACGACGGCCTCGAAGGTCTCGACCCCAACGTCACACGGGCCCTGAAGTATAACTTGACGATGCCTACTCCAATGGCAATGGCTGTCAGTCGGCTGAATCGAGACCAGGAGCGAACTTGGTGGGATTTGGTGATTCGCAACGTCCGAGAGACAGGCAGCGGAGTTGAGGATAACTACGAGAGTGCGCAGACCGAACAAGGCATGGCGGTTCCCATGGAGGACAGGAAGGACATATACCCGCGAATTGAGCTGGTAGGAACCGTTCCAGGAGGCCATGGGAAGTCTATCCGAAGCTCAAGTGACGGGATGATGTATACTGGCGGTTTGCAGTTTGCCTAGGTACGAGGGGGAGGTGGGGGGATCCAAGCGAGCGTAGTAAGGGCCAAAGGACTTGCAGTTGGGGGGCAATCCAGGTGGATTAGCTAATGAATTGTAGTCAATGGGATGTAGATTTAATAAAACTAGTATACTTACACACTTCCTTGCCACTGTCTAAGGTGCCTCATCATGCTTCTACGCACCTAAAAGCCATGATTTTGAACTGTCAGAAAGCTCGCTAGGCCACCTCAGACGGCATTGAAATGGTGTACACAAACTGTAAACGCTGATGCATTCACACTCGTTTGCCACTGTCGGAGGGGCCTCATAATAAGTCTACAGTTCTGAATATCGTGATTGTGAACTGACCAGAAGCTCGCTGGGCCACCTCAGCCGGGGTTGAAATGGTGTACACAGACTAAACGCGGATGCATTTACACTGGTTTGGCACTGTCTAAGGTGCCTCATCATGCTTCTATAAATTTGAAAACCAGGCTTTTGAATTGTCAGAAAGCTTGCTGGGCCACCCCTGACGGCGTTAAAAAGGTATGCATAGACTGTGAATGCTAGTCCTTGACTACCAAATTTGACCGTTTAAGGAATTATAGTATCTTTACACATTTGATTGCACTTCTCTCTCAGATATGTGTATCCTGTAATCGATGAATTTACACTCTTTTGCCACTGTCTGAGATGCCTCATGACGCATCTACGAATCTGAATATCATGACTGTGGACTGGCAGAAAGCTCGCTAGGCCACCTCGTACGGCGCTGAAAAGGTGTACACAGACTGTACATGCTAGCTTTACACACTTGATTGCACATTTCTCTGGAATATCTTCTTCTGTAAACACTCTTTTACCACTGTGTGGAGTGTCTCATCATGCTTCTACGAACTTAAAAACCAGGCTTTTGAACTGCCAGAAAGTTCGCTAGACCACCTCATACGGCGCTAAAAAGGTGTACATAAATTGATTGAATAGGTGGGAACTCACCCAAAGGGGGCCATCTAGTGAATTGGCAGCAATGCGAAGACCCTCAAGAGTCACTGACGACCTCTTCAGTGAATTCAGCTGGATGCCAGGCAGGCGTATTTAAACTCCCTCACAGTACTTTTCTCAGGACACTAACTTCCTTCTGCAATCGCGCACCCACCACAGCACCTACCGCAACACCCACCAACAACAACATAAACTAACCAGTTACTCCTCGTACAACTATCCAACCCTCAACCAATCACCAAATCGATCGTCAACCAAACACCACACCGACCATGTCAACCACCACGGTTCCCTCCCTTGTCACGCTCCCCGCCGAGCTCCGCCAGAAGATCCTCTCCAACCTCTTCAACAACACCATCCGGATCAATACCAACGGCGAAGTCTTGAGCGCCACCCCCTGGCAGCTGAAGTCCACCTGCAAGCTGCTCAAGGCCAACATCGAGAAGCTGGAGGAGCTCTGGACCCACAACGAGGACGCTAAGCTGGTCATCACCTCCCGGACCGAGCTCCGCGCCATGCCCGCCCTCATAACCTCCCTCAAAGCAAAGGCGGCTGCAGCGGGAAAGACCTGGCGTGGATTTCAGGAGGTCGAGAGTAAGGTATTCCACCCGAACGGCCTCGCACAGGCGTCGAAGCGGGAAAAATACGCCCTCAATTTGGCTGAAACCTCCTTCTCTGCCGCTGCCAAAAAAGCCATAGTGGAGATGACCAACGTCGCAGATGAATGGCGCGATGCCCGCGCCGCTTTGTACCCGACCCTCGACCCTGAAATTACTCGAGTGCTCGCATTGGACATCACGCTCCCCGATGCCGTTGCGGCGGTGTTGAAGCATCCGGGACGCCGAGGAACAATTGAGTTGGTCTTAGCGCTTCGAGGGGTAGCAAGCATGGCGTGGACGCTTGGACAAGACTACACGTACGCCTATACGAAGAAGCCGTATGTGCGGATGCAGGATAGAAAGGGGGGTGTCTATCCGAGGATCGAGTGGGCTAGGACGTTTCCGGTGGAGCATCGGGGAATATTCGAGTCGCTTGGAGCGGAGGGCTCGTATTCTATGAACGTTCAATTCGTCTAATCGAGGACGGAGGATGGAGGGTGCGAGGGGGCGTCATAACGGGATAGAGCGGCAGCGGGATGAGCAGCGGCCTTGAGCTGCGGAGTCAAGAGCCTCTGCTATAGTTCTTACTATGTTTTCCATTTCTTTCAAAGTCGAGGCGATCAAGACAGGTGTTGATTTATAGACTGGCGTTAAAAGAATGAAGTGTGGCTGCCGCATTGAGGCACGTGTGCGATTAATGCTGGGTATTTGTTTTGCTGTTGGTGGGCGTTTATTATGTTCTTCACAAGAAAACCCATTTGTCCCATCCTTCAAGTGCCGTGCCAGAGATATCCGTATACTTTCCTGTAACTGTCTGTGGAGCTTCAATGTACTAACAGAAACCGGGGGCAGTGGATAGACTTCCAATCTGCGTACACCCTGTTGGTGCTGTCTAAGGTAGCCTCGCAAGTTTACTAGTTGTCTAAAATATCAAAGTTCTCTCTTACTCGGAATGTTGAAAATACTATAAGGCGCCTTATGCAGCGGTAAAGGAGTGTACGAATTTTAATAACGAGGCATTGTAAGATCCGTGGACAGGGCGGGCCTTTATCCAATCTCAGGATCTAACTCCCAAATAATACTTTATATACCTATTATCTCCTTAGTAAAGCTTATAGAGCCACTACGTGTTCACTGCAGACGCGTAAAACATCAAGGAACGCATGGCGTTCTACACCATAGAAAACGAGGTTTTCATCCGAACGTTGCGAGGCAGCGAACGGTTTCCTCGTGTAAATTAGCCTAGATAGCACAACTGCATAGACCCTAAGGTGAGCTACAACAGCTAAATAGAATATAAATAATATAGATAATATAAATAAACTTTTAGCCGCTAGTTATACTATTATACTAACGACTTAAGAAAGATTCGGCCACTTAGCGATCTTGTAAGAAATTGAGACTCCATTGTATGGCAGCGCAGTGGTAGCTGGGCGGCCCAATCTTTTGCCGTCTTTATTCCTTTGAGCTGGAGAGCCAATTCGATTTCCGCATCGGTTAAAAATGGGGTTTCTTCTTTTTGATGTTAGTTCAAGGAGATTTACGGTGTACCCTACCTCGAGAGAATCTTGCCGAGTATCGCGATGGTACAGCACTAGGACTTCTATATGGGCACACTCCCCCATAAATCCGCGGCGAACCTCCCTGTCACCGAACAAGGAGCTGTAGGCCGTGTACGTGATGTATTGGTAGATGATGATGCTGTGAGAGAGGTCTAAGGAAGGTCAGGTTATATACAAGAGGTGCTGTGCGCCTGCCGTAGCCCTTACCGCTACTCCCTAACACTCCCTTTCATCACCAATATACAGCCCAACAGAGCTAAATAGAAGATAAAAGATACTAGGATAGGTTTCTAAGCACTTTCCTCCTCTTTTGTAATCTTTGGATTACGCTTATTCAAACAAATATAAAATTAAGACCGGAAAGGTTTTCTCACATTTAGTACTTAACGTGCTAAAATTTTTATTCAGTAATCTTAATTATTGCGTGGTAGGGGACGCTTAGAAACTACTTAACTTTAGTGCGACTTAGCGTATTGTGCTCATATGGGAGTCCGCTAAATATATCTCCGGATTGTTAAACAGGCAGTTAAGCACCTCAGACAACGGTGAATAGGTGCGTATATACTTTTGTGCAGGTACTGTACCGAGGACTGGTCATTAAGAAACAAGCAGCTACTAGAATCTGCAAGGTTCAGACGACTGCGCTTGAAGAAAATATATATACTTGTGTTCGTCAAGACGCGTATTACCTCGTACTCATCGCACTCACAACACAGTAAAGGTGCAAAATTAGACTCTGTTTGGGTACACAAAGTCACGGCCTTGAAGTCTCCCCCAAGACGCCAGAGGTCTCCAGCAACGTTCAACACAAATCAGCATAATCAATCCATCCCTCATGAGTCCTTGGGAAGGATCCAGAGCATCTGCGCTCACAACATCATCACCGCAACGGTAGCCATCGAGCACAGCGCAACCAACATCCACTGATCCACCCGGACGAACGCCTCGTCGCCCTTGTCGTTAGTAATCTCCGTCGCGAACGGGTCCTTGAACTTCCCGACGTCCTCCTTGCTGATGTTCACAAGCGCGTACACCCCATCGAAGAACGGGATCTCTTTGTCGTCCAAAGTAAGGTTGTGAGAAACAGGCGTGCACATCTCGTCTCCGGTGCCGTTGTTAAGGCTGCCAGTGCAGCTGTTCATAGAGCCCGAGACGCAGCGCATGAGCGGCATGAAGGTGATTTACGCCGCGCTATCAGCAGGGAGCTCGCGGGCGGTATCGATGCTGGCGATGAGGTTTTCGTTGAAGGAGCCGTTGTCGGTGACGGTGACCTGGGACTTGACGGCGTTGAAGAGGAATGGCCAATTATCTCCGACCGCAACAGCGGGGAGAATGCGAGAGATGTTGTAGGTGAATTGAACTTGATAATCTCCGTGGGCAGTGATGGCGCAGGAATGGTTGTAGTTGTTCGCTTCGCAGTTCGCACCACCGGAGCCTGGCTGGGCTGCGCCGAGAGTGATGTACTTGGACTTAATGGCCCCAGTTGAAGATGGTGCAGTTGTCGGCAATGGCAGGCAGGATGGCTGCGAACGGCGTGAAGAGAGCGATGAGAAACATAGTTCCTGTTTGCGGCTCTGGATGTGAGTGAGCTGAAAATGTACCCGACACTGTTCTCTATGTTGTAGAGAAGGAGCCCGAAAGCTGGTATCCATCGCAGGGACGATATGAGCTACAGCACATGAAGCCCAGCAGACTTACCGAACAAACGAGATGATTGCTAGTAGCTGAGAGATGAAGTGGTGTTGTAGGTTCAGAGTTCCGAGTCTTCGTTGTGAATGATATAACTATGCCAAGCCCCCAACACTTATCGTGAACGCCCAGGTGCCCCCGCCCCACGATATCAGATCTCTGGGGCAGATCCCCGTTCCCAAGAGTGGCGGGCCGCTCAACACCTACCTAGGTATCGAGTGTCCGCCTCGCAGCCTTTTTTTGGCATATCTATCCTCTCACCTGACCGCTAAACACCCAATAATTCACCTTCAAACATTCTCACCACTAAGCTCCTTCGCTTCCAACTCTTTCCCTTGTCGGTTTAGAGTAGCAGCCACCTGTCCAGTCATGAACTCCTCGGTGTTTCGCGCAAACCATGTCAGTATGATCGCGAGGCCGGAAAATGCAATTGTTGTAAGGTAGACCGTCCGGTAAGCATTGGCATTGGCGACTTTGGATGCCATAGTTCCCACCGCAATGATACGTTGCGATATACCAGGGATGCTCTTAAAGGCCTCCGAAGTGCCTGCCGTTAGAGCTTCCAGAAACCATGCGACCGATGTGGTAGGGAGACCGGCGCCGATCAATGCTGACGGTACCTCAGCGGCGATCGTCTTTGTAAGCCGGTTATTCAGGACCGTCGTATATATAACCGTAAGGATTGCAGAGATGCCTGAGCGAACGCATCCAGCGGTACCACCAGCAACACCGATGTCACGCTGATCGTTGACCATAACGGACGAATTCGTCAAGCAAATGCCCTCGTTCCTGCCGATGAAGGCACAGTCGATATACAATAAGGCGATGCGCGTCTTCTTATTATTTGGTGTTACGGTTGCCGCGCCTGTCACGATGATTAGCCCAATATGCCGTTGAAAAGGCAGCCAAATCTTACAGCCGAGGAATATACCTCATAGAGTGAAAGCAGTCATGCATTGGTACCTCATCTTCCCGATGGACCTCCCAAGCAGACCTGAACACACTTGTCCGGTGATAAATTCTAAGCAGCATATGTCAGCATGATAGCCCAACCGGCTGGGAGGGGACGCATACCCAAGCCGACTATCAACGACAAATATCCTGTGTACATTAAATCTCCATTGGCATACAGAACCGCAACCTGTTGTGGCCACACGATGGTAAAAGCGTAGTAGACTCTAGCGCCGAGACCGAGAGGCACAACTGCTGCTGTCCAGTGACCATTGAGAAAGAGACGCATGCTAGTAAGTGTAAGAGTTCATTCAATTAGTGTGGAAGCGAAATACTTACGGGATAAGAGGTTGCTTGATTGGGCCAAATACCTCCCACAGAACGAAGCAGACAAGAACCACGAATCCGATCACAATAGCACAGATGACGGAAGCAGAGCCCCAAGGGTAAATCGCACCACCCCAAGACAGACCTAGTCCCTGTTAGCAAAGGTTTAGGCAGATGATTTGAACCATCAATCGACGTACCCATGAGGAAGATGACGAATCCGCTAGCGAACAGGAACACTCCAAAGTAATCAAAGTGCTTCATCCAGTACATCTTGCTATCGATGTCGGTTTTATGCTTCTCTTCAAAAGTTGATGGGAAGTAGAATGCTACCTAGCAGATCAAAGCGGTTGAATTGATTCCAAGGAGGAACCAGTAGATTCCACGCCAACCAACAGAATATCGCGTGACGAATGTGTAAACTATCGCAGAGCCCAAGCCACTGCCGGTTATGGAGAATACTGTGAGTTGGTTCAGTACAGTCGACGGCTCTATCACCATACTAAGGATTTACTCATGGTGTAAAGTTCCGGTTCCAAAATAACGATACTTCATTGGCAGAAGCTCAGCTAGTAGATACCCAAAAGATAGCTGCACTGCTGATGCACTACCAAGAAAGACATTCCCACCAATCTAAAACTTCATCAGCAAGGGAGATATTGCTGATGAGGGAGATCATGCTATACCAAGACCGGAATACTCTGAGCAGTTGCGCATATAACACTGCCAATGACCGCACAGAGAGCACCCGCGATCATCATGTATCGTCTGCCAAATATGTCGCCAAAGCGCCCGACGATAGGGAACCAGACAGTAGAGCAGACGTTATACACGAGCGAGACCCAGACATAGAGTTCATCCGGTCTAATGTCTGCATTGATTTGGCCCAGAATAGGAGCAGCGTAGGCACTGGCAAGCGTCAGCCACAAGACCCAGGGCTATTGCTGCATAACTGCCCAAGAAAAATGTACTATAAAAGTAACCTTTGGGTAGAATGGATTCGTCAGTCTCGAAATCGCTCTGCTCTGTATGCGTCGGCGGGTTTTGAGTCACGGGCTTGGCAAATTCTTCATGAGTAACTTGGTCTTCTTTCTCAGACATTGAAACCATGATGATGGAGGTATTTACGATCGCAGGTCAAAGAAGAGCTAATAAGAAATGCCGCGGGTTTTAAAGTCCATTTGCAAATCAAGGAAACGTCGGACCGTTGTGGAGTCAACGTCGAGTTCTCCATGGGGAACATCCCGGCCTTCCCTGGGGCGATGTGTGGGGCGCTGAGTGCATTCAACCTGCTCCGATGAGGTTGCCCTATAGAATGCTAAGCTAAATGCTGATCACAGACAATCCAGGAGTCGTGTCTGATGCTGATTAGCTGAAGAGTCAGTTCCCGGGTTTCGTTACCCGTCACTCGGCTCGTCAGGTTTCCGTGGCAATGATCAAAGATCTTCGGAAGGAATCCTAGGGCAGCTAATAGCCTTGTTGTTCAGGGTACAAAGAGTGCGAGAGCTTGAGGTCCTGATGCTTGAAGTCCTGATAGCTGAACCGTCCGTGATGCTGAATGGATGGGATGCGTGTTATGTATTCCCATTGCACACGTGGAAGCTACTACCTATAGGCCAAAGACAGGAGCAGATCCTGCAGCAGAATTGAAGAAGAAGAGAAACGCAACATTCGACATCACTAGTGTAACGAGCAGGGTCCTGGTTTTGCCACATGTTGACATAGAACGCTTAAGACGAAGACGAGCAATTTAAATACGAGATTAAAGAACACAATCAGGACAGGACGAAAGCATAGCGGACAGTCTTGATACTATTACCAGCATATAGCATCCGTATCGACAAGTACAAGAAATATAAAAATGTATCGGGTCTCGTCTGAAGAGACGAAAGCTAAAGCATGACGTCCCCCGGCACCACGTTCCCCCGCTCCGTCTCGGCATCCTTGGCAATCTCGCAAAAGTTCATCATCGGCATCACCTCCTGTACCGCATCGCATCACACCCCAATCCTCCCAACCTCCATATACCCTATAAACACCCTCCCCACCCTATATCCAAAATGGTCAAACTCGAAGAAGTCCTCGACGAGGAATTCACCCGCACCCAAGACGCCCCCATCGACGACGAAAACGATTGGGACACCGACAGCACCGGTACGCCGCATCTCCCCATCCAAACCCGCTCTCCCGCTCTTCCGCACCGCATTCCCTTCTCTGCTTCCCGCGTCCCCTTCCCCTAACCCCCGCTAAGCCTTCCCCACCTCAGACTCCGACAACGACAGCGAGATCTCGCTGGCGCCCGACGAATCGCTCTACGAGCGCATCGCCGCGCTCCAAGACATCGTGCCCGCCTCGACACGCCGGAAGATCAGCAACACCGTCTCTACAACGACCAGCTGGGTGAAGAGCGGGCTGCTGTTTGGGGGAAAGTCGCTGTGGGTGATCAGCACGACGACGCTGCTGCTGGGTGTGCCGTGGGCGCTGGCGTATAGCGAGGAGCAGCAGATGGTGGAGATGGAGCGGGAGATGAAGATGCAGCAGAGCGCTAGTGAGGTGGGTTAATGCGGTTTCTTTGGTTGAGTTGGGGTGGGTTGGGAGAGGGTTGGGGGAGGGTGAACGGGAACGGGGGAATGCGGACATCGAGGGTTGGACGGAAAAGGATGGAATGACGATGCTAACATGGTTCACAGATTCTGGGTCCCGGGACGTCCGCACAACCTGCCCAAGCGCGCCCAGCCTTATAATTTCGCACGATGGATGGATATCGAACCTAGATGAAGGCATTGGCGGGTGGACGACACTTGTTGTACGATCTGGTGACGAAATGGGACGGGCAACGGGAACGGAAAGCGGATATGTTCCATTGGTGTAATATAGGTCACTCGACTCTTTCAACCTGTGTATTTGGATATTTCATTACTTGCTTGAAGCAATCCCCTCGATGTCACGTGCATATCCGGAATCGAGTGCGCAACCATCTAGCGGAGTAAAGTTATAATTTTCGACCCTATATATACACTATCCGCGCCCCGCCTCGCTTCCCATCGCGAGACCCTCATCATGTAGGGACACAGATTCTACCAAGCAGAGTTAATCGCTCGCAAAAATCTCGGTCTCATGCCCCATTACCATTTTTTCACAAGATGCGCAGCCGACCGAGTTCACACAGACCAACAAGACAAGACACAGGACGGGGGAACTTCTAATCGTGCAGCAAGAAACCCTAGCCAACCAGAAGAAAATGGGCGGCGCAAGAGAAGCCGGACGGTTGGTTTATACCGTCTGGAATTTTGGTAATACAGCGAAGAGAAGAGGTAGGTTGTAGAGTATAGGTTACAGAGGTATTATTTGATGGTGAGAGGTGGGAGTCTAGAAGGGTGGCGACGCTTGCTCGAAGCCGGGTCGTTCTTGTGCCATCATGACCTCTTCGTCGGCGGACTCGATTGAGATTGCTAGGCCGATCTTGGCGGTGTTCTGGGAATTCGTATTAGCTTGTTGACGCTGTTTGTGGGGATCAGAGGAAAATTATGTACCTTTGGGTGGTCGATCTCTCCAGCGAATGTCAAGTTCACAGCTGGTGCAACCCGCTTTTCTAACAAGCATCCAACCTTGCCCTGGCTGTCCAACTGCGCCCTGACCGATGACTGCCGGAAATCGTACTTTGCGCCGATGGTCGTGACACCCTCTTTCCGTCCCGGCATACCCAGGGGTCCACCAGCCGGACCCATACCTACGAATTGGAGGTTGGTCTCCACACCAGCCTCGACCTTATCTGTCAGTCTCCGCCAGTATGACGCCTGGACACCCCCCTGCGCCAGCAATTGTGCGCTCGCAATCCAGTCGTTTGACTTGTACCGCGCAGCGTATGAGAAGATGAGGTCAGGGCCGTATGCCATCGCTGATCGGTTCCAGACACCTTCAATTCCAAGAGCAAGACGGGGGGTGATGGATTGCAGGTAGCTCCCCATCACGGCGCCAGTCAAACCGCCATCCAGTATAGATGGATTGATGGTCTTCAGGCTGGCGGTGAAGTCGGCACCGGTGTAGTCGTTTTCGAATGAGAACATGGCGCCTTGTCCGGGCATTATCTGCACGCTCGACTTTGTGACCAGCGCAGATGTCCATCGGTAGTTGAAGCGGCCGCTGAGCGCGAAGTCGTTGTCGATGTTGGCTTGGAGGAAGACCTGGAGGCTGAACGTTAAACTAATCACATGTGCGGGTGTTGAAAATCACTACCCTTGGTGACCCGTACATAGCGGCGTATGCGTAGGGCGGCAGGCCCTGTGACCCCATGGACAGCGCATGCGAGACCTGGAAAAGAGGAGCTACGCTGAAGGCCTTGGTGAGATCGGCGCGGATGCCGGAGAATGTGAGGTTGTTGAGGAAGACATCGCGCTGGACCTCCTTTGCGATATTCTCAACGGTGCCGGGGTTGGACAGGCCTAGCGCTTCTCTCCGCTCCGAAAAGGATGCATAGACGTTCCGTAACGACAACGCGACGGGATTGGTGGTGAAAAAGTCGAGCTCCTGCTTCGAGGCCTCCATGACGCAGGTTCCACAAGGGAGAGGGGAAAGTCGAGAGAGCGGACACGGGGCGGAGGATGGAGCAGACAGGCGCTGGCAGACAGATGAGGAGAATGGCGGGGGAGAGGGTGTTGGATGGAGGTATGCTGGCGGGGGGTGTCGTGGGTCGTCGTCGCGCTGCAACTTTTCTTCGGTCAAGGAGAGAGAAGAGTGGTGCCAAGAAACGGTGGACGCTAGGCCCAAAGCGCGATGGCGCCACTCTGGCCAACTCCGGCTATTGCCTTGATCGTCTTTGAATGACACAGCCCCGGCCAGCATTGCTTTTTCAGACCCAAGCAACGGCATTCAAACTTTGCACAGCACCCCTCATTATCTCCGGCAACTGTGATCACTCACATCTCGTTGTCCAGCGTGCCACTGCTTCATCGCTACGCCGCCCATCGCGTCTTCATCCTCCGGGGAATTGATGACATCGCATCCACGAATACGACAGCCTCCGCAATCCCTGCTCCATACATGTGACTCGTGGGACGCTCAACTATCAGACTTGACGGACTCCTCGTTCGAGCTGATTGGCCACTGAGCTTTAACTGCGATACCCCTCCTTCATTTTCTTTTGTCCCCTTCGGCCGCATTTGGAAGACACTGAACAAGGACGGCCAGCATGGATACTTTACTGTAAGTACCCTCAGCTGCTCAATTGGCACCCCCAGCAAACCTTCTTGAAGCCATCCTGCTACCAAACTCTGCTGTCTAAGTAGCCAAATCTAATATACAATGTGTAGCACCGCCGAGATCTACGCGAATTCGCCCAGATTCCGTCGGAGGTCAAGCACCTTCGTAGATGCCATCCATGACTTACCAGAAAAGGAAGAGATGGCCCCGGCCCAGTTGTACAGCACTGAGTCCGGCAGGCTGTTTCACTCAGGTCGTATCGTGATTGCTACCGTCGGTTTACCAGCACGAGGCAAAACCCACATCTCCGTGGCAGTGGCACGTTACCTCCGATGGCTTGGAGTCAAAACTCACGTGTTCCATCTTGGCGACTACCGTAGAGCAACTCTAGGTCCCGGAAAGGATGTGCCAGATGATTATTTCTTCCTGAATGCCTCTCCGCAATCCGTCCTTCTGCGGAACAAGATCCTGAAGAAGTGCCGTGAGGACATCTACCACTTCCTGGAGCATGAAAACGGTCAAGTCGCTATCTACGATGCAGTCAACGCCATCAGTAACGGACGGAAGTCTCTCGCGAAGGAGTTTGCGAAGCACAACGTGCAGACGCTGTTCATCGAATCGCACTGCACCGATGAGCGCATCATCCAAGAAAACGTCCGGAACGTCAAGATCTCATCACCCGACTACCAGGGCTGGTCAGATGAGGACGCCATCGCAGACTACCTAGCTCGAATCAACTCGAGGATACCGCATTTCGAGACTATGGAAGAGCCGGAGCTTCATTGGATCAAAATGATCAACGCCGGTGAGAGGGTCGTCGTCAACAACTGCGCTTTCGGGTATCTGTCCCAACGCATCGTGTTCTATCTCCTCAATCTCCACATCAAATCCCGACAAACCTACTTTGCCCGTGCTGGAACTACTAGAGAGGAGGACTCGTATAAAGCCGATGCTTCTCTTTCCACGGAGGGACTGGATTACGCTAAAAAGATGAGCGACACGCTCTTGAAACACAGGGAGCAAGAGAGAGAATCCATCATAGCTCAAGGTGGTCCTGACAATCAACTGAAGCCTCTCACCGTGTGGACCTCCACTCGTCGCCGAACCGTAGAGACCTCGAACTACCTCGCCGAAAAGGGCTATCGCGTCAGGCAGCGATCACAAATGAGCCAGATGAACCCCGGTGTATGCGAAAAGATGTCAGAGCGCAGGATTCGCGAGGAATATCCTCAGGAAGTCACCAAGCACGAGGCCGACCCTTACCACCACAGATACCCACGGGCTGAGGTTTGGAATCTCCTTTCAGTCATTCTTGACTCGCTACTAATTCAACTTAGTCCTACCACGACCTCGCCGTCCGTATGGAACCCATCATCCTCGAGCTCGAACGTGAGCAGAACGACCTCCTCATCATCGCCCACGAATCCGTCCTCCGCGTCCTCTACGGCTACCTCATGGCCTGCAACGCCGCTGATATCCCGAAGCTCGAATTCCCTCGAGACGAAATCATCGAAGTCAGCCGCCCTTTTCATTGCCCTCTCGATCTCTCTCAGCACTCTCATTACTCTTACTCAAAATCACACTCACACTCCCCCCCTCAGATCATCCCCTCTAGCTACAACAATGTGGCGAAGCGCATTCATATCCCGGATCTTCCAGATCGTATCATCCCGGGTAGCCCTGAGGATCTCAAAATGCCAGTGCCGCCCTCTGGGACGGTCTCGCCGTTCTCAGGGTTGGGCACGCCGTCCGGGACTATGACTCCGGCTGGGGTTGCCCAGCCGTTGACGTTGAGAAAGACACACATTAACCCTTCAGAGTAAGTTCAGGTTGGTGACGGATTATGCCTTGTGGGTTTTAAGGTTGGCGTTTGCTTCTTGGTAATATTACATCCCGTCTGTTGGGAACTGTTCCAGGTAGGATAATAGGTAACGGGGCGCTGATTCGGGCTGTTAGATTATAAATCAAGTAATTGCTAACGCGTCTATGACTTCTGTCTTTCTCTACTGGCATCAAATGCTACTGTAACATGGCTCTAAGAGCCTTGGAGGCTGCGTTGCATCCAAACGCTTTGCTTTCTTTTTTTCTAGAAAGTGCCGCTTGAAACTGACGAGCGTCACACGTTTCACTTGGCCCCTGCCCCCTGCAAGTGGATCCTGCGATGGGGCCCCCGCATTGCTTCAATTCATCAACAACAATAGCACTGGAGCATATATATTTATTACCAGTACGACTATAGCCTTTTCATTATCTACTATGTATGTACTTACAGCTCGACATTTGCAGAGCGACAGCGCTGCAACAAGGCAGAACCGATTTGGTCCCGTAAATCCGACTCCTGAGATTGCCAATAATTCCATGGCATTCAGGAGTCGTGAATAGCATCCATTGGCAGCGATAACGATATCACTTACTGTCAATTCTGCGGGGAGCCACACACACGCGAGCAGCTAAACAGGCACCTTGGCAGAAATAAACGACTGTCTGCCTTCCCTAGGGCGTACTGAGATGGTACCGTATGAGCCGAGCGTCCCCGGAGCCGTGCTGGTGGTGCTAGTGTGTCGAGCGTGAAGCGGATGGGTCAATAAGAAGGCGAGTCTTCAGAAAAAAAGTTGCAGGGTGTTCCCGATGTAATCAGCATGAGTTTGCGAATGCTGGATAAGTGTCTTGGCTACCGGTTCTCATCCCATAAACCACTAGTTTTGCAGGTTCATCCAAAACACGGGACAGACTTCGACCGAAGGATGCAAAAATACGTCCGCCCATGACCGCCCATGACTCGCCAGCCGCGATGCTTTCCAGACTCACTTGCTGGAAACCCAGCTCTGGTAGTTGAGTCGTTCGACAGAGCCACTCCACGAGGCTATCCCACAAGGCTCCCTAAGCTCTTGCGCATATCACCAGGACGGAACAACAACGTAGGTAACGACTGACCCGTTAAAGGGAATGGCTTCTACATATAGCGTGGCCTCCCGAACGTCCTTTCTCTTCACCGACTCGAACCACACAGCCCGCAGGCCAGGTTGGTTATCTACATAAGGAGATCCCAGCTAGCACGCATCCTTTGATCTCCTCGCCATCCCATAATTTCCAGGTACCTATATCTCTTTACGCTGCAACTGGTTCCCCCCACATTCTATCATCTCCGCGGTGGCTTCTTGAGCTGTGAGCACGTATGGGGGACAAGGCCCTATGACGAACGGCGTGATATAGACGCAGTGTTCTCTTGCCTCTATTATTATTGCACTACGAATATACACGCGACGGGTCATTCTTCAGAATACGGGGCTGGGCGACTATCTTATGGTCGTAGCTTCGGTAAGATACCCATTCCTGGGCTTTCTTTGTATAGGGCTTCCGTTGTCCTCTCCCTTTCTTCGATGGCAGCTCCGGCAGTGTGCTCAGCACCTTATCCTATATTCCCTGAAGAAATCAGCAATCCAAACTCCCTAACCCATTGCAATCTCTCTCACTAATACCATCAACAGATTCTGTTCATACTCTACAGCGCCCTCGTCACTGTCTCGACGGAAAATGGACTAGGCCAACCCCTCAGTCATATCCTGAATCAGTCATCCTACGCGAAAGCCATCAAATACGTCATCATAGCCCAAGCCGTCTTCCTCGCCGCCATCGCGGTTGCCAGCAGCGCTGTCGCGATATTCCTTCTCCGGCTTGTCGTCAACAAGTGGCAGAGAGGACTTTTATGGAGTTGCATAATCTCCCACTGCATCTTCAACACCCTATCAATACTCGCCGTATATCTCCAATGCTCGCCAGTTGACCGTCTATGGGATCGACAGATACCCGGTGCAAAATGCTGGAAAAACGCCCACGCGCTGAATTATCTTGGTTCGGCGTAGTCTCCTATCATCGACTTTGTCCTGGCTTCTTTGATGTGGGTTGTTTTTGGGGCCTGCAGATGCCGAGGAGGGATAAGCTGACTGCTGCAACGTCTTTAAGCCTCATTGCTGTGTAAGTGGGAGCCTGGTACATACATCCAATTGCAGGCTAAAATGAATTAGCGGTGGAGTGGCCGGCATCCTTCGTACGATTCAACTTTACTACGTGTGTCGTAGTCCGGACTGGCCATACGTTCGTGGGCGTAGGTAAAGAACGAATTCTTGCTTGCTCTCAGCTGACCAAAACGAAGCGTACACTCACCTCGCGATCTGGTCCTCCACCGAGCTTTTCTGCAGCATGGTCTTCGCTAGCATCCCGATCCTGCGCCTACTATACATGGCCGTCGTTCACGGAACCTATGAAAACGCGTCTAAGTCCAGCAGTCAACGCTCGAGAGGATATCCGCTGCGGGACTACGGCAATCACAGCACTACCAATAAGAGCAGCTTAGGCGCTGCCACAACTGTGCACACCGCCGTCAGGTTTCAACCGCATAATGCTAGCGAGGAAAGTATACTCGGGGCTCCTGGGAGTATGTCAGTGGGAGAGGGAACAAAATAAGTCCGTGGTAATCATAGAGAGACCAAGGTTACAGAAGAATTGTTACTGACTGTGTCGTATTCAGAACCTCGTCCCTGAATGTTGATAATAATGACGAGTAGACTGATGCTTTACAGACCTCGCGTTTGATGTCCCTGCCTTAATATCACGCGTTTTGCCTTTCCCCTCGTTGATGAGATGCGCAGACATCCTCGCATAAGGCCTAGTTACCGCGTCTTCACGCCTACCCGTGCGCCATACCTAGCCGTGCCAAATCCTCCGCTTTAGGGTCTTTGATTACCCGGCAACGCGTTGGAAAGGCTCTAGACGCAGGCGTACACTCACTAGATCTTCATTATCATACCAGAACGCGACGCAGGAAGCCTCCCGACCGCCATAAGCCACGTTGAAAAACCCGCTACATCCCCACTACCGTCCCGTCACACTCCTCCCCCTTTTCATTCTCGTCTCCAACCCACCGCAACTAAACAATCGCACGATCCTATGCGTACACGTCTCCGACAACTGCTTTTCCCCCTCGCCTGACACACAGCTTAGACTATCAAGAGTTACCCCCCTTCCCAATCCACACGACTTGGAGGAGTTATCACGTGATTATCGGCCAGGAGAACACCGCGATGTATCGCATTTCTTTTAGCGAAAGTATAAATTCTTTGGATGAATAGGATAGTAATGATTGAGACTCTCTCATACTCGTGTCCACACAATGGTACTCAAGAACGCGTTCCATTCTTCTTCTTTTTCTTCTTCTTCTTCTTCCTCCATTGGTATCTAACGAATGAAATCTACCAAGCCTGGTGCGGGTATATCCACGAATCCGCGTCTTGACAGCAAAGAAAGCTACCGCCGCCAAACCACCGCGGCCCTCCCACCCGTTTCCCCCTCCCCACCCCCCACCTCCTCAATTCTCTTCTGCAGCACGTCTCTACTCTCCGGCTCCAACCTGATCGCCTCCCTCAAATACCCCACCGCGGCCCCCTTATCCCCCGCCCCCTGACACGCCACCGCCGCGCGAAAACTCAGCTTCGCCTTCCCCCTCCTCACCCCCTCCCGCTCCTTCCCACCCCCAATAACCCCATCTCCAACCCCCTCCCGCGCATCCAACCACACCACCCCCTCCTCCGCATTCTCCCGCGCCAGCTCAAAACCCCCCTTGTCCCCCGCGGCAGCATTCGCGATATTCAACAAGACCTGCGTCCGATCCGCGTAGATCTCCAGCGTTAGCGCCCACAGCACGCCCACCAGCCCGCGGACGGATTCCAGGTGGCACTCCCAGACGACGTGCGCGAAGCGCAGCGCCATGGCGTAGCGATCGGCGGCCTGCGCGAACGAGCCGGTTTGCGCGGCCTCGACGGCGCCGAGTTGCAGGCTCTGCAGCTTGGCGAGGTGGGCGGCGGCGGGGTAGGCGCCCGTGTAGCGGTGGTGGAGGGTGGAGAGGGTGGAGGGGAGGAGGGCGAAGAAGGTGGGGGCGAGGGGGGCGTGGGTGAGGGGGTGGAGGAGGGGGCAGGAAAGGGTGGATTCTCCCGCCTCCCGCCCCTCCGTGCCCGGGAGGGAGATGGAGAGGGTGGATTGGATGGTCCAGATGTGGAGGGTTGGCATGTAGAGGGCGGATATGAAGGCGGGGAGGGCGGAGGCGGGGATGGTGAAGGAGGGGTGGGAGGTGGCGGGGAGGGAGGTGGTGAAGTTGTAGAGGGTTAGGGTCATGGCGATGTCGTTGCGGGTGGTGAGGTCGGTGGGTTGGGTGGCGGTGATGGGGATCTTGTCGCTGTCGAACTTCGAGATGAGGGAGGGGTCGTTTGTTGCGATGAGTATAGAGAGGTTTTGAGACATGGTTGCTGGCTGATCTTGGTCTGTGTATATTCTCCACATGTGTTTGCTGGTTCAGTGCGCGTGGTGTTCTTTTTCTGGACGAGATGGGGTTGCTCGGTGGCCCGCGAACGCTTATCCCAAGGCTTAATACACTGTTATATCGTTGAGGCAGCTTGGCATTGTGATAATACGGTGCTGTTAATGCCTCATCCCAAACGAACTGCCGGCGCGGATTGAAACTGTGAACGTAAGGTGACTCGGAATAAGTTGTGCGGGATACGGCCCCTGGGTTTTGAAACGGGCCGATGTCGCGGAGCCGTGAGACGCGGCAGTTGCTGATGATGGTGGAAACGCGGCTAAGAAACATGTTCATGAGGGGGTGATGGGGTTGCGCATTGATAAGTTCACCTTTTCGGCCATGTTGGGATGGTGGTGAAGCATGAGCGAAGTACTATCCCTCCATTATAAAAGCGGGGCATAATTTTTCCAGCGCAACACCAAATCAAAGCAGGAGAAAAAAGACGGCAAGTAAAAATAGAGTGTGCTGTAGACGCAGCAAGTCTAGACGCTGTGCCGAGGAAGTGAACTCTTCTGAAGTGCCGTGTGTCTGATGTCCCCTGGGCGACTCCTCCCCCCGCCACGACCTACCTACTCAACCTTTTCGACGACGCACGCTGTACCATAAGCGCAAACCTGCGCAAAGTTCATAATCTCGGACGTGTCAAAGCGCATGGCGATGACAGCGTTGCCCCCGCGGCCGATGCACCCGCCGACCATGCGCTCGACGGCGTTGTTTCGCGCTGTGTAGAGCATGTTGGTGAGGTATTTCAGCTCTCCGCCGACGGCCGATTTGAGGACAGACGCGATGTCGGCGCCCCAGTTGCTGGAGCGCACGCTGAGGCCGCAGACGGTGCCGAAGGTGCGCACGACCCGGTAGCCGGGGAGTTCGTTAATGGTGGAGGTGGCGATGCCGTCGGTTCTGTCGAGGAAGAGGACGATGGCGGTTGGAGTTGCTGTGGGGCTGGTATAGGGCTTTAGCATGGGATCTAAGGCAGGGAGTATGGTCCTTAGCGACTTACAACTATACTATGGGTTGACTTCAATCTTCAATGCCTTATGCAACACCCTGTGTCTGGAGCTGAATGTAGAGAAAGAGCAATCAAATAGCGAAGTCCAAGTCTTATGACGCATTTGCGCCATGTTTCCCCCGCGGTTGCAGATCGAGGCAGACTTGTATCGACTTCTGGGGTCCTGATGACATGACGTGTATTCATCATGCTCTACTCCCATTTCTAGACGTGCATTGAATAATGTAACTATAGCAATATCTGTATTCATTGATTCATGGTAAGTCGATTAATACAGAGTATTGGTCGGCATGCCACCTTGAGCGATGCCGCTTCGCGCGTCGTAGCACGGGCCTTTTCCACGACATCTCATCCATCCATCAACACTCTCCCATATCAACCGCCAGCACTACTCATCACTGCCAAGGGTGACTGATCAGAGCTATAATGGACATATCGACCTGTGTAAGGCCGATTCTTACGGCGAAACCTCACGGATTTATCGTAAAGTCCTGAGATACCCGGATCTCCGAGCACCGCAGAGGCATCAAAATCCGCATATAAGTCGCTTTAATCATCAAAGTTGATCATCAAACAAGAAGCAGACATTACTACTCATCAGATCTTGTTAGTCATATACAATTTCATCCCCTTTGAGCAACAATACAGACGAAACCTTGAGAAAATCATCATGTCAGAGCTTGTATTCGTAAGTCAAAGAGAACATGCATCAATTTTACTTACTGATTGTGCTTAGATCACTGGCGCGGCCGGTTATATTGGGCACAAAACGCTTTACTTTGCCTTAGAAGAAGGTTACAAGGCTCGATGCGCTATCCGAAAGCAGGAGCAGGCGGAGAAGATACTCGCTCGCCCTAGCATTGCACCGTTCAAAGATGCGATTGACTTCGTAGTCGTGACAGAAATGACGAAAATCGGAGCGTTTGATGATGTTTTGCATGGAGTAACTGCTATCATTCATCTTGCTTCTCCATTGGCAAAGGAGGTTTGTGCGAGATGGTCGATTCATACAATAGATCCAGTAGCTAAACCATGCAGACGGATGACTACGAGCGGAACATTGTCAGGCCCGCCATCGATATCAACACTTCGATTCTTTCATCTGCCGCAAAGACGCCTTCGATCCGAAGAGTCATCATAACATCGTCGGCGGTTACCCTCGTTCCGTTCCAATGGAACTTAGCCCCAGACTCCAGAAGGGTCTACACGGGTAGATGGCTCCGGCACCCGCATTGCCAATTTTTGCTGACTCGAACTAGAACGAGATGTCAATACCAACCCCGTCCAGCCATACACCAGCGTCATGGATGCCTACTGGGCCTCGAAATCCCTCGCCCGAACCACCGTCCTTGACTTCATCAGCGAGCAGAAACCCCATTTCGACGTCGTTAGCCTGCTTCCCTCCGTTGTGGTTGGCGCAGATGAGCGCGCTACGAGCACCGAAGAGCTCCTCGAAGGCACGCGAACCTTGGTGATGGGTCCAGTCCTAGGCGTTCAGTCCCCGTTCCCCATGGTCGGCGTTCCAGTCGATATAGTCGATGTTGCTAGAGCTCATGTCGACGCGATCAAGCCCTCTGTTCCTGGAAATGCAGAGTATGTGCTTTCATCTGATACTCCTGATGGGATTGAGTGGGACCAGGCGCTCAATCTTGCGAAAACGTATCTCCCCGATGATTGTGGAGAGGGAAAGGCGCTGCCTCTGGGCGGCTCGTTTCCGACGACGAAGTGGCTGCTTGATGTATCAACGACGGAGAAGGCGTTTAGGTGGAAGTTCACGCCGTATGCGACTACGATGAGGGGGCTAATGGAGCAGTATGTCGAGCTCGCTAATAAAGCGAAGGCGTAAAATCAAGGTGCAGTAAGTCTTTTCAAGACTGCAGAGTCTCTTTTAACGCCGCTTGTGGTGCTTCAAACGTTATTAAGATCTCGATAGCATGGAAATCGGCGGAATCAGATCAGCTATAACCTTATTAGGCCACCTCAGATATCCTTAAAAAGGTGTACACTAACTAGAGGCTGACATGCCACAAGACCATGGACGTCAACAGCATTCAAGTATTTTCTTTACCTCATTATATTTCTATTGGCACTTGGATGCTACTGCTTGAAGTCCCCTGGCGTATTTTCGAAAAGTCTAAACATTTCAAATTCAACAACTAGTTAACTCGGCGGGGCACCTCAGACAGTGGCCGACGAGGGTGCATATAATAGTCCAGGATCTCGTTCGGACCGATGCACCACAAGCAACCGTACAAGAATCTACATTATGACAAAGTTTGGCGTACACATGTCTATTCACAACTCAGGATAACGCCGTTTGAGGTCGCCCGGTGAGCTTTCAGCTTCTTCAGAACAATCAAGATACCGTCCATCCAACCTTCTCAAAATGTATTGGAGGGCTTCAGACGGCGGTGAACGAACATATGCGTATTTCGAGATCATAGTATTTCAGCTCTTCAGTCATTATTTCGGAAGATTGGATTAAGTAAAACCCAATTCACCTCGTCATAAACCTCGATGTGTACACTACTCTGCCACTGCTTGAGGCCCTTCAACGCATTCCCAGAATTGTAAATTTCAGGGATTTCAGGATCAGTAAATTCGCTGGGGTACCTCAGACAGTGGCGACGTGGTGTAAGCAGATCTTCATCAAGACCTCATGTCAAACCAGCAGAGTGAGAAACCACTCACGTGAGTTCCCCGTGAATCCTCCCTCCCATCTCTCCCCCAGCGCCAAGCCACTCCAGGTTCCCCCCCACGTCATGTCAACAAACCCTCACCACGACACCACACCGAAGCGCACCGCCTCACCAGCGTATACCGTCTCAACACCATTAGACTTGCTTCAACGCATTCTCGTGAATCCGAAACACGTCGTATTCAGCACTCAGCATACTCATCAAGCCACCCCAAACGCTGCCAGCATGGCCCAACTGCTCCCCACAAAACCGCGCATGCCCACCTTCCGCCGCATCCCCCAGAAAGAATACACACCCGTCGGCTCCCATCGCGAAATCGAAGAATGCCTCCGCAACCGCGAACACCTCATCTGGCAGGTCTCGACAGGCCAAATCACCGCCTTCACGGCAGAGTACATGGACAGGCTGCCAGGTGAGCCGCCGAAGGCCTGGGGCAAAGACGTGCCTCACTTGCTACGAAGCCCCGTATCAGAAGCGCTTCCACCCAATCACAATCCACACGCAGACGACCAAGGCGAAGAGGACGAGCACTCAAATCACGCCGAAAACCCAGCACATTTGCCGGACCACGAAGTATGGTGGCTCTCCTCTTCCCCCGTCTCCTCGCCCCCGGAGCCCGCGTTCCGCGCAAACCCCAACCCTACACCGCCTACACACCCCAAATCAGCCCCTACCACTGCATCGATTGCGCACCCGGGAACCTCGTCGAAGCGGCCCCCGGCCTCTCCCGTCGCCTCGAACGCGGCGCCGAAACGCCTGCGTGTCTACGCTATGCCGACCCGCTCAACGCTCCCCACCGTTCCCCGCGCGACTGGGCTCCGCAGCCCCTATTTCGCAGCGCCACATGGTGGAGGCGAGGCTGTGTTGGAGCACGCGAGGACGGCGGGGGCTGCCACTGGTGGAATTGGCTTGATGCGGCAACACGGTGTGCGCAGTGAAGGGGGTGGCTATGGTGTGGGGGAGGAGAAGCGGGCACGAGGGAACGCGCTGGTGGATGGGGAGGGATTTTTGGTGGATATGGAGGGGAGGAGGGTTAGGTATGGGAGGGGAAATGCGTGGGCTGCGAGGGTTGGTGGAAATGATGGGGTGGTGGAGGAGGAGGGGAAGGATCAGGAGATGGTTGAGACGAGTAGTGATGTGTGGGAGGGGGAGTGAAGTGGAAAGGAGTGAAGCCTGCCCTGTAATGTCGAATGAGAGAAATGGAGTTGCTTTGTAGGATAGATAATGATCAGGAGCAAAAATCGTACACTGAGATGACACCGTCTGAGGTCCTCCAATGAGTTTGCCGAGTGTTCAAAAGGATTGAGTTTCGTGGCTTGCCGATTCAAGACAGGGAGTTGAGGCACCTCATGCGGTGGTGGAACGGTGTACACAGACTCGTCAACATCAACGAAAAACGACCCGTAGAGATAAATAGGCGTCGCTGAAGGCGCTTAAGCTAAAGAACGTGTACAGTTACAGCACCGTCTGAGGCGCCCCAGTATGGGTACTGGGTGTTCAGAACGTTGATTTACCATTCTGCCTAGGTTGCGGGTAGTGTATTGAAGCACCGCAGACGCCGGCAAGCAAGTGTACACAGACTCGCTCACTTTGGGAGAGAGGCTTGCCGCGTTGAAATAGACCAGAGTTAATGCCTAAGTGGTGGCAGCCAGCACTGTTTGAGGTGTCAGCAATTTTTCCGAGTTTCCAAACCACTGGCATTATTTTCTAGATCCGATATAGGGGGCTGAAGAACTATAGACGGTGGCCCAGAAATGCACACATACTCGTTCATGTTGAAGATAGATGGACCGGAGTGAACAGAAGGATTGGTGATAACCCCAAATAGGCGAGAAGAAGTCTAATGATACCACGGTCTGAGGTGCCCCAGCGGTTACCCAGTCTACCAACTCTTTTTGACACCTGCATCACACATGCCGCGCGTGCCCGCTTACATAACCCTTAGAGTCTCTTCAGGCAGGTATAAATGCCTCCAACCCGCCAGCTGTAGAACTCTAGATTCCAGCACACATTCAGGAATTGCTGATGAGCATAAACTTATGGGCCTATGACCGAATGGTGTTTTCCAACTTCGATAAGATAATGTCCCTCCTCCCTATGTGTGGGTGCTGGCGGAGGGCGCCCAGAGAGTTTGAAACTGCGAGGTAGAAGAACAAAATGGTACGGCTGGGGGGATCAAACTGCTCCAGATTTTGCTTCAAATGGTGTTTGGAGGCTTGGGCTGAATTTGGAGAAGACAGGGTTCGATGATGATTACCATCACCTCCCTCTCAACTTACCCATCGCCCATAAACCCCAAACGCTCCCGTCACTACTTCTAACACTTACATTGCCGCATCTAACCATGCGCCCTATCACCACCCCTAACACTAAACCACCACTTCTTACTCCCACTCCCACCCACCATGATGCCTCCTTCTTTAACGATTTTTCACTCCATCACCCCATCATGCCCAGATCAAAGGCATGTTAACCTCCCCACTACCCCACCATAAGGCGTCTAGAAAGTCAGAGTTGAACTCCTCCATCGTGCAGCTGTCCGTGTAGAGTGCTTGCTCACACAGCTCACTTCCTCCCTACCATTTGCCCGTAGCATTAGCTGTAGTTAACCAACTAAGGCTTACTTCTCTGCTGCAGGAGAAGGAGCGGCAGAGGGTTGGGGCTTTATATAGGGGAAGAATGGGGGAAGATGGGGTGCACGTGCTAGACACTTGTGAGTCAAGATTATATTTGATAAGACTATATAGTCTCTCCAACTCACGCAGCCCAACTCATCCTTCCCGATTCGCACCTCGAATGGCATTTATGTGCGCTCGTCGCTTATAGCAACGCAGGCTATATAGGCTCCCCAATTTATGCAGCCCCCGTGCAGCCTTGCCGATTTACGCTGCCGCCCGTAGGGTAAGTTTAAAGAATAAGAATAAGAATAAGAAGAAGAAGAACAATTAGAACAATGTAATAAGATGCGATTAGGGCGGGTAGAACTAAGAAGAAGTGGGAGTTAATGTAGAGGGATGTAGGAGGTGCTAGAAGCTAGAACCCTCTAAAGTAGCTACGAAATATGGGAATTTTTGTTTGCTGCAGATGCAGCATCACGCCCATACACATCTTCCAGTAAGTAGGATCAGAAGAAAGCGGGAACGATAGTGCGGGAATATAAAGGACATTGCAATACCCCTGAGCCTTTGAAGAGCAAGCCAGGTCGTGTCGGAAACGTTTGATGCTGCACATATGATTTTCTTCACACCCCCTCAAGCTATGCTCAACTCTGAGACAGTTGCTGAGCCAAGGAAGATAGTTACGAGCTCCGCGGAGCTTCACAGAGAATGACAAGGGATAGTATGGTATTGTATCGTAGCCAAGAGCAGCTAGACTTATAATGTATAAACCACCACTCCTATCTCATACAAGATCCCGTTTCCAAGCAAGTCACAGCATACCCCCTTTACGCCAAGAACCAAGAAAATACCATCACCTCAAGTTCTGAACCTGTTGTCATTCTCGCTTCGTCCAACGGAGGTGTTTCCCCAAATTCCTCATGCCTCTTCGGAACTTACACCTCCGTAATCGCCACCAATGTCATCTTCGGCTCTTCATTCTCCTTGACCTCCACACCCCTCTTCGCTTTCGCCCCAGCCGCAGGGGGCGCGCCGTTCGCGGCACTCTCAGGCGGCACATTGACTCCAGCGTTCACGATTACGCCAACGCCAGATCCCTCGGCGCCGGTTCCCAGCTCGACTTTGGGCATGTTCTTCATCGCCTCTCGGGCGAAGTTGAGAGCCTCGCGGAAGCCAGCGACATCGCGTTTGATCCACTGCGTGGCTTCAGCGATGAGGTCGACGGCGTCGAACTGGTCGACAGCGCGGGTGGCGATGTTAACCGCTGAGGCAGGCGCTGGGGCGGGCGCAGGTGCTGGATCTGGGGCAGGACTACGAGCGACGACAGGCTCCACGCTGCGAGTTTCCGGGCTACGAACATTAGGTGCGGGGATATTGGCTTCTTCGGGAGTCGCGCGGGCTTTCTCGCCAGCGGGTGTCTCGCCTTGTTGTCCGGTGTTCTCTTGTTGGCCGGCGGTGACGGCGCCAGTGGCAAGGGTTGCCATGAGCTCCGAGGCTTTCTGAGTAGAATCGAAGGAGATCTCACCATCGCCGACTACCAGAGCAGGAGAGTAGGCGCCGAGGTTGATATTGAGAGGAATGGCGAAGATTGAGGTGGCGAAGAGGATTGCGAGGATGGTGTATTGGGGGAGCATGGTGATGGTCTTTGGTGGTGGCCTGATGGATTGGTTTGGTATTGAATGACTGAGTCCGGGTCAAAAGCAATGAGGGGCAAGAGAAGATACCGGAATAAGTGATGTGGGGCTGGGGTAATAGTAAAGAATGATAGAAGAGTAATCGTCCGGCGACAGATGAAGAGAAGAGGACACTCGCGAAGAAGTGAAGATGAGACCAGCTTGAGGGAGAAACATCGTGGCTTCCAAGAGCCTTTTTATGGGAAGCATGTAGAGCATTAGGAGGCGTTCCAAATTAATGGTGCTCCAGCCCCGCCAAGGTGCTCTCGTAGTTACGATGCCAAGTTGAAACTTTCGTGAAGCTCAGCCAAGGCTTGTCAAGGCTATAGCTCAGTGCCTTGACGTCTCTCCTAGGCAGTATTTGCGGCTGGAGTAGAGTAGCCAAGTGCTTGGAAGCCGTTCCTCTGCGGCAGCCAAGAGTCGATGGGATTTGAGCATCCGTGGTCTAACGGGGGAAAAGCTTGGGCTTTGGTTGCATAGCGCATCGTGCTTGTCTCTTCCTTCCTTACTTTCGACACAGACTATACAGAGGTTTGTTCGCGAAATGCAACGGCTAAAACACGATAGCCTTGAGTTTCGTGGAGTGGAGTAGGATCCTGGAGATTTGGTAATTTTTGGATGAAGACTGAGTAGGCTGCATCGTATTTTCGCCTTACTCGAGAAGATACAGCTCCACTCGCAGCGCATGGATAGTATGAATCCACGATACCGCATCAATTTTGACAGCAATGCATATTGAAAAGATCCATAACCGCAGATCGTGGCTACGCGCGAGCCAAGCTGGCCAAGAAATGTATATATATAGAGACAAGGCAGAAGCGCATACATTCGTTCACCCTAGACTCAAAGCACAGATATCTACGCGACACGAAATGCCCTCATGGAAAGAGAATGAAATGCAGACGGGAGGTTTAGAGTTGTTTTGACTATAAAGTCAGCCCGCTGAATGTGGCTGGATGTAGTGGCATCATACCGAGCACGGGCGCATCTGGCATGGAAGACCTTGCGTTGCAGAGAGCTTCTATGCTAGAAGCATGCTGACGAGACAATAGACGTCGTGAGTGAATGGGCTATCGAGTAGGCAGAGGAAGCAGGGCGGAAGTTGACACGGAGATGGAACGAAGCGAGCGGAAATGCCTTGGCACCGTCCCAAATCCTTGCAGCAGCCTCATCACTGCGACATCCCTCTCTTGGCCATCCCTTGGCTTTACCCCTCTGTTCGAGAGATGGTGGCCTGTTGCAGAGCTCGCCGAGCCTCAATATGCTTGTTTCCGTTCCAAATCGATGTCAACTATCTGCCGCTGGAGACTCCACAGGACAATTTGGAACGTCACTAGGTCTGGAGTTTCAGGGCCAGAAGAAGAGGAGACGACGCGTCCAATGGCCCTTCAATTGAAAGTCTAGACCTCTGTAATGACCGCGTTTGGATGTTCTCGTTTGAGATGAAGAACTGACCTGTTGTAATAGGTATTAATGAGGTTCGAGAATAGAACGGCAGCGGCCACGTGTCTTTTGTCACCTCAGTATTCGGGAAATCTAGCCGTGATAGGACGCTGTTCGAAGCAAGCAGCTCTTTCGAGCAGGACTGAATTAGGGTTGCACGTCAGGACGTCTTGTGACTGGCCATGTTTCTCTGAGCACGTGACTCTCACTTACCCTCTCTTCTTTATTATCTCTTCTATTTTCTCTTTTGTTTGTCTCCTATTAGTTGCATCATCTTAAAGCTATAAAACTCCTCTTACTGCCCGCTGTGGGGCGCTGAGGAGTCATTGAGAAGTTGAACAATATCCTTTTGAACATCTGGTAAACTCGCTAGGCCACCAAATCAGAATAGACAGTGGCAGGGAGGTGCACCTAGGATGGATACACCTTATCTAGTACGCATATCTTTAGTATATTGGAGTGCGATAAAGTACGCTTAGGTTAGTAGCACTAGCTGGCCTTCATGGACAAGGCACATCACGTGCACGACGAACCATGGCGCACTTCCGATCATCCACGGTCGAGAAGTATGCAATTCTTGAGTGCAAATCCCAGAATATCATCATAGTCAGGTGGTATTGGCCACCGTGTCACCTAGGGAAAAGCCTTTAAGTAAGAGATCATTACATCTACCTAACACCTCCATCTTCTACAGTACTATGTATCAAGTCTACGTTGCCAACATACCAGCCAGCGAACACCCTACAATCCGTATAGACGCCACCGCCATGCACCCCCGCATCCGCCTGAAAGACTCCTGGCTCCAAATCCTATATACCCTCACCGACGTCCACGACCGCGGCTCCACAGCAGCCGACCAGTTCGAGTTCCTGCACGCCCAGTCAAATGTCCCCCCCATCTCAATCCGCAATCTCCCTTTCGAGGATCTGTGGAAAGCCTTCTTCGACTTCAAAGCCTCCATCAACGAGCTCACCACCGGCCCTCACCTCGACGACCCAACCGCCTACAACCGCCCCACCACCCTACACGACGACATAAACGCCCTCCACACGCAAGTCCGCGCCCTCCTCGCCCTCAGCCCCCCCAACCTCATCGCCCACGACTACAACACCCTCGAAAGCCTGCACACCCTCGGCCTGCGCGTGCACGCCCAGATCAACGCCGGCTTCACGCGCCTCCTCGCCGCCCGCCTCGACTTCGACGACGCGCACGCGGCCGCCGAACCTCCTATCGACATCACCTCCTTCACGAAGCCATACACTGGCCCGCCGGTGCTCTGCACCATCTGTCAAGAACCCGCTTGCAGCAGTTCCGGGGCTCTAGAGGCACTCCAGCTCCCATGCCCGGCGGCCCATGTCTTCCACACCCCTTGTCTCGCCTCCCTTGCTAATAGTGCCAGCGCGTGCAACAATCGCTGCCCGAACTGCCGACATGTGCTGCCCTTCCCGTCTAGCAGGCGGAGACCGGATCGAAGGGTGCCGCGGTTCAGCGAGGTGGGTGCGCGCTCGGCGGTGCATACGGTGTGGCAGGGTGTGCGGGAGTTTATGGAGATGAAGAGGGTGTCTGCATTGGTTTTTGGGGAGCCAGCGGGGGTGGAGTGGTTGAGGGAGAGGGGATGGGCGGGGTGGGAGACTGTGAGGGTTAAAAAGGCTAGGGAGAGGGGGAATAGGCTGGTGCGGGGAAGGGAAGGCGGGAGCTGGAGGGGGAGGAGGTTTGTAGAGGGTGTTTTCGTGGGGGGTTATGAGGATGATGGTCGTATCGAACGCATGGATTCCGTTGTAGGTGACGAGGAGTTTTTGGAGGCTCCGAGAAGCGCGAGACGAGTTATTGGATATGTAGAGGGTCCGGGAGGCTTGGTACCAGTTACAAGCATTGTGCCTATTAGACCTGTGGAGGCTGTGGATGGTATGGAGGTTGAAAGGGCTTCGCCGAATATGGTGGAGGACAATAGACTAGCTGGGGTAGATAGGGTAGCTGTGACAGATATGCTAGCTGATGTAGAGGCTATGCAAAATGTGTTGCATGGGGACAATGAGGACGGTATGGAAGATAGAATGGATATGGGGGTTGTGGAGGACGTCTTGGAGAACGCAGTGGAGACCGTCGTGGAGAATGTCGCGGAGGATGCGGAAGATATTACGGATAAAAAAGTCATTGGAAATGTGGAAGAGTTAGAAGAGATGGAAGAGCCGGAAGGGGTGACAGATGTCACTACACCTGCTCGCAGAGTAATAAAAAGCTTCAAGAGGGAGTATGCGCTTGGGGTCTTATTCTTGCTTATTGCGGGTTTGACTCTTGCGGAGGGTTATGTACACAGTTTGTGCCTGTGAATTAGAATGAAATCAGCTATTTGTATCCCACCTTCAGAAAAATAAACAAGGGTATACATACCGTTTTTAGTGCTTAGAGTACTCTAACGTGTGTTCAAATATTCGGATGGTTGTGGGAAGCCTTCGACGACGTGCATCAAAATCTGCAGATAGAAATACGCTTGCCGTTGTTTGAGAGACGCTAACGTACGACGAAAGGGAGAGACGGAGGTAAAGTCTTGGATGCCATCTGTAGACCATGTAGAGGTAATGTGCGCGGGTGCCAAACGGGATCCAACGCCCTATGTTGAAGAAAGATGAAAGTGGTGTCTCCCACGCCGTCAATCGGACCGCTCAGAGGTGGGTGTGTGTTTATCGCCGCGGGAGAGACTGTGCCGGCTCATTTAACATAAAAAAAACTGTTTCGTGCGCGACGTCGTAGACCAGATCGCTCGTTGCGTCCAGGAGGGATCCATTGGCAGCTTTAGATGCGTAGGTGTAAAGAAGATCTACAGACTTGGATGTTGAGAATTGGAAGAGGGTTTCTGACAATAGCCAGCTCACGCTGTTTGGATGTTGAAGCGGAGATCATGTTCGATTTCGCACCAACGGTGTGTGACCTCTTCTTGCCATCTGGAGAAGTCCCTCGACATCTTCATCCCTCAGACGAAGGACATTAGAGACTTGGACCCTCATGCAAAAGACACCGGAAGTTGGAAAGATTCGTAAGGAATTGAAAGAGATAATCGCAGTCTTGTCCCTCGTTCACTTGCCCACTTGCACTTCGCACTCTTTTCGATACGTCTTCAAGCAAACATCCGTGCACTCTGCAAACTCCTTCGACTCAGCCATCGTCACCCTATTTACATATTTCTTCCTGCATTCTTGTTTGCACGGCTCCGTCTCTATCAGCAGTGAACAGCAGTGACCGGACGGGATCTTAGGGGAGCAGGATGAGTTGGACAGAAGGGCAGCCTTTTGTGGCATATCGGTGAGACAGTCCAGGACGGATGGGATCGACCAGAAGTTCAAGAGCCAAGGGTGTGAAAGGGGCATGAAGAAAATAAGGAGGGTGAGGGAGAGAACGAGGACTGTTCTTGGACTTGGGGTCCTCATGGTCGCATATATGTCGTCTGGGTGCGAAGAAATGGAAAAGGGAGAACTGACGGGTAGTCGTGGTAGTTTGGGTGGAAGGGTTGGGTAGAAAGGAAAGGTGTGTATCTTTGTAGTTGGTTCCAGAAAACGTGAATATAATGCTAAAGATGGTTCCGCGGGCGTCTGTGCAGTATTTCGACGATCGGATGAGAGACTCGACCGTTGTAGAGGGCATGCGGCCTCTTTATAATCCCTACCGCATGTTAGCTGAGCAGCACAGGATCAGGATGGGACAAGAGAGTATCGAAACCTCATCTGTGCAAACTTCCCATCCATTCATTCTCCAGCTTTCGGGCTCGTAATCATGCTTGTCTAATACATCTAGCAGGATCAGTTGGGAGACACTCAAGGAGCCAGCCGGGCACGAAGGATGAAGTGCGGCATCCGTACACTAAAGTCATGCTCGCAACGTCCCGCAGTACCTTTGTAACGGCCGAGCCAGCCCAGCAAGGTTGACAGGGTGATTTAATCTTAGAATACGCGAGCGGGTCGATGGTGTGGTGGGGAACAGACTAGCCAAGAGGCTATCCTGAAACACAAATTAGTAGGGCTGAAGGGCCGGGGTAGCTGTGGCTGAGTTAGGTAGTATGGGTAAACTCGGCTACCCCTAAAGATAGTGCTTCGTGATTGCTCTTATCCCAATTAGGCCGTGGGGAATCCTTCGGCTCAGGACGTGCAGGTGTAAGAAAACAGCGTCTTGGAACTTGGGGGCGCATAAACAACAACGCCTAGATGGCTCGCTTGTTGGTCATTTTCGTTTAGAGACTGAGCACGGCACGTATGCCAAGGGGATGCTGACATATTCTTGATGTTGATGAATGAAGTACGAGGCTATTTGGCCTTCAATCTTCGGTGAATCCCGAAATCGCTAAGAGTGCAGCAATGAAATTCGCGGACTGACAGATTTCATAGAGGTATGCTGCGCAGGGGGGCTGGAAAGGCCCGAGTACATCAACAGTGACGACGATGACAACGACGCTTGTTGATTCAGACGTAGATATGATTGCGGGTTACTGCTCAAGTTCCTCAAACTTCCATACCTCGGACTTCAGTGCTCAAGACCAATACCCCACTCAGCACTATGCCGTATCCAGATCGTCGCACAATGCGGATTCCATGCTCATCGCATCCTGTGGCATATCTTTCCAGCCACGCTTCAAAAGCAACTTCAGTTCGTAAACAGGCCGCGTAAGAGCTGCGTGCACTCAGGCTTCTCCTTTTCTTTCTCCTTCCACGCCCTCTTTATCTGCAACTCCAACCCCTCTACCGCCTCCGTAGCACTGCTCCCCCCACATGGCCCATAACGCGCCGCCCTTGCCTTGAAACTAAACTCCTCATTCTGTTCGGACCGCTGGTCGTAGTCCGCTATCTCCGCTTTCCATTCTAGCTTGTTGGCATCGGAAGGTTCAGGGCCGCACGTGAGAAGCTTCGGGTTTCCAACCTCGTGTCCTTATAGATTCTTCGCGAGCCATAGGATGTCTTTGATTGTGCCAGTTAGAGTTGGTGTTATTGTCGGTAGTGATTCCGTTGAGATGGCGGATATTAAGAGTGATCTCAGGTCCTGAAGATTCTGCTTAGGTAGCAGTATCGTTTTGATCTTTAGCGGGATTGAGAAGTTGACGGTTTTATGGGTCTTTTGCTGCGACTTTTGGCCTTGTAATAGCAAGCCTTGAGTGGTCCGATAAACGGAAGGCATTCAAGAGCCAATGGGGTAGCGATAGGAAATGACCATATTGGAAACCGACTTTCCAGAAGACGAGTGCCACGAGACTGTCAGCGATGCTCTTGCTCCGTAGTTTGCAGCTGCCTTTGATGCACATCGTCGTACCCGCCAAGTCGGTCACGACTTAGAATATGTGTTGGGAATTTCGGCGATCGCTTCCTCAATTCGATTACTCCTCCTCCGCAAATAAGTCCAAATGCCTCTCTAGCACGTCGACCACCTCTTTTTGGGCCTCTATTTTCAACCCTTGCTCCCTCATCGCCTCCTTCGCCTTCTTCTTCTCTTTGACGACAACAGCCCGACGATGAGCCCTGCTCTTAATGTGCTGTTCCCAATCGTTCACAGTCGTGCCCACAATGCCGCATAACTCGCACGTCTTCTTGCCCCAAAGATCCCTACGTTGGCTTAAGTCCTCGCCCTTCGGCTTTAGTAAATCGGCTGCGATATCCGAAACGTCGGTTGGCGACGGAAGTGCATCGCCGCTAAGAAACTTTTGCGCGATTTCAGTCGCAGGATTAATGACTCGCTCATCCCAGAGGGCGAGATCAGTCCCATCTAGCAGAAAGATGTTTGTAGTTCGCCCCGCTCCAGCAAGTGCGTTCAGCAGCTTGATCCGAATCCACTTCACCTGTCGGTTTGCGTATTGCCGTGTCGCCGCCTGCGTGTGAGCAACTGCTGCTTCTTTCAGATTGGCGAGCTCTTTGGCGTCCGTCGCACCACTCGTAAGAGCGGTGCGATACGCCAAAAACTCCTTATACCCGATCGAGACCCATATACCTCGCGTTTGATCAACAACGACACCCTTCGCTTCTTGTCCCTCACGAAATGCAGATAAGGTGCTGACTTCTTCCAAGAGCCCATTTTCCAGCATTTTCATGATTCGGCCGTCGAGCCGCTCACATAGTGCTTCCCGCGATGCGTGGATCCAGAAAATGAGGGCTGGGAAGCGCATGGTCATCGTCAGTCCGCCTCTTTCTCCTTCGTTCCCACCATCGTCAGCTGTGTTACCAGCATCAACGACAGCTTGCCGTCTTAGTGCCTGTTCCTCATATATCTTACTCGCCGGCTTCCCCGTTTTGAGATACATCTCCAGCGAGCGCCTAATTTTCTGACGGTCCGTCGGGTGCCATCGCTCTGCCATGATCGGATCGACCTCCTGCAACTTTGCGAGTATTACATCCGCGGGCTCGTCGAGGATGGGGAAGTGCTGGTTGTTCGAGCTGGACAAAGCTGGGTCGCCGGCGAGGATGTCGTGGAAGAGGAGGGACTGCGTATAGTAGTGCGTCCCGCCTACCAGGACAGGGAGTCGGTTCCTGGTCCGTATTTCTTCGATCTAGGCGGAGTTCCGTATCAGAATTGCACAAGATACATAAAGTCAATCGGGTATAGCGTAAAATGATAATGTTTAAAGGTGTTTTGATGATTGATATGAAATCTACATACCACGCCCAACGCCTTGTCCACAAATTTCCCTACCGTCCAAGTCTCTTCCTCCAGCCCTATACACCCTAACAGATGATGCGGTATGCCTTGCTGCTCCATCTCGGGAATCTTGTTGGTGATAACGGGCAGGCCGTGGTAGAGTTGCATGGCATCGCCATTGATGATTTCACCATTGAATCGACGGGCTATCTCGACAGCTAGCTATCTAATGTGGTCAGCACACTTCCAGATCCAGGTTGTTTTTCTCGTATAGAACAGAGTATTGGGATATTGCATCTCTCACCTCGGACTTCCCCGTCCCCGTCGCGCCAATGATAGCGACGAGGGGCTTCTGCGGCGGTCGCAGCATCCTCGACGACTTCGGTAGTATCTGCTGCAGCAAGCGTAACATCCATCTACAATTTCTTCATGACATGTTGGTGTTTTTGAAAGCTGCGCCCTATGACATTAAAAACTTTAGGAATTTGGAGGACCCCGGAAAGCGGTGAGCAGCAAATTCCCCGCCGCCTTCCCTTTTCAGATTTACTGCCCCACCTATTTAGTGACGACACCACTAACGTCTGATGTCCGTAGAAAATATACAATGCGGTCATACCACTTGCTTTTCGACTCATCATTTCGCAGGAAAGGGAATTTCGGACTTCACAATGGCCGCCCAAGACATCGCCCCGTCAATTGACGTACACGACCTGAGCTACAAGTTCCCCGATGGCTCCAGCGGGCTGAAAGAAGTCTTCTTGCATCTTCCTCCAGGGAGCCGGACGCTGTTAATAGGAGGTATGCGCAACGATCCTCCCACCTTTATCTCCTTATTTAGCTCCTCCTAACCAATCATCTATCACAGCCAATGGCGCCGGCAAGACTACCCTCCTCCGCCTCCTCTCCGGCAAGCGCATGGCCCCCTCCAACACCGTCTCCATCTCCGGCATCGACCCCTTTAAAGAAGGCCTCGAAGGAGTTACCTACCTCGGTCTCGAATGGGTCCTGAACCCTATCGTGCGCACCGATATCGATGTCCCCACCCTCCTCGCCTCCGTTGGCGGGGACTACTACTCGGACCGCCGCGACGAGCTGGTGCAAATACTAGATATCGACCTCGCGTGGCGCATGCATGCGGTCAGTGATGGTGAGAGGCGCCGAGTACAATTAGCCATGGGCCTGCTGCGGCCGTGGACGGTGCTGCTGCTGGACGAGATCACCGTTGATTTGGACCTGCTGAGCCGAAGTAACTTCCTCGGATTTCTGAAGCGGGAGACGCAAAAACGGAAGTGCACGATTGTGTATGCGACACATATCTTAGATAATCTAGCGCAATGGCCGACGCATTTGGTGCACATGAGTCTTGGGAAGGTGAAGAAGTGGGGCAGCATGACGGAGTTCGATCTCGTGACTGATACGAAGGATCGGGTGGTAACGGGGAATAGTCAGTTGGGGGAGTTGGTGTTGAAGTGGCTGCAGGAGGATCTGGATGAGAGGGGGCCGCGGAATGGGAAGGCGGGGCAGGGGAAGACGTATGAGAGTTTGGAGGGGAAGGGGGGCTACGGGAATGAGAACAGTGCGAGGCTGGAGAAGTGAGGGGAGGGTGAGGGCTGCGAAAGTAGCGGATTGGACTCAACGTCAAGATAAAAGAGGTGAGAGACCTTCTTCAACCTGGAGGAAGCAGTTGGTGGCCAGGTGCTATCCGGTCAGCCAGTGCTTATAGCGCTAGACAGTGCTTTGGGATAATCTTCCACAGATATCCAAGCTGAGAGCCGACTGCAAAGCGACCGACCGCTCAACGCGACGGCGCGAGGTTGGATGAGCAGGACGAGTAACATTAGGAGTATTTAACGTAGCGAGCTTCTAGACGAGCCATAGAGTAGAGAATTTAGACATACTGTATCAAAATCAGTATTTCAATTGATAGGTCCATTCAAAGATATTCAATCACGTGATGCAAACAGCAACAGGGTTGTACCTCCAATGAATGGAGGCCTTCGGTGATAGGATAACCAACCCTGCCTTTAAGTTCTTTTCTCGTCTTTGAAACTGTTACCTAGGTACAGATCAGAATGATCGGTCGGAGTGGGACGATAGCAAATCACGTGGCCTTCGGAGGAGCATTTGCTCCGCTCCGATTTTGCCACAGCACTTTGCAACTCAGCCACAACATCTATTTCCTCTACAACAGCAGCAAATCTATATTTTATAGTTTAGTGCCTTGCTGCAAGTTCTGGCTCATTGCATTGGCCATATTTTGCACATTCAATCCACTCCACAGAGCGAAGGGTCCGTGCTTTGTCCGTGTTCGAGAAGAGATCTCCTCCTCAACCATCAATCTCAGCCCTCGCTTTTCCTTAGCACCTCAACCATGGCGAAAAACAAGACCAAAAGGCCAAACCAAGAGCCACAGAATAGTAAAAGCAACAAGAAATCGAAAACCTCAGCAACTGTCACGCCACCACCAGATGCTTCGGCCCCACCAAAAACACTGCATGATTTGATGCTCAACGAAGACGACATTGAAATCAGTGTAGATACCTTGAACACCCTTGCAGCAAATCCGAACGTGCTCAAATCGAAAGCCTGCAAGGACTTGCGGACTGCCGTCTTTGGGTTCCGAAAGGCTTGCACGACTGGTTTCAATTCATCTGGTAAGGCTTAAATCCCCAAGCCGCCTGCGTGTGCTAACCAGTTGACGAAGATGACGCGAATTTGACTGCAAAAATCAGCGGCGCTTTGGCTGACGAGGGCTATGTTGAAGCTCGCATCTCGCTCGCAGAGATGCGTATTCGAGATCAAGTACCGAAATTAGGTGCTCTATGTCGATGGGTGCGAGACTTGGATGTTGTAAGTGGGTTGGCTGAGCAAGTGCATGTCAGAGGCGCAAAGAGAAGCGCAAAAGAGGAGCAAGTACTCAGAGTTTTAGATGCAATTGCACGCGTCATAGGTCCGGTGGACCATATAGTTGACCAAGACACTATATCAGATGGACCAATCATTCCCAGAAAAGCATGGGACCTGAGAGGGACGAAAAAGAGAGCCGAGACCTATGCGAGTGTTCTGGATCGGAGTATTTTCCCTAAAACCGATCTGGCTCTACAATTCAACATCACCTCTTGCTTCCGCGCCATCGAAAGGACTCCAGGCCCCGAACGGAAACCGCCCAATCATCATCCAGCCATTGTTCATGCCTCCAACGACAAGGCCATACCGTTTTCCTTCGAGCCACCGAAAACAGCTCATCACAAGCATCCTGTCGTTCCAAATCTCCATCTCCTGAAAGACGCACTCACACAAGACGAGTGCAGTCGAATAATCGCCGCCACGGAAACCATAGGTTTCACACCCGATGCCCCCATCCGTGCCGAAGGCGAAGAAACCAGCATCCTAGCCCACAACGTCTACTGGCTCGCCGACAATGCATTCTGCAACGGCCTCTGGGACCGCGTCGCCCCTTTCATCCCCCCGACTGTCGACGGCAAGGCCGTCCGAGGGCTAAACCGCCGCTTCCGAGTCTACAGATACGTGCCGCATGCCGAATACCGCATCCATATCGACGGTGCCTGGCCGCCTTCTTCAGAAGATCCCGTCACTAATAAATACATCTACGATGCTTCTCCGCCTGGTGCTAAGCAATCATCACTCTTCACGTTCCTGATCTATTTGAATGATGAGTTCGAAGGCGGGGAGACAACATTCTTCTTGCCGAGTGTCAAGGAGGGAAGTCTGAATGCGTACCCCGTTAAGCCGATTCAAGGGAGCATTGCGATGTTTCCGCATGGGGAGGTTGAGGGAGCACTGCTGCATGAGGGGACTGGGGTGCGGGAGGAAGAGAAGCCGTCGGCGAAGTATGTGATAAGGACGGATGTGTTGTATGATGTTGATCGGTCGTAAAGTAGAATGAAAGAAACTACCCCCATGGAATTTTAAAACCCTAGGCCCGATGTTAAGTTTCAAGCAGTGCAAATTAGACTGCCTCTTGACTAACTGGCGACTTACTAGCTCGTGTGCTCCTCACAGTGGTATCGAGTAAGAAAGATTGAAGCCAAGCAGTGATAAATCCGTGTGCCCAGACTTGTGACCTAGTAGGATAGCAAAATGCTACATGGTGCAGATGCCAATCGGTATCTGTGGAACCTCCAAAGCGTCAGCCTTTTTTTCCTCCGTAAGTGAGAAAAGGGATGGTACTATGCTACATAGTCTTCTCATTATTCGATGATTCTTAATCGATTGTAACAATGCGAGTATTGGGTATTATTGGGTATGCTAGGCAAGTTGGAGCCGCAAGCGGCTGCTATCTTGTATGGTTGTGAGGAGTAAGCCGACGGAGCGGGTTAGTGGGGTATAGTTTGCAATCAATCCCTAGTAAATCACTTAGCACTATTTAGTAGGGGCGAGACTACTTATAATCCCCCTTTTTACTGCGTATAACCCCCCTTTTTGCTGCATATAACCCCCCCTAGATTTAGCCTAGCTCCAGCCCGTATTAATATTATTCTACTAATTATATTTACTTACTTATTAAATGCGTAAAATAGTAAGGCTATATAAAACAGCAAGGCTATATAAATTAGAAAGAATATATATAACAATAATAGTCTCTTTACTCTATCTACTCTAGCTAGTCTAGAAGTAGAAAGTGTCTAGATAGCCGCTTTTTAATTGCTAATTAAAAGGAACGCTATATACACTATTATACCAAGGTCTTACACCTAAATATCCTTCTACTGTATCGGCCTCCTTTTTAAGAGTAGATAGAGGGGCGTTCTCTAGGGCTAGTTAACTGTTAGCAACTAAGGAAATAGAGCCTTAGGTTACTATTAGGATGCCGTCTTATCTAGTAGAGAGATCTGGTGGAGAGATCTAGTGCTGTATTAGTGAATTAAAGCCTGTTATTAAATATTATAATTGCCTAAGCAATAGCCTAATTAGTAGAACAAAGTTATTATAAGCCGGAGGTAGGCTAAATCTAGGGGGGGTTATATGCAGTAAAAAGGGGGGTTATGCGCAGCAAAAGAGGGGGTTGTGAGTAGTCTTGTCCATTATTTATATTTGCGGCTGTATTTAGATATTGGCCAGTGCTACGTGTACGACCTCTTTTTGCTATTTGTACGATGCCTTTTTGCTATTCGTACGACCCCCCCCCCCCTGCAACCCCTTCACCGCGTTCTAATTGGCTCGGAGCAATGCGCCGGAGCTCCGGGCATTCACCTATACATCACGTAAGGCTATACGCGAGGCCGTATGTAAGCCCGTACGTGAGGCTATATAAAATGGAAGGATGAGCCGTAAAATAGAGAGGCTGTATAGCCTTTCCATTTTGTATAGCCTTACGTACGGGCTTACATACGGCCTCGCGTATAGCCTCACGTGATGTATAGGTGAATGCCCGGAGCTCCGGCGCATTGCTCCGAGCCAATTAGAACGCGGTGAAGGGGTTACAGGGGGGGGGGGGTCGTACGAATAGCAAAAAGGCATCGTACAAATAGCAAAAAGAGGTCGTACACGTAGCACTGGCCTAGATATTAATCTGCCCTTTAGTTAAGCCGGCCGCCGCTTTAGTAACCACGCTGGTCCTAACCCTAAGAGGGCTGGAAATGCCCATCGGGCTTATAGCGTGCATCTTCGCTTGGTCTTGACCACAGATCTTAATGTTATTTGCCACATTAGCTGAGCCTTAGGAAGGTTACACCTCCGACTTCTTCGACACCTCGTTAGCGTGGAAGTACCTCACGATTCCCCAGAAAGAGTCGATCACGGAGCGTCCATGCAACATATTCTTTGTCTAAAGGTTAGAATTTTTACATTACTCAGTACGGAGTAATTTTTTTTTTTTTAAAAAAAAGCCCTTTTCTACTCCGTAAGGAGTCCAAACAGACAACTAATGTCATGTCCCAACTTAAGCACGATTCTATCAGTTGATGAATTGGTATAGAGGTTGAGAACAGCCGGGGTAAGTCAGCATTCCAATCCTTCCATGACTTTACACCACGCCCATTGAAGTATCCCCGTTAACAGCAGCCTGACCTTCTTCCCCAAAATCCACCGTCCCAACAAGGTCCCTTACCGTTCTCACCATCACCTCTAGCGAGCGCACAAACTGTGCGCCAGCAACCTCAACGACGAGGAATGCTTCGAGATTAGGGTCGCCCAAAGCATCCGCACCCACTACCTTGATTCTGCTTGGTATGAACCGCTGCGGGAGTCTTCGAACCGGAATTTGAGCCCCCGGCGTCAGCGGACTGTCGGCGGAAAGTGAGAGTGCGAGAAGTGAAAGAGTCGTAGCGATCTCATTGGACGTATGGTGGAATAGTGATGCGGAATATGCGTCGCGTACCAACCGATTCGACGGAAGCTGGTAGAAGGCAGAAAAGGTTTGAGAGATGTATGCGATCACGCTGAGGAATGCCACGGCACTGCCGTACGGTCAGAAATGCCTTCTAATCGCATGCTAAGAGAAGCACTCACGTTTGTATTGCATCCACGACTCTATCATAAGAGCTTTTTGGAAATCTACCACCCAGGCTGATTTCCCAGGGCACCATCGTCGATATCTGGCGCATTTCGGTCAACAGAGTGAGCTCTTTGAATAGGATCTCGAGCCTCCTCGCTTTCAGAAGTCGTCCCGGACTAGTTGCTTGATGCGTGTCTCTTTCCAAGCCTCGGATTCTTTGGTCTAAGGTTGCGGAAACGGAGCTCGAATAGCTGGCAAGGAGGGTGAGCGACGTCACTACGTTCTTGCGAAGGATCTTGTGCTCTGAGATCTGAGCAGGAAATACGTTGAAAATGAACGCAATGAAAAGTGCGGCTAGGACGCAAAGGAGGCGGTAAGGAGTCAGTGTATATACGGGGAAGTATCGCTGGGGCGACACAATCTCCGCTGGAACCTTGACCGAGACTTGGAGCTCGTAACCTGGAGAGACTGTAAGCCACTTTCACATTTACAACGTAGTTATGGCTTACCGATAATGAGGACGTGATTCGCAGCGGCTAGGATAAACAAAACAATAAAACGAGGGTACTTGAGTATCAAGAAGTAATACAGCATCATAGAAATGAAAAAGAACACCACCACTCCACCAGCCCTCCCGGCGACAATGTACCAGTTAACATACGCCAACAGCATTGCAACGCCAACCCCTAGCGCTCTCCCTATGAACCCGTAAATAGCAGTCCCTGCCGTCGGGCTCATGGAAATGGGAATCATCACCACCGCCCACACGACGCGGTATTCCACGAAGAAGTGCTGCGTGCTCTTCAAGAATGCCACGATTCCAATGCTCATCGTAGCTGCCACTATACGGAGCCCAAATTTGAATGAGTCGGAGCCTAGGGAGGAGAGCGCTCTGCGGAGTATGTTGCCAAATTTCTCGACTGCGTTTCGGGGTGGGAGGTGTTCAGGATCTAGGACGGTGGACGGGTATGGAGGGTCGCGGTTTACAAAAAATGAGAAGAAAGGGATATCCGCCAGCCGGGGAAAAATGAGACGGCTTCTCTGGCCTCCGCCCTTCACAAGCTGCGATCTGGCAAATGTCGAGAGCTCCTGTGTGGCTGCAGAGGTGGACTGCAACAAGCAAAGGATATAGAGGTGCTCTTCGGCCTCTGCCAGAAGTTCAGGACACAAAACTTTAAGATCTCCCTTTGGGCTATCGTCATCGTCTCGGTCTATTAACTTCTAAGCTAGATCGTTTCGCGCAAGTTCCATAGCCTCCCGAGGGTTTCCTTCGCGTCTATCGTCGGGTCTAGTCAAGCCTATGGGGATGGTAACATGCTTTAAAATGAATCCGTTGACTCGTACCAGCACCGCTGTATGCTGCAACGCATGATCTAACTCTTCTATTATGTGATCGAATGAGAGCATCATTGCACTAATCAGCTCCGCAAAGGGGCTGAAGTGCTTGCTAGGCGGCCAGTGCAGAATGCTAAAAATTGGGATCTTCGAAAGACCGAGAAGAGGAATCATCAAGCTCTCCAAGCGATGAAGTAGGTTTTCCATGTCGTCAGATGTATAAACCCCGAAAGCAACCTCTTGCTTAGCGTAGGACAACTCCTCTCGTAGAGCAGACATGGAGCCGAGCATACTTATCGCTGATGTTTTAATCGCAGTCGCTTGGCTTGTGTATTCATCCTCGCTCGCCTCTTCCGAGTTTCCGCGACTTCTCGTGGCTTTAAGGATGTCTCGCTCTTTTATGCAAAGATCCCGACACTGGACGACAAATCGGTGCGAGCTGTCGATGAAAGCCGAACGCGAGGTGGTGGGAAAGAACAGTAATGACACCGCCATCGAGATTTCGAATCCAGTAAGGTAACATAGCAACAACTGCTTGCACAGGACCAAACTGCTGTGCTCCGAACGCACACCCGGTCCATTGGTAATCGCGACTATTGAATAAATAGTGCAGACCAAGAATGGTATTGTAACCATTGGCCAGGCAGCTCGTAACGCACTAACGAGCCAGACTACGAAGCAAAGGAAGATGGCGTTGACAACAGAGGCAGATGAGTTGTAATTTACGCGCGTTTCCCCAAGGACTTCTGTATGTTTTCGAGCTTTCAGTCCAGCAAAGTGGGAGAGGGTGGAGACTGCTGCAGCTAGACACGTCAAAAGCTTTCCTTCGAAGTTAGCTCATCTTTTCGCTTCGTGACTTCAGCTTTGTAGATCGGACATACCGTTGCAAGAGCGATATTCTGCTGAAACCGGGCTCTTGGCTGGAGATGTAGTGACAGTATGCTCGCAAGCGCTATCAGGAAACCAAAGTTGCCGTAAACTGTCGCTACTTTCGGGCTCCTATACATCGCGATTGCAATCGTGGGAGGAAGAGCACCCCTCACCATCAGGAGGAACACCCGTCCTGTTAGTCCAACGCGCAGTAAAGGTCTTTTCATTGTTTCGTACAGCATGGTCGCTGTTTTTTGAGGCTTCATCTGGTAAATTTAAAAGTTTTGAGAATTCAGATCGTGGCAGCTGCGAGAAAGGTAGACTCCAGCCTCTCCTCACCCTAAGGATCATGTTCTTACCAACCGACTTGGTGAAACCGTATGATCTTATAAATCGCGACCCGGTGAAGAAGAAGAAGCACTTGGAGCCATTTCAGTCATCATGCAACTTCTTATTCGGACGGGAAGCTCACCTGCAGCTCAATGCAAATACTGTACTAGCGGCGGCCGCCTCTCCGCCTCTCCGCTGCCATAATCCACCACGTAATGCATCGGCAAGGACTTCTCATCTAATCAGAACTATTACAGTGAGCACTTGCAAATCAGTAGCATTATTGTTAGGAATCCGGAATGCTTGTGCGCTCCGACTCGGGGATAGCGGCGGACGCGGTGGACTTTAGCGGCCGCCGCTAATGCAAGATCTGCACCGACACGTGACCTTCCAAGGATCCGTCGTCCAACAAAGGCGATGTGTAAGCATTGAGGCAGACAAATCATTCCAAGACATGGGACAGGAGGAGGGTATAGTCGAGCCGAAGTGATCATGTCGAGGAGAACTCAAAGTATATATAGTGTAGCTTCTGTCTGCACGGCAATCAGCAACCACCAAACAGAGCTCGAACTTGACCACGAGACTCCAAATCAGAATACCTATCATTTTCCTCTCCAAACAGCAGCAAGTAGCAACTTACCGCCATGACATTCGACCTCTCCAAGACTGCCATCCTCCTCATCGATCCCTACAATGACTTCCTCCACGAAGAGGGAAAGCTGTTCCCCATCCTCGCCGAGTCCCTCAAGCATACCGAAACTGTCTCGCACATCTTCGAGCTGCTCACCGCCGCACGCGCTCATAAGATACCCATCTACTACGGTCTGCACCAGCCGTCTAGACCTGGCAATTTCGAAGGATGGAAGCACATGATGGCCGTCCACCAGAGCCAGAAAGAGGGCTATGCGTTCGAGGAGGGGGCGTTTGGGGGTACGATTTACGAGGGTATGGAACCTAGACTAGAGAATGGGGACGTGGTTGTTAGTAAGCATTGGTCGAGCAGGTAAGTTGCGAGTGCTTAGAGTTGGAGAAATGCGCATGCTCATGGAGGCAGCGCGTTCCAGAACACGGATCTGAACTATCAGCTTCGTCAGAGGGAGATTACGAATGTTGTGCTGGCCGGGTTGACGACGAATCATTGTGTTGAAGCGACGGCGAGATATGCATATGATCTGTAGGTGTCACTAGTGCGCCCATAAAGAGACTTAGCTAATGTACCCATCAGCGGATACGAGACGACTTTGTTGTAAGTTTTGAGAACTTACATTAAAGATCATGCGCATACTGACGTGATTACTAGGTCTGATGCTACCGCAGGCTTTAGCAATAAGTTGAAAACTGCGGCTACGGATTTGATCTGGCCCCTCTTTGCATCAAGAGTGATGACTGTAAAGGAGTTCATTGCAACACTGGAATAGACCAGATTAAAGTATAACACGGTTGTGTTTCATAGCAAAAGAAAACATGAGAGAATAGTAGCTTGCTTTTGAAGACTTGGAGAAAAGATAGTGAGCATTGTGGTGTCGCGGATATTGTGGTGTCGCGGATTCAGCTCGCTATAATGCCCCGGTATGCTTATTCCACTACATCATTGTAATTTCTCGTGCGTTCAATATTTGCAAATATGCCTCTGCCTTGCATGAGCACACTCCCAAAAGCAAGACAAGAGGAGTTCATACCTCCGGCTTTCCATCTCAGTGACATCAATCTGAGTTTCTCCTTCATTAACAGCATGTGCTGTTGTGTCTCATTACCATATCGCGCTTCTAGACGTCGATATATCGTGATCGCTTGATATGCCCAGAATAGCAAGAACGGAGATGCATCGGATATATTAACAAGGCGTTCGCTAAACCAGATCCCAGATGCCCAGGTCATTTCTTTGACCACTGGCCCAAGAAGCACCAGTTTCATATCGAATTGTTCCAGGTCAGTTCGTCTCGCCTCTGGATCGTGTAGGGCAATAAGTGCACTAGCGTGGCCTCACTTCAGCCTCCTATAGCCAGACCCGATTGGGAGCATAAGCTTACCTGTAGCAGATACTAGACTGCGCACAAACAGCAATGCGTTTGACAGAACCTTCAATGTATACAAGATTTAAGAGGGCTCGCAGCGTCTTATCTAGTTGCAAGCGCTCCGACTCACGGAATGCTTCATCCTCAAACTCAGAGCTTCGTGCTTGAAAACGAAGTACACGACCGAGTATGAATGTTGCTTGAGACATTCTTGCAAGCATACCCATTTCGATGGATGCCGGAGAAGATGCACGGAACGGTTCACGGGTGATATTCTGGAAAACGTGTCAGCGTAATAAAAGGCTTCCTATGTAATGTTCGTACCCCTGATTCAAAAGACTCATCGTCCGCTGGCAGGTAGCTGGAGGATGCTGGTTCTTCCGTAGCGAGCATTTGGGTGGGATTCCCTAGCTGCATGGTGCTGAAAATGATAAGCGTTCGAGAAAGGAATAGGATTGGCAGGAGTCAAAAGAAACGGACCGGTCCAGCATCAAAACTGCCCACCACGTCCTCTTCTTCTCCTCGGTCTCCAATGCAGCTTCGGGAGAAGTGGATAGATTAGTAGCCTGCAGACACTGATTTACGCCAACTGCTATACCAAAGCGCGCACATGAGCCGACAGACAAGTATGCTGCGGGGTAGAGGGCGTGCCCGAGCTCATAAATTGTCAGGAGTATCTTAGCTTGTAGCAGTTGAAGGGTGAAAACACCAAGATTTTCTGCCTCAATAATAGCATGGCGTATCGCCATGTACTCTGTTTCCGGACATGGTTCCTGGGCTGGATGCCATAGTAAGAGTCTCATAGCGGATAGTAGCAGAACGACATCAACGTCTCGTGAAATGAGGGGATTTAACGAGTGGTCATAGAAGCGCTTTTTAGAGATTATGGGCATCCATGAGTGCACCTTGTTCCAATACTGCAAGGCCAGTGGAAGAGGGTCTCCTACATAGTCGGCAATGATTGGTGGGACAGTCCAGTTGGTCCTTGGCAGCTGCATGCGGCTATGTTGGAATACGCGATTGTCTAGAAAGTACACTGCTGGAAAAGTCGGATTGCTGTCGGACGCTGTGAGGAGCGGCTGAGTTGAAGTCCATTCTCTCGACGTATTGGCCTGCTGTGGGCCATAATCATTGGGTGCAAAGATTCTGGAGACTTTTCTGAGTTTATAGCTAGGTGCACTAGAATCAAGTGGCCCACCTGGAGTATTCACACTCGAGATTCCTAGACGCACAGGCGGAGCACTGGGGCAGTCGCTTGTCACAGCTTCGCTTCCGGCGTCGACAAAAGGCACATGCGACTCCCGCGTGAGTCGCGACAGAAGCACCAGCGCCACTTGCCGTCATCTCTTTTGCATTGGAGAGGGCTTGATAATGTACAAGGCCGACACTACCTAGAGGTTGCAGATACAGAAAGCTAGCGCATGGCTGACAAACCACTGCATATGTCTTACGTAAGCATTCCCTGCGAGTAGTTAGTTAACTGTGCTTTTGGGCATTCATAGAGTACTTAGTTAAGCAGTATGTCTGACATAGATTGAGGGAGCTTCTAGCTCGCAGAATACTTCTACGTCTGACTATAGAAGTGGTCGAAGCCTCTATCGTAGATAGCTCCGAGGCGTAAACCTGATGAATTGGACCTCCTTTCGGTCACGTCTGAAGCTTGATATCCCATTCTGGGTCACAGCATATACGCCCACAGATGTAGCTATTCGACCTTGAATTGGTCTGGAGGATGAACAGTATCACGCAGGAAGAAAGAGTACATACTTCGTACCCAACGACGTTGGCTCGTGCACGTGCTTGAGAGTAGTTCGGCCGAGACCTAACCCCGCTCAGCCCTTTTTCTGACTGCTAGACCGCGCCGTTCGCCAGCATCCATCCCAATGCATATCAAAGGACCTTCCTGGCTAGGATTAAGACGAGGAGTGGGAAGACCAGTTGAATTCCATGATGAACCAAAAGTGGCAACTCAAAAGCTGGGAAAGTCGAAGTCCGTGACAGCCAACATTACGAGCCTTCAACAAGGAACATGCCAGGGCGGCCAGCCTGCGAGTCTTGTCACGCTCGGTTTTGCATTTGCAAATCATATCACGAGTGTACGATTTACCAAGATCACGGTTAAGGTCGTTTTCGAAGCAGTAACGGTGCCGCGCGACGCAAGTACTTCTACCAGTACCACCACCCAAGGATTGCTCGCTGCACATCAACACCCTGAGGTGCAGCATTTCTGTCCTGGAATCCTCGATACTAGTGCGACGACTGCGGATATCACCGAGGAGACAAGCATCAACCAATATGTAAAGCGCACACAGTATAAAAAAAAGCACTATTCAACGATAGAGGGGCAGAAATGGATGAACAAGCTGTCAAGCAGCCGGGACTTTGGCATGGCGGAAGGCTATAATGAGGTCGAGTGGACGTTGCAGGAGAATCACCTACAGCAGAATGGTCTTCAGCCTCAATTCAAGGTCGCCTGCCTATTAAAGCATGCCAGTGCCCGCTATCCTTTCCGAGCGAATATCACAATCAGCGCGGCCACGAACGCGACGCTGTATAAAGGAGCATCTGAGCAAGCGTATTTGAGTGTGTTATTTCGTAATTCCGAGTCCGATTCGCCGCAGGACCTGCGGAACTTTGACGATATGAGCGACAAGGATTGGGAAGGCATCGTTGATTATGACCATATATATGCTGTACGTAAATTCCGGACCCCCTACCGCGACACAAAATGACTTGGAAACCGGTGACTGATTTTAGTGCAGAGCTTTACGGCGATGCAGCTAGTTGACTGATATTTCTTTCCATCCATTTCAGAAGTATTGCGACAGCAAAACATCATGATCCCACGGTAATTGCTTCGTCGGGTTCCAGCAAGACGCGCGCCGGAAAGTGGACCGTCGGCTTTTGTGTCTCCCCAAGCCATGGTATCAAGATCTCCGAAAGAGACATATACTTCTTTGCTTCGGAAAAGAGCCCCAACGACACCCCAGAATTTGCGCCGGCGTGTTGCTCATAGCCTTCTGCTTTCATCCAAGATTCCAATAGGTCTTTCTCCAGCGCACAGAATTCATCTTCACGCAGCTCCACGGCCCTCGGAACATTTCCCTTCGAATGTAGCGTCCAGACTATTCCTGTACCATTTTGCAGTTTTGTGGAATATTTACGCAAAGCGGGGCATTCTCTCAGACCCAATCCAAGCAAAACGCGAACGGTCCAATGTATGGTCTCGTTGGTAGATATAGGTACGGTTTTAGGGTTTCTGTATAAGCCATGGGTATTCATCAAATATTGACCTGGTTTCCGAGATTTTGTGCCGCCTAGGAGGAACGGCCCTGTTACAGAGTTCTTGATGTTACCTATCTGTGTATTAGTCTCCACGCGTGGGGTTCTCTTCTAGTAAAATACTGGGGCAGCGCATCTCAGAACATACCAGCTCTTTTGCGAACAATGCTAGAGTAAGACACTGCCCAACTCGACTCGATCTGTGCGCCTACAGCGATTGAAGCAGACATGTCTACATTGACCTTGACCCCAAATTCCCGTTCTTTGGTCACAAACTTCTCCGTGCTCCCAATCTGCTTGTGAGAAGCAAGATGAAGCAGTGCCCTATGATCGAAGTACACGAATTCGGTTAGTTGGGCGATCATCCAGACTAACGTGAGATTTGCAAGGCCGGTGTCTTCGTAACCGCCTCCAACATCGCTGTGGGCACCGAGAAACCAGCATTGCCTCAGTTTGGTTCTTGAGTTGGTACTCCATACGGTAGGTTGAAAGTGTTTGCGATGCTCGTTCAGGGCTAGAGCTTGGACGGCGACATCGATGTTTTCAAGTAATGCCGAGTTCACAAAGGCCAATTTCTTAGAGGCTCGTTGCGGAATTGGCCCTGGCAATGGGACGCCGAGCGAACCAACGGTATCCCAGACAGCACAAACCTTAATCTTTACACCCCTCCGAAGCAGATTCCTATCTTCTAGCAGTCGACAAAGGCGGCGCATTCGAATTTTGGGTGTGCTAGGGGGTATACCGGGAAACATCGCGTCTTTCTCTCGCTTCCTGGATAACTGATTTGACCATAGTCCATACAGTTTGAGCATATAGTTCAGTCCAGCCTTCTCGAGCAGGCCCACATCTGTCATGAAAGACGCAATGCTCCGCACAGTAAAGGCTCCCCGAGAGAAGCCTATCAGTACGATCTCGTCCTTATTGCGCTCGTCTTCCAGATAATTGTGGCAGAGAAACGAATATGCATCTCGAATATTCGCCGATACGCCTTTCATGTAGGAGAAATATGTCAGTCACATATTCTAGTCACCGCCACGCCAGGCACGAAAAAAGTGGCACACTCATCAAGTACTCTGCCCGTGTGTACAGCTGTCTGCCACTGCATGGAGTGCTTCAACACATTTCCACATAGCCCAAGGCAAAGAGCATCTATCTTCTTTAGATCTCTGAACATACGTTGAAGCAACCCAAGTAGTGACAGACAGGTGTACACACAGGACAGCTTGTTCCAGAATTAGTGTGCCACCTTTTCCATGCCCCGCGTGTTCGCATGCTAAGTGCTACCTCCTACGGAGTACTCACCTCTGCCAGTCATACCGTCAATGATATTTCCGGGCTTGGACGTTCCGGAACCAACGCCAGTATGGTATGAAACGAGCTGCACAACACCTGTATCGCTGAGGCCAGGAATACATCTGGAAATGCGGCTGACGTTGGTTACCGGCGAGTCTGTGCTTATGCTGTCGTTCCATGTTCCGTCGCAGCATACTATCAACCGCTTGTTGGCTGCTGGGGGTCGAGGTGGGCCCGCGCCCTCCGCTGGATCTGCAGCCATTGTTGCTCGTTTCCCGCTGCGATGAGGATGGAGTCCTGAACCACAAGATGGAGGTGCTTGCGACGAAGAGAATCTGGGTGCCCGCCAAGAGGTGCGATCTTGCGGGCTGAGCCACCAGCGTCAAGGCGCATAAGCCACCAAATCAGCCGCAAAAGAGGGACAATTCCGAAAGTAACACCTCGCGATTCCGTGCTTTTAACATGTTCAGCTCAGCCTTGGTGTTGTTGTGTTTAGAAAAGGGTTTCCGTCGCTCGAATACCACCCATCCCACCTAAAGCTTCAAATTTGCACTAGACCTCCAGATATGCCTTGACGCTGTTAAGGTTGGCCCGTGCTTCGATGCACCACCACATTGTCTAAGCCCACACGCTGCGGGCTGCGGGCTGGGCTTGAACCCGTTGTGATAATCGCAGCTCACCTTGACAAGCACTTTACTAAAGTGAACAGGAATGACGAGTACCTGAAGTCTGCTTGTGTCGTCGACAACGCTTGTTGGTATCTGATCCGATCAATATTCACGACGATCAGGCATCGGAGTGTGTACACACATGGTGCTCACCAGTCCTTTTGTACGCAATTACAATTGACACACAGGTCGCGGGTGCTCATACCCCTCGGATGAAGTGTTAAGATCTCAGAGACAAGCTTTTCACAATGCTAGGCTTTTTGCATGTAAATATGCAAGTGTGTTAGGGCCCCAAAAGTAATTCCCTTAGTATACTAGTGCAACTATTTCCAGAAAGTACTCGATGATTAGGCGGTGATTCTAGTTAGGCAGCTCAATATCTCGAACATCAAACTGGAAGTCCCGCTCTTTCGTTCCAGCCATCAGCCTAATAAAAATCCACATCATCCACTCCATAATAACGGTCATTAGCCACCCTCGATCTCTTGCTGTCTCCCAACGAAAGGTAGCTTCTTTGTATACAGCGTCAATCCGAGCCCTTCGCAGGGAATCGTAACCTTGAAATATACGAGAAACGGCTTTTCCCTTATGATGAGAAACCAACCGCGAAAAGAAAACGACGTCTTCTAGGACCAGGCCAACACTCTCACCTTGCGGTGGCATCTGAAGCGGTATTAGCGGTAGCAAAACATACGCAAATGGATAGGCCTACAGCGTGTGCAGCATCCCCGAGCAGCAACAACCGACCAGAGTGCCAAACTCCATGTGGCGGAAGCTTGAAAACCGGATATAGCACCCAAGAGTCAACTTTCTGCATCCCAGTCTCAAGACACGGCATCGCAGACCCAGCGAACCTCCGCAAGATGTCGTCTTTAAGGGCATCCTGATCGCTGCCTTTGACCAGACATCCCTCTCTACTCCCCACATCTTTGGTCTCCGTCACAACAGAAATGTAGAGCTGCGATTTATCTACAGTGTAGAACGACATCAGGAAGGTACCGAACCGGCCAAAGATCGCGGCTGTGGAGTCGAACGGCAAGAGTTCCGATAGGCCACCTGCACTCAAGAAGCCGTAGGTGACGGCAATGCCGGTGTACACAGGCTTCCGTTCCGGCTGGACGAAGTTCATGCGGACGGAAGAATGAATCCCATCGCAACCTAGAAGCATATCTCCGACCACTGTCGTCCCATCATCAAATGTAGCTTCGACGCCGTCATCTCGCTCAAGCACCGATTCAATCCGCTTGCTGTATTGCACCTTCACCCCCGACTCTTCAAGCTCTTCCAACAGTGCCTCCAGCAGATCAGCTCGAAGGATCCGCAGCGCGCGATGCTTGAACTTCTCGACTTTGTCGAAATCAATTCGCCCGAGATTCGCTCCTGTCCGCTGAGAAATCACATCAATGTGATAGACTTCGCATCCTTTACGCAACAAGCGAGGGAGTACTCTTAGATAGTCCAGATAGCGAAGCGCGTTAGGCGTGAGGTTGATGGCACCGCCGATTGTCGTAGGCTCTGAGCGGATTTCGAAAACGGAGCAGGATATTTTGTTAAGTCGGATGAGGGCGAGGGCGGATGCGACTCCTGCGATGCCGCCGCCTATGATGATGATGTGTTTGATGGGCATTGAGGGGAGGTGGTGTTGAGTTCGTTTAAGAGAAGGACAAAGGAAGATATAACAGAAGGACATTATCGGATTTATATATCAATGCGATGGGACTAGTAAGTACGTTTCACCATCTTGATGCATATGAGGCGGCTGTCTGAAATCATCTCAACTCAAAAGGCGCCACTGCATGCTTGACTCGCCTTCACCTTGTAAAAGTATAGCATTTATTGGTACGTGTCTCCTCACCTGCAGCGCGAAGTAGCTGTTTCCGGGTAGATGGTGATGAGGGGCGTTATGGACGTGTAATGGATGGGAGTCGCGTTCAATAAGATTGCGATCAGAACGAGATGTAGATGCGAGGAATACGAGGAGCTAAAGATAGGAAACTAGCACGTGATGAGCTAAAGGCATCAAACTTCCTTTTGAACATTCTTTCACAGAAGGAATAGGCCTCTACGTTCCTTTATCCACCTTCACGGTTAGAAGTTCGAAATCGAAGTCGCTGATGTTGCAGATATTCAAAGATCACGTGAAGCCATGGTCCGTGCTGAAGAGCCTCGTTCCGTCCCATTTCACTCCGCCGTTGCCGCCCCTCCCTCCTCTGTTTACGCTTCATCACAACAACGAAATATCACAATTGTCGACAGCTTAACCGTCCACGGCCTCACTAAAGCTTCTAGCTAACCATTCTGATCACGAATAACTATCTTTCGAAGTCTGTTAGTCTCAGCAAGGCTAGCATTGCCGCCAATACTTCCCATATCCACAACTCACAATTCCACAGCCCCAATGGACTCGAACAGGGCACCCGTTGAAGATGAAAGGACGCCACCACAGATAGCCATCGCTTGTGCTTTTGCTTCTGCTTTGGCTCTTGCGAATGCTCCCCACTCTCGAATACCTCGGAAATATCGTACTCCACCAACCATACCTCAAGATTCGAAGCTTCTCACGCCTCCTCCTACTGCCTCCAGGCCCATAGCATTGCTCGTAGCTGCGGATTCTACGAAAGCCAGCTTCGCCGACCTGCCGCCAGAGATTCGCAACGAGATCTACTCCTACGTCGCGGCATCGTTCCCATACTCAATAACATTCACCGGTCCACACCGCAAGCGAACACCTTTCTATGACATACACCCTCAAATTAGACATGAATTCGGCTCGCTGTTCTTTGCAATACCCCGCACCTATGTATTCAGCGGATATGCCTACAATTCCCTAAGAATGAACAGGGCTGGTGCGTTGCGCGAAAGGTCCTTGGCAATCCGCAGGGCTGATGCGTTCTTCGAAAGTGCAGCTTTCAGACGCGTCATGGCCACAAAAACATCGAAGATTGAGCTAGTACTCAATTTCTCGGGGAGAGGCCACGGAAAGCTCACCAACGACCAAGCGGTAAAATTGGCCGCCAAGATAACACGCCTTGCCAACGACTGGATGTCCACGCAGTACGCACGGCTGGAAGGAGGCGCTGGCACTACTCAAGATTCTAGAAATGCACTTAAAGAGTTGTACAAGAAGATGGCTTTATTATGTAACACCCCAAAAGACAACTTCGACATTATCGGAAACCTACTATGTGCAGCACTCCCAAGAATGGTTTCTGAATGTCTGTTCCGTCCAGATAAAATATACCTCGACATTGCGATCGTATTCAAGGAGATAATGCTGTATGGGGTTACGGTGCAGGGCCGCTCTGAACGGGAAAAGTGATTCGCAAGAAAGGTTAGTGGGCAACTGGAGGTGTGCGGTCCTTGAAGTGGGATATTCCTATTCCTCCACTGCTACTTGAAGTACTCCAATATTTATTAATTTGTTTTGCTTCCAACGTTGAATGCAGTCATTATCAAGGCAGTTTTCAACGGGATGCTCGTAACCGATTGGCCATCTAGCCTGGCCGCCCCCATAGACATCTATTATCAAGCGTGCCATCGACAGAAAAGTCTTCAGTTAGTCTTCTTGGATGCAATATGATACACGTGCGAACGGTATGCAATATCATGCATGATGGAACCCTCGCCAACTCTAAACGGATCCGTGGCTCACGTGGGCTAGACTTCACCATTTATATTGCACACTTTTTCATAAGCCAAGTCTTGTCGAATCAGTCACCGCAAGAAGACAAAATGGCAGAGAACAACATTCACCATGAGGCTAACCCGATTTGGTGATGAATTCAACACTACTATAAATCACACGATGTGGTAACTGAAAATGTGATTCGGAAGCTAAGGAATCTTCATCGCAGCCTTAGTTCACCAACACGCCTAACCACATCAATCACGTTCCAAAGTGAAGGAAAGGCCACATAATTTTAGAGCCACACTCTCGTACTTTCTTCTCTAAACCTTCCATCCACCATCACCTGCAATTACAAGACACAGCAGCAATATCAACCACCACACGCGCACCATGAGCGACACCACACCCACCGACGAGGTGATCTCGGTGTCGTCGCCGGCATCGCAAAACGACACTCCGCCAGCTTCAAAGCCTACTGTGACGCTCTATAACATCCTCTATTCCCTCGTTTCCCTGTGGACTATATTTGTTCTCCCGAACGTCATCTCAAGTGGATTCCCGGCGCTCTTGAACATACCGGTGTCGACGTACGTCCAGCATGATTGCGACGTGTCGTCACCCTCCCCAGCGGCGTCGCTGTCGCCACCAATACCACCGTCTCCGTGGCCGTCTCCAATCCGCGCGTATAATCCTGGGTCCCAACAGCTCGACAAATCTCCCGATTACGAATTCGGCGACATTGAGGAGCGGGGGTGCGCTGTGTCTATTGAAAGCGCATCACAAGAATGTCAGATGAAAAGCAAAAAACCTAGGGACCTGAGGGGCCATGATACCTCTCAGCCCATACATGACAAGCTCGAGGAGTTGAAGAACTTGGGGCGAAACCCTGACATCCTGAAGCGCGCTCTGGAATCTGGTAACTCCCTGGAATCCAATGACGCCGTCGAATCCAAACACCCAGCCGAGCCTGTCAAGCCCTCCAAGACCACTGAGAAAGTCGAATCAACGGCCCGGAAGATCAAGCTGTTACAACTCGGGCACAAGGTCAAGAAGCACTTCGAAATTGGCTTCACTCGGCTAAAATTCCTTGCGTCCCTCCTCGACAATCAAATCGCCCGTCTGGAATTTTGGATGAAGCTCAAGACATTTGGAAGATTTGCAGAGCCGGCTAAGGGGATAGGCGCATCCGAGGTAGGCCCTGAAGCCTTTAAGGAAGCTTCTGATCTCCAGGACAAGCCTCAAGAATCCGTCGTCCAGAGTGAGAGTGGCAAGGCCTCGACTGAAGTCTCCCCCGACGAGCCGACCAAAGCAGACTTCCAAGCAACCCGTGTCTCCACAGATTGGATCGATAGCTTTAGAGAGTTCTTTGAAAAGGATTCACGCCAGCCCCAAGAGGACCGCCCCGCCGAGAAGAGCAGCACTTCTGACCACGTCTCCATTCCAGCATCTTTCCATGGCCTGCCCGAGGAGACAAACCAGGCGGACAAGAACGAGTTTCCAACAGGTCAGGATGGTGTCCTGGCAGGTCAGGCCGAAGATAATGTCTACAAGAGCTGTGCAACGCTCACCAAAGCGACGGTCACCAAAGCGTGGGTACGCCTCGGGACATATGCGCTGAGCACTCGCGCCCAGATCCGTGACTCTGTCCACCCATCAGGATCCGCGACAACGCTTAGTATCTTCATTCTCTTGGCCGCCCGCATCTTCCACACCATCGAAGTCTCCCTCGTATCAGCAATCGTAACGCTTTACATCGCCATCCTCTATCACGCCTCCGAGACCTTAGCAGAAGACAGCCCACTCCCCGAGATCCTCGCCATCCTATTCCTGCGGAACTCGCGGTGGCCGGTCTGTATACCGTTTTCACCATACTTACTTATAGCTCTCCTTTTGCTTCTGTCCCGCGACAGCCCCTTCGATTCCGCCGCCTCTGCGGCCGCTGCGTATGCCTCCTTCCTCGACTCCATCATGAGCGCCGCCCGCGAAGCTGTCCACAATGTGCGTCAGCGCGACATCGCAGACACGGTGGAAGACACGCTCGAGAACATCGGCTTCGCCATCAACGATCTCACACGGGCGTTTGTCACGGACCTGTTCATCCACCTCCCCGCTTTCGTCCTCGCCCGGCTAGCGTTCTACGCCGACCTCCTCTCCTCCGCCGCCGATGTCATCGCCAATTGCGCACGAGACGGGGGGAAAGCGTACGCGGAGCGCTCGGTTCTTTTTCCGTTTCTCAAGCGCTGTTTCGACGGGGCGTGGTCGGCAGGCATTCACGTCGCTGATCTAGCGATTGAAGCGAGCGGCTGGGTTAAAGACTGGCTTCGCGCCTGCGTTGGGACACTCACGATCAGCATAGAGGATTCTCGTACGAGGGAGATTGATCGGCGGCGGGACGCGAAGAAGAGCCAAGAAAGCTGGAGGAAGATCCGGGAGGCGAAGGAGCGTGGGAAGGCAGAGAGGGAGAAGATGGATGGCGAGGACTGGGTGGTTCACAGCCTAGAAACGGTGATGGAGGAGGACGAGGACGAGGGGTTCGTGAAGGCGTAGCCCCCGTCGAGCTAGGACTGGGCGTCTGCGGGTTTGGATACAGAGGTAGTTGTCGGCTTTACGGCTTTCCTGGTGGAGTACGCAGTAAGCGCCTACCATAGGGTTTAATTGAAACCTTGGATCTCTGCTTCTGCTTGTGATATAACTATTCCCACATCTGTGTCGCGGACTTCCACTACCTTTCTCTCTGCCTCCGGAATCAGATTATGCGAGTTGATACTTGACATTAGGCCTACCTCGCTACCATTAGATTGCGTAGGCTCTACTGGGCTCCGCCGCATCTCCAACCTTGAGCTATCCAGCTGCCTCGCTATTGCATTCGCTGCCACGTGTCCAACCACAGGGTTGGTTCACGCGGGGACCGCGCTATCACGTTGCCCCTTATCCTCCCCTTGCTTCCTCGAGTATAAAACCTCCCTCCCTCGCTCCATCTATCATTCCAAAGAGACAGAGCGCGCAGACTTCACAGTCTGCGATACAAGAAATCAAGATCGGGACGGACGCTGTGGGCGGGATCAAACTGCCCTTACAAGAAATCAATGGCCTCGTCTGTGGGGAGTGTTGGGGGATGCAACACGAAGCCACGGGTGACGCGATGGTGGGATCAACACAGCCGACAAACAGAACCATAGCCGAGTAGAGTGGAGAGGCGGAGCGCGGAACCTGGTGGGGGAGGTGGTGGAGCGCAGCGTCAGGGGGTAGAGATGGAGGGGTTTTTGGGAGGATGTGTGATGATAGCAATGAGCTCGATGGTAATTATGGGGTGGTGGTGGTGATCGTGATCCTTGTAGCGGCGAGGGCAAAAAAAAGAATCAGCCTCTGCGGGAATCGAACCCATGCAAAACCTTACCCCTCCACACCATATAGATGTGAAGGGGGGCGGGAGGCGAAAGACGTGAAGTACCTTACTTAACCCAAGTACTGAGGAGAAATCTGGAACTGTTGAACCACTGAGTGATCCGCTCCTCTTCTGACTGGGGGACTGCTGGAAAATAAAAATGTATATGTAGGTATCCTTAACTACTTGTGAAACCACCACTAACAATTTTTTAATTTTTTTTCGCGGCCCGAGGCCCGGGAATGTTTCCGCGCTTTCACACCTACCTCAGGTGTGACGTCATTCTGCTCAAGCTACGCATTCGAGGAGGTTTTGGGGGATCAAGGACATCTTATTTACCTTCCGCCGCGGCTTCCACATTACGAAATAATAAGTATCGGGATTTTTGGGAAGTCCATGAGAGAAGAGGGAAAGCGCCATATCCTTCTCTTCCAGCGAAGAGTGTTCTCGTAAGGCGGCTGGAGGAAGTAGACAGACTTTCAAGAAGGTGAAATAGGCGTCGAGAGAAGACGGAGGGCAGAAGAGACGATACACAGATTGAATAAGCACTTCCATTTTCCACGCTAAGCTGCTTAATCTACAAGACCTGAAAAGAAGAATAAAGGAAGTATCGACGGGGGTATCTTACAACACACAAACCTAAACCTGAAGTCTCATCCACAACTCAACCCTATTTTCGCAGCCAACAATCGATCCCTATCCGATCCCACAACCAGAACGTGCCATGTGCCCCGAGCTCCTCTTTTTTCTTTTGGAAAAGTCTCTCTCAGAACATCTCATTCTCCCCCGTATCCCTCCTCACCACCCCCGGCCGCCCAAAAAATTCCTTACTCCCCTCCTCCTTCGGCGTCGCCCAGACATCCGGACTCGTCACCTCGCTCCCCGCCGTACTCACGCCCATCTCCTCGTCCTCATCATCCCCTTCCTCGCCGCCTTCGCTCTCGCTCCGACTGAAGCGCGACATCACCCTCTCTTTCCCTAGTTCCCGCTCATCTCGTATCGTATCCCTCCAATGCGCACGCGGCGTAAGAACATGTTCCGTCTCGTGCGTGCCAAGAATACCGTCTGGACTCGGCGTCGGGTACGCGATGCGCGTTTGCTGGAGCATAGCGCGTAGTTCGGCGACCTCGCGCTGCAGCGTTAAGACCGTCTGTTCGAGAGCCTTGCGGGCGGCGCGCTCGTGCCGCAATATCGTGCTGACGGCTGCGATTTGGTCGGCTGCGGAGGGTTGGGTAGTACTGGATTGAGGACCAGCTTGTGAGTGGAAGGGCAAAGGAGCGGAGGTGGTCCGCATCGAGTGCGTCGAGCTCGGGCTGGTAAGAAACGTCGCGCCCGCCGGCAGCTCATCGTCATCCTCCTTCAGGGCCAACGCTTCTGTGCTGCTCTTCCCGCTCGATTTACGGGACTGTGGTTTCGATTTCAGCGATTTCATAGATGGAGGTCGCGAATCTGCGTCGTCGCGGACCGTGGATGCGCTGTTAGCGCGGCGCCCCTTTGGCGCGTTTTCTAGGATTATGGTTTGGCGGTGCGAACGGCCTGTTAGGCGGTGCAGCGATTGCTCGAGGACGAGCATACCGCTCTCGAGGCGTTGGACGCGGTCTTCTAGTTTCAGGGGCGCGAGTGAGGGGGCTGGAGATTCAACGGTCATATCTTTCTCTTCGTCTTCGCCTTGAGATTCAGAGAAGGACGATTTGAAGGCCCCGAAATTGACTTCAAATGGGACAGGGTCGGAGAGGTTGAAAGGGTCGTTTAAGGTTTCGTTATGATGGTCTACTAACGCTGCTCCTGGTAAATTCGTTTCTGGTGGTAGGGAAAGTGAAGGCCCTTTTTCTATCTCTTCAACGGCCGGATTTCCAGTGTGGGTCGTGTCGTCGCCTGTCGTAGGTCGTGGGGTCGCAGTGCTGTACACGCTGACAGAACCATCCATACCACTCGTCCGCCAGTACCTGATCTCTGCGCTCCGTCGCCGCGGGATAGAATCTTGCCGCGTGCTCAGTTCTCGCAGAGCGCCTGCGCTCCGCGACCGCCTTTTTGCGTGGGTGGGGCTGGAGAGAGCGATGCCGATTTCTGGGGATGGGATGCCTTCGTCCAGTGCTCTATCCTCGCTTGGCTTTACTCTTGCGCCGGTAGCGCTCCAGATGGCCGAGAGGGCGGCGATTTCGCTGTTAGAGAGGACGACGCTGGGTAAAGTTGCTCGGCGGCGATGGCGGATTGGATGCTCGAACGTCAGATAATCGTGTGATGGGCTCGATTCCTCAGGGGCATTAACATTCATAGGAAAGGGGAGATGGGCTCCGAGTGGATTTAGCGGTTTGAGCTCGCGCACCGGGAGGTCTGAAATCCGTTGATCCCGAACAGAAAGACTGCTCTTACTCCTCGCCCGGATCGCATTTGCATTCTCTTTGGAGCGATTCTGCACAGCGCTCAATACGCCCGGGTCCTAAATCAATTAGCCTTCACGCAGACACACAGCTACTAATACAGGCACAAAAACTTACGCTACGATGATACCCATGCCTCGCAACGCTCTCTCGCTTGACCTCGTCTTTCCCGCGCCGCCCAAACATCTTCCGAAAAACACTCTTCAGACCGCTCTTCCGCCGCTTCTTCGGTACAGCCATCTCATCTGCAGTCGGGCTGGGGGCTGGGTTGCGGTGCTGCTCCGGCTTTGACAGATCGGGCTCAGGAGGGTCCCGCTGCATCACATTGAGGTCGCGGATGGCGGTGCTGGAGCGCTTGTGCCGCAGTCTCGGGGGGCTGGGGCTGGCCGTGTCCTGCTGCTGCACGTCGGACGCAGGCGCAGTGTCGTCCCGATCACGATCGGCATGGAGGCTCTTCTTATGCAGGAGGCGTTGTGCAGCAGACAAAGAATCAGCGCGCTGGGGGAAGGGGTCGGTGTTGCGTTTGGCCGCCAGCTCCTCGTCGTCCTCATCGGTGGTGCGCGGGATGGGCCCGCTAATCTTGAGGCGGCCGCGGCGGATGGCTTCGGCCTTCCAAGACGAGCGCTCCAGCGGCTTCAGGTTCAGGTCCTGGGTTTGCTGCTGGCTCGGCGCGGCATTCGCGTTCTCGGGTCTGATCATGGCGGCGGCCGGCCACACTTTCGGGGGGGACAGGGACCAAGGGACGCAGACACGCGCAGGGACGTCACGCAGCGGTGGCAGGGAGGACCCGATTCGCGAGTGGTGCCATTGTCTTTCTAGTCCCTTACACAGCGGCGCAACCAGCGATCCAGATGATGCAGTGGGGTGGGGAGATGGGCTGGGAAGCTAGAGCATGCACGGCTCACGACATGAAAGCCCGCGTTGCACAGCGCAGGGCGAGAATAGAGAAAAGAAAGGAAGAAGTGGTCAAAGAGAGACTGAGTTGGACAGCGGACACGACCAGACTAGGGCAGCGGAGGAATATGTATCACTGAGGGGCTAGCCGGTGGAGCGCATTGCGCATGGAGATAAGACGGGGAGCGGTCGGGCCAGGAATAGGAAGCGCGGCAGGGCGCAGGGCCGGGAAGAGGCGTGAGCAGACCGGGAAGAGGCTTGTCGCTGCATGGTGAGAGGGCTGGATGCGTGCGGGAGGGTGGGGGGTGCACAAGCCTTTGCGCTCGTTTCAGAGGCGCCGGGGACGACGCCAGTCTGTCTTCGGCCAGCCCGTGGCGCCACCCGGCTGAGCGGTGCTGCGTGCGTCCCAGCCCAGCAGCTGGCCGCATCGTGGGCTTACCTGTATCGCCTGTATCGCCTGTATCGCCTGTATCGCCTGTATCGAAGTGCTGACACCGGCCCGTCGCTGGCTGGTGTTGTTGGAGGGCGACTGCGCGGGCCCTGCAGATGCCGAACATTCGAGGGGCCGTCGACGGCAGCGCAATGCATGGACAGAGCGCGCTTGAGGCTCCCTGCAATGTCTGCCCGGTGGATGGCGTGCATGCGCTGGAGGTTTGAGAGGCCGGCCCTGCAGAAACACGCGCTGCTGGCCTGCATTGGGGAGAGCGGCGCCATCAACGGCCGCCTGTCAGCGCCGAACCACGGGCGACGCCTTTTCCTGCTTTCCCGCCCAGCCAATAGCACACTATTGCCGCCGTCTCCCCACACAATAGTCCAGACGCCTGCTTCTGCGCTGGCAGCGTGCGCCAAAAGCAGCACATCATGGCCGACGTGTTGCGGCTCTTCACGCCGCACGCCGCAGCCTCCGAGTGCTTTGCTGCTGCTCCTCGGCCGGCTTCAGGATATGCAGCTAGTCATGGCCGTTGCAGCCCTCCCTGTCTCGCGTGCTGCTGTCCACCACTTCCCCCTGAGCTCCAGCCGATGCCACGCAGACAGACCGCCCCGATGTGCTCACCTGCACCGCATTTCACACCACCCCCAGGCACTCCAGCCCACACGTTCTCGCCTGCCCACGACCGCTTGCCAAGTTTGCGGCTGACCTCCGCCTTTCCGGCAGTGGTCTGCACTCGAGCCGCCCTAGTTCCCCGTCTCCACCAGCAGCCCTGTCCGGCACTGCAATTCTGCGATTGATCGCTATCCGTCGTCCACGTACACGTCGCTCACGTTGGGATACCGTAGGTCTGCGTGCTCCTCGAGGAACAGCATCCACCGCTTGAGGAACGGGGAGCCCCTAAATTCTCGCACCCCTTCATCAGCCAAACGGAGCACAAAACCTAGGATTTGAAAGTCACACGGCATGCACGCAAGGTATACTCGTCGCACAAGGCAAAGAAAATAAAAAGCAAAACTTAAACAAGTGCCGAGAACGAAGAGTGAGACGAGAAACCACGCACCTGCCGACTGTGTCCGAGTCCCCAATTACGCAGAGATGTCTCTTGGGCCGTGTCATGGCGACTAATGTTACCAGGGAAGGTCAGCGCAATCTCCTCGCACGCTTGTAGACACGGATTGCTGTCTTGGGGTTGTCCTACCGTTCAGTCGCCGCTTCTCGCCAAGGAAGCCTACCTCATGCTCTGCGTTGCTGCGCACCAGCGACACCACTACGGCCTCTTTCTCGCGGCCCTGGAAGCCGTCGACGCTGCCTAGCTCAATGCCTGGGAAGCGCTCCTTGAGCAATTGTGAGAGTACTGCTAGCTACAGAGCGCGGTCCGCTATTAGCATCATCTCGCTTGAAGTCGGTGTATTGCGCAATGCGGATCAAACGTACCTGCGCATTATACGGCGTCACTATGGCAATGTCTTCTGGTTTCAATCCCGCTTCGACGAGGTTGGTGACATGCAGTTTGACCAGCGCCGCTTCGAGCTCATTACTCTTGCTCTCTCCGAGATTCATGCCCTTGCCGGCTTTCTTCCCAATTTCTTCGTCCTCCGTCTTCTCCGGGAAGTCACCGCCTTGTGTGTCCCAGAACACTAACGGCTCCTTGGTGTCTTCTGTTTCTTTAACTTCATACGGCAGGCTTGTAAGTAGCCGTTCTTTGACAGCTTCCGCAGCGACAAGCTTCCCTTCATACAGCTCATCGGACGGAAACCTCATAATCGTCTCATGCATCCGATACTGCGTCGTTAGCATCCTTTTGATCGACGGGCCGTGTAGTTCCAGCAGGCGATCGAACAGCGTAGTCTCCAACGTCATGCCCTTGATAACCTTCCCCTCTCCCTCCTCCTTCTCCCCATCCTTCTTCCCCTTCTCCTCTTTCTTTTTCGCTTTACTCTCCTTCGAATTCAAGCTCTTAATCGTCGGCGGCAACTGCAAATGATCACCGGCCAGCACCAACCGACTCGCCTTCAACCACAGCAGCGGCACCCAACACTGCGCCTCGAGCGCCTGACTCGCCTCATCCACAATCACGACATCGAATTCCTGGTTCCGAAGATGGAAGCCGCCCGCACCATGCAACGTCGCCAGCACCACTTTACTCGACCTCACCAACCCCTCCACACACCCCTTCTCCCGCTCTCTGAACTCCTTACGTAGCTCCCGCAGCTCGTTGTAGATCGTCCTCTTCTCCCTTCCATTTCTGGTTTTGCGGATAGAAGCCTGTTTCGCGTCCATCTCTTTGCGGATGTCCTGCACGATCTCCGCTGCATCCGATGTTCGAGTTAGCACATCTAGAGAGTGGTTCAATACCGAGGGTAGTAAGCGCGCTGGATGCCCCAGCCGTATCATCGGCACTTTGTGACTTGCTAGCCTCTCTACGATGTTATCCACTGAGATATTCGAGGGCCCGCACACCAGCAACCGTAGGCCTTGCTTCAGCATCTGTAATATCAACTCGATGAGTGTATGCGTTTTCCCGGTGCCAGGGGGGCCGTGTATGAGCGCGACCTCCCGCGAGGCGAGGGCGAAGCGGATGGCGTCTTTCTGGGAGTCGTTGAGCGACGGGTCAATCCACTCGATTTTCATGGTGGAGAGGTCCGACGGGACAGGCGTGGGCGAGGAGTGGCCGAACAGTGTCGAAATAAACGGGGTCATTTCCGAGGAGGTCATATTGAGGAGTTTAGTCATGTTCTGGTTCATCCTGCCAGATACCATTAGCATACCACACCTCTACCTAACCTCCTCCGTCCACCTTCCGGGTACCGTGAAACATACCGTTTATACGTGACATCGTTCGCCAGCTTAACCCTACAACGAATTAGCCACCCCTCTCATATTCTCCTTCTCCCCCTGATTCCCCTTCCAACTCCATAGCAAGATTCGGAAGTACTCACACCCACACCCGCCCCCCCAACCCCTCCAACCTCTCCTCCTCCTTCCCATCCCCCGAACCTCTCCCCAACACCACCTCCACCCGCTCCCTCCCCACCTTCCCCACAACCCCCTCAACCCCCTTCTCCTTCAGCCCCGTCTTCTCCTTCTTCTTCGCCGCGCCCGCCGGCTGCTCGCTCACGGCCACGATGTCGCCCACGCGGATCCCATGCTCGGGGAGATCCTGCCCGCCATCATTACCCTTGCTCCCACCACTTCCTCTAGGTCCTTTTGGCGCAAACGCAGCATCGAGCGTGAGTTCGATCACAGTCTTGCCGCCGAGCCCGGTGCGTTGGGAGGAGAGGGCCAGGTTGAGGATCGCGAGGCCGGCGCGCGCGAGGGCGGCGGGCCCGGTGGAGGACAGGAGGAGGTGGGTTTCGGCGAGCTCGGCGGTCAGCTCGGCGGAGAGGAGGGCGAGTTGGGTGGTGGCGAAGGAGGGGATGTCGGTTGCGTTGGGCATCGTGTAGACGGGAGGTGGAAAGCTATGGTGGATTTTCTGGGGAGGTGGGAGCTTGAGGTAAGGTAAGGGAGGGGAAGGAGGGAAGTGGGGTGGCGGGGTCCTAGAATTTCTCGAGGTGGAAGGGGGGTTTGTTGATGGATGATACGTAGTTAGTTCGTGTTGAGGTAGATTTAGCTGTGGCAGTTTACTAACTATCCATGCAACCCACCGCCATCTCTAGCCAGCTGTTCAGATGGACGTTCTCCATAAAACTGTTTTCCTCACCTCCACCCCGCGCCGAGCCCCAGATCGCCAGGCACCGTCAGGCCGCACGTCCCCCCTCCACCACCGAACGCCAGCCAAGCCCTGCCTCCCTCGCCCCTGACACTAGCCATCCACATCCCTTCCATTACAATTCGCGTTGCACCCTCCAAACCATCCTCTCAAACCGCGGAAACCTCGCCCTCAAACATTCCTCCGACCGCACACCTTCCCGTTCAGACGCATACAAGCCCCGGGGCTCGCGCGGTGCTCGCAATGCGCACCTCCCGCATCTCCCGCGACACCTCCGCCGCGCTGGCTGCGCGCCAATCGCGTCCCCAGACGATTCGACAAACGACTCGACAACAGCGGGTGGAGAAGTCTTACAAGGCGGCGAGGGATGCGATGCTGACGGGGTATGTGGAGGGGTCGGATTCGGATCCGTATTTGTCGTCGTCTGAGGATGATGGGGGATCAGAGTTTGAGTTCGAAGGGAATGTGGATAGATACGGGGAGGCGGAAGATGGGGAGGATATGGAGGAGAGGGAGGGGCGGTGGACGGTTGTAGAGGAAGAGGAGATGGGTGGGAGGAAGAAACGAAAACGAGGAGACCAGGCTAAGAGGGTCGTAGAGAAGATGGCGCCCGCGAGGAAGAGGCAGGGGACAGCTGCTGCGAAAGTAAAGAGTGAGATCAAGACAGAAGAAGGGGAGAAAGAGAACAATCCCAAGCCCAAAACCAAGACCTCTAACCCCAAACCCCCCCGCGCGAAGAAGCCTCGAGCCGTCGTGAAAACCGAGCCTCCGGAGAATTGGGAAGAGATATACTCTCTCGTGCAAGAGATGCGAGCTTCGAAGCTCGCCCCCGTCGACACAATGGGCTGCGAAACCCTCGCCGACCCCACCGTCCCGCCCCGCGATCAGCGCTTCCAGACCCTCATCGCCCTCATGCTATCCTCGCAAACTAAAGACACCGTCACCTCGGTCGCAATGAAGAATCTACAGGGTAACCTCCCTGGTGGCTTCAACCTCGAATCCATCCTCGCCGTCGAACCCGATAGCCTCAATGACTTGATCGGAAAAGTGGGGTTCCACAACCTCAAAACCAAGTACATCAAAAACACCGCCGAGATCCTGAAAGAGAAATGGGCCAGCGATATCCCGGATACGATACCCGGGCTCGTGAGTTTACCAGGTGTCGGGCCTAAGATGGCGTATCTGTGCCTCTCTGCCGCCTGGGGACGGACGGACGGGATTGGGGTGGATGTTCATGTGCACCGTATCACGAATCTGTGGGGGTGGCATAAGACGAATAACCCCGAAGAGACGAGAGCGTGTTTGGAGGCGTGGTTGCCAAAGGAGAAGTGGCATGAGATTAATACGCTGTTGGTTGGGTTTGGGCAGACGGTGTGTTTGCCGGTGGGGAGGAAGTGTGGGGAGTGTACGCTTGCGGAGAAGGGGCTGTGTAAGAGTGCGGTGGTGGGGAAGAAGGTTGTGCAGAGAGTGAAGAAGGAGGTGGTCGTGAAGGGTGAGGAGAGAGAGGGTGGGGTGGTAGTGAAGGAGGAAAAGGTGGTTGAGGAGAGAGAGATTAAGGCGGAGGAGGCGGATGTAGGGGTTGCGGATATCGAGGATCTGGGGAGGGTGCGTAGTAAGAGGAGTCGACGGTAGGCTTGGTAGGTAATAATGTAATAACATCAGATGATTGTGTATAATGTGGCATGATATATAATCTGGGACATAGGGGAGGATGAGATGTTTTAGCATCTTGGGAATGAGTAGAGAAAATTATCAGAGGTGGATGCGGAGGGAGGGATTGTGGATTAAATGTTCAAGGCTGGGTTTGTATAATGTAAGATACCCCGTTAATACTTGATTCTTTCTATGTCCTTGCGTCGGAGCGAGTATGTCACGCATCTTTAGCACGCTTCTCGCACTGTGAGTGTGCGATGATATCGTCAATCTTGTTGCTCGTCTTCAATGTCCGTCTTCTTCAATCACATATCCCATCTATTCAGATCATATCATCATCACCGGCTTTCAGTTTCCCTGGACGTCATATATTGCTGTGATCGCACTATGGTACTTCAAATAATTTGTAACATTCGTAAAGCCTGCAAGAAATTCAGTCCCCTTCTCACACCCCTTTTCCCAAGCATTGACAGTGGTCTTAGAGTCGGGGAGGAAAGGGATGGACAAGTTGTTGAGAATGTGTGGGGATGGTAAAGTGAGAAGGGCTGTGGAGAGGTCGATGATGTGTTGGGAGAGAGGGGGTTAAGTCGCGCTATTGTGGTGGTGGTGCTGAGGACGTTGAGAGCCGGTAAAGTTGATGGGGCGGTGAAGAGAAAAAGGTGGAGAAAGGGAGACGCTGTGTTGGACGAGATGGAGGTAAGTCCCGTTATTGTCGCGTCAGTGCTGCTGAGGGCGTCGAGTGCTGATGATGTTGGAGTACCTAGGTAATGAAGCTCACATGCAGAGGCCGCAGCGCCACAAGGTGAAAGATTGTGGCTTGACAGCGCGTGTGAATCTAGGTATATTTTTCAGTTAATTCCGCTGGAGGTTGTTGGAGAGGTTGGAGCTTTGGAGTTCGTCTCTCTTAGTTATCTCTTTCTATCCTTTCTATCTGCTGGTGCTTTTGATTCGCTTGTTTACACTTCTGGAGGAAGACGCGACGACGTCACCGAAAACGCGCTAGCGTCTTCTTCGACCTCACCTTACCTGCAACCTCGACTCACCTGCAACCTCGACTCCGTCCCTCACCCCCATCCATCACTTTCATCGTGGGCGGACAACTTTCAACCTCGCGACCTGCATGGTCATCGCCTCATCCTCACCTCGCTCGACGGGACCATATTGAAGCCGCCCTCTATTTTGGTCACATTGTTTCGCGTGGCCACACGCGTGCGGAGCTGTCTTTGAGGCACCTCTCGTGAGTTTTCCTGCTTCCACCCTTGTCCCAATTTGCAGAGCACCGTGTTAAACAATGGAACGCTGCTCCAGTAAAGAGTCGCTCGTGTAAGTTCAATCTGGGCTTCCTCTTTCGATCTCAGCTAGCTGACTCCGAATCAGACTGGGAACCATGGTTCTCACGGTGCGCGCTGGGCTGGAGCCAGATGCCCACGAGGACTTCACGGTGCACGACAACCTCATCCGCACTCATTCTCCGTTCATCGATGCTGCCATGCGTAACGACTGGAAGGAAGCACAGGAACGACTGATCAAGATGCCGGAGACTGATCCTGTTTGTTTCCACATCTACGTCCAGTGGCTGTATTCCAGCCGCATTCACTCTGCTGTGACAACTGCCGCCAAACCTGGAAGCACTATCTGGGCCTACTCGAAAGCGTTGAATCGCGAGTTCGATACCTTAGTCGGTTGCTGGATCATGGGCGACGTTCTAAGAGACACGGACTTCCAAGACGCCACCATGGATATCTTGATGAAGCTATGCCGAACCATCCATGGCTTAGGAATCGAGATCCTCGGTCCACTCGCGCACTACGTCTACGCTCACACTACTGGGAAGACCTCCCCGTTAAAGGCTTTGCTCGTCGCCCACACTACAGTCTCACTTACCCCACGGAAGATGGAACTATTCTTCAAAGAAGACTACCCGAAAGATTTCGTAACCGAAGTGCTCTCCGCTGTGTACCGCCGCTGGAACAATGGCAATACTGGACAGCTTCTCAATCTCGAAGCCAAGTGCGAAACATACCATCAACACTACAAGACCGGAGGCCCATGCTACAAGGACAAGCTCCCGAAGCCGATGCCGTTGTGAGGATGCCTGAGATGAAAGTCTACTGGGAGACTCGGATGGCGGGGATGGGTTGGATGGACTGGACATAATGCTTTGTTCGAATATTCAGTGACTGGGCATCCAAAGGACTCTAGGTTCCTTCACTCTAATCAAATCAATGTGAGAACTCATAATAACTCTTGCACCCTTCGAACTGTCTTCAACGTGTCAATTGAACCCTCCAAACTACGAGACCACGCTCTGATTCTGCCTGTTGGTTTTCGTGTCTCATGTTTCAATGTAGATATCGGATCCCATATTTCATGCATCGCAAATCGTCACGCTGACTTTAGCGTTCTACATTCACTTTCGAGAATGATTGAAGCACCCCTGTACAGGTATGAGCCGGCCAAAGACTGAGCCAACAGACCGTGATGCTGCTCCTCAACATGCTCCCATACTTCACCGCCCTGCAAATCATTTCAACATCTACACTAGGACCCGAATTCAGACACGCGTCTTTACCATCTCGTCCTGAGTAATGATAAGGTGCTGAAGCACCACAAACAGCGGCAAGTAGGCCGACTATGCGCACATGAAACTTTTCTAATTCACGCTCTCAAGACCTTTGCATGCTATCGGAAGAATTAGACTGTGCTGAAGTACCTCAAACAGCGGTAACTGGGCCGAATATACGCGCATAAAACACCTCTCTAGTTCACTCTCTCAAGTCCTCTGAATACTATCCGAAGTTTTATAATGTGCTGAAGCACCTCAAACGGTGGTGGGCGAGTGTGCCCAGACTTCTGGCAAGGCACTTTATCACCACACACCCCAAATCGCCAGTGCAGATTTCGCATCTTGGATATCATTTTAATGCATTGAAGCAGTTTCGTACTGGTACAACCCCCCCAGCGTTCTCTATCTAGTAGTACATCCCCCAGCCCTCGGACCTTCTACCCCAGAACCAGACCCCCGCACCCATCACCCCCTCCGCACCACCCAAATCAGCCCCAAGCTTCTATCATCCACCGCAACACCCCCCAATACCACTGAGGTCACTCGACCAGCGCCAACAGCTCGCCAAACCACCCCTCCTCCAACCCCAATCCTCACGCCGCCCTCGCCCTCTTCCTCACCGGACTCCGCCCCCCCTCTCCCTCCCTTTCCTCCCCTTCTACCTCTTCTTCCTCCTCCACCCCAGCTAGGCCACCAAGCCCCTCGCCGTACGCCCGCTTCGTCGCCGTGCCACCCGGCGTCAGGCTCCTCTCACGCGCCAACCGCTGCTTCTCAAGCCGTTGAGTTACCTCGTCCGAAATATCCTCATATTCTGCTTGTTCATCGATACCACTCACCTGCGCTTCGGGCTCCTGGGTGCGCGCACGTTTCGTGCTGGGGCCACCACGCTCGGGGGAGATGTTCTCGTTGTCGTTCACGTCGGCGGCGGCGGAAGAGTGAGAGTTTGAGGGGGGCGAGGGGGAGCGGTTGGAGGCGCTGCGCTTGGATCCGGGTGCCGGCGTGGGCGTGGTTGTCGGCGTGGCTTTCGGGAGGGGTTTCGAGGCCGCGACGTGCGTGGCGCCGAGGAGCGCGCCGTTGACGAGGGCCATGGCGGCGTCGACGGCGGCGGGGGTCTTGAAGGTCACGTTGACGAAGAAGTGGGCGTTTATGGGCGTGGGCGCGGTGACGTAGACACTGTGGTATGGTGATTAGTAGTGACTAGAACGATAGGAAGAGGAGATCTTACACAGCGGATGGGTCTGGGCAGAGGGCGCGAATCTCCCTTGGCGTGACATCGCCGGGGACGCCCCACACTGCCATCTGGCGCAGCTCACGAAGGGCAAGCTCCTGGCCCTCGGCGGTCCAGTACTCTTTGTCGGTCGGGGCGGGGTTGTTCTCAAAGTACTTGTTCTGAGCCATGTTGTCAGTTAATGGTCAACTGGCCGTGGGCAGAAGCGGAGGTGCAGTGAAATCGAGGCTTTTGATAAAGTAGAAGTAGTGAAAAGCTGCACGTAGTGATAAGGAAGATAAGAATACATACCCAAGCGGTTTCTAGGTTCCCGAGTGCTGTCTTCTGGGCTCTCCCGAATTTGAGGGAGGTTTTGACCTGCTGGTACACCTCGCTGAGGTCGCTGTCGCCCTCCGCCTGGGCTTGTTCTTCGAGAAAGGCGATTTGGGCTTCTAACTCGGCGATGTGGTTCTGGATGCGCTACATGGAGGGGGCAGGTCAGCCATATCTGCTGGAAGCTCATGCGTGTAAGGGAGCGTTTGGCGCCGTGCAGGGGAGAAGTTCCACCGCGAACAATAGAACGCGTGCACGAAGTTTAAAAAGTAAGAATCCTTACAGGAATGACAGCGGGAACAAGTCTAGGCGCCATCTTGCCACGAACTGCTCATGTAATGAGACTGGGGGAAATTTGACGAGGTTGTTGTAAGACACAGATCCGCATCAACACAAGCGCGCCAGAAAAGTCGCAAAATCGGTCCGATTGCCCTAGCGTTGTCGATCTCCCGTTAACACAAAGCTTAGCCTCTAAGCGAGAGCACGTGGCAAACTAGGAATCGTATCCAACTTCCGTAAGGTATCACATTCAGGTTAGAGTTTGACAGGCGTGCTGAATCGGACATGTAGAGCTCATCATTTGATATTTCGTAGATATCTTTGAAGCTGGTCTGACCTATTCATCGGCATGATAGCATAAAAGCTTGTAGCAAGTGATGCTAGATTGCTTCAGTAGCCCCTCCGTTTTGACATCTCATTACCCACATCGAATCCAGTCATGCATCACTATCACGCTCACAACGCTCAATCCACCCACTCTAGTCTTGCATCGTAAAGAAGACCATTATTCAATCACATGCTAAATCATCACCCTGCTCTATAGTCATCTCCAACTCCCACGGACCCCTGACCCGCGTCCCCCATCCTGTTTCCCCAGCCCACCTGAATTTTTCGACTCTAATGTGCCCGGTTCAGCTTGCTAATCCCCACCATCACCCTCTCAACCCCATCCTCCACAAGCCCCAACTCCCCCACCGCCTTCTCCCTCCCCTCTCCCTCACCCTCCTCCGCCGCCAGCTCGCCCCCTTCCTTCAAACTATCCTTAAACACGCTAACCGCCTGCCTCAACGGCCCTAGAAAACTACCCCCCACATCCGCCGTCTCCGTCAAGCCCGCGATATCCAACGCCTCATGCAAGAACGTCGCGCTAAGGAGCAGGTAATAAAAGTTCAGAGTCGCTAGATAGAAGCCGAGCTCATTGCGGAAGGTAGCCCAAGCCTCGGAGATGGGGACAGGAGGGAGGATGGTGGTCGAAAGGTCCGGGAAGAGAAACGGGGCGAGGGAGGTGAGAGCGATAGGGGTAGCGAAGATAGATGTCTCGGGGTCTTTGGATTCCTCGGTTTCTTGGTGTGGATGCGCGTGCGTGTGCGAGTGGGCGGTTGCGGGCGGCATGTTGGCTTCGAGTGTTTCGCCCTTCAGCCAGCCGACGGCGGAGGCTTTGAGGTTCTCGTAGGGGCAGTGCTCAAGGGTGTCGCGGATGAAGGCGAGTCGGACGAGGTCCTCCGGGTGGGAGCGGAGGATGGTGGAGGCGAGGTAATGGGCGTGGTAGCGGATTGTTGGGGAAGGCGAGTTGGCGGAGATGAGGGTGACGGTTTGGAGGTATTGGGCGAATTCCTCGTCGTCGTATGGCTCGTCGATTGCGTTTGCGTCGAGGGCGAGTAGGCCCAGGCAGAGAATGGCGTCCAGAAGGGCCTCGGATTCCAACCCAACATTCGCGGTTCCCGCCGTGCCAACGAAGTTCCGCAGGATTTTTGCGTGTTCCGGGAAGATAGCGATGCCATCGTTCGGCGGCGGTTGGCCATACAGCACCCTCGCCACGCTCCTCGCCGTGAACAAGTACAGCGACCCGATCCTCGAAAGTGGAATATCATTCGCAGACGCCGGAGGATCACTCTCCTCCCCCGGACTCCCCACCTCCTCCGTCGACTCATCCGTGAAAGTCTGAAACAGGTCCCTCGAATCCAGCCCCAGATCCTGCCCAACCGCAACCAGCTGCCCCACAACTGAACTCCTCCCCTTCAACCCCTCATCCTTCGAAAACCTCTCGGCAAACGTCGGTTTCCCAGGAACAATCTTCCCCGGCTCCAGCTTCTCCATCAACCGACTCGACCACGCAAGCCCCGGCACATCATCCGCCGAGCTCAACGAACCCATGTAATCCTCAGTCACGTGCGTGACAAGGCTCTGCAGCAACCTCTCGCTCAACTTCGTCTCGTCCAGCGAGGGGCCCTCACTCTGTGCCTCCGGATCCGGCTCCGTCTGCTGCGATGTCGTGCGTTGCAGGATATTCCCACTACTCACTCGTGGCGGGAGATGCGGCCGCTTGGTCCCCGAAAGCGTCTTGATGAACTTGACCACCGCAGCCGTGAGCTCGTCCATATGCGATTCCGCGCTCGAATAGCTCACGAGGACCGCCTGTAGGCTCGTCGAGAGAAAGCGGCTGGGATACTTCGTCTTGACGCGGCGATGCAGCGTCGCTAGCATCGAGAGCAGCGTCTCGAACTGCAGGACTGGCAACGGCAGCGGCTTCACCTCCCCTCCCCCTTCGAGTTTGGTCTTCCTCAACGCCTCCTCAACCGCCACCTCCTCCCCTTCATCATTCTCACTCTCCTCTTCTTCTGCCTCTGGATTCGCGTACTGCATCAACCGCAACGCCTCCGTGACTTTCAGAATCACCTCCCGCGGATTCCCCTTCAGCGCAACATCCTGCAGGCACTCCTCGCTCGCCGGCAGCAGCGGCAACAGCAAATGCACAAGGTCCCAGCCGATGTTAGTCGTCAGCGTCGGGTCCTGCAGCACCTGATGCAGCGTCGGCAGTCGCTCGGCCGTGAGGTTATACTCGACGATGGTGAGATACGTGATGTAGTCAGTGGCTGGGGGCAGGGCCGCCAGGAGCGGGTTAGGGGGTGCTTCGTCGCCCGACATTGTGGTGTGTGGAAGTAGCGAATGTGTGTATTTTAAGATTTAAAGGGCGGCAGTGGGTTTTGCCGGTTCTTTTGTTAGAAGGCGTGGTTGGGGGACTTGTTTGGTTGATGTGTTCTCGGGTGATGAAGCGGGAGTGGTTCGTCGTGGGGCAGGCTGCCACGTGCGTCATCGTTGCCAAGGATTGTGGGGATCACTCTCAGGGATAATTTGAGAATCTCGAGAGATGTCGATTGCAAATGGTGAAGCAGGTGAGTGTTTAGTTAACCGTTGGTGTGTGGAGTGTAATGATGAGATCTATAATCTGGACAGTCATGGTCCTTTTGATATTGTACAAGCTCCGCCCAATACTAAATACATCATCAACATCATCCATGCTGCACCGCTATATGCAAGACATGCGAACGTATAAACTATAAAACAGAGAAGCAGGTTTGGCCTCCCAACAAATGAGGCTCTAAAGGGTTCCTGCGAGCTGCACCGCACCGACGCAAGTTATATAGATCCAGGTGAGCCACACTCTCAATGAAGAGAAGCGTCCAATTAGACAATCCTCTGACCCAACTCCTCCTGAATCGGGTCATAATCCCCTAGATCCTCTAGCGCCATCTCAACAGGCTTCCTATCTTTCAGCGCCTGCGCTCTATACCATTCAAAACGCTCCTCGTCCGACTGATGATGCTGCGGCTTCCTAACCGAGAACTCAATCGTGCCAACATCTTGAATCGTATACTTGATGTGGTCCGGCACACACCACTCCAATTCGCTGATCAATCTTGGTATCGCATTGTAGTCGCTTTTAAAGCGGCGGCGGAGAAACAGATCGACCCACTTCCTGACTGTCTTGTGGTTGCGTCGTCGGAGAAGCTCAAGCTCCTCGACCTTGCGTTCCAGATTCCGAAGACTGAAGGGGTACTGGCCCCTCTTGGCGAGGTCTTGCGCTTTGATGAGCTCGAGATTCGCGCCTAGCAGGGCATACCGTTGGGACCGGAGGAGCTGAGCGCCTTCGATCATGTAATCGACCATTAGGTCCGTCCATGGACTGGCGTACTGGCCATATTGCTTGACAATGAAGTCGTACATGGGGATCGTAGGAGTGACGTTATAAGGAGGAGAAATCATTGTGTTCCATATCTCGGTCACGGTGCCCTGGCGCATCTGCCCTTCTCTTGCTCCGACCTGTTTCTCTTCCCGGTGGTACCGTTGCTTAGATAGAACGAAAGCCCACTCCAGGAATAGTTCCCAGACCTTCGCCGATATTTCAATGTCGTAGCCGCGCGAGATGAGGTCTACCATTTGCATGCCCTTTGGGACCCTATTGTTGATTCCGAATGCATGTGCTACGGCGCCGAGAAGCCGCCCGCTTGGATAGATAGGGGAGTCTTTCGGTAGCGGTTTCACTCCAGTATTCACATTCCACAATTTCTGTAGGATTTGGTAGACACTATCCATACTACCCTCTTTTCCGTATGCCTCAATAAGATGGACAAATGTCTTCTCGTCGGGGACGCATTCGGAATGCAGCATTTCGCGGAATACGTCATTGACCTGAGTTGTGATCCCACCAGGTCCAATTCCGTAGCTTTGAGAAGGGATGTACTGATTTCTGATGGCTGTCTCGGAGAGCCCAGTAGAGGCTCTAAGCTTCCTCCACTTTAGGTTGAAAGGTATTACACGTTCGCGAAAACGGCTTTCGGGTAAGAAGTGTCGATTCCACACCACGGCCTCTAATAAGTAGTTGTAGCATTCAGTGTCCGGTATTATGTTGCTGTTCTTCATCTTTCCCCATATCGATTTTGCAAGACCTAGACTTCCCACGGCAGTAGCGCACTTCAACCGCATCTTGTAGTCCTTCAAACTGAGTTCCTCGCCAGATTGCATGCGTGCCACAACAATCTTCTCAACCGTGTATGAGAAGTCGTTCAAGATCCGCTTGAGTGGTACAAGCTCCAGCCATTGTTGTTGCTCTACACTGATCTTCTGATGAATTTCCCGGAAGGTACCAATGAAGTGTCCGGGGTCGAGAAGTGTGAGGATTTCGGTGAAGGTCGGCCCAGGTATGGAGCGTATGTAGTCGAGGTCCGTCGATGCATCGACCATGGCCTGAAGCAGCAGCTCTGGGTCCTTCGTACGGAGGGCTGTCTCTACGCTATTTTGATAATCCATCTTCGGACGATCTGGGGGCCAGCGGCGTATGATCGAGTTTGCGGGTTCGGGAACTTCGTTAGGTTCGACAGAATGTTTCGTTCCGCCAGGATCGACCCAATCTTGCACAATGTTTCCCAGCATCCCATCCCATCTCTCCAGCGAGGGTGATGCCGTTTGCGGATCGGAGGGTCTGCTCGGTTCGGCGGCAGTCTGATGCGCGGCATTGTTGGATTCGACCCATTCCTTCACCGCACCGTCCGCTGGCAGATACTCATCCAACCGGGACAGCGCGGTATTACTCTTGAGCGACCTCCGGCGATCCGGTTTCCTGAATTGCTGGTTTGTCGAATCCAGCGCGACAACGCCGCGGCGCTGCTGAACCCCTTTCAATTGGCATTGCGGACACGTCCACCTCTTTCTCTTCGCAGACTGGACAGAGCGGGCTCTAGAGGCAAACCGAGACTCTAGTATCCCGACTCTGGGGAAGAAAGTGCTCATGGGCGACGATGGGGTGGAGGCATTGCGGTAAGAGTCGCGAGCTCGGAGGAGAAGCCGACAACTTTTTCTCGCGATTCGCGCCAAGACATTTCGATCGTTAGCTTTAGCTCCAACTCCATCTTCACCACAACACACTCTGGCTTCCTTGCAACGCACACTAGCACACAGTCAAATCAAAGTCTCTCACAATGTCCGACGCCGAAGAGACCGCCTCAAACCCAGTGTCCGAACCCCTCGATCTGGTGCGCCTCTGTCTCGACGAGGTCGTGAGCGTCAAGCTGCGGGGCGATCGCGAACTGAAAGGACGGCTTCATGTCAGACTTCCCATAAATATGGACTGAGGCACAAGCTAATTAGCGCGCAGGCCTATGATAGTCATTGCAACCTCGTTCTCGGAGACGTCGAGGAGACTATCTACATAACAGAGGAGGATGAGCACGAGCAGGAAGTCCAGAGGGTGGGTTGACATCCTCCGACACGCGCAAGTGGGCAAAACTGACATCGCACTGGTTCAGATAATCAAGAAGCAATCGGAGATGCTGTTTGTTCGAGGTATGACTTCGCGCATGAGGATGGTACTATTCTAACCATGTTGTAGGAGACTCGGTCGTCCTGATATCGCCCTTCCAATGAACGTTACGATCGCGGAATTCACCGTCGCAGTTGCTACACGAAAGATTGGAGTGCATGAAGGATATGACATTTTTGTACATGCCTGTTTGGCGTCAGATACCCCACCAAGTGATATGAAAGGTCTGGGAGGAGATTGACGACCAGGTTTGCAATGACGGCACGGAATATTGTGGAACACGCATAGTCTTCACGGCGTCCTTGGATTGGAGCCCATCTGGAGCAGCATTCACACGATCACACCATAACACCAGTTGAAGTAGTCTCAAACAATTCAAGGCTTGATTCTACGCAATTTACTCTTTTGGAAGTGCGCAAGCAAAAACAAAGACCCGCGCTGTCGCTCAAGAACGCAATCAGTCACTCCATCTATGGCGCCATCGGCAAGGAGAAAAAGTGGAAAAGGGAATGCCGCTTGATTCGCAGCGACGGGAATTAGCCAGGTAGTCATCTAATCGTAGCCTCGTGAATGCCCATCCGTGCCACGCTCGACTATGCAAGAAAATACAAGAAAGAAACCCGAGAAATCGGGGGAAGAATGACAGAACTACCCAAGAAGAAAGCCAACCGGGTCTTGGACCAAGATGGTGGTGGGTAGGGCCTGCTCTCCGAATTACGACGCAATGGAGCTGATAAACTCCATCGAGATCACGCTCCAGCCGCCACGGCGGATGGCCATTTATTAGTGTAGCGAACGAGGGTTTGGGCACTGCGAGTGTATCCTCCCTGACTCCATCTCTTCCAAGCATGAGACTCCACCCAGAAGAAAACCAAGAGAGACAGAAGGTGCCACATCGAGCAAATTGAAAGTCCATAGGACCCAACCAATGTTCCAAGTGAGTATTCACCGTCGGTGAGGAACACCAGACGGAAAGTATGTGTGATTGTGGTCATCGAAGACCTGAAGCCTGTCCAAAACTATTTACGTCGCCAGGATGGACTTTGCTCAGCGAGGCTGTCTCGTGACATGGGTGGAAGCTCGAAGCCTTTGGCAACCTCGGATTCCACGAATAGGGATGCTCGCTTGTAACGCTTGTCGCAATACTTCTCGTAGACCGCCGAGTGGTGCTTCTGCGGGCTCTCGCAGCACTCCAGCATGGTGGATATAAGCTGACGGAGTTGATTGTATGTGTAACCAGAATAATGCACATGAGCTTGGGACTATTAATGGTTAGCACTAGAACGGTTGGAGCCGCAGACAACAAACTTACCCATTCACCCTTCTTGAGCATTAACCGGGCTAGGCAGTGTGCACCAGCTGAGGTGAAGCTCGGAGCACACCCAACGAAGCGCTCGTCCATGACGGTGATCTCAAGGAAGTACTTTGCAAGAGTCCGGGTCTCCAAGTCGTAGTCGTCAGCCTTGCTGATTCTCCTGAGGAAGCTCATAGGCCCCGGCCATCCCAGCTCAAACTGCAGCAAGCTAAGCATGAAACGTTCAGCCTTGAGGATCTCGTCGACCGTGTAAGCCCCATCTACCATGTAGACTATCTCTTGGACGGAGGGGCAGTTGATTTCCTCGTATTTCGCGGCGATGAAGAGAGCAGTGGCACCAACGAGTTGCAATTTGCCTAGAGAGACAACCTTGCAAGAGAGGAAGCGGTCGACGTAGTTCACTGAGAGGAAAAGCGTCTCCGGAAGAAGAGTGAACCGATGATGAACCTGTACAAGCCAGTCCATAAGAACAGATCGCATAGACCATTGTATCTCCGCTTGATGATCCATGTAGGATGGGTTAGGCTTCATTCGCTCCTATGCCATCGTTAGTACTAGAAGCTGGGCTGGGGTCGGAGGACTACGAACCTCGAGCGAGTGCATGTACTCGAAGATCTCCTCGCCATACTCAGCAACCATAGAAGTATCCCACTGCTCATCTTCAACCTCTTCAGGCGTCTTCATGCTTTCGACAAAGTGCTTGGCGGCATCAAGCTCTCTTTGAGTCTTGGCGGTGATACGAGGTGCAAGAACCATAGTCACTCCGCCTGTCGTGTTGTCTCCACGGGAGCGTAGCGATCTCGCAGTCGTGTAGCCGTCGGCGTCGAAGTATTCTTCCTCTTCATCCTCGTCCCAGTATTCCTCGGCCTCGGGCAAAGGGACGGTGTGAGACTGCCTCGCAAGTTCGTCGTTTCGCTCTTGCTCCAGCACTCTAGCCTGCTCCTCAAGCGCCTCGAGATACTCATACTGATCCTTGGTGTCATCAGACACAGCTTCGTATTTCTGGTGGAACTCCGTCGTGGATATCTCCTCTGCGAGCACGTAGCGTTCTTCGACCTCAGTCACGCCGGACTTGGTCTCATGGTGAGACAGCGATTGAGGCCTGTCGATGGGAAGGTAGACTTTGGAAGTATCTACGATAACGCTTGCGAGGGCTTCATTGATTGATGGATCTTCACGAGGCTCGATGCTAGGAACTTCGCGTCGAGATGCAAGTGGTTGATGGACAAGGGCCGTCGAAGTTGTTGGCCGTGATACTAGTGGAGCCGCGGGTAGTAGAGGTTCGACGAGAGGTTCGGAGTCCAATTCTCTGAAGATGGTCGTGGGCTTCTTCGAGATTGCTTTTCGGGTCGGTGCGGCAACCATCGGGGGCTTTGGCAACGTTGATGCGGCGAGAACTGGCGCATTGACCTGCGCAGGTTTCAGAGCCAGTGGTGCCAGCGGCCTCTGAGCTGGTCGAAGCAGCGTAGTAGGCTTGGAGAGCTCCTTCGCTGCGACAATGGCAGAGTCCTTCAACACGTCGTACGCCGATTGCTTCCCCGGTAGGAGCAGGTCATCCTTCGCAGGTTGTTGTCTCACAGTATTACTGACGTCGCCAAATACTGTGCGCTTAGCAGCAGCTTTGATGCCACCGGCGAGGCTCAATGTGGACAGCGCCGGCGTCGACTTGTTTCGTTGATGGATCGTCTTGCCGGCGGGCAGCTGCGGAGGCTGGTTCTCATCGCGGATCCGCAACGCGCGCATTGGGCGCTGAGGCTAGAAGACGAAACACCACGTTAGTACGGTGAGATGTAAGCGAGTTGTTTGTTGATGGTCAACACCAAACATGGCCTCAAAAGCGGCCTGTCATCGAAACGCGACTCGGAGCAAACAAGAGAAGGACGGCGTACCTTTGCATCCATATTACAAAGCGGTAGACGCGGAGCCCGGCGTAGTTAGCAGTGCACGGCGGGCTGCTGGGCGTGGTGGTGGTCAGATGTGGAGCTGCGAAGATGGTTCCCAGATCGGAGGAGATGGTGGAAAGGAGACGTCCGCGCAGTGATGGAAGAATTGAGACGCAGTGAGCGAGCTGGAGCCGCCTAGAAAACAAACGCGTCAATAAGGAAACATTCCATAAGGTGGTGCCGCGGAACAATGGTCGTGGGTGAGAGACCAAGGAGATGGGTGTTGTGGTCGGCTGGGAACTGGAGGTAGCTTTGTAGCAAGCGCGATGTTGTTCGCTCCTGCCAGCCCCAAACAAACATTGGCCGGCCAGGGTCCAAAGCTTGGCACCGGCTGGCCCGTTGCTTCGTGGCAACCGATTCGGGCGTGCAGCGACTTGGCAGAGCGTGCAGGCCGGCGGGATAGAGACCGAGCGAATGCGCTGCTGTTCCTCTTCACCCAGCGGTGGCATTTGCTGTTTTGATGGCCGTTTGGGTGCATCGCAGCTTCCGTCGAGTCGGCGACCCGTGGCTGCCCCTTGACACCGCCAATAAACGGCTACCGGCGTCGGCAGAACCATCTTCCGCTAGCGCCATCGTCAACGTCATCTGTGGCTCGTCACGACTCTCGAACTTCAACTTCTGCACGCCTCTTCGCGCCCGCACCGCAACACTGCAATTGCTCTTACAATAAATTTTCCTCTATATCAGCCCTATGGCCGGACCCTTCCCCAGCAGATTCCGACCGCTCCCTCGCGTTGGCTGTTCCTGCAGCAACGTGTATGCCATTCGCGCGTCGGCCGCAAGGGTCTGCTTTAGCTCGACACGAACCAGCTGCGAGCGCACATGACACGACCGCGCACCCACTTTCGCCCACGACTCTCAAAATGGCCTCCGCCGCCTGCTGAACAAAGGCCGTCATCAGCTAAACTAACTCCCGAGTCCTTTGGCGCCGCTGTGCATCGGACGGCGGGCCCCAGCTGACGGCACGGCACTGCCACTGCCGCCCGCGGGCAACCTATCAGTCAAAAGCCCTGCCTCCCGTTTCAAACTGGCCGTCTGCAAGCGACACGAACCTCATCTTTGCGCCGCTGCGTGCGCCTCTCCCCAGACGGCGCCCCAGGCTGCGACACGTCTGCGGATGGGTGGGCCCGGCTATCGCGCATCGTTTGGATCTGGCTTTAGCTGTGTGGGAGCCATTATCTCTGGGCACGACGGTGTTTCGCCCAGCGCATGACGCCCACTAGATACACAAGACCTGCAACCACAAAGCTAAACCGTGCGGCTGCAGTTGCGCACATGGCAGATGATCTTCAACGCCCTCCATCCTGATCCGGAATGGGGGCCTCTCTGCGCTATTGACTGTTGCGACAGCGGAGCAGACGCGCTCCTTGCCGGACGCCAAGCTGCTGGAAGAATGCGGGACTGAGCGGTTGCCATGATATCCTCCGAGCGCCTCTGTAGCTTCACATGGTCAAAGAATGTGATGCGACTAGCGCCGCTCGAGGACGACGACCTGGACGGGCGCTGTCGACTCCGATAGCTGATGTGAGGGGATCGAGCGCTCGCGGAGATCCTCCAGACGCCGGACGCCAATCGGTCTTCCAGCGCTTGAGAAGCTGCGGAAACAATGACTTGCCCCGTCTCCTAATTACATACCTGAATGCGACCGCGACTGCAAGAGTTGGGCGGCATCGGTGCCACGGTCGCCTTGCGCATCAGGGTGCTGCGTCCCCTCCGCAGAGTGGCGATAGACTCAATTGTGCAGCGCATCACCTCATTGGCTGCGCACGTGGCGGTATAGAAAGTGCTCCGCTGCTCCAGAGTTTCTTGGAGCGATGGAGCTTGTCTGCGGCATGCATTCATAGCTAGTGGTCCCATTGGCCGCGCAGGCCGAAGAGTATGCGCTCGGGAGTCTGGCTCCAGTTTCGCCCTCAACGGTGTACGCCAATAGGCAAAGTTGCGCTCCTAGGGTTTGTTTTGCGTACTTTTCCGGTTCTAATGCGCCCTCCGCCCGTGCTCTCGTATCTGAGCACCGGTTTGGTGTCGAGTTGCGCTGCCCTTGGGTGACAGCGGCCTGTGTTGCGGGCGTCACGGGGAGCGCTGCAGCAACTTCCTGTGACCTGTAGATGTGCTCTTTGAATTCGAGCTTCTGAAACCCATAGTGCCGGCCAGCGTCTACCGAATTGGAGTGTGTCTGCAGTTGCGTCGTGGTTCCTCGTCCGGCACATGCTGGCATGCTAGCTGCGTAGCCTGACAACTGCTCGCTTCGTCCTCGTCCTCACACTTCTCCACCTGAACACCGCCCTCCTTGTCCCCCAACTCGCCCACCGCTCCACTTTGCGCCGCCAGTGTTTGAATCCGTTCGCAAAGTGTAAGAGATGCCCTCTGCCGACTTTGATGCTATCGCCTCGAAGCCTCGCCCAGATGTGCCGCCCAGACTGCTAACTCGAGCGCAGTAGGGACGAGGAATCGGCGCTTCACGGGAGCAAGCCAACACCCACCTTGCTGCTCATCTGACCCTTCTTGGTATGTGGAATCTTCCCGCAGTCATATGCGACCGCACCTACACTGCCTCTGCCCTAAAACACCCATCATTGTGCGAGTTCCCAGACTCGTCATCGCCCTCCGTCTCCACCCTTGTGGCCTCTGTCGGGTCTAACAGGACCACACGGTCCCGATCCTGCCTCACTCTCCCTCATCAAGACTCATACAGCACTATCAGACCATCCCAGAGTGAAGCAGAGCTAACATTCGGCATCCAGGGCTGGCATCATTTGCCTCATCCTCCTCTCCTCCCACCGACCCTTGCGACCCGGACAGGTATCCGTGGCCACCAACCAACAGCCTCCTTACACATATACATTGCTAGAAACGGGTCGGGAAAGCCCCAGGAAGACATCCAAACGCGAACATCTCATTTGCAATGGACCTCTCCAACATGCTTACCGACGCCCATGCTGAGGGTGCTGGACGGCCGCACCCGACCAGCGAGGGGATGGCGCCAACCCGGCAATACATGACACGACAAAGTGTCCCCCCGTATGAGATGCAGCACCACAGCAACGGATATGCTGTTCCTAGCTATCAAGAGCCGAACAACTTCACACCCGCCAGCTCCTTGTCTCCTACCAAGGCAGCTGACCCGAAGCATGTTAGCTTTGAGCTACTTCTCCCTCAGTCTCCTCAGGCTCGGGCTAGACTACCGATGCGTGTGAACATTTTCCCGCACGATACAACCGACTCGATCATTACAACAGTCAAGAATTTCTACGGCTTGTACGAACGACGAGGCGTCTGCTTTGAGGACCGCCATGGCGTCACTCTCATTGCTAGATACGAGAACTTCGCCCACAACATGGTCGTCTATGTAAGAGTTACGAACGAGGAAGTCGAACCGGAAGAATACTCCCCTGCGCCTCGCCAGTCTTTGTCGCCAAGACGTCCTCATCTGGACGAGCCATTCCAAATGCTCCCTCCTTCCCTCAACCATCAAATATCAAGGCCAGCATCCCGTACTGCTCGGCAACGCAGCCGCTCCCCTCAATTTGGGCGAGGTCGACGTAGTGCTTCTGCGAGCACCAACCCGAAGCGCATTCGACCATCAACCAAGAGTCGCACTGGTAGTTCCCACGGCAGTTTCGCAGACCCCCATGGCGATGCTGCCAACGGATACAGTGACAGCGATGGCGGCAACGGGTCAGTCACTAGCTCTCGCCGTGGTCGAGCTGAGCAGCTGGCAAGCGCCGAGATTTCTCTCGACAACATCGTCGAAGGTGGTCGTAGAAAGAGGGCCAAGTTTGACAGCTCTGTAAGTTCACGTTATACAGCCCACCAACCTGCAAGTGGCCCCATTCTGATCTTCTTTCTTACATAGGAGCTACCATTGTTTGTCCCTCCACAGGTGCCAATGACAGCGTCGCTCTCATCCGTCTCCCCACAGCGACGTATCAGCAGCCACAATGGCGCCTCGCCCTTCTCCTACACAAACCAGCAGACCTTCTCCTACGCTCACCCCCTCCCATCGCCGCAAAGCTACGGTCATGGGGATGTTTCATACCTGCAGGGGTTGAGCACTCCGTTCTCTGCCTCGAATGGCCAGCCGCACGGCCACCGGTCGCGTACACGTGGCTCGGCCCAATACGCCCCCAATCGTCTCTTAGCCAACGGAGGGATCTTCCCAACGCCAGACCCCACAGTCGGCAGTGTTATATCGGATGAGGATGTCGCTCTGCAGTTGATGCGACTGGGCGATGCTTCGAATATCTCGGCGCACGGTCGCACATCGACCTCCACACTCGACGACGCCCTAAGCGGCAAAGCTGAAGCCGCTTCGTCAAGCGAAGAGAGCGACGAGGGCAGCGATGTCGGTGAAGGCGAACTGCCGATGCTACCCTATAGAGCAAACCCGATTGCGAACGGCCAAGAATTCGACAGTGGAGAGACTAGCGGTGAAGACTACGAGGATGATAGGGACGAATCTTTCAAGGGTGGTAGTGACGAGATCATGCTCGACGCGGATCTCCAGGGATCTCGGCCGAAGACTAATGGATCCATCTCCTCGAAGGGGCGGTCTAGTGTTTCTGGCTCCAAACACTCCAAGTCTGGCAAGCCTCGCGGACCTTCGTCCAAGAAGATCAAGGTTGCTGGCACTGCCAAAGCACCCATCTCTCCAACATCACTCCCCCCACAATCGCGCAAAGCATCCAGCGCGTCTCTGAATTTCCAACACCCGCTTGGCGTCGACGAGGAAGATCTGTCTACCAAGCCACGTTGCCAGCGTTGCCGCAAGAGCAAGAAAGGATGTGATCGTCAGCGACCATGCCAGCGATGCAAAGACGCCGGTATTGGGCATGACGGATGCGTCAGCGAAGACGAAGGCAACGGCCGGAAGGGCCGATACGGACGGCACATGGGCGTCCCGGTCAAGAAGACTTCAGACGAAATGTCTGTGACTGATGGAGCTATGTCTGCGCCACCTTCTGCCTACTCCCCAATGTCCGCCATATCGCCTGACAAGAGTAAGAAGAGGAAGCGGTAGGCGACGTCACTCCAATTCAATTGCGCAGCATATGTCAGACGCCGAGTATCGCATAAGTTTGGCTAGGACAACACCACCACCACTAGCTTTCCTACAGTACACCAACGAATTCCTTTCCCGAACTTTTAATGGGGGCAAACCGGGGCGGAGTTCCTTCTCTATTATGCTTCCTTTGTTATTTTCACTTTCCTTGTTGGTGCATTTGGAGTACTTGCGTTGTCACACAGCGGAGCGAGAGCGGAGACTATAGGAAAGTAGGGGAGCGGAGCACGATGTTACGAACGGCCTTTCTTTCTTTTACAGACCAGTTGCTTTGTGTCCAAATTGTAGTTGCTTACCTCACTCCTTTCTCAGACCGGCGCGTTTGTTGCTACTTGCTTTGTTGCCTTTGAGCTTTTTCCTCCAAACGAATCTGTGTCACAATCCACTCCCAATTGTAGCATCTTTGGATAGTGGGGGAACTCTACTCTACCTCACTAGTCTACTCTTCAAACCTCTAAAAGTTTTAGTACTCTTTCCTTTTGGCGCCTTATTGAGGCGCACAGCGGTCGTAGCGATACTTCCTCTTTCTTTGCAAACTCTTTCTCTCTTTTTTGAAGTTGGCTCTAGGGTTCTTGGTTGGCATGGACGGCAACAGTGGCGGCGCGGCGGCAAGGGGCAGTCTCTCAACAGGTCGGGCGGTTAGTGGGCGATGGGTATCTCGGAAACTCTCTCTATTTCGGGGGCTCGGCTGGATGGCTTGCCGGGGGGGGTTGTGTTCCTAGCACTCAGGTGGACAGATGGACGGTGTTTCGGGTGTGTACCTACTGGGACTTGGTTCCCCTCAATTCACGATCTTAGACATGGCTAGTGCGGATGATTTGTGTGACAAGTTCTAGTGCGGTTCGTGATGAAGGGCCGCGACTTATCTCATTGGGCGTGACAAGCTGGGTTTGTTTCAGCCTGAGCGCGAGATGGCTTGTCCCACGCAGGTTCGGGAGATAGTGAGGGCTGGCTCTGAGGCCTTGGGAGTGGGCCTCAGGCGCCGAAGGGGGGCAGCGCGCGCTTAGTGGGATTGCACGCAGTTGTTGTACGAACTGGACCATGAATCCAGGTATGGAGTGCTCATGACCAGTTATCTTTCATTCTTCGGACACTGTTATGGCAATGGCATGTTTACGTTTTTGACACACGCCATCCTTTCATTGTTTGCTCAGGCTGCTTGTTGTCCAGCTTGGCTTTGCAAGGATCTCACTCATCCCCGCGCCCTTCAAATGTGACAGCCCAATTCACACATCCATCCCGTCTCATCTATGTGCCCCACCATACCCTAATGAATTCTTTACCCCGCTCCGATCCCTCCCCACGGCTCTCACGATTGACTTTGGTTTTCCCCACTCTCGCCCGCCCGACGGACGGATCGCTCATGTGGAACGAGCCGATGCCGTGTGCGGTTAGGCGGGACGGTACTGGCGGGTCCCGAGATAGATGCGCGCTCGGGCCGTGGGGCAGCTCGTGGGCGGGCCTTGCAGGGCCCGAGGGAAGATTCGCGCGTCGTGCGCCTCCGATCTGCGTGGTGGAGACGGGAGACTTGGCGCTGGCTACGGGACGGAGGATTGGGATTATGGAGAATGGTTGCGGTTCTGCATGCAAAGCGTGAAGTGCTTGCTGATAATTCGCAATAATCAAGTTCTCGGTGTTGAAGCCGTGTAAGGACTTGGGACATGCCTGTGCCGCCGTGGTGCATACGATTCAAGCTTGAATCCTCCATTCAGCACAGCCTCATCCACCACCTCTCACCTCTTGTCAACCACCACCCAGCCTCTCTCTCTGCTGTCTGTCATTATCTCATCGTGAACTTCCTCATCTCCGTTGTCGATACACTCCTGGGCCAAACAAACCGTCTTCCAACCCCCAGCTCTGACCACAATGGCAGACCCCTCCGCAACCCCCGTCTCCTCCATCAAGTCGCGAATCGCTGCCCTCAACCTTGAGAAGGTGCATCATCCTGAACCCGGAGCCCCTCCCCCATATTCCTACGACCACACAGCGGTCAAGAAGTCGCGACCGCCCCCGCCTCCACCCTCGAAACGCCCCTTGATCGAACCGCGGAGCCAGACGACGAACAATCCTCCCCTCCAGAGCTATGGGACTACCTCTACAAGAACTATCGGGAATCAGCCTATATATGGCAATGAGGAACCGCCGAAGAAGCAGCAGCCTGCTCTGCCGCCGAGACTGCCACCGCGAACAAACTCGAACGTGGCCTCGCAGCCGCCCCCACCCAGCCTTCCTCCGCGCAAGGCTTCGGAGCACAGTATAAGGACGAAGGCGTCTGTGGAGTCCATCTCGACAATAGCATCGAGCCGGTCGGCGGTGTCGGTAGGGTCAACGAGGACGAGTTTCAGTGGCGCGTCTGGGGGTGATGGGCAACAATATAGGGTCAAAGCACCGCCTTATGATCCTTCGAAACTACCTCCTCTGCCCCCAAAGAAGGCAAAGGAGGAGCCAACGCCTACTCCTTCGAGGACAGCCCTGAAACCTACGCGCTCGTCGCCAAGTGTGGTGGAGAAAACTGAGCCAAGGGCTATCCAACCACCACCCACCCTTCCGTCTCGACCTCCTCTCCCATCCCGTCAATCCACAACTCCAAATCCCCGGTCTGCTTCTATAGCACCGCCAAAGCGATCCGCTCTATCATTCGGCCTCAACAAGAACCTCGAAACCCCACCACCCCTCCCCTCCAGCCGTCCTGGCCCCGACTCCGCCGGCTCGCCGCCCCCCATCCCCCTCTCCTCCCGCCCCAACCTCGCCGCCCTCCAAGCCTCCAAACCAAAGAGCACATCCAGCTGCCTCGTGTGCCGCGACTTCTCCGCCCCGGACGCTCACGCCGCCCGCTTCCCGCGCCACACCCTGCCCACGCACGACCTCGCCTGGCTCGCCACCCAACTCACCTCGCCCTTCCCCAGCCTCACCGACAAAGCCCGCGCGCTCTTCACCTGGCTGCACCACAACATCGATTACAACGTCGCCGACTTCTTCTCCGGCAACCTCAAACCCTCGACCCCGGCCTCAACCCTCTCGACCGGCCTCGCCGTCTGCGAAGGCTACGCCGCCCTCTTCACCGCCCTCGCCACCCACGCCGGGCTCGAGTCCGTCGTCATCGGCGGCCACGGCAAGGGCTTCGGCCACACGGCCCTGGCCCCGGGCGCGCCCATCCCGCCCTTCAGCGCCGGGCACGCGTGGAACGCCGTGCGCATCGACGGCGGCGAGTGGAAGCTCGTCGACTGCTGCTGGGGCGCGGGCAACGTTGGCGGCGGCGGCAACGGCCAAGCCTACGAGCGCAACTTCAAGCCACAGTTCTTCGGCATGCCGAACAACGAGTTTGGCGCGCGGCACTTTCCCGAGGACGGCGGCATGCAGTTCCGCACCGACGGCAGGGTGCTGGGGTGGGACGAGTATATGCGCGATGATGCCGGGGAGCGGGTGCAGGTGTATGGGGACTGCTTCCCGGAGCATGGGATTGGGGAGAGGAGTTTTGAGCCGGCGTTTAGGCATATACAGAGCGAGGCGGGCTCGAGCGAGCGGGTGAGGTTTCAGTTCAGTGCGGCGTGTGCGCATTGGGAGAATGAGAGGTGCGGCAAGGGGAAGATGTATCCGATGGTGTTGCATGTGAATGGGGTGGGCGGGGGGAAGGCGGATTATGTGCCGTTTGAGACGGATGGGCGGGTTTGGTGGGTCGATGTGGAGAGGAGGGAGTTGGGGAGGGCGGGGCAGAGGGTCAGTGTGTTTGCGGTGACGAGTTTGGGCGGGCGGGATGGGAGGGGGGTTAGTGTGGCGGAGTATAAGCAGAAGAAGGGCAGGGTGGGGATGGGGTTTGGGGGGGTTTGTGCGTGGGATTTGGTTTAGGGGGAATGGGGGTCGTGGTAGGCATCAAATATAGGCGGCTATGGCTAGTAGCCAAAGGTACGGGTTGGGTATACCCTGGGTAATATCTGGATCATCTTAATGGTTATGGAGTTTGGGATGGCGGGGGAATGAAATACGCATCCATTTACCATTGCATTGTCCCCTTCGCGAAAATGTTGTTTTGTGAGATTGAGTGTGTGAGTGCGTGTAGCAGTGTAAAGTGTCTATTCATAGACCGTGCATATGAAGTCAGGCTAATGATGGTGGGAAGATTGTAAATGCACTGCTTCAGGCCCTTGAACACATGGTTGTAGAATCCGGGAAAATCCGTGGAAAAAGTGACAACCGTCGTTATTTGAGGTTGTCGGGTCCATGCATTTCACATATTGAAAGTCTTATAGAACAAGATCGAAATTATGGAGTTCAACGCAGTGAAGGTAGTCCGGGCTACTAGGGTTAATTATCCATGTAGCTTGGATGGGAGAGGGTTTTCGCAGCCAGCGATGGGCAATTGTGAGTCAAGCTATCACTTGTAAAGAAGTTTATGGAAGTCGCTGATGATTAGATTTAAAGTTGCATCAAAGTAAATGTTTGCAAGTGACTGCACGCGGAAGGGTCGCAGGGGTCGTTACCACCGCTTACGTTTAGTAGTATATGCAAGTCGAGCGATGTATGAGGAGTAGTTGATTAGAAAGTCGCGTGTATTGGTCGGGTGTTTCGCGGACTTCTTGAGCGCATCTGTTGTGTTGACGGACGGCGAATTGGTGTCGCATTGCAAGGCAAGTGATCTACAAGGAGGGTAGGAGGCTGCAAGTAGGTGACGGATATTATCGAGTTATGGAGACCTTAGATGTATCCTATGCGTTATGGAGCTTGCATCGCTCTGCTATAACAATGGAGGAACTCTTTAGGTGTGAGGGAAATATTGTGACCAAGAAAAGGTGTCGTACACTCCCGCTAGGAAAGACCTTAGAGCAACAAAAGCCTCGATGACGAAAAACAATCGAACGAAAACGTATCCTAAGGACACAATTGTTACAACGTCCGACCACAACTTAGGAAAACTTCCAACCATCAGAAATGGGAAGACACCTAGAGCCAATATAAGGCATGAAAAGACTCGCCAAAAAAGCAATTCCGTTGTCGTTGGGAATGAAAAATGCTACGCAAATGATGCTGCACCAGACAAAAGAACTAAGAGAATAGTGGGATACATTTCTGACAGAGACCAGTCACTCGTGTTGCGGCTTCCGCCTTCGGCATTTGCCTCAGCTGCAACCTCGTCGTATCTACCGTGCACTGTAAGCATCAGACACCATAACGTCTTTTGGCTTATTCCACCAGCCAAAGAACGCTATGATGGCACACTCAATATTCCCGAGAGTAAATATCTCAAGAGTGCTGATTTGAAGATGCTGTGAGGCTCTACCGACGGTGGCGACCAAGAACCAGGCGAGCTGCAAAAGTGTAAGAGTTTTAGCAAAGCTATCGGCTTTGCTTCGGTCCTCTATATCCTTTTTCGACAACTCGGGCACCTCAATGAGGCCGTGTTGGGCGAGGTTGACGAACTAGTGGCCGTCCAGCTAATGAATCTGTCCATTCTCGAGTTTTAATGCCATTCCTTTCATATTAATGAAGTGTGCGTGCACGCCGTTAGCATAGAAGGACCGTAGTATCCGGATATTGTGTTCTGGGAGGCTTAGACGTCGCTCCAGGAGCGATAGGTTGCCGCCCTCTTCCTCATCTTACTTAGCCTGTCAGCGGCTGTAATATTCATCGAGCCTTGTTGGCATGCTATAGTCGTAAATGGTGACCACCCATGTTACACCGCTGTCATGGTTGAAACAGCTATTAACGGTGGCAGCGTTAGTACTTACTTGCGCTCTCAATTCCTGAATACGTCGTATTAGTCGTTTCGTTGGTATGGAATCTGCAATAGCCTCTAGCACTGCCCACTCTGGAATCAGAACCATGAGTATCGTCTGCTCAACTTGTCCATGAAGTTAGCCCAAGAAGTCGAGGATTGTGGCGGAACGTCAGGGTGATATGCCGTCCACGTGCAGAGAAATATGGTGAATAGACAGCTGTATAGCAAGTCCGCGGTACCGCGCCCATCAGGACTTGAAACCCAGCCGAGTCGGGTAGAATTCGATGTAATATTAAGCATCTTGAGAGATCATGCGAGGAAGGTTCCGATAGATGGCTAACGGATTCCGTGCGATGAGCTAGTAAGTTCGTAACCACAACTTTGGCCAGTCCGGCTTCAGACGTGAATGATATAGGTCTTCCTTCGATATCAGGTGTGCTGCTTCAGTAGGACGGGCCAGGAAAATACGATGGATGGACCAGGTAAGAGATGGTTAATCGGGTATCTACAAAGTCGCAATAAGGCTGAATGCAAAGCAGGAATGAAAAGGCCGGATGCCTACGTGGATATATATGTTGAGATGGGACAAGGCTGAGGCTGAGCCAAAAGCAAGATGCGTGGAAGACTTGGCAGGAATATTGAACAGCAAATCATACCGACAGACGAGGCCGCTCTCGTGGCTCACATGGGATACCTTGAGCATGTAACCGGTACCTAATCATTCGACCTGTATTCTAATGACGCTGGCACTGAAGGTCGGGGAATCCGATGTTGGCGAGCTCGCGAAGGACCTGAGGAACCGAGATCTCTCTACGGGAACTAAATAAACTCATCATGTCTTATACACATAGATTCGCTCCGGTTTAGAGAAATTTCGCTTGTGATTAATAGGTGATGTCCGAGTGAAGTCGCTGTTGCCGTAGTTGAAAAAATGTCTTGGCGCTCCATATCGATAATACGAGGGTCCAGATTATTGCCCGTACAACGAACCTCACTCTCGCAACGACAACCTCTCTCACTTCCCATCCCTTTCGAGATATGTGCAATTCCTCGGCTTGAAAAGCTTCTTGCAATCATGGCCTCTAGTCTCATAGGCATTTCCGTCATCCTCGCTCTCAGGAACCCGCCAAACACCGTCGTTCAAGGTCGTGTGGCTCATGTCAATCCAGAGACGGCGACGCTGACATTGCAAAATGGTATTAGATCCCTATACACATATGCGTGCCTCACTGACTGACGCTTCAAGTTCTGTTTCCTGCGACCGGCCACCGCCTAGACAATTATACCGTTGAGGGCGCATCTATCGCTGACATCAAGATCCAAGAACTTCCGCCATCCCAGCAACATATCCCACCTCCTCAGCAAGTGCTACGCCAGACTGTCCCTCCTCCCCAAAATACTGCCAGCTTCCCTCAGTACCAGCAATACAATGCGCAGCCAATACCTACTCCGCTGGTCCAACAAAAGCAAAACTTTGTGGACCCAGCAATTCTTAGCGTTGGTAGAAGACCCTCGAATCCACCACCTCCTAGCCAGCCCATGTCCTCTATTCCCCAGGAAGCGCCTGCTACGCCTATCAAGCCAATTAACACTGCGACAGCAGCTCAGATACCCTCAAACACTTCTCCTTTCATCGGCAACGCCAAAGAACGCAACCCGAGAAAGCCAAGCGCGGCCACGCTGAATGCGCCATTCTCTACAATAGATATTGCTGAAGCTGGCGAACCGGACTCAGACGAGCCTACAATTAAGGATGCATCAGTACGGAGGGCTAGCATAACGAAGACGAGGAACGGGAGGCCAATGGAGGACCCTGTCTCAGCCCAGAAGCAGTCCGAGGCCGCCGCAAAGCAGGAGGAGACCTGGAAGCGTACTAGACGAGGTGGAAAGGCGCGGAGGAAGGAGCTTGCTGCTCAGGAGAGGCGCAATGGGGCTGACGTTTCTTCTCCAGAAGCCGTCCGCAAAGAGTCAGTGAACCTTTCCTTCGACCTTCCGTATCTTCCTAGAACTATCATACTAAACATGACTACGCCTTCCAGACGAGGAACTGGCTGGCGACAGACACCACTCTTGCAAGCTCCGAATCAAGAGAATGATCCTACTCGAGGTGGACAACAACAGCGAACACCTGGTGTCATCGATGGCAGAGTCGGACAAGAAGCAGCAAACGCTTCGAATCGGAAGAACAGACGCCAAAAGGCTCTCGAGGCTACAAACGGATGGGCTACGGAGGATGCCACAGATATTCAAGAGCTTCCGGAGTTTGACTTCGCGGAGAATCTGTCCAAGTTCGACAAGCGCTCCGTCTTCAACCAAATACGCAATGAAGACACGACGGCTGACGAAGATAGGCTTGTCAGCCATAATCGTTTGCCTGCTAGGCCAGGAACACATGGTGGCAAGAACCTTCACCCCACAGAGAACGTCCTCGACAATAGGCGAGCTAAGACTGCTTCAGAATCTGACACTGAGGATCTATCCGATTTCGGCAGCGGACGAAACTCACGACGAGCTATGTCCCGAGCATCCGCCAAGCGCCTGCCTACCCGTCAAGGAAGCGGTGTCCAGCCAGACATCGACAATCTCAGTCACTCAGGCGCACCACCGAGTCTCCTCTCTCGTGGTACCCGCACCTTGATCTCCCGCCCCTATGCCACTTCTTCCCACGCCACCGGCAGCCCAAAACCTGCCCGTGGCTCTAGTCCCCAAGGCTCACCTTTCCCAGATACCGGCTCCACCCGCTCGTCCTGTCTCCGCATCGTCTCCAGCAACCGCAAATGCAACACTATCACCCCCGGCGGCATGCTCGCCGTCGAAGAGAGTGCTGAAATTGACTTCGGTCTGACCGAAGACATCATGGCCGAGAACGCTGGCCGCGGCATCGCCGAAGTCGCCCTCTCCGCCATCAACCCCGGCGGCCGACGCCTCGCACGAGAGAACCCCAACGCCCGCCCCGTCGTCGTCGTCCTAGCTGGGAATCACCGCGGCGGTGCTCGTGCTGTAGCAGCGGCCCGCCACCTCTACGAACGCGGAATTCGTGTCATGGTTGCTCTCCTCGGTGCAGATCGCCCCGCGGACTGGGACAAGGATGTCCGGCGGCAAGTCGACCTCTTTCGCAAACTCGGCGGCTGGGTCCGCACGTGGGGCGAGGTTGAGACTGCGCTGAAGAAGCTAGAAGCACCGCCTGAACTTATCGTTGATGCGCTCCTAGGTCGGCATCGCGAATTTGACGCCCTTGGCGACGCGGATCGCGGTACCGTTCTCTCCATCGTAGGCTGGGCCAACAAATCCCGCGCCGCGGTGCTCGCAGTCGAAACACCCTCCGGTGTCGCAGGTAGCACGGGTGAAGTCGCGATACTAGAGGGCGAGCCGCTGGAGGTCAGGGCGAAGTACATCGTCTGCCTGGGCGCGCCACGCACTGGATTGCTGCGCGCTTTGCAGAATGGCGCAGGGCGGGAGCCAGAGTGGCTGATTTGGATTGTGGATATTGGCGTCAACAAACCCTGGCGAGCAGCTGGGGGCAAGGGGGCCAAGGGGGTACAGTTTGGCGGCGAGTGGGTTGTGCAGGTCGCGTTTGTGGAGGGGGAGGAGGTGGGGGTGTGATGCTTGAACTGCCTTCTCCTTTCTCTTTCTCCTTGCTGACTTGAGAGCAGGGGGCTAGGAGGAAAGGGAGGAGGGATAGTGGTTGGGGGCGAGAGCCGAGCATTGAGTGGGGAGGGTCTTTCAATTGATGCTTTTAGCGGGCTGGTGTTTGTGTGATTGCTTTGGGCTCTTGGGTTTGCCTTGAAAAAGAAAGGGGTTCGGCAAAAGGGCCTCCTTGGAATTGGAAATGGTGTTGACTGCTCTGAGTCTTGCTTTAGGAGAGCAAGGTCGATGCTGACTGCTGTGCGTGTATGGATAGTAGGAATGAATTTTCTCGCAAATGCTTGAAAGTCTTGGGCTGTGGCCGGTGTGTAATCGAATCGTGAGTCTAGGCTCCGCAGTACATCCACTTTCTAACATCTATCACGGATTTCTCGCACCACTTCGCCTGACGTACATAATTCACTATCTCACTCCCCTACTAAATAGCATCAACGAACCAAACTGAATCACATCATCATCGCTTCCTCCCTATAGACCGAACTCGCAAGCACCATGACGACTGTATTGGTAGAGTCTTGATCCCCCACCGCGACACCAACATTCGGCGAGTTCCGTGGGCGCTGTTGCACAAAGTCCGGGACCCTACACTCTCGCCATGGAGTATCCGACGGCGTAGTTTTTGATCTCCCACCACAACACCAAAATAGTACTCATCCATACAGTAGTTTTCATAAGCTGAGCCATCGAAGACCTCGGCCAGACGTATTGATGCTCCACCTTCCTCCTCCGTGGACGACCCCCACGAAGCCAGAGGAGAAGGTTTTATACCCTTGCAGAGTCAGGATTACATTAGGTGCACATGGTCTAGCTTAGACCTCATGTGACCTCCAGTTTCCGAGTCTTCGTGTCGAGTAAGGTAGGTGGCGCGAGTTCACGTGATACAGGTATAAAAATCTCCCGTTCAAGAGGGGCGGTTGAGTTCTTCATGGTCTTGCATGGAGACGGGGGCGTAGTGGAATAACCGTCAAGGCAACAATTCATGAAGTGGGATTAAAAAACGTACTCGATACGTCATTCGATGTGGTGGTGGGAGGCTGGGTAGAAATTAAAACCAGCCCACGTGTCTACTCCATGTCAATGGCGATGATGATGAGTACCTCGCTTTAAAATTATTTCCCGTCATCTCTTCGTAGTACTGGTTTCTCGAGTACATATCTAGTTCCTCCACTATCTCATTCCCTTGCTTCAGAGCATCATCAAATCACATTTCTCAGACTCGCCATTTGGTCCATCTTCGCCACGAATTTACACACACCATGATGCTTGGGAAGTGGGAACTTGATCCACCCACCGCCACACACCATTGCCACACACCATTGGTACCCTTTTGCACAAGCCAGCGAACCCGCACAGCCGGAGCCATGTCGTGTGGAAATCCAAGGGTTTTGATCCCCCCGCCACAACACCAACATCTTAGTGTTGGTAAACGCTTTGCACAAAGCGAAGCCATCGTCTCGCTCTTGTGATTTTGATGATCCCAGTCCTCTCGTTCCTCCTTCTTGCCCTCGACGAAACGCAGAGGAGGAGTTTTTATGCCCCTCGCGAGGTGCGTCACGTTAGTAGCACGTGGTTTTGGCTGGGTCTCGTGATGGTGGATCGAGCTGGCGGTTCTTCGCGCTGGGTCAAGTCAGGTGAGTGGTAGGAGTTCACGTGATAGGGGCTTGAGAGAGGTATAAGATCCTTCGCTCGAGAGGGGTATTGGGTTCTTTAGATCCTAGAGACGGGGGGTAGTAAAACAGAAAGGAGTTTCGATGAATGGAGTGAGATCAACATCCATCCACCTTGAAGGCAGCTCGTGTGGTGGTGGGAGGTTGGGTGGGGATCAAAACTATCTCGATATTGCGAACAATGGAGTCACTGAAGTCGTCTGGAGTCAAGTCGCGGACTGGAAACTGTCATAGAATTGGTGCTGGAGCTGGTAGGGCTTCCGGTGGACTTTAAAAAACACGCCCGAGAATTCGAATGGGTTGGGTCTGGAGTGGATGTCTTGTGTTTCCAAACCCAGTCCAATACTTATCGTCTTTAGGAGGTGTCGGATATCGGCAGCATCCTTCTTATCTGTCCCACTACTATCACGCTTCGCAGCACATCGTTAACGTCTTGGAAAGATTCAAGTGACTAGCATCTTCATACGCTGCCGTTTCTCACCTAGTCTCGAGCTTCATCACCGCCAACCGCGAACTCGAGCCCCCGCTTCCGCTTCTCTCCATTGCCATTTTTCAACGGTCTTTTTGCTCTACGCCCACAAAGACAACACCACTTTCAGGGCAGCGTCAAGCTCTTTTGCAGAACACACCCGGATCTTCCACATTGGATTTGGCGACGCATTATTTGAACTCAAGCGCCAACGCGCTGACTCCCATGGCAGGTGAGTCCGCTCCGTTTGAAGCTCAAGCCCCAATGCTCTCGACTTCCATCGACCGAGATGTTCCAGGATTTTGCACCGAATGGAAGAGCCGACTTCCCTGGAAGAGGAAGAGCGAAGTAGAGGAGAGAGGAACTTTTATACCCGTCCAAGAAAGGATAAGTAAGCTAGCACGTGACATGGGGGCAAGTCACGGGGAAGATTTGAGATAGCTTTGCGGTCTTCAGCGGTGAGACTGTCGGCATCAGAGCCGGAGAATGGAGGATTTGAGAAGATGATGTAGGATTCGAGCTACTGAGTGTGAAGCTCCAATGGCTCGTGGTTCAACAAAGCCCCTGTGGGAGAGCTTGGTGCCTACATAGAGCCCCTTCGCGCATTCTGTGATTAGCATGCAGGCGGCTTTCCAAGAAATACGAGACGGGAGCTCCGTGAGATCGACCTCATTAGTTCAAAATAGCCTTTCCTAGGGACCAGAAGCCATCGTAACTCCGTAACCGCTTGCGACGCTAACCACAGATGCGCAAAGGGGCTGTAGCTGAACAGCAAAGAGTACAGCGGGAAAGGAAAGGAAGGCATAGTTCCGACGGAACAATGCTGCGTATATCTCTTCAATGCGTTAGTTGGGAATATAAGAGCCCTGATCTCAAGGGACAAATCTATGTAGGTACCTATCCAATGCCCAGTGGTTCTGAGCTTAGTACTTCAAGGCTAGAGATGCACGGCGTGCTGTTGCCTCGTCTTGCAAAGAGCGATGAATTGATAAACAATGTACTTCCCTTCCATATGACCGAGCAATCGGTTCAGTATTTTAGAGACTGTGAATTTGAATCGAGTTCTGGTGAGTTTGGTGAATTTTCGGCGTCAAGGATGGAGCACTGAATTGAGCTTAGCGCGATGGCGGTCTTGGCGGTCGAAGTGGATCATCTCAATCGCGTCTCCCCCCCCGGACGCGCAGCGTTCAGCACTTCATCGTTTGATGCCGTCGCGCGACTCGCTTTTCCTTTACCTGCTCTGTTTCCTTGCGTTTTCCTTTCTCTACTGTATGCTCTCCGCATTCATCAAACTGACCGCTTGGCTGCGATCGCCCGGTACGAGGTCCGCCGCTCGACAACATTGGTCGCCGAATTCTCCACCAACACACCCCCCACTCCTTACGCGCCGGCACTCCACCACCACCATGTTCAAGCAAGCCGTCGCTGCTCATAAGCCTTCTCAACCGCCCCGGAAGATCACTAAATTAGACCAACACTTCTCTTCGAGCCCGCCGACGGTCCAAAATGCTATGAGCCCGCCACAATACATCTCCCGCAACGGAACGCGCCCTCTTCACACCAGCACAGGAAATATTACGAGGCCGAGTCAAGCGCCAGGTTTTGCACGGAACACGGCACCCACCATTGGTAGCAAGCGGAATTCGAGTGGACTGGCCAAGGCGCTGATTGCCCAAGATAACGACTTCGAGAACGCGACGCTGCCACTAAGCAATTCCTACCAGAACCCAGCGTATATTCGCGAGTCGCCGACCAAGGTGGCAATGGAGCATCTAGGCTTTGAATTCGATGAAAATGACATCGATAGCGACATTGACCTGGAAGAAGAGGACCCTGCCACGAAGGCCACGGTCACCTATCCCAAACTCCCGACAGTCCCTGATCCACCAAAGACGACTCATGGTGCAATGGGCAAATCTAATTCCTACAATTTGAAACCTTTCCCTGCTGCTGCAGCGGCGTCACACAATGGACGAGTTAGTCAGGACTCTGGATATGAGACACAGATGGCAGGACGAATGCCAGGAACATTTAGCAATCCACCACCCCAAGCTCCAGTCACTAAGGCAGTATCCCAACGCTCTCCCGTCACGGAAATCCCGTCGTCTCCACCGCAAATCGCAGATAGCAGCCAGCCGCTACCATGGTCATCATCTCCTGCGCAGCATTTTAAGACACCGCCAAAAGTTGCGCAAATTCGCAAATTCGGCTACATCGAACCAGGGAGGATACCGGCGCAGCCGGAAATGAAACGGGAGGAAAAGCCTCGGACGAAGCGTCGTACTCTGCCGTGGCTCGCGGAGCAGCAGCAACAGACTGAACAAGCTGAAGCTGAGGCCAAAGCAGCCCTCGCTGCCAAACTGAGAGGGCGACCGCATAAGGAAGCGCAGAATCCTGGGGAATTTACTCCTTTGCCCAAAGACGAGGCGAAGAACTATCCTTGGAACACTACGGCTAGTGCTGTAAAGGAGCAGCAAAAGCAGATGCGGGAAGTAAATAAGAAGAAGTCGAAGACAATGGAGGCAACTCAGAGTCAACAAGAAGAGCTCAAGAAGCGTCGGACTAGGATATCTAAGATTTTTTTGAGTGAAGAACAGCAACATGTTATGAGCTTGGTCATTGACCACAAGAAGAGCGTCTTCTTTACAGGTTCTGCCGGTAAGTGCCTCGCCAACTTTATCTTGAATTCTACTTACTGAACTCTACTTACATGAAACAGGTACCGGAAAGTCTGTTCTTCTCCGAGAGATCATCTCGGCTCTTCGTAAAAAGTATGCTCGGGAGATCGATCGAGTAGCCGTAACTGCATCCACAGGATTGGCTGCATGTAACATCGGAGGTGTGACACTACACAGCTTTGCTGGTATTGGCCTAGGCAAAGAACCGGCAGAGGAGCTTGTCAAGAGAATTAAGAAGAATCAAAAAGCCAAGCATCGATGGATGCGGACTAAGATTCTCGTTATTGATGAGGTTTCCATGGTGGACGGCGAGCTGTTCGACAAGCTCGAGCAGATTGCGAGAATACTGAAAAACAACGGCCGTCCATTCGGCGGTATTCAGCTTGTTATTACTGGAGATTTCTTCCAACTGCCCCCAGTTCCGGAATCCGGCAGGCTCGCACGATTTGCTTTCGATGCTGGGACCTGGAACACGTCTATCGAGCACACTATTGGCCTCCATCATGTCTTCCGTCAGAAGGATCCGGTATTCGCGAACATGCTCAACGAGATGCGTGAAGGGCGGCTTAGCCAAAACTCGATTAATGCTTTCCGCAGTCTCGATAGGAAAATGCAACATGACGACGATTTGGATGCAACCGAGCTGTTCCCTACTCGCGCGGAAGTCGACCGGGCCAATCAACTTCGTATGCAGAGTCTGCATGGCGTTACGCAGACATTTGAGGCTCGCGATGGCGGCACTATCACCGAGAAGTCCTTCCGCGACAAGCTACTTTCCAACTGCATGGCACCAGAGTTCATACATCTTAAGAAGGGCGCTCAGGTCATGTTAATCAAGAATCTCGACGACACTCTGGTAAATGGCTCGCTAGGCAAGGTCATCGGGTTTATGAGCGAGCAAACATTCGACAAGTACACCGAGGACGAGGAGGGAGTCCTAGCCGCTCAAGCCGCAGTAGACGGCGATATCAATCCAACTACGGCCCCATCCGACATAAAATCAAAGTCTAAGACTGACCTGTTAGGCAACAACACCTCTCAAGTCTATCCGGTCGTTCGTTTTGTTCTCGCCGACAATACCACACGCGATCTCCTCTGCCAACGGGAGAGCTGGAAGATCGAGCTACCCAACGGCGAGGTGCAGGCATCTCGCGCTCAAATCCCACTCATCCTGGCCTGGGCTTTGAGTATCCACAAGGCTCAGGGGCAAACTCTGGAGCGCGTGAAGGTCGATTTGGGGAGAGTGTTCGAGAAGGGCCAGGCGTATGTGGCGCTGAGTCGTGCAACAACGATGGCCGGGCTGCAGGTCCTGAGGTTCGATCCGAAGAAGGTGATTGCGCATGAGAGGGTGCGGACTTTCTACAGCAGTCTCACGCGTGCTGAGCAAGCTGGAGAGGGGCTCAAAGCGACGAAGAAGAAGGCAAAGACAAAGAAGCCTGGCATGAGTGCGAGCGAGTATGAGCGGCGTGTTACGGGTGATTTTGACGATGATGAGGAGGCGATTGCTGCTCTGGCAAACTACTGATGTTCAGGTTATATTTGGTAGGTAAGTCAATAGGGAGTTCGGGTCGTGTTTGCATGTCGGCGATGTAGTAAGACTCGTCGGCGGGAACGTGCTGCTTGCATGTTGCGATGCTCATGCATCTCGGGTGTTGAGGGGTAGTATACTTATTATGACTGTGCTCTTAGAATCAATAATGCCCACCCATCTACACTTCTCTCCACACATGAAGTTATCGTCTGAGAAGCTCGTTCTCATAGTCCTAATGTCTAAACTTACCTACAGATGCGCCACCGCCCCCAGCTCTCCCCTCTCCACCCTTCCCAAAAACGCTCCCACTCTTCCCACCAAATCCCCGACCACCTTCTCAGGATCTCCATCCAGGTTATGACTCGCTCCCTCTACCACCCCTCCAGCCTCCTTATCCACAACCCCTCCGCCGTCCCTCACCACCCTCGCCCACCTCTCCAACAAAGCCCCTTTATCCACCTCCGGCGGCATATGCTCATCACTCCCGCCCAACAGAAACAACAGCGGCGTCTTACTCTCCCCTATCTTCCCAAACGTCTCCTCAAGCTGCGCATCCTCAAGATCACTACTAAAATAATCATCCGCGCCCCTCTTATCCGGCGACGTCAGGCTCAGCCACCGGTCCGCACTAACCGCGCTCCCAAAGACCCTGGTCGTCACAGAAAGCGGCAGGACATCTGCCCCTTTCCCCTGCTCCACCCACTCCTGCGCCACCTTCACGCTCTCCGCATAAACGTCGGGCGGGAGCGCAGACACGAGCGCCTCTCTGTCCGATATCCCAGCCTGCAAGATCGCCCCGTCGAGCTTCGGCCGGCTCTTGGAACCGGAAGCGCTCAGGTAGGCCATGATGTCCTGGCACCCCGTCGAGTGGCCCATGAGCACGATCTTGGACCCCGGGGCGGGGCGTAAAGCGCGGAAGTAGGCGACGCAGGAGGCGAGCTCGCGGGCGTCGCGGGCGAGGGAGGAGGTGGCCCAGCCGCGGTAGGAGGAGGAGATGAGGACTTCGGCCAGCGACCAGGAGGGGGGCAGGGAGTGGGAGAGGGTGGTGGGGTACGGGACTGTGAGGAGGCCGTCGCCGAGGCCGCCGATCCAGAGGAGGGTGTGGGTTGGTGGGGTAGTGGGGGTGTGCTCTAAGGCGACGAGGCGGGGGGTGTAGCGGTGGAGGGTGCCGGGGTGGGCCATTGTGGTGCAATATTAGGGGGTATGAAAGATAGGAGTTGGCATGCGATAGAGAGAAGGGTTGATGAGGTGAAATGGATGGTTTTCCACTCGGGAGACGAAGGGTCGAGTCTGCGCCGACGGCGTATAGTGGGTGGTCAATGGATAGAAAAGGGGCTTCTAGGAAACCCAATTGAGATTCAGATGGATGTTCGATGTTGGACTTGATGTAGGCGTGAGTTGATGTTGTTTCCAGCCAATGACGCCACAGCCCGCAGTGGCAAGGGTCTCCCGCATTGAGTTAAGCGTGCTTCTCGTTCGAACATCCATGTCTCCTCAACTATCCATCTCATCTCACATCGAAGCCTGTACGATTTGGGGGACCTTCGAAACCTCTCTCAAAACTATATCGAAAAGGGGAAAGAAAGATGCTATTATCAAGAGTTTGAATTCACGACAGGCAGTCCTTTTCTGCAAAGGTTGCGAGCCAGGACGAGTACGTTCCTATAGAATAGCTATGAACCACTCAAACTCATCACCAGCTAGCAGTTAATACCACCATCCGACAAGGTGCCCGGGGTTACTCCTATCAGTCAGCTGTGAAATTTGACTACGGTATATTTTAGGTATATACCTCTTCCTCATTTCTAGGTGATGTCTGGGTTGGCGTGGAAACAGCACTGACGACTCGTTGACGCTGCGACGCGGGTTGCTGCCGTTGCTGCCGCCGTTGCTGCCACAACCTCCGAAAGTCTTCTTGGGATATTTCTTGAAATGGAACTTGCCGCCGCCGTCTATGAAATTCTTCTTCTTCTAGGGGTAATGCTTGTATTAGCTGGGCCATGCGTATGGTCTGTCCTCGTTGCTGCCTTTCTCGCCACCATCTGCGAAACTCTTCTTGGGACATGTCTCGAAATCCAATTTGCCGCCACCGTCTCTGAAATTCTTCTTCCTCTATAGGCGCTGTGGATACTAGCTGTAGCAGGCATCCGAGCTGTTCTTGTTGTCCCCTGGAGAGTTCCTCAATCCAGACAGCACGAACGTTGGCGGGTTGACGCTGCGGTATAGCTTGACGCTGTGGTATGGGTTGATGCTGCGGCACGGGTTGAAGCTGAGGCATGGGTTGATGCTGAGGTACGGGGTGTCGCTGTCGCTGCCACCATGAAACTTGCTGCCAGGGCTGTTCTTGTTGTTGCATTTGGAGTTCCCGGCCAGCATGAACAACAGTATTGTCCGCTTGTTGAAGCTGCGATATAGTTTGCTGCCGTTGCTGGACCAGGCGTCTGATCTGCTCTTGCTGTCGTTGCCACCATCTGCGAAAATCATCTTGGGACATTTCTCGAAGTCCAATTTGCCGCCGCCGTCTCTGAAACTCTTCTTCTTCTAGAGGCATTGCGTCTACCAGCTGAAACAGGGCCCGCTGCCGTTCTTGTTGTTCCCTTGAGGGTTCCCTGCTGTCGGTCCGGACCAAGCGTGCTTGTTGATGCTGCGGCCACATGGCTTGCCGCCGTTGCTGCCACAATCTCTGAAAGTCTTCTTGGGACATTTCTGTGAAACCCAGTTGCCGCTGCCGTATCTGAAATACGCCTTCATCTAGGGGCATTGCTCGTAACAGCTGGGCCACGCCATGCCACCGTTGCTGCCACCGTCTTTGATAGTCGTGTTGGGACATTTCTGGGAGATGCAGTTGCCGCCGCCGTATCTGAAATTCTTCTTCTTGTAGGAGCACTGCTTCTGAAAGCTGGGCCTGGTCTCGTTGATGCTGTGACACGGCCTGCCGCCAATCTCTCTGAAAGTTTTCTTGGGATAATTCTCGGAATTGCAGTTGCCGCCACCGTCTCTGGAATTCTTCTTCTTCTAGGGGGATTGCATGTAAAAGCTGGACTAGGCGTTGTTGAAGGTGCAACATGGCCTGCTGCCAATGATGGCACCATCTCTGAAAGATTCCTTGAGACATCGCTGGAACCCAAATTTGCTGCCGTCGTCTCTCAAACTCTACCTGTCCTCTGGGTATTGCTTGTAAGAGCCGACGGGTCAGGACGGCCTGCCACAGGGTCTGCTCTTGTTCCCTTACGAGTGCCTGCTGCAGTTGCTCCAGTTCCCTTTGTTGGCTTAAGAGTGCCTGCCTAGCCGCGTCTTCCATCCTCAGCACAAACCCCAAGTCATCGTCCCTTGACTCCATAGAACGCATAAGGTATGCGTCTCCCTCGACTATGCCCTGTGCCCAATACATTTCTTCAGATTGCCGGGGCCCCTGTATCAGCCACAGTTGAATGTAGAGCGTGCCAAACTCCTCAGTATTCAGTTTGCATCGTACATCATGCCCAAGCTCCCGCATATAATAAGCCAGCCGAAGGGCATCTTTCGGAGCAGGGAAGATTTCGTTTTGATCAGGCCCCCAGGGGCCGAGAATCCTCATCGTGTATTGACGGGCCGCAGACGCCGTCATCGGAAAGTCGCCATTCTCGCCTCCATGTGCGATGACGGCGAGCTTGGCGTCGATGTATCCGCGGGAGGACTCCTCGGTGTCATCCGCGTCACGGTAAGGCGTTTTTGGCAGGCGAGGATTTGAAGGGCCTCGACCTTGGGGTTCGGCGATCTGCTCTTCGTATGTGCCTTGCCAACGCGTGAAGTTATGTAAAGGGTTGAGCGCTAGGTTCCTGCCGATCATGGCCGCATGGGCCCTGTATTGGGGTGTGATACGAGGCCGCGGCATTCTCTGTGCAAAATATTCAGTGAATGGGTTCAATCCACCGTGGACAGGGGCCTCTCACTGCTTGGAAGAAGCTAGATATGTTGCCGAGGATTTAAAAAGAGTGCGGAGGCGGTAATTTTTCAAAGATAATGATAGATGATGCGTTGTAAGCATTGTAAGCGATAGTGCTGTGATTGAGAATGATAATGTTGATGAGAAGAAAGAGAAGCCAGGAAAGGGGAGAGGTGAAACGCGCCTGCCATAAATATCCGTACACTCGTTTGCCGCTGCGTGAGGACCCTCAGAGTATTTTCAGCATTCCAAATGAGAGAGAACCTCAGTATTTTGGACAAATGGTAAACTCGCGAGGCCACCTCAGGAAGCGTCAACAGGGCGTACATAGATTAGAAATTTATCCGCTACCCCCGGTTTCTAAAAGTACGTTGGAACCCCATAGACAGTGGCAGGAAAGCGTATGGATATCTTTGGTAGGCCACTGTACAGTGCCTCATCGTAGATATCCGTTAAATCGTTTACCGCTCCGTGAGGAGCCTCATAGTATTTTCAGCATTCCAGATTAAGTAGTAGTTCAGCATTTTGGACAACTAGCAAACCCCCGAGGCTACCTCAGACAGCGTCAACAGGGTGTACGCAGATTGGAAGTTGTATCTATTGTCTCTGGTTTCTATTAGTACGTTGGAGGCCCCCGAACAGTGGCAGGAATCTGTACGGATATCTATAGCAAGGCACTGTATTTGATACTCCAGCTCAACTATGCATGTTCCTTGTCGCATTCCTTTCCACGTCCGAATAAATATACAGTGGCTGGCTATAAGTCTGCACACTTGTTTACCACTGCTAGGGGTGCCCCCATGAGCTTTCCGTACTCTAGGCGTGATGTCAGTTTTCTCGCAGCGTAATCTGAGCTGCCTTTTGATTGAAGAGGAGTTGCGGCCTAAATCAGCTTGAGCTAGATTCAGGCGTACGCATTGAGTGGTTTGCCGGCATAGGCAACCATTTGCTTGCAGAGGGTATGAGATGCCCTCGAGGTTCATTCATCTCTGGATGATGCATCATTCGGCGGTCGGGATGCCAATCGTTCTATCAGTAGGTCATATGACCAAGTTCAGATGGCCATCCCGAGCCATCTCATGATGAACATACCAGGCGAAAATGATGAACGAGAAGCTTACTGTAGAGGAGATGATTGTACATTGATTGATTGATTGCCGTAACGTCGTTATACTCCTCCTGTTCCAATTTACATCTACTTGCTACATCCCTCATGCTTTGATTTCTTGACATAACATAACCACAATTCCTCCAGCGCACATCCATTCAATTTTCTCGGTCGGTTCTCTTCTGCTGCGCGTCCTTCAGTCGTGTCTTATCCAGCCATATTCATATCCACATCCGGCGACAGCTCCTGCTTCGCCGGCACCTCCGCCAAATTTTCTACGTCCGGAACCCCATTCAAAGGCTCACTCGTCCTATCCAGTCTCAGCCTATAGCGCATCAAAGTTAGCCGCCATCTTACACGCAATCCATCACTATACTCACGGCTCAACATCCCCATCCACCTCGCCACCCTTTCCAAACAACCCCCTAATCCTCTCACACCCCGCCAATGTCTCCCTCTGCTTCCGCTCCACCTCATCCACAAACCCCAACACCACCGCCATCTGCCCCGGCGACACCGTGCCGCCCGCGTTAAGCAGCACATCGCCCAGCGCCGATATCATCTGCGCATTACTCGCTCTCACTCTCTGCCCCTCCGGCGTCTGCATCTGCATGTACATGGGCGAGTTGCCGTGGTGCAGCATCTCTTGCATATTCGGGCTGCGGACGCTGCGGGAGGACATGGCGCGCGGACTGCTCATCATCCTAGAGGGAGGTGCGGATGTGGGACCGCCGTCGCGTCTTCTGCTGCGGCTGGAGCTGCGGTAAGGGTGGTCGCGGTAGCGGGGGGCGGGTTTGGAGATGGGGATGCCGTGTGGATGGACTTGAGCCGAGTTGTAGACTGGGCCGGGGTTGTTCGAGAGCGGAATCCCGCCGGTTAGAGTACGTGTTGTGCTGCGGGAGGCTTGATGGGGAGCGCGGAAGAAGGTCACTTCTGGAGGCTGGGAATGGGCGCGCTGGTGGAGGATATGTTGTGGCGGGAACATTCCGGGTTGATGGATGCCGGGGTTGTAAATTATATGGTCGTTGCTGAATGGATAGCCGGCGTTGCTATTGCTGGTGGCATGGTGGAAGTAGTTGTTAGAGCGAGTCGAGTGCTGGGGCTGGGGAGTACAGGGTTCGGAATTATAGGCCGGTTGTTGAAGGACGTCGGAAAAGTCTTGAGAGTGATGAATGGCATGAGCAGATACGTCGTGAGAATGGTTGGGACCCGAAGTCGTCGGGACCGTTGTTGACGGAGGGCCACTAGTATCAAACGGTAATGGCTCTGGAGATGGAAGGCTGAGGCTTTCTAGAGAGTCGTGCTCGTATGAAGTAAACGTTGGGTGCTGAAGTACGCTGTCCAATGACTCGTCTTGCTGCATTGGTGGAAGGAAAAGACCCTGGGTCTGATCATCGAACGATTGATGACACATTCTGATCCTACGGTAGCGCCTCCCGTGTCAAATTCTGGTAGAGAAGAGTCAGGAGCAGATTTATGTTACACGAACAGGGGCCACAGATGTACAAGAGAGGCCCTGTTTGTTCCGTGTACCCGAGACACGCAACTCAGCCCGGCGGCCTTACATGAAGGGGGCGTTGGGAAGCATGGTCGAGAAGCGGTTGTCTGCATGGTGGATGTCCGCGGTGCCTCTCGACCAAAGAGCAAAGCTAGCAAGAACATGAACGAAGCAGATTTGTCGATATCGCGCTAGAACTGTCTCCATAGCATTGAGCCGATGGGCTGGCTTGAGAGTATGAAAGATGGAGAGACACTGAGTCTTCAAACAGGACGAGATATTGGAAGAGTTTTGAAACTAGATTTAGCGTACCTGCATCCCCCGCTCAAAACTAGGACACGAGCAAGCCACCTTCGCGTACCAGTGGTATAGATGAATCTAGTTTCCAATGCTGTCGAAACCCGTCTTTCAAAGGGGATTGCGTATAGACGAATCCCATGTGTGTGTGTGGATTCGCAAGATAGAAACGAAGAATGATGACGTGTCCGAACGTGAGGAAGAGAAATGAAGAAAGAACGAACCTGAAAGAAAAGCGGCAGAACCTAACGTGTTAGACGAACCCACGTTGCACCCTCAAAACACAGCGAGTCAAAAGCAAGCGTCTTTTCGATCAAACAAAAAAGAAAAACTTCAGCATGCTTCTAGTTGCATTTCTTGAAATCCAGCGAATCTGGAGCCGTTCAATTTCCGGTCTCATATTTACCATTGATCTGGTAGCAGGGAAGATAGATGCTTGGCATCCAACTAGATGGTAGTCCACCCTGAATGGTATCCCCGCTTGATTTTGATCCCGATTGAACGGTTCCTCGTCGTCGACTCTAGAGTGGCGATCCGTCTAACCGACCATGCTACGCCAGAAAGTCCCGTCGACGCCGCAATGCCCTGACTAAACTCTTTTATACAGTCATTTACGCACCCAGTGTGCCTGCAATTATCCCACGCCCATCCGATGTCCTATACATATCATACACCCTCCCCATTATCCCACCTACTCCCCGCCCTTCTTCCCGCTCTCTTTCTCCGCCCCATCCTTCTTCCCCTCATCCTCCCCCTCCCCTTCTCTATTCTTCCCCCAATTCCACACCTCCCAAACCTGCCCCAAAATCAAATCCCCATACCCCCTCCCCTCATCCAACGCCTCCCGCTCCTCCCTCAACCTCTTCTCCTTCCACCCCTCCTCTTCCTTCCCCATCCACACCCTCTCCAACACCCCCTTCCCCTTTCCCTCCCCTCTATCCATTTCCCCCAACCCCCTCACCCCCTCCCTCCTCACCTCCTCCTGCGCCCTCAACCGCGCCTTCACCTCCCGCGCCCGCTCCGTCGGCAGCTCCCCCGGCGCGCCTACCTTACTCGCCACATTCTTCCAGATTCCTTGGCCCGTCCGCTGGTGCGTGATGTGCGAGGCGGAGGTCAGCCACACGGCGCCGAGGCCGAAGGTGTAGATGTCGAGTTTGCGGGGAGGGAGGGCGGCGATGGCAGGGCAGGCGAAAAGGAGGGTCCAGGAGAGGGTATGCGTTAAGGCGGCGAATTGGGCGGCGCGTTGGGCCTCGAATTGGTCGGGGGAGAGGGGGGAGGAGGAGGGGGGTTGGGAGGGGGTTTGGGGGGTGGAGGTGGACATTCTGGTTCGGAGGCGGAGAGCGCGTGGTTCAGAGGCGGCGCGATGCGCGGAGTTGGAGTACGGTCGTGTGGATTGAGTTGATATGGGAGTGGTGTTTGTGTAGGAGGGGGTGGGTGGGGTTGCAATTGATGGGCTGGTGATGCGCACGTTGAAGCTTGGTGCTCTCTCTAACCTCACTCAGGACTCAAAAAATATATGACGCGCCCCTGGCCTCGCTTCAACCTTCCCATCCGCTTCGACCTTCCCCGTCATGCCCGCACCCAAGCAAAAATTCACCACCCAGCATGTGCTTCCATCCCATCTTTCCCCCTTGCCTACAAAAAATACAAAAGAAAACGCGTGTTCTGCGACACAGACAGGATTCGAACCTGTGCGACCGAAGTCATATGATAGCTGAAGAATGAATCGTTCGAGTCATACCCATTAACCACTCTGGCACTGTGTCTACTGCAGAATAATCGATGCTCGGATATTATTCTGTATATCATGCCTAGTCAGCGAAGGAGAGATGGGAGATATTTGCGAGCGAGCTTTGGAGAAGTGTGGATTTGGGAGGGGGCATGGGTGAATAATTGATTGGCGGGAACGCAGCTCGCCTCACCGCAACTTCAAGGTCACGGGACGCGGAGTAAACACCAAGTTTTCACGAAGCGTGATAATCCAACATTCCAAGGTTCTCGCTGTGGTCGAGCTGATCAAACCACACTTTTATCACGCTTTCGCAGACCAATCAGGTAATTTAACTTTGAATATTGATTTCATTTCGATCATCTGTTCGCAGCATAGCATACTGTACACTCATCAAGACTCTAGATCAGATCCATCCAATCTAGCCTTTCCTATCGTACCACCGAAAGTTTCAAGCTCAGGATATCAAACCCGCAAACCCACCGCCAGCGCCACACTAACGAGAGCAGCTAGACGCCACGACCCCTGCCATTATCCATTATTTTTCTCAACCTCGACTCTTCCTCTCCGCCGGGGTATATTCCACAATTCTCTTTTTTCATACCATCTCCGACTTCACATGCTCATCACTCGTCCTCCCCAACGCCGCCAACTTCTCGCTCACGATCGCATTCTTCGGCGCCCGCTGCCCGACATGGGTCTTCCACGCCAACGTGCCAATATTCTTCGGCCCATTAATATCCGTAAACATATCCTCCACCTCCTCTAGCTGCTTGCCAGCCGTCTCGGGGAACATGAAGAACACGTGGATAAACATCGCGACACAGAAGACACCAAAGAGAATGTACGTCTTCCACTTGATGTTCTCAAAGCTCGGGGGTACGAAGTAGCCGAGCGCGAAGTTGAAGGCCCAGTTGGCCGACGTGGAGAGCGCCACGGCCTTGCCACGCACGCGGAGCGGGAACAGCTCGGGCGGGTAGATCCACGAGACGGGGCCCCAGGTGGGCGCGAACGAGGCGACGAAGAGGTAGGAGCAGGCGATGACGGCTTTGGCGGCGTGGCCGCTGACTTGCCAAGAAGCGGCGGCGATGCCGTCGACGCCGCCGGGGGGGGCAGGATGGCCGTAGGTTGCGAGGATGCCGGCGTTGGCGAAGAGCCAGGTGCCCATGAGAGTTGCGCCGACTAGGAGAGTCGGGCGGCGGCCCCATTTGTCGACCCAGAGGAGCGCGGGGACGGTCATGCAGACGTTGATGACGTACTGGATGGACGAAGAGACGAGGAGGTTGTTGCCGCTCAGGCCGGCCATGGCGAAGACGTAGGTGATATAGTACATCATCACGTTCATTCCGGTGAGTTGCGACCAAATCTGGGTGAAGATACCGATGTGGGTACGGTTGATCATGTGGGGTTTGAGGAGCTCGAGGTAGGTGACGTCGGCGTTTTGACGCTCGAATTCGCAGTAGGCTTGGATCTCGACGAATTCGTCGTTGACGAGCTTGCTGTTTGGGTCGCCTTTGCCGAGCACGAGGATGAGGACGTCTTTGCACTCTTCCCAGCGGTCCTTGCGGGCTAGCCAACGGGGCGACTCGGGAAGCAGCATCATGCCAAAGAAGAGGATGATGGCTGGAATGGCTTGAAGACCCCAGGGGATACGGAAGGCGGCAGTGCCGTTGATGAAGGAGCAGCCCTGAAGTATTGTAAGTAGTGCACTTGAAAGGTGTAAGGGGTAGGATTTAAGATGCTTACGTAGCTGATGTAGAACATGATCATGATTCCCCAAGTGATGGCCCATTGCTGAGCACCAACGAGACGACCACGAAGTTTAGGCTCGGCCAATTCGGAAATGTAAACAGGAACCTGAGCGGAGCAGATGCCCACGCAGAGACCGTTGATGATTCTACCGACGATCAACATGGCGACGTCTTGCGATGCGCAGACGATAATACAGCCAATGCACCTGCGCGTGTCAGTATGATTTGAGACGAATCAAGATGGCAGGGCTATAGTCGTACCAGAGGACAGAGCCGATCATGATAGCCTTCTTTCGGCCCAGTCTATCAGTGATGAAGCCCGACGCGAGTGCACCCAGCCAACTTCCACCAGCCATTGAGGCCGTGATGCCACCCTGGACATCAGAGTTGGGGCCTGGGCATGTTCCGTCAGCCAGACGGCTACTGCTGAAGTAGCAACGGTATGGTTTGCCAGAGATACTATCCAGCCATCAGTGGATTGAACAAATTGCTAAGCGAAGATGGTGGTGAACATACATGGCGCTCATAGACGAGATATCAAAACCAAACAGACCACCGCCAATGATGGCGATGGCTGCTATCAAGTAGATATTACCAACAGGCATGTTGTTTTTCTGTTGTGCTCTATGTCTTGCTGGATGAAGTGGTGGAGAAGAAGAGCACAAAGGCAGCGCGGCTGGTGGTCCTTTATAAACCATGGTTCAGCGGCAGGCTGTTCGCGGCCAGAACTCCGGGGTTGAACCACACGATGCAACGCGAGACACAAGGCGTCCAGAGGAGGATGTTGCTCCCACACGAGAGGCCGGGCTGAACAAGGCATCTTAGTTTCCCCAAACTGCCACCTCCGGGGACAGCTCTTCGAGGCATGCACACAGACGATGGCTGCGGGCACCACCAATAGCGGCCGCCGCGAACGCCAACCTTCCCTGCTAGCAGGCGAACGGTCGGAACCTGGCCGCATCCTGGTCGTGCTGGCGCATCAGAGACGCGAGATGCAGAGGTTGAGCTGAAGGGCCCGAGGTCGCCCTGCGTCAGTGGCGGCGCCATGGCCTGGGGAATCTGGGGTGGCACGACTTTGCTGGCCGCCACGAGAGACAGAAAATCCTCGCACTCCCTGTTTGCGCCATGTTCGCGCTATGTCTGCGGCACAGAAATTCGGCAGCCTGGGCCACTACTGCCTCCTCACCCTTCCCATCGCCTTTCCCCGCCCTTTGATGCGCGCTGGAGGGACTGATGGACGTCCTCAAGGATTCCGGCTGACGGGAGCGACACGCTAGACACGGCTGCTACAATAAGCTTTCAGCCAGGATGCAGCCCTGTCGCCGCAGCGTTACATCGACGACCTCAGGGTTCAAAGCCGCTTATGAACAGCCATTGACCACCACCATCACCGGATCAACAAGCTGCCTCGAACACGCTTTCTTTGCCTCGCTGCTGCCAATGGCATCTCGTTACCCCTCCTCCGCCTCTGCAACCGCCTCAGGTGAGCCGTCACAGTGGTCGCAATGAACCTTCGCTGGTGGTTCGATGCAGCTGCTGCAACCGGCGACGACAACAATAACCCAGACGCCATGCCCAGCATGCAATGCGAGTGCGATGCGGCATATGGCTCGTCCTTTGTCCAGTCAGGAGGAGTGTTGCTGGCACTCGGTTCGGACGCCCTGTAAAGAACGGGCACGTTTTCAACATGCATCGCTCGCTCCTGTGCTGCCTGCATTCTGAATCTCATAGGTGAAAAGCTTGCTCCCTGGATTCAGAGCTTCACGTGGCGTGGCATTTCTTCGAAAGGCGGGCCTGCCAAAGAATATTTCCATTTTGAAATAATCGACTGATTATGAATGAAACCTGCAAGCGTTAACCAGGAAAAGCTTCGCGAATAGCTGCCCACCAGCCAAAGAAAAACCCTGGTCCGTGGCTGCTAGGTGTGCTAATTACAGCATAGCGAACAGCTGATTGGAAGAAGCATGTACCTGCAGTCCAAGCATTTGCGGAACACTCTCGTACGTCGCAGAATGCCGCACTCGACTCGGCCGGATGGCATACTGGTTTCGGAGAGCTACCCTCAACCACCGTCGAGTCGTCCCTAAGGCCTGACGAACACCTGATCTGAAGAAAGTGTAGTGGCTCGTTAGGTATTGTCCCTGCCTACGTGCACCAACTGCGTATGTGGTTTCCTCCTGATCAGCTGTTCGTCAATCCTCCTCGTCTTTCAAGCGGCGGTCTAAAGTAGTAGCATTCCAAATCTAGAATCCAGCATCCGGGCTTCACCAATCCCGGATGCCAGGAACCTGGCTCGGCTCATACGCAGCGGGACACAAACGACGCGGCAAGGTCTCACTAAGAAGTGCTATTCCGCACCGCTCGGGCTTAGATGAGAGTGCAAGTCGTCTTCTGTGCTGTCGAAGCGAGCGATTCTGATAGATTTTCTCTTTCAGAATCGCCAAGAGTCTTTTGGCTGTGATTGCGAACGGCCTCTCCATAGCCATGTTCAATAGCTGTAATAAGCTCTTCTTAACCCCAAGAAAGCCGCCATTTCATTGTCCTCGTTTTCACCAATCGCCTGGGTGGAACAGTAGCCGATGTTCCTCGCTTGCTTTGTTTGCGCAGAATGTGATCAGGTACCAGTAGGGCGTCAGACCTTCTTTTCGTTTGGCAGTGCGATCGGCTCCTGCGTCGACCAGAGCCTTTGCGATAGCAACTTGCAGATCCTTACCCTCCCGTTTCTGCGCTAGGATATGGAGAGCGGTACTCTGACCAGCGCTTGCTTTGTTCACCGACGCTCCTCGTGAAAGCAGGAGTTGAACGACTGCGAATTGCGAAGTATCGACAGCATAGAGCAGTCCTGTTATTTTACTTCTTGGAAGGGTCGAATCCACGTTAATGCCGTCGCGAAGATGTTTTTGTACTAAGAGAAATTGACCAAGCCATGCAGCACGATGCAGCGGGAACGCTTCTAAAGTGCTTAGCCGCCCCACCGCCGCGGAAGTTGATCTGAAGTCGTCAAGTTCTTGTTGAGCGCGAGGATAGATGAGCCTCATTTCCATTTCAAATTTTCGTTCCTCTGCCTCTTGTCTAGAGAGGCGGGCAGCATATCTTGAAGCCTCTGTAAACAGAAATTCATAAGAGGCATTCCTAGGGAGAAAATGTCGATAAAGGCCCGCTTCGCTTGGATTGCCCATGAGTTCTAAAATGTTGGCTAGGAGGCTGATAGTTTCCAAGAACGGTCACTCCTGAGACTTGAAAAGTTTCTTTTTGCATGTTAGAGCTGCCTGTGCGTGGGAAAGAGCATGAGGAAGGTCTCCTGCTGCAACATATATCTCTGCAGAAGAGTGGAGTAGGGACGCTTGCATTGCAGGAGGATTTTCCTTGGTGCCTTCGTCCAAAAGCGCAGTAATAATTTCCTGGGCCTTCATCGCTTTGCCTTGGCCTAAGTTCGAAATAGCGAGCTAGACTTTCAGTTCTATTACATCGACGTTGTGTGAGAATTAAGAGTCCATGGCGTGTTTTCCGGTGATGCATTTCGTCAATAGGGATTCGGCCTCAGAATACCTCTTGTCTCGTAGGGCTTCCTCCGCTTTCCGATAACGAATTTGATACAAAAGCTTCTCGAAATCATCTTCCTGTTCAAGGGGCTGTGCCGCATCTGTCCTTAAAGTTAGTGTTTTGAAACAGTGGCTAAATCGTTCAGGCTCAACGGTGAATACCTTCTTCCGTCACTGTCCCAGGAATCCAACAGTGAATAGACCTCCTTCGAGTCTCATCTAGTCCGACAACCGATCCAAAAGCTTGTGTTAGAGCATCGATACCCTCGCTCTGGCTGTATATACTGCTGTGTTGAGAAAATAAGCTACCATGATAGGTGCTGGAATTACTTTCGGAATAGTTGTCTAGAACAGTGCTAGCGTCACTTCCGACGTAATCGCTTGCAACCGAGAGAATCTCTTTGGCACATCGCAGATGCTGTTTGAGGTGTTCTGTCCTCGTATCGCAGTCCTCCGATCCATTAATTTTCACTGGTGAATTGAGAAATTTGTCCGCCGAGACTCTGCGATCGTACTGCCGTCTTAGGGGCTCTAAATTTGCCACGCCATCTCTCGTTATCATGACATTCGTTGACGACGTCGCATCTCGGAGCATTGTCGCGTGTCGGATTCCAAATTGATCATCGCAGGAGCTCTCGATTTGCACTGGTGGCACACCCTGCGCAGGCATTGCCGGAGGCTGTGCTCTAGCCAATATTGACTGAACATCAGAGATTCGGCCTTGTAGAGCAGTGATTTCTGCGTGCAGCGACGCACGAACCACCTCGATTGATGCACCAGAATCTAACAACGCGCCTCTAAAAGCCTTGTCAGCATCGCGAAGTTCGAAAAGAACGCCACCTCTGCCTCGCAAACGTCGTCAAGATGCGGCATGTTTACGGGCATACAACGCTATGTCCAGACTATTCGTCGGTGGCCAAGGAAAGGCTCCTCTATAAGCTTTCGATAGGATTGTGGGAACGAGCCGATGCTCGGGCCCCGCCATCTCGACTCTTGACAGCCCACAGGAGTCTATCGATGGAGTAAAACATTAACGAAGAACTACCCACATGTTAATCATTTGCAAGGTCATCAAAATTGCCGATATACAACTTCCCACCTCGCCCCTAATCCTTTTGATCTCGTCTAAGCGCGAAGGCCGTGACTTTTCGAAAGATGTCCATTCCAAATCGGTCCCCACTACTAAATTCGGGGAGCGCTGTTTTAAGCTGTGTAAGGGTTTCTTTGCAATCTTCCAAAATTTTCTCGACGTTGTCAAATAGTGTCCTATATGGGGGTTTCCTTCGCCCAGTCTTCTAATAAAGCTGCCCAATATTGGGACGCGTAAAGGCAGTCCCTAAAGACGCGAGGACATTGGAAATATTAGAGAGCTCAGACTCGAAAGCCGCTATTGTGGTATCGCTTCTGGTGGTGGACTCAATCAAACTATGGATGGCGAGAGAAGCGCGAACGGCGGCGGTGGCAAGCCCAGCAGCTGTTCCAGCTATACCGACAGGATCCATTTGGTCGTGTGTCTTATAAATAGACGCAACGATGAGTAAATGGATTAGCCTGGGCGTTTTCGTGAGTCCGGGTAGGTATGTCGAACGACGGGAACGACGAGGCTGAAGATGCGTTCCTTGGCCTAGCCTTCTGGATATGGGAGGACGATTTGGAAACGCAAAGAGATGGCAGATGTGAAATGAGAAACAAGTCTGGACTAAGGAGCAGAGTGGGAGCGAGAAGCGAATTGTTGTAGTAGATGTAGGGAGAAGTCTGGAGGTTCGTGGTGGGACATCCGAGAAGACAGGCGCATATGCATCTGATCAAGCCTCTCACATGACTTTTGTGCATCAACGCCAAAAGCAACACAGCCTCGTCGATCTCAGAAATGAAGCTTTTGACATATGCAATTAATGAGACGTTTGTTTCGAAGGTTTATTCGGTCTGTAGCCAGACATTTAATGGAACTGAACAATGTCAAGGCCATATCAATAACAGCAGCAATCTATGCTGTGTCCTTATGCTCCCTCTAAACCCTCATCGTAGTTTTGTTCCTCGTAACGCCGTATGCTAGATGCACTAAAGTTCCAATTCTCCCTTGAAGCCAGCTACATGCATGAAGTTCGCCCGTAGTGGAGTAACGCTATGCTCGTCAGTATTATAGTTATCCCACACGGCGAGTCCTCACGTACCTGGTATATTTTTCCTTGACGGCCCAGCCATCATTGCCAGGCTCGGCATCCTCGACACTCTGATAGACGTCTTTGAGCCGTGGCGCCCACTTGAAGTGCTTATGCGTGTACCGCACATGGTTGGCACCAGTCGGGGTATTGTATCCACTGCTCGCGCCCTCAACGCCCTGTTCTTTCCTCCCTGCCCGCTCCTCTGCTTCTCGCATCTGCATCTCGACCTCCTCGGCGCCCTCGTCCTCCTCTTCCGGTACTTCTATCTCCTGGAAGCATGACCCCGACGTCCACCGATTCTGCAGCATTTCTGTCCATAGCGTCTTGCGCTCGCCAACTTTCTCAACTAGTGGCACGTTGACAGAATACAGGTGAGCGTTTGGATCCCAGTTCTTGGCTAGATAGTCGATCACCTTGACAGAGTGTGCAGAGGCAGCAGCAATGATAGCGGGGTCGTCGTTCCGGTTGAAGAAGGCGAAGGAGAGGGCAATGGAGCGCACACCACAAACAGCTGCTTCCATAGCACCACCTATCGTCCCACTCGACAGGCTGAATACCGCAGTGGTGTTCCTGCCATAGTTCGGCCCGCTTACGACGAGGTCGATTGGGCCCCGCGACTTGAAGTAGTGGTGCAATCCAATCTGCACGCACGAAGCGGGCGTGCTGTCAACGAGTATCCATTCCTCCTCATTTGAATCTTCGGGCAAGGGACGCGCAGAGGTGGTGCCGGTGTTGGAGAGACGGCCGTTGGATTCGGAAAGAGGTGCGGGGCGGAAATAGGTAGGTTTGATAGATTTGCCTACGAGATGGGCTTTGCCTATCCAGGAGCGCTGAGTGTGAGGGAGGACGACGGAGACAGTGTGGCCGGCGGATTGGAGCGAGGTTACGAGGGAGTGGACATATGGCGAAGATTGGTTCGAGGGTGGGCCGTCATCGTTTGTGACCTAGACGTCAAAGAAACGCGGTTAGCAGTGGCCAATTAGAGGTTGTTGAGTGGTTTAGACAAGGCGGACGTACGAGGATGTGCATTTTGCTGGCAATTGGGATTGACAGAGCAATTGAAAAAGTTTTGTTGCGCTGAAAGTACTGCCAAATGATGTGACGGGCAGAGGGGTATAAAACTCAGGCAGGCACACTAGATGATACGGCAGACGGAGCGCGGAAGTGGCCATCCATTATTCTATTGACGCCATACCTAGTATCCCGTGCAGCCAATAGGCACACCGAAATCGCATAAGGACAGAACTCTACGTGCATTCCGAGGCTTGAACTTGTGTCCATACAAAGGGAGTAGAGAAAAGAACAACCAGCATCGATTAAGCTTCATCGAAGTCTCTTGCTATGCTACTTTCAGCCGCATGGGAAAGATGGCGATCCCGGCATCTCTGGAGCGGGCCGACACCGGGTCCCTGAATCTATTCACGGACCGCCAGGCCGCCTCAAGCATCAGGCACGACAGGTGCTGCCATCAACAAGGATGCAATGCGCGACCCACGAGCTGCACAAACCTGCAGGGAAACTCGGCCTGCTGCAAGCAAGAAAGTTACCAGAGCGCATGCACAGACAGGGCCAACAGCGGGAGAAGTGATGTTGGGGCCCCGAGCCCCCTCCCCCTCTATCCACGCCCTCCCACCAGAACAACCCCAAAGCCGAACTCAACACTCCGGCCACAAACACAGCCCGAAATCTCACTCAGGCACAAGAGGGACAAAATGGCCCCTCAACGGCTCGGTGCTGTGGCAGTGAACAGAGGGGCTCCGGCGTCGGGTCCCCGCCCTCCGCCAAATTTATACCGAATACTAGCCACAGTGCGGTGCTATATAGCTACCAGCGCGTCATGCTACCCAATTCTTTCTGCCCTTCAACTCACTTGTTGAACTGACTGTGTAACTCTTCCTCGCCTCGCAACCCTTTTCTCCAGAATCACCAACTTGTTCTCCCCAAACACCTCCAGTAAGTCGCGAGATCGCACCCCGCGTGCCTTCCACAACCCCCAAAGCTCACAAAACACCCAGCAACCTACAAAATGGTCGTCACTGTCCCCACCGCCAGCCTCGAAGGCAAGGTTGCCCTCATCACCGGCGCCGGCCGCGGCATCGGACGCGGCTGTGCCATCGAGCTCGGCAAGCGTGGTGCCTCCGTCGTCGTCAACTACGTCTCCTCCAAGGGCCCCGCTGAGGAGGTCGTCAAGATCATCGAGGGCTTCGACAACGGCGCCAAGGCCATCAGCATCCAAGCCGACGTGTCAAAGGTCTCCGAAATCACCCGCCTGTTCGAGGAGGCCAAGAAGCACTTCGGAAAGCTCGACATCGTCATGAGCAACTCGGGCACAGAGAGCTGGGACAAGACCGAGGACATCACCGAAGAGAAATTCGACCACGTCTTCAACCTCAATGCGCGAGCTCAGTTCTTCGTTGGCCAGGCCGCATACAAGTACATTGAGGATAACGGCCGGGTGATCCTTATGAGCTCGATTGCGGCGGGTCTGTTGGGCGTCAAGGACCACGCGCTGTACAATGCCTCGAAGATGGCTGTTATTGGCATGATCAAGGCATTCGCAACGGACTTTGGCAAGCGCGGTATCACAGTCAACGGTGTGGCCCCTGGTGGCATCAAGAGCGATATGTTCACCCAGAACGCGTGGCACTACATCCCAGGCGGCACTCCGGACATTCCGGCCGCGACTGTCGAGAAGTTGATGGCGGATCACTGCCCGCTAGGACGATGCGCAACGCCCGAGGATGTTGCGAGGGTGGTTGGCTTTTTGTCCAGCGAAGACGGTGGCTGGGTCAATGGTAGGGACCCCCGAATACTTCAGCCAAGGCCAGCTTGTACTAACTTGTTTGCAGGCCAAGTCATCACCATCTCCGGTGGTTCGTCCCAGTAGATCAGCCTTATTACCCCGTATCTCCGGCTGCTCTGTTTATTATGATTATGCATTGATATGGCGATGGGAATAGTGGTTCACGGGCGGCTGCCCAGGCTATCTGCTAGGAGGCTAGATAGAAAATCGAACCTATTGCATCATTATATGACTATGAGTCCTGAGTGTCTGGAACGTCTTCTCGTACTATGAACTTTGTGAAAGTTAGTTGGCTGTATCGTTGTGAGAGGACTTCGACAAGCCAGGCCTCGCGCTAAGAACGGGCGTGCACGTGACCAATATTTCACCACTGATCGAAGTCCTATGGTGAGAATCGGCTAGTTGTCCGAATCATCTAGCCAAGGCCCATCACGAACAAGAATAGACAGAAGACGTAAGCTCGCACCCAACAGCGTAGGTAGCTCACAGACCTATAAGAAGGAGAGACAACGTATGGACTAGCTGTAAAAGCGCAGCGTTTCCTGTAGTTACGTCCTGAACGAATTCTTCCAGTAGAATATCTAATGCAATCAATTGTTTCAGGCCTTCGGCCCTTGCAGAGTGGAAGACGGTTTAAAAAGCTCGAAAGAGCTCTCTCTAGTCACTACTAGCCTTCCGGGGCCGGAAAGAGGGTTTAATGAGTGTTTCACAGGTTTGGCAATTGTAACTTTATCCAAACTATCACGAAAGTCCTTCCATCGGGCCGCGAATTAATCCGGCGCCTAACCCGATTTGATCGGCGAATCAGTTCACCTCAGAAACGACACATTGAACTGAGGACTTTCCGCGCGACTAGTAACGCAATCTACTGCAGACTTTTAGTGCCTCCAATTGATACGAAGAGGGAAATTCAGCTCGAAAAGAGACAGGACATCTGCGAGCTTAGCCTCGAGCTCCTCGACCCCCATCACTTATCCGCCTTGCATGCGGCGTTGCTAGCTGCGCCGAGCCCCCTCGATCTAGAGCCGCCACAACGATGAATAACTTCCCGTCCTTCCTCGACACCTCCTCAGGAGTGGGTCCTAACGTACCGCGTCAGGCTCCGTCACCCAGCTCTGCCTCTCACCAAACCAACGGTATCGGCGGCATCAACATCCCAATGGTGAACGGAATGCCAAGTGGTGGTCAGCAGACCGACATGAACCACCTGTGGGGCATCGTACAGCAGCTCAGCGAGGTGCTGGCCGAGAACAGAGCGCAGACGGCGGGCATCGTGAACGGAGTGCAGCAGCTACAGTCACGAGCGGCGCAAGACGGGGTATCGCCGACCATTGCGCAGGTCAATGGCGAATTGAATAGTATGCGCTCGACATTTTACCCAGAGCCGTAATGGACTGAAGATTGACGTGGATTATTTTGTAGCAAATCGTGCCGCCGAGATCACAGCACTCCGCACCGAACTCAACGCAACCCAAGCCGCGCTCCAAGCCTCCTCCTCGCAGGCATCGTCTATGCGCGGTCTCCTCCTCGACTACGAGAACGCGTTTACTCTGGTGCTCGATAAGCTGCGCCCCTATGCCTACAACCACACCCAAGCGATTCTAGCGCTCCACAAGCACTACCAGCACCTGCTCGAGCAGGAGCGCGCGACGAGCCTAGAGTTACGGCTAGAGCATGCGGAGTGGCAGGCTGGACTGGGACGGGTGGCAGATTATGCGCGATTGGCGCTCAAGGCACAGAATGAAGGCGATTTGCCAGCAGCGAGGAAGATTCAAGATTTGAAGGCTGAGAACCGGGTATTGAGGCGACTGGCCGGATGGCAAGATGCGAGTGATAGTGAGGAGGAAGAAGCAGAGACGAGGGGAGTTGGGACAAGTCCGATGCCATCGCAACAAAATTAGAGGATTTGGGCCAGTCAAGAAAGCTGTGGGCGTGGTTATTGATGCATAGCGCGGCGTTAATTGTCGGATGGGTGATCTTATATGGATTGGTTGTCCTTGAAGTGGGCATTATGCTATTAGGTTGAGAGGACGCTGATCAAAGTCCCTGTAGAGGGTGTGTAGTGCTAGTGTCTTCGGAGAAATCGAACTCTGTATAAGCTATCAAGTACATGATGCCTTTGGTGATTCGCCTGAAAGTTCAGAGCCTTGCCAAAAGTATGCATGCGCTTGCCTAGGGGGAGGGGGCATCCACGGATTTTCAAAAAGTCAGACTCGACGTCTAAGTTTCTCTAGAGCAAATTCTGAACAAATTTTACAGCTGACGGTTAACCAGCTCCTTCATGATTTCGTTTCAGACACTGGAATTCAGCAGCCACGAAGCACTGTCTCGTCGTACAGCGCTGGGCTACAACTCTGGACACCCGCACATATGACCGCTCGGATGCCACTCGATACCACTGCAAAGAGCTGTTCCATTGGCAGTTAGTCAATCAATCAAAAGATATCCTACTTTCCACTGCATCGATGTTTATATCGTACTTGAAATTTCAAAGTCCGAAAGGGCACCCTTAGCAGTGGTAAGCAAGAGAACCCATACCTATATCCTGTGATTGCGTATTAGCTGGAATTACACTTTCGTTTTACTGAACATATGATCACTTTTATCACGATACCGTGGTTGGGAGGCGCGCTCTGATTGATGCTCGCAACCTTGGTTGGGTGGACGCTCTGAGTTGCGCTCTGATGCCACAACAGTACAAGTATTCGAGGCCGCCCTCCTCTTTGCTGCAGACTGTACACGAACACACCAGCATACGCCAGCACACTTACTTACTCTGATACTTCTTCGACCGCTTCTTCGGCTACAGCAGCAAAGAACAGACTCACTTCGCTACTCTTTCGACGCCTTCTCCTACACCAGCAGGAAAGGACAATCTACCTTTACACTTCGTCTCCCGTTAAACCACACCTTCTTCCCTTTTTTCATACCTAGGAACACCTACCAACGCCAACAATGGAAGGTGTTACCCACAATCCGGCCTACGGCTCTCCCGCCTCTAGCAGTGGTGGACTCGGTGGTATCCACTCATCACACTATTTATCTCCATATCCTCCCCCTCGGGGGCATCCTTCTTACGTCCCTTTCAATGGAAACCAAGAGGAGGAGCTGCGTCTCCGATTCGCTGAGTCTCCCCCAGACTCATCTCGTTCTCGTCATGCGGGACGGCAGCGTGGGCAGCATCCCATGCTGCAGCCCTTGCTACACGTGGGCTTTCCAGCATATGGCTTGCCTGCTTTTCGGCCTTTGGGGCCACCTCTCCATGCCTACCCTGTTCAAGGACAGCAACAAGGGCAGCAAACGTACACGCAGACCTTCCCGCCACCTCAGCCCTTCGAGTCTCCCGCAATGTATGGTTCTCTCCAGCAAGGATTTCCCGGAGGGCAACACCAGCAACAGCAGCAACAATGGCACCCGAACCACCAATACTACCAGGGGAATGTTTTCCACCCTCTTCAGCCCCAACGCCAGCACGAATGGCAACATGGATATACACAGAGCGGCTCCCAGAACCATATCAATTCGCCCCAGACAAATTACCCCCTTTCGCAAAATCAGTTAAACGGAGAGTTCCCTGTTCTGGCACAAAATCACTACGCAGGGGTTATGGACGTCGATACAGAGCCTGATTTGGGCCTTGATCTGGATTTTAGTCCTGAATCTATTCTAGGCCTTGACCTGGCGCATTCTTCGCCAGAAGACGATGCAGTCTTGCCGGTCCCGGAAGAAAATGAAGAACAGGCGCAACAAGCGACCACACAACATGATCCCCAGAATGTGTCCTCCGAGCGTCAGGCAACCACCCCTCTCACTCCACAGAATGAAGGACAAGAGCAGCAATTGCTCACACAACCAGGTTCTCAAAATTATCCCTACGCAGATGGGTCTATGGAAATCGATTGTGAAAAAGAGCTAACAGTAGACGAGATGGCGGCGGAATTCCACAAGTTCCTTTCGGGAGAACAAGCTCCAGAAGACCAGGCAATCGCCCGTCTTCCACAAGACGAAACAGAAGAACAGCAAGTCTTCACACTAGGCGCCCCCCTTCCGGAACAAGGTCAAGAAGAAGGGCAGCGAGGACCCACACAATTTGACATCCAAATGAGAATCTATGAGGAGATTATGTACCCCGATCAGGTGGAAGACCAGCCCCCTGCAGCTCAAGCCCCGGTAGCTCCCGCGCTCCCAGTTCCTGCACTTCCGGTCCCTGCTGTTGAGCCTACAACTTCTGAAGCAGGCGAGTATGACTCCCTCGTCGACGAAGATAAACTTGCAGGTCTGCAAGACAATGCCGAAGACGAGGAGGGCGAGGACATGGACGAAGACGAGAACAAGTATGACTCTCTCGTTGACGAAGATAAACTTGCCGCTCTGCAAGGCAATGCCGAGGACGAGGAGGACGAGGACAAGGGAGCTGAAGTAGACGATGAGCACAAGTATGACTACCTCTTCGACCTAGACGAACTTGACGCTCTGCAAGACAATGGCGAGGACGAGGAGGGCGAGGACATAGACGAGGACGAAGACGAGAACGAGAACGAGGATGAGGCGCAAGAACAGACTGCAGAAGACCCGTCGGCTGCCTCTCTTCCGGAACAAAATCAACAAGAACGCCCGTCCGTAAAAGGCCTTGCCTCCCGCATTCTTTCCCCGGAACAGAGCAAAGAGTTCCGTCAATTGCGCCGTGGAACCCCACCGGGGGTAGGCTGCGTAGATACTCGTCCGATGGTTTTCTAGGCTCCAAAGTTGGATGTAACTTCAGACGGAGACCTGTGGGTGATGTTTTGGGCGACGGTATAGTGATGTCTGAAGACCCTCAGTATGAAACTCGAGAACTATACGAGATGTACAAGTTGCGAGGGCGTGGATTAGAGCAAGTTTTTCCTTACAAAATTAGCAAATGCAAGACACCCCTAAGGTGTCGAGCACCAAAAAAAATGAAGGATGCAAATCCCGAAGCTTCTATGTTACATGTGTGAAGTCTGTGATTTGCCCACGAAGGAAATACTGTGAAGCACCCCCGGGATATCACGCACGAGACAGTTATCGATGTTAAATCCTGAAGCTCGGAAATTAAATGTGTGATTTTAGCCCACTGCGCGCATGGGAATATTGTGAGGCATCCCAGAGCTGTCGAAGACAACGCAATCATGTACGTAAAATTCCGAAATTCCCAAATTGCGACCGCGATTTTGAAGGCTTGCCTACATAGGAGAGATGGTGGTGAGATACCCCCGGCTATCGAACCCGACCCAGTCACAAATGTCAAGTCTCGAAGCTCCCGGATCGCATGCCTGAATTCTACTGTCTACTCACCCATGCAATACCGCAAGACGCCCCAGGGCTATCTATGTTCTACGGCTCAAAGTTGGCTCTCCTTCCCCTGCAATTCACAAAACGCCTTGAACGTCACCATCTCCTCACCCTCATCGGCCTCGATCACCAACTCCGCAGTCGCACCCACGAAGTATACCCACCCCGTTTCGCATCTCTCCCTCTTCGGGCCCACACTCACCCAGCCGCTTCCTGAAGTGCACAGAATCACACTCGGGCCCTGGATGGGCTCAAATGTGGCTTTTGCACCCTTCTTGTTGAGCGAGGTGCGCACGACGGAGAACTCGTCGATGGGCGGGTCGTAGAGGATAGCAGCTGAGGAGGAGCTGTAGGCGGCAGCATTGAGGGTCACGTATGGGTAGTCGGCGGGCGACATCTTTTGCGAGGTAGGCGAAGCGTAGGAGTAGGTGAGCATGGAGGTCAGGGTGGAGACGTCTTTGAATTTTGGGGTGAAGCCGGCACGGACGACGTTGTCGGAAGAGGCCATGCATTCGATGATGTCTGGGTGTGTGTTAGCCTGGAGCGAGAGTGATATAATAACAGGTCATATGTTTGGGCACATGGATACGACACTGCTCGGGCTCTCTCCTTGTTCGCTCGATACCACTGTCAGGAGGTGCTCAGCTAGCGGGCAACCGGCCAGCCAGAAGGGAGCCTAATCTCCACTGCGTCGACCTTGACATCTTGTCCGGAGTCTGAAAAGCGTATTGGGGTAGCCCAAGCAGTAACAAATAGATCTGCCCGAGCTTTTGGCGGAGTACTGGGTTCAAGCATTTCGTATACATACCACCAGAGAGATAGGCGTGAATGTCATCAGCCTTCAAGAACATCCCCTCGCCAACTTTCAGCTTGACATAGTTGAGGAAGAACTGCACAAAGAGCCCGATATCTCCTGGAAATTGGCTGTTAAGACGGATGACGAGGTCCGCTAGCTCCTTGCCGCCGTTGGAGGGTCCGCCCTCACCAGCGAATTGGGCGCCCTCGGACTTGGCTGATCCGAGAAGCGATTCAGTAGCCGATGCTAGAGCCTCCTTGTCCGCGTTCATGAGTGAGGTGAAGGCTTCGCGCAATGCCTTCTTATTGGCCTCGACATCCTCTTCCTTCTCGGATGTCTCCTGGCCTTTGATTGTAGACTCGAAGTTCTTGGCCTGCTCCTCGCCAACGAGCTTGCGTAGTGAAGGGATGGTATTGAGGAAGTGTGCGATTTCGCTGAGGGGTCGGAAGCCGCAGAGGCCGTCGAATGGGGTGACTGCGATAGTCATCTCAGGCTTGTGGTTATCATCTGCTTGAGGTGAGCGGAGATCAATGTCGAGGAATAGATCGAAGACATACCTGGGTAATTCTTGGGATCTTTGGCGTGCAGCTGCTCTGCAAGCTTCTTGTTCGGGTGTGCTTGTATGCTTAAAGCTTTGTTGATGGAGAGCACCTTGAACAGGAAAGGCAGCTTGTGGCCGAATCGCTCGCTGATTTGTGTTGAGAGCAGAGCTTGGTTGTCTTGTACCATATCAAGAAGAGTCCGTTGCGTCTCGAGGTCCTTGGACGGAAGGGAAGGGTGTGTTCCCATCCATAGCTGCGCCAGGTGTCAATTGAACTTCGTGGCCCTCGTGATAAGTATCAGATGTGCGGACCTCAGCATATGGCTTTTCCTCTTGGATGGAGAAGTCGTCTGAAGGAGTTGCAGCTGCGAATTTGGCGGCTGCGGAGTCCTTGCCGACCTTACCTGGATAGCTTCAGCCCATCCAGTTCTTGAAGTCATGGTGGGGTAATTGGAGGAACCAACCCCAGTCGTAGCTGTTTACGCCTATAATCAATTAGCGAAATGAAGTCTTAGAGTACTGTGAACTTCGTACCGCATTGGAGACGAATCAACGGAATCTGCATGGTAATTGAAGGGCTATTGAGGTGTGAATGGAGAATGAACAAGTGGCGTGGAAGGAATTGATATTGAACGGCAACGTCACCGCCAACGAGAGCCCTGGTGTTCTAATAAAGTGCTGGCCCGTGGGGAGGCGTAGCCTGTTCGAGGCAAGCTCCTACCGCCTAATTGAACCTCACGGGCATCTGTGCGCCTGCATGGAGCATTTGGCGGACAAGCCCGCTCCAAGGCCAACCATCAAACGCGCACGGCTCTCTGAACTCTAAACCTGCCTCCAACATTACAATCGATTAATTTCAGCTCATAACAATCTGTATTGATCTTCACGGCGGAAGCGCGTTAGAACGCGCTGGTTCCCGTCCACATCATGGCCGCTCGCAACCGACCACGGGCTGGCCAGGTCAAGGACGAGGTAGACGAAGAGCGAAGCATATGGAGTCAGATACGAAGTGATGCTAAGAGAGGAGACCAGCTTCTGGTGAGCACTCCTCGTCCACATTATAAATCTCACAAGGATATCGAGCTAGCACGTGATATCACATCCTATGAATGCTACAGAATTGGAACACTCTACCAGGAAGACTGCTAATATGACTGTCGCAGAAAAGCTCGAATGAGCTCACAAAGCAAATTGTGGACCTGACTGAGAAGCAAAATACAGCGATAGGTATGTACTGAAACTTATATCCAGACCTCAGACCTAGGCATACATGGATTCTGAAACATCCTGTATCCTAGACAATCGCGATTAGCAACGGCTAATAGACAGTCTATCTAGCACGCGGCGAATCACCTTCCGCGGCTGTAGACACCGAGCTAGAGGAGTGCCTCCGCGCAAACATCAAACTAACCGAAGAGCTACAAAACCTGATCGAAAGCGACAACGGCAACGACATCCTCAAATCCCTCGAAATCCTAGCTGCCCTCCGCGACGCTCACGAACCAGATCCAACATCACGTGCTGGCAGCGCTGGCAAATCGCAACGAGACCGCAACACGAAGCGGAAGCACACCGAGACCCTCGAAGATCGTGAGAGCATAGAGTCGCCCGGCGTCTCATCCCCGAAAGTCATGATTCCTACTTCTGCGAGCAGGTTGGTGAAGAGTGCGGCTTCTAGGGCCAACTCGGTTCCAGTTGCGCGAGAGGGCTCTGTGAAGGCGGATGATGGGGGGGAGAGTGCGGATTCATTGAAACGTAAGGCTCATCTTTAGATTGTCTTCTCCTATTCGTTTCTCTGCGAGCGCTTTGTATGGCTTGGGATGGATTGTGGTATACCAGATCCCTCAGCTGAAAGCTTCTCAAATTCCAATTCTAGTTTCCTGCTTTGCTCATTTCCTCGCAAATCTTGCCTCTCAACCACTGCTGATAACTCCCACCCAACCTAGTCGCCTCCGAGAAACATAAACTCCAAGTCACCACCGAAGTGCTCTACCGCAACAAAGCCAAAGCCGCCGAAGGCGAAGGCATCCTCTGCAGAGTCACGTCCGTGATCGGGGAGGGCAAACAGCGCCGGTATAGCCTCCTTTCCATTATGTAATGCAAAAATTCCGTCCCCTTAACATCGATATGCCTCCTCCAAATCATATCATCATCATCCCTTCAAACCTCTCTCTATCCGACCGCCTTCTCCACAAGTTCCTCCCCTCTTCAAAGCCCCACTAACACACTCACTAGCTACGAAATCATCGACTCAGACCCCGACCCCCCAACCCCCTCCCTCCCCTACCGCGCCTCCGTCAACCACCTCGTCGCCATCCCCCCGCCCTCCGCGAACACGACCCTGCCCGACCTCCCCGCCAAGCGCCATGTACTCGCGCTGTATCCAGGCACCACCACGTTCTACAAAGCCGAGGTCGTCGCTACCTGGACGCTGAAGAACCGGAAAGAAGAAAAGAAGGGGGATGGGGATGTGAAGGAAGAAGACGCGACCGGGGCCGTGCCCGCGCCGGGGCCGGAGTATTTCGTACGGCTCAGATTCGAGGGTGAAGATGAGGCGGATCGGGAGTGTAGTGTTGAGAGGAGGTATGTGTTGCCGGATAGGTAGGGCGGGAGCGAGGTTGGGCGGGGAGGGGCGAAGTTGTAGGCGAGTTGATGTGGAGTGGTAGTTTAGCTTTCATGATGTGGCTAGATTTGGTTAGGTGATATTCAGTGCGTTCCTCATACCCTCCATGCTTAGAGTGAGGATGAAAGTGATGACGATTTCCATTATTATGCACATACGTATAGCCATAACCATGCCGTCCGCAGTCTCGCAACCTCTAGCAGCAACTTCGTCTTCCACAGTTCACAACAACGAAAACAGACACAGAGCAAGAGAAACGTCGGGGAGCGAGCAATCTACACATCATATAATCTCGAATAAAGGGGATAAGTAGGTATGAAGAGGGGCAAGCCAGGGGTATCGATCGCATCGTCCTACACCCAATCTTTCGCCAAAAAGGACAGAGGAGAAAGTGAAGACAAGCTCACCGTTTCGCCCGCGCAAATACGACCGGAAGCGTGGCCAAAAGAAGCAAATGAAAGGAAAAGAGCAACGAGGACGGAAATGTAACCCGAGAATGCGCTTTTTGTCGCATGCAATGCAGAGTCCGTTTTGTTATTACAAGGTGTAAGGGGGGGTGCCGCGGGGGCGGAGGAGATTCATAGTAATGGAATTGTGCAGGTGGGTGGGAGGAGCGGAAGACAGGGGGGCGTGAATGGGTATTATGCTGAAGAGGAGAGGCGCATGCTAGTCGTAGATGGGACGTGTCGGGAGTGCGTGGTTCTTTACTTTGCGACGGGGACTTTGACGTTGTTTGAGAGCCATGCCTATGAGAGTCAGAGGTCAGCTGGGTCGGGGTGGAGTAGACCGTGCAGAGAACTTACGAGGCCCTCGAAAATGCCTTCACCCGTGGTCGCGCAGCTAGGCTCGACTTTCCACACGTGGTCCTTCGCGATCTTCTCGAGGTGCAGCTTATCTGACACTTCCTTGGGTCGCATTGCTGTCCAATCACAACTATGTCAGCATCTGCAGTACGTAGAATCTCACGAGGCTGGCGATAAGGGTTGTACGGACCTCCGGCGATATCCTGCTTGTTCGCGAACACCAGGAGCAGCGCATCCTTCATTTCCCGATCTTGGATGATGCGCGTGAGTTCTGTTCGGGCTTCCTCGATACGGTCGCGGTCGTTGGAGTCAATGACGAAGATGAGGCCTTGGGTACCTATTCCACGAGTGCTAGTCAGTACGGTCTACGCAAGGAGAGACGATACAAGAGAAAGGATAGATGGGCGCGATGTGTGCCAGATGTGCAGCTCACGCAACCCTACCAGGACCCTGTAAAACGCTGAACATACCGGAGAAATAATGTCTCCATAGCGGCCTGATCTTGTCCTGTCCGCCGACGTCCCAGACGTTGAACTTGGTGTTCTTGTACGTCACAGTTTCTACGTTGAAGCCAACGGTGGGGATGGTGGTCACGTCTTGGTCGAGCTTGAGCTTGTACAGGATTGCTGCGCGCGCAAAGCGTTAGCGAATGATATGCTGGTAGAGTAAATTGCAGCGACCCCGCTGGTATGCAGAAGGGTGCGTACTGGTCTTGCCCGCGGCGTCGAGGCCTAACATCAGTAACCTCATTTCCTTAGATCCGAAGATCTTGGCCATCATCTTGGATATCGAAGCACCCATATTGCCGGCGCCGAGTTCTACGGCGCTCTAGTGGCTAGGAAGACGATTCTCTGCAACTTTCGATCCGGTCGAGAGTGAATGGAGTGCAGAGAGCGCAGGGAGCGATATCAGGCGGGCGTGTTGATAGGGATCGGAAGGACGCGACGGTCGCGAAGGATGGTTCGTGGATGAAAGCGGGCAGCGTCGCACAATTGGACACGACAGGCGGACCGGAGAATTTAGTAGGGCGAGAAAGTTGGGGCAGTGGGGGACCTGATGTTTTGGTGTCGTGTAAGGTGCTTGGGAGGCTGAGGTTCCAGGGGCTAGCGGCGCGAGGTTCAATCTGCGCCTAGGCTTGCCCCGCTGCGGAGTTCTACATTCACCTGCATTCTCTGTGCGACGAATTCTTGCGCCACTGATTAAACATGCGCGATTCAGGGGCAATTGGGTGGTCAAGAGGCGTTTGGCATTGAAGATTGCGCAGCAGAATGGTGATTTCTCCTGCGTCACCAGGGGCAGGACCCCTATCTCGAGAATTCACAGAGTTGCGCCCTGCATATAGGAGAGCCTCAATTGACCGGGGTACCTATATGTGAAATACGGGACTTTAGCCATGCGTCATTCTGTAACTCAAAATCCATCATCCAAGCCCGTGCTCTTTTCCTTATCAAGCCGCTCTTGGTTCGCTTTCCACCACCACGTATGCGTCTCTTCGGACTCCGCACCCATCTTCTCGTCCCATGGTTTGGGACTGAGAATGTAGTGGATGTTCTTGATCTCGTTGTCGCGCCATATCTGGTGGTGGACGCCCTCCCGCCGGAGCGTCTTCAGGGCGTTATAGATGTACGGTATCGCAACCCATCGCCCCGAGAACAAATCTCCAAGGAGCGACTGATCTGCGAAGTCGTAGCCCGTGATTGCCGTGTCCTTGGACAGCTGCGCTGATATAAGAGCGTAGACTTCAGCAGACGGATTCACCACCTGCAGACCACCATTGGGGATGCCGAGACCGAACGAAGAGGGCGCGCCATAGATCTGCGCATTGTCTGGGATCTCGTGTTGAGACGTGAAAGCACAGTTCTCTGGTACCCTGTTCCTTGCTGTCAGCTCAGGTCCAAGGGCGTACACGGGTGACACCGTCCGTACCAGTCTTTGGGGTAGTGGGGCTTCTTCAAGGGATTACAGACACAGGCATGGCTTGCGCCAAACACCCGATCGCCTTTCCCTGCGAGACTTGGCGCATCTAGCTCAAGGTCCATCAGCTCGTCCATGTTCCGTAACACGAGCATGTCACTATCCAGCTGTACCACTCGTTCATATTCGACGAGCGAGAAGGGCGTCAACTTGCTCCAGCAGTCGTAGAAGCGCGGGTCCTGGCTGAAGTCCTTATGCGCTGCCGGCAGCAGATATTTCACATACTGCTTGGGTATTCCTCGAATATCCAATGCCTTGTGGCCCTCGGGAGGGAATGTGTCTGTGTAGAGCGCGACCAGTGGGTACTTGGAGCCATGCTTTTTCAGCGAGTAATCGAGTGTTAACAGGCCAGTCAAATACGCGGTATTGGTGATTAGTGTGGTCCACACTGTTGCGAAAAGTTAGCGACAGAGTATGAGAGCGAGTAATGAGGGTTGAATTGCCTTTCTTGCTGTCCACGGCGCGAGGGGTCGCGGCATGCTCGGATGGAGTCGCCATCGGATATCCTGCTCCGGGTATCCTGCTTGAAGCAGTATTTGAGGGGCGAATATCTCACTTGTTTTCGCGCGGCCGGGGACCACGATGCGTTTCCGGTAGCTACATGGGTGCAGTTGTAGTCGAGCAGTTGAGTCTAGCACCAAGCGCCCAAGCCGATTGCTGCCGTCCGATCTCGGGAGCGCGAGATGCACTCGTCATAGTTAGGCGCGGTGCATTTAATCAACATTTATCTGTCGTTAACGCCGATGTTTCCAATAATCGCGGCCGACTGAGTCAACGCCAGTCTGCCTGTTCCACCTTTATACATGCTGAGCTCCTCCACCGGAATGATCGCGAGGCCCAAGCTGCTGCTCCCTGGCCTCCAATGTCCGCGACGGTGAAGAGCCCCGTCAAGGATGGGCACCATGCTGCGTCCGACAAGCAGCAGGTTGCCAGTCAAGGAGCAAAGAGCTACAAAGGCTTCGTAGCTGGAGTCTTTTCTGGCATTGCCAAGTTATCAGGTATGCAGTCTCCGAACATCTCTTCTGCGACTAAGAACTGACCCTATGCAGTTGGACATCCGTAAGCTCACGCCTCAATCACGCTTCACGTCCCTAAACCATTGCCTACAGCTTCGATACTATCAAGGTGCGCCTACAAACCACGGACAAGTCGCAGTTCAAAGGACCCTGGGAGTGTCTGAGCCAGACGGTCAGAAATGAAGGCATCAAGGGGTTATACAAAGGTGCTACCCCGCCGCTGGTTGGATGGATGTTCATGGACTCGCTGTATGTCCAGAAACGACGCGTCATACGTATAGGCTAATGGCATGGATAGGATGCTGGGCTCCTTGAACGTATACCGACGCCTATTGAACGACAATGTCTTCAATCCGCGACGAACCTCCGCCGAATCAAGCCAGGGACATAAGCATTTACCAACTATAGGCCACGCAATGGCGGGAGTGATGGCAGGAGCCACAGTGAGCTTCATTGCGGGTCCTGTCGAACATATCAAGGCACGATTGCAGGTGCAATATCAAGTGGAGAAATCAAAGAGACTGTATACAGGTCCCATCGACTGCGTCAAGAAAATGGTAAAAGCCCGACGATCTCAACCAAGCCGTTCGCTAACGATCTGGCGCAGTTTGGCGGATATGGCATCAGAGGAATTTACCATGGCTTAGTGGCCACACTCATCTTCCGGACGTTCTTCTTCTTCTGGTGGGGTAGCTACGATATTTTCACGCGAGCGTTGAAAGAGAACACTCACTTATCAGCCCCGGCCATCAACTTCTGGGCTGGTGGTGTCTCTGCTCAGATATTCTGGTTAACGTCATACCCATCGGACGTGGTCAAACAGCGCATCATGACAGACCCGCTTGGCCCCGAACGGAAGTTTCCGCGCTGGAGAGATGCCGCTAAAGCTGTATATAGGGAAAACGGTTTGAGAGGTTACTGGAGGGGCTTCACACCTTGCTTTTTGAGAGCGTTTCCAGCGAATGCGATGGCTTTGGTAGCGTTCGAAGCCGTCATGAGGGGACTGCCGGAGTGAAAACTGCCGGCTCTATCTGTTATCTGTAAGTATATACCCACATAGAGCCTCGCGCGATGAGCGAAGCACTGTAATTTTAGGGCGATTCCACTCAAACATATGCGTATAATACGATACATCACTCGCCATTCTAAAATGGACTACGGACGACGCCTGGGAGTAGACACATCTCCGAACCATCTTCTGCTCTTCCACCCATCACCATTCGTGTCCTTCCATCGTGCACAGCATCTAGCTAGTTCGACTAATCCGCAGAGTGGTCTCAACCAGCTCGATTCAGCATACAAACGTGCTTCGTCGCAAACGACGACACACGCTCACAAGTGTTTCTCCAATGTGTTCAACAACAAATAATGTTATTTCTCAAAGCTTCCATAGGCAAGCCACGCTCACTGATCATGGTTTCCTTCATGTCTCAACAATGGCCGTGTCCTAGACAATTCCCTGCCCACATCCCACCCTTTGGTGTAATCACCGTGTTTGACGAATTGAAAGCCCTCCAGTACGACCTTGAACCACCTCGACGTTTTGTTTAGAATCCTTTGACCACCTCATTTTCATTGTAATGCAACCTCATATCTGGGTCTGCGTGGCTCAAACCATCGTCTCGCAAGTCTTTGGTCAGTTTGAAACCCAGCACCGTGCTCGGATTGCTGACTCTAGCTTTGTTAGTAACTTGATTATCCAAACGCCCACTGTGGCGTATATAGGGCATTCGTCAACCGTAAATTGCAATCTCGTATCCACTTCGTCTGTACTATCGCCAAAGACCTGTTTCTTTGGGAGCTGAATCTCACCATCGCTAACCCCCTCAGGTTCATATCACGATCAAAACCGTTAGTACTTCCAAAGCGTCCCCTCTCTTTGACCCGTCCTCTCACCATCTGACAAGTAGCAAGTAGAGCCTCGAGACGCCCTCAATGGCCGACCATTGGAACGATCGGGGCCGTCAAGGGCCACCTGATCGCCAGCGCTGTCACCAATGCGGGCGTGTGGGCCATTTCGCGCGTGCGTGCCCACAAAACAACCGGGGTTTCCAGGACGGTGGTCGCGGTCGGGGTGGTCCAGCTCCACGGGGTGAATTACAGGCAGAGCGTGGGCCATCTACAGATCGAGGTGGCAGGGGCGGTTTCCGAGGCGGTTTTGGCGGCCGAGGCCGTGGAGCTCCAAATGGACCTTACGGTCGGCTAGGATTGGACAATCAAGGGGCCTCGACCAATATCCCCATACAGCAACGTTCACTACTGGAATTCCCTCAGACCTCCAGCACATGGGCCGAGAAGATTGCGAAGCTGGAAAAGATCGAGTTGCGGCTGCCAGCCTCCATCGAGATACCCGCGGCATCGGCCGGTGGTTCATGCTTACCGCCCAAAGAATTTGTCTTATCCAATGAGCTCAAGACTTCCCTGGCGAAGGTCAAGCAAGATATGCAGGAAAGGGAAAATGAGACTGACATACACACGATTCGGCCGTCATTCGTCCCCGCTGGGACAGACAGACAATCATCAGTCTTGACAAATCATTTCGAAGTCACTCTCCCGAATAAAACGCTCTATGAGTATACCATCCAAGGCTTTCCAGAGAACAAAACCCGGAGGGCTAAAAAGTTCATTATACTCAATATGATAAAGAGCTGTCCTCTTTTGAAGGAGGATAACTTCGTCACTGATTTCCATGCCACAGTCGTCTCATGGGCCAAGCTACACGATGAAGAAGAGCCCGACCAAGAAGTTGGACGCAGCAAATGTACCGTGGACAGGAACCCTACGGACCTGAAAATGAGCCTGAAGTATGTAGACGAAGTCAGCATCAACGACTTGCTGCAACACACCAGGAGCAGCACAGATCCCAAGTATCTCAACATCAACGCAAATCAGATCGTCAAAGCTTTGAACATGCTCATCGCCGACAAAGCTTTCTCGCCTGCCGTCGGTCTTGAGACTGTCCAAGTGGGAGCAAACAAGTTCTTCCTCAAATCTGGAGCCAAGCCTCTTAAAGTCAGGGGCGACAGAGCTGATAGTCCGCTGTGTACCATTCGAGGCTACAGCTTGAGTACCAAGCCGGCAATGGGAAAGACTCTAGTCAACATCAACACGGTCACCAGTGCGTTCTTTCGGCCGATTCTGGTCAGCGAGTCCATGATGGACTACAAGGGCGTGTTGGCAAAGACGGACGCGGAGCTCTACGAGCTTCTCGTTGGGCGTCGCGTCTACATTCTCTATGAGCGCGGCAACTCGAAAATGGATACGGACCAGGCTAGAGTGAAGACTATCCAGCGTGTTGGTGAAGAAAACCCTTGTTCGAAAGCGCTTGCGTTCAAGAAGAAAGACACAACGCGATCAATTACGGTTCAACAGAATGTCGAAGAAAGTGAGTTTGTCCCCTCGTCGTAATGTCCATAACTCACCTCTACAGAGTGGAAGAAGCAACTTCGGCATCCCCATCTGTTCTGTATCAATCTAGGGGATAAGGAAAAAGGCAAAGAGTCATGGTTCCCTCCTGAATGCCTTCGATTACTGCCCTATCAGCCGTACAATCGAGTGCTCCCTGCCAATTTGACTTCGGCTATGTTGGACGCAGCATGCCGCAAACCCGATGAGAACCGGCACGCTATCATCGAGGAAGGCCTGCCTGCGCTTGGAATTGACCCCAGTAGGAATGCCTCCACTGCTAGTGACGACAGTCTCTTCAAGGTTGATCCGGCCATGTTATCGGTGCCCACCCGTATCTTAACCAGGCCAACGATACTATACAAGACCGGGCAGCAGGCAAACGTTAACGAAAGCGCCCGATGGAGTCTAGAACGCCAGAAATTCTTCAAAACCGCGGGGGGCGAGATCAAAATGCATGTCATCTTGGAAGGCGATGATGGCAGGAATAAGGTCATCAAACACGAGGAAAGGTACCTTAAAACACTCATCAATAGCATGTACCAATACGGTCTCAACGTGGTAGATGAATACTCGACTACTTCGTATGGCTGGCTCGGTTCTGGTGGCTCCCTCAACAGCAACCTCCAACGCGAGCTTGACAATGCAAAGAAAAATAGCTGCAATATCGTCTGCCTGGTTTTGAGCAAAAAGAACACGGATGTCTATTCAGAGTTCAAGAGCATGGCGGACAGGACGACGGGTGTTCATACGGTCTGTCTCTGTGAGGATCGTCTGCTGAAGTTTGGCGAGGTGAAGAAAGATGTAATGGAGCACATCGCTAATATCGCGATGAAGGTACGATACCCTCTTACTTAAAGCCTCTACCGGGCTCTACTAAAATTATTAGGTCAATCTCAAATTTGGTGGTACCAATCATTCCGTGGCAGATATCTCGTCCTTCCTGAAGGATACGTTAGTCCTCGGCGCAGATGTCACTCATCCCACTGGAGGCTCTGCCAATGGAACTCCTTCTGTCGCCGCAGTCGTTGGAAGCGTTGACGAAAATGGAGGCCGGATGCTAGGATCGATGAGACTTCAACATAAACCAAGAAATGAAGTGAGTACACCAATTGCCCTTTATCTATTGAGAAGAGCTCAACGAAACTAATCCTCGAAAACCAGATGATCGACGAGATGGAATCGATGGTCAAAGACCGCATCCATGCCTGGAAAAAGGAAAACGACGGCAAGTGGCCACAAAACGTCCTGTACTATCGCGATGGCGTATCCGAATCCCAGTATTCAGAAGTCCGCAAAACGGAGATTAAGGCAATTCGCGACGCTTTTGCGAAAACCGCCAATTTGACGCCTCGCATCACTGCCGTGATTGTGGCTAAGCGGCATGGAACTCGATTCTATCCTACTAGCGAGAAAGATCTAGTCCGCAGCAATCGAAACTGCCTTCCGGGAACGCTGGTGGAGAGTGGTGTTACGTGAGTTTCTTCTACACGAACTGCGCAGATAAAGAGCGGCGATTGACAGGCACGCAGATCGCCATACTACTTCGACTTCTACCTCCAAGCTCACAACGGCCTGCAAGGCACCGCAAGGCCTGCTCACTACTTCGTTCTCGAGAACGGCATGGATTTTGGCGCGAGGGATTTGCAGGATCTTGTAAGCAGCCCCCATCTCCATCTCTCCCAGCCTCTCAATATCTAACACCACACCCAGACATTCCGCCTCTGCTACACCTACGTCCGAGCTACCCTCGGCGTCTCGTACGCTCCGCCGGCTTACTACGCCGACCGCCTTTGCGAGCGTGGCCGCACGTATCTAAGAGACTACCTCAATGCGAAGCCACAGACTAAGGGTAAGACGCCGGATGTTATCAAGCAGGAGGCAAGGAGCCTGTGGGCTCGTGCGGGGAATAGTCGCGGAGATCCTTGGCATGAGAATCTTGATGATACGATGTTTTGGATGTGAAAGCGGTCGGGATGTGAGATGGTTGTGTTGCTCAGCTCATATGTAGGAAGTGTCTTGACGCTTGTGGCGGCTTAGAGAAGAGTGTGGAGGTGTGATTTGACGTTTGCATTTCTTTTGTGCTTTTAGGTATGGAGTTCTGGGGAGGTCGGGCATGATTGCCATGGGTTTGGGATAGAGATTTGATGATTTTGGAGTTGGGTCGAATAGGTAATGGCTAAAATGGGACCTTAGAGTGTATCCTACAGTGGGTGTATTCGAGTCGATAAGATGGTAATCGTGTAAGCAGTCATAGGCAAGCTAGGTATGTCTCTAGGCTAAGCCACTCCTTTTCAGCCATACATCCACTCGCTTCGCAAAAATCTCGAACAAGTCTCCTTCTCGTAAAGCGTAGCGCTTTACTAACCAGTTGACGGGAAAGCCGCATTTGCGATGTCAACAATTTGGACCGTAGGCAAAGGGCACTAACACGTTTCCGACCCAGCAAACAGAGCGCTTCGCCAGCGACCCCATCACCAAACGACGCCCCACCAGCGTGCCTTTCACGCAGCCATCTAGTTGTCTGATGTCTTCCAACGTGTTTCTAAAACGCACAACAAACCAGGTGTCTCCCTATCTTTATCTTGACGAATCAGATGCTAATGTGTGCAGGTACATAAACTATGTCTCATTCCGAGAACGCTACGTTCCAAGTGGGGGCAAATAAAATGTTCCTAAAGAGCGGTTATGAACCACTTGAAAATGGAGCTTTATTAGCCAACCGTGGCTACTTCGTATCTGCTCGACCGGCAATGGGGAATATTATCCTCAACATCAACACCGTAATGAGCGCGTTTTATGCCCCCATGCTCGTCAGCAAATTTCTGAAAAGATACGATGACCCTGACAAGGCATATGATGTATTGATAGGAAAATATGTTCACATAGAGTACCTTCGCGGGAGCGATCCAAAGTCTAAGACGAACACCGATCAGGATTGACGCATCAAGACAATCCGAGGCTTTGGAAAGACGATTCAGGAACAAACGTTCAAGAAAGATGGCAAAGACGTCACCGTCAAGGACTACCTCAACAGCCGTAAGTTGAGTTCTTGAGAGTACAGACAGGCAGAGACACTAACAGTAGAAGCATATCCCGGTTTGAACCTTGAAAATGCTAAGGAGTCCTGGATGGTGGCTGTGGACCTCGACGGAGGTGAAGGCAAAGAAAGTTGGTATACGCCTGAGAAGCTACTTATTCTCCCATACCAGGTCTTCAATAGAGTGTTACCTTCCCAAATTACCTCAGATATGATAACGAAGGCATGCCGTGCGCCAGCGGTAACCGTGTCCGCTATTGTTGGAGGTCTTCAGGCGCTTGGAATTTCTGGAAAGAGCTTTTCAAAGGCTTTCAGCGTTGACCCGAGGATGCTCGAAATCCCGGTTCGCGCAATGGAAAAGCCAAACGTTCAGTACCGCGCCGGCGATAATTCCAACGTCGAGCCAGGTCCCAAGGCTGACCTCTCGGAAGTTTTTGAACTCGCCGCAGACATTCAGAGTCACCGTACAGCTGATTCAACACAAGGGGGTACATTTCATGCACTCCAGCAAGGCATTCGATAAGCTGTGTCACATGGCACGCACTCACGGGCTAGATATCAAATGTGTAGGCGATGTCAACAAACGCATGCTCGACCCTGAGTATTATGACTTCACAGACTTGATTAGCAAGCCAGCCAGGCCCGCTGTCCACCTGGTACTCCTTGTCTTACCAAAGAAAGATAAGGATATCTACGCCGACTTCAAAAAGGTTGCCGATCGTGAGGGCTGTCATTCGATATGTGTGACCGAGCAGCCAAATTTCATGAAGGACGAATATGACGAGAAAGGAAATCCCAAGCTGGGAAACATGACTCAATACGTGGCAAACGTCACCATGAAACTCAATTTAAAAGCAGGAGGGGTCAACCATACAGTGACCGGGCTGACGGACTCGTTAAAAGACACCCTTGTCCTTGGAGCTGATCTTACACATCCCTCTCCTGGAAGTGTGGAAGGGGCCCCGTCGATCGCTGCACTTGTTAGAAGCGTCGGAACAAGTGGTGGTAAGTGGCTTGGTTCGATGAGACTGCAATTTGGCACTAAAGAGAGAAAGCAGGAGGTAACAGCTCTCATACCCTTCAATCGATAAGCGTCTAATCAGTTTCAATAAGAACATTACGGATGTGAAGGAAATGGTACGGGAGCGGATCAAGGCCTGGCAGAAAGATGCCAAAACCGACAAGCTCCCCGCAAAGGTCATCTATTTCCGGGATGGAGTGAGCCATACCCAGTACGAAACCATTCGGCAAGATGAAATTCGTAAGATTAGGAGCGTGTGTGAGGGACTGGGATGGAAATCCACCGCTGCTCCAAAGATCACGGCAATCATTGTCACCAAACGTCACCACACGAGATTCTTTCCGAAAGAACTTAAGGGGTAGAATTGTCCCCCTGGAACGCTGGTTGAATGCTCAGTTACCCATCCCTGTTTCCAGGACTTCTTTCTTACCAGTCATCACGGCTTGAAGGGAACTGCAAAGCCGGCGCACTATCTCGTCTTGGAGGATGAGAACAACGTGAAGATGAAAGAGATCCAGGACTTGGTAAGTGTTTCTTTAAAGAGTTATCATCTTTTGCAATTCGACCTTGTCTTACCAGTCATATGCAGACGCATAAGCTATGCTATACGTACGTTCGAGCAACTCTTGGGTATCGTATGCACTGCCAGCATATTACACTGACAGGCTCTGTGAGCGTGGGAGGCTCTATCTGTCATCTGTATTCAATCCTATCGATGGTGATAGGCCATACTACAAGGGTGATGATAAGACTGTCCAAAGAAAAATAAGAGACGAATGGAACAATAACAGAGGTGACCGAAACCCTTGGCATTCCGCTCTGGATGATACGATGTTTTGGATGTGATGATGGACGGGGTGAATCTACGATGGCGGTTTTACGTTCCTTGAGCTTAGCAAAATGAGTTGCTGGTGGTTCAACACCTTTGGAAACTATGTGGTCGGCGGAATGTTTAGTTCTGATGGGATTTTTTGGGGACGAGACGCTGGATGATCTGGACTGAAACTAGATAGATCCTTTCTTGGAGTATATCATGCATAGAAGACTACTTGTGCCTTGAATAGATATCGTCACTACATCCTCTTCTTCGAAAAAATAACATACCAACATTGAATCATCAGTTGCTTCACGTGACGTTATCCTATTTAGTTCTAGCGTTCCCGCACACATTCCTACCTCAACTCCTCCGTCCCTCGCTCCACCTTCACCTTCACGATCTCCATCCTCAAACCTCTTAATTTGAGAGTGCGCATCAGCCCTTATAGTTACGCGATGAAGCGTTCTTAGTTTACCTGCTGTCGCTCCAGCCAGCCAACGTCAGCGAAAATGCTTCTCTCTAAAGATTTTTCGCGGAGATGTTCGATTTGAGACCCAGTCATCAACTCCATGAAACAACTATATCTCCGCATGTTTAGTTCCTCTCGATTGGCGTTAGATTGTATCGAGCTTCAAACTGTTGCTAATATCTCACAATTGGTTTTCAATCGACGAGTGTGCTCGTTTGAGGAGATGACCCCGTTTGGTCCTCGTTGCAGTATCGATCGCACATCTATCAAACGACGGTTTATCAGCTTTACCCCAGTTTGTGGCTACATGTGTTTGGTTTCTATAGACGTGTTCTACCAAACCCGTCCTCAGCAAATCTGAAAGTTTGAGGCTTGATACCGTAATTAGCTTATGCAAGCCAGTGTCTCAGATCGTCCCTGGGTAAGTTTGGTGGCTGCATCTGGGCCATCTCGCTGCTTGTGTGCTTAATTCAAACTAAGTCCATACGTTCTCATACGAAAACTGCTAGACAGTTTCAGCAATCTTTGCTAAGTGGCGGCAGCGTGAGCGAAAGCAATCGATGACTTGGTCGGTTTGAATAGCTACATAAGAGTCGAAGAATATAGCTCTCTTCAGTTCATCATCCTCAGATCTTGCATCACCATCCAGTTCTGGTTTTACTCCGAACTCTTCTGACAAATCGATTGCATTAAGATGGAAGGGAAATACATCGACGACTGGTACAGTAAATGCAATGATGAACAGCGAAAGTTGGCAGACAAGAAGAATATCCTAGGTTGCCCTCGATGCAACAATGATGGCCATGCTTTGATCAATTGCCAAGAGAATCTTGCTGGTCCGAAGAGGTGGGCAAATGAAAATCGAAATAACAAAAGGTTTTTCGAGGTCGTTTTCCAGTGTATTCGTCATGAATTCAAGAAGGCACAAGCAGAGGGAAAACAGAAGAAGAAATCAGCCCAATCCAGGGCACCTCCGTCTCCTTCTCTTCCACATAGACCTGCTCAGCCCTCAGGATCTGCGACAGCCGAAGAACAGTCTACGACACTTCCAAAACCGATCCCGGAGAACGCGACCAAATCCGTGAAGTACGATTACTTGAACAATTCAGACTTTTGGAAACGCGAGCCAAACAGAAACGCTAACGATGGTCTGTATAATGGTCCTACTCACAAACTCAAGAACAAAGCACCAGGAAGCGATGAAGTCAAAGTAATTTCCAACCATCTTGTTGTTCAGAATGTGCCGTCATTGCTGAACGAGTACTCCATACAGTACACTCCGAGCAGGAACCGAGTTGAAAAGCGAAGAGTTTTCGAAGCTCTCCAAAAATCACAGCCGCATCTAAGACTCAAACCCGGTAGTGACTCGGCCACGGATTATGACACACTCTGGATCAACAATCGGCTTCTTGACAGCCCACTGGAATTCATAGATCTTCCGTATACAAGGCCCAGTGGAGCCAGTGGTTCGACTATCGTCAAGCTTGAATTGAGAACCAGCTACGAACCTGGAAAACTCCGAGAATATGCCGAAAAGGGCGAGTTTGACAATCAAAACGGAACTATTCGAGCTTTGAACGCAATAATGTCCGACCGAATGTTGGAGGGAAAAACGCACGACGCGGCGGGACAAATCAAACGGGACGGAATTTCACGGCCGAAAGCGAACAAATGCTTTCTCAACAACGGTATAACGCAGCTTGGGAATCAAGAAAGCCTCATATCTATTCGGGGATACTTCTTCTCCATTCGCCCTGGCACAGAGAACACTTTGCTGAACGTCAACACAGCGACATCGGCTTTTCTGAAGCCAATCCTGGTCTCGAAATTCATTCAGATTCATGGTACATCCGATGCCGCCGAAAAGGTCTTGAAAGGGGCAAACCTAAGGGTTACATACTTGAGAAGGGACGAGAACGAAGATGTAGACCGAAATGCTGAAGATAATAGGGGCAAAGTGTTCCGCCAGCTAGGCGACACGGTGAAAGATCAGGAGTACTTCGTGCGAGGAAGTGACGGCCGGATGAGAAAAGGAGAGAAAGTCATGGCCTATTTCGAAGGTATGCGGGAGAAGCTTGATATTGCATTCGCTATCTGCAGCTCTGCTAACTAGGTTTGCCAGGTCTCGGAGTGGAAGTCGATCCGAGTGACTTGTGCGTGAATGTCGGACAAAATTTCCAGTGTGCGCACGACATCAAAGGGCAAAATAAGAGCAGCGATCAGATGAGACTAGAGAGCGAGAAAGGTGCGGTCTGGGTCCCTGCCAGTTGTCTCGAGATTTTACCAATGCAACCGGTCAAAATCCCGCTCAACTCGACACAGACCTCTGACATGATCTCGGCCGCTCTTCGGTCGCCCGGCGACAATGCGAGGCTGATTGTTGGTGAAGGTCTCAAGAGCCTCGGTATTAGCGGGGGCGACGGTAGGGCCAACTTTGTGAGCACGATCCTGATAACCCTGAGTAATGTTACCGTAACTGACCGTCTACAGGAGGGTATTGGTTTCAATATCAACACTTCATTGGTTGAGTTCATTGCTCGCATTCTTCCGTCACCAAGATTGTCCTATGATTCAAAAATCCAACCGACCATCAAGGATGCCTCTTGGCACCTAAAGCAAGCTCCTTTGGTCCGCGGAAAAGAGATCGCGGAGTGGCCTTTATTCCAAGGAAAAGTGATCGCGCCGTGGCTCGAGGTAATTTACTTGAGAAACTCCAATTTTTGCGAGCCGGAAAAACTGGGAAAAGCACTGCAACAACATCTGACCAACTATGGGATCAAGATCACCAATGCTTTCGACCCGGAACAGTGTGTTCACCAGATCAAATGGGCAGCCGATATAACACTCCGAACCGCCGTCGCTGATGGTTTCAATAAAGTCTTGCAGGACTCAATGGTTCTGGTCATCTTACCTAACGATTACAAAGAGCTCTACAGCACTGTGAAAAGAGAAGGCGATAGCCGTGGCATTCTCAATGTGTGTTGTTTGCAAGGTAAGTACGGGACCCGAGATTTGAAAGTGAGTTCAGTTAAGGATGAGAGGACTGGCTCTGAGATCAAGACATACCTTCCGTTACCTCCAATGGCACAGAAGCTCTCCAATCTGGCACTTAAGTTCAACCTCAAACACGGGAAGGACACCCATCGTATTGAGGGAGGTATACTGAGGAAGACTGAGGACACAATCGTCATGGGCGCCGATGTTGGGCATCCCCCTATCGGAGGAGCTGACGGGAGCCCATCCATTGCCGCAGTGGTAGGAAGCCTCAACCATCATATGATGAATTATCCAGGTTCAGTTCGTCTACAAGCTGGCGGTCAAGAAGTGAGTTGAAGATTGTAGTTACGAGACGTAGTTGCTTATTGTACTTAGATCATAGGAGACCTCAAGGGAATGGTCTCGGAACGCCTTCAGGCCTGGAATTCGGAAAACGGAAAATTTCCTACCAGGGTCCTTTTTGTAAGTCAATAAAGTCCAGCTTTGGCCCCTGGCATGGTCTAATCTTCACTATAGTACAGAGACGGGGTCTCGGACAGTCAGTTCAAGCAGGTTAAGGACATGGAGATAAACGCAATCAGAACGGCCTACAAGGAGGTGACAGGGAATCCGGCGTCGTCGCTGGAGCTCACTTTCGTGGTCGTAGGCAAACGACACCATACCCGGTTTTACGCAAAGGACCATATTGGCTCGTATAAAGACAACAAATCTGGAGCAGTCAATGGGAACTTGAGGCCAGGTCTCGTGGTTGACCAAGTCGTTACTCTTCCGGGCCAAGACAACTTTTTCCTTCAATCTCATGCAGCCGTGAAAGGCACTGCAAGGTCAGCGCACTACTATGTGCTAGAAAATGGGATGAAGTTGACCTCTCAGGAGATCCAAGAAACAGTAAGTCATGCTTGCACCTAGTTGTCAGTTCAAACGCGGCCCTGACCATTTAAGACCCACAAGTTATGCTACGCCTTCAGTCGCGCAACCAAAGGTGTTTCGTACTGCGCTCCCGCGTACCTTGCGGATCGCCTCTGCGAACGTGGGCGATGTTACCTGCGATCTTGGCAGCAGAATCCAAAGTTTGAGCTGCCCGTTTTCGAGGAGCAAATTAGGTGGTACAATGACACTAAAAGAAGTGGTGGAATACCCCAGGGCCGTACCCAAAAGACAAAAGACAACGCTAAAGATTTTCCGAAGCTTAACAAAGATGGGATGATCGCTTGGAAGGCTGAATGTGCTAAGATGCTGGCTAACTCTGAACACTGGAAGATTCCGGTTGCCGACACGGTCAAAAAGAACCCCTGGAATGAAAAGTTCGACAAAGTCATGTTTTGGATTTGAATGAGGAGGAAACGAGCTCAGGATAAGTTGCATCACCTATTCAACTAGGAGTGCTGTCGTGGAAGAAAGCTCGGGGTCTTGATATGGAAGAGGTGCTTGACTGGGAAAGATGTAAAGACTGAAGGAAGGCTTTTTGATTCTCAAGTGGTCGCTGATGGTTCAACACCTCCTGGTATGGTCCGAGCTTTGCGAAGATGGCTGATTGTTCTACGTTGGCGTTCTAATTCTGTAGGGTCTTGATTGGGTAGCAAAATATTTTCCGGAAGACTCTCCATACTCCCATGCATGTTCAAGTGGCAGAGTGGTGATCAGATGTATCTCGCGTTATTTGACGAATGATCACGTGCGAGCTGAGGCGACATGTCTTGGCTGACGTCAACGCTCTCCCAACGTCACTCTTCCAGCACCATTCCGAGGTTGAAGCCTCTCCAAGGCAGCACAGAGGGTCCCATGGGCCAAACGCCTAATTGCACCTAAATTAGGATACAGAAGCAACCAGAGCCTAAAGCCTGATCGATCTGGGGATGCAGCACAATTGGGTGAATGGCTGGCTAGCAGAGCTAACAGTCCGCGTGGAACCGCTAGGTGCCCCGCCTGTGACGCACTTGTCCTAGATGGCGGGCGCGGGTTCTGTTTCTGGTACGGCAACGTCATGGCCTCGAGAGCCTTACTTAACCAGACCCTTTGTCTTGGAGTTGAATAACAACCACATCACCACATACACCCCACTTCATACAAGCACCACCGTATACCCCAAACCCTTACAGACAATCTGTAACCTAACAATCAATATGGAAACCGTCAACAATGTCGCCAGTGCTGCGAGCAAGCTCATTTGGGGAGAGGGCGAGCAGGCCCAGGAGCGCACCACGACCAACGAGACTGGCGGTTTAGAACCCCTCTCGGGCGAGCAGGGCAAAGGCACTGTGAGCGAGCCTTTTGACAAGGGCAATTCGGGTAAGTTCGATCACTCAAATGTGACTGCCCGGCATTCCATCCACGGATATCGCTGCAGGGTGTATCACCTGAGAAGAAGACATTGAAAGGTCAATTAGCTGACTTATATGCTCCAGAGAATCCCATCTCCGGTTAGTACTATTCAACTTCTTTCAGTTATCAGCCCTTCTTGACTACACCGGAAATACCACCGACTCCCCGATTCGAAGGGACATGCCCAACGAGACACCCACAGAAGGCACAAACGACCTCTTGAGCAGAGGAAATCACAATAGAACATCTCCCCAAGGCTCTTCACTGCCTCTCCAGACAACACTCGTCAAATCGAAGCCAGCATCCCATTCTTCTGTCCAATCGAACGACATCGTCCCACCCTCACCATGTCGTTCTTCCACCAGACCGAACGCCGACTACGCAATAGCACCTCCCCCCTAGTCGTCCGCACCCGGCCGCAGCTCGACCTCCTCATCCACGACAACTACCACGAGTACACCGACTCTGACGGTTACTTTCATCTAAACATCTCCTTTCAACCCAGAACTAACAGTTTTTGCGCCTCAGGTGAACGCATATCCGCCGCATCCCCCTCTCCCGGCTTCGGTCAAACCTCCACTACGACTGGCGGGATCTCGCACCCAGAGAACGAGACCTCCAAGACCGGCGACGTGTCTGCCCCTTCCACATCCACCTCAACTAGCAATCCCGGCCCCAACCCTACCTCCGCGGCTGCCGGCGGTGTTCCACATCCCGAGCATGAGACCTCCAAGACCGGCGTCGTAGGCAGCATGGGCTCCGACCCCAAGGGCAGCGACGTGCGGCCCACCGAATCCGCGGCCCACACCGGTGCACCACCTGAGTCTGGTGCCGCTCCAACTCAGAAGCAGCAGGGCGCCGCAAACCCGACCGACGAGCCGGAGAAGGGCGAGTCGAAGTCAAAGTCGACGATGAACGTCGACGACATCGACGGCGAGGAGGCGCTGAAGAAGAAGGACCCGAACGACCACTCGGGCGAGCCGATGCATATGCATGGTGGCGACGGTGGTAGCGAGGAGAAGAAGAAGACGAAGCTTGAGGAGAGGCGGGAGAGCAAGGCAGGCCAGGAGGGCGGACAGGAGCTCGGCAAGGAGGAGCACGGGACCGGCGAGCAGTGGGTGAAGGCACGTTACCCCTTACCCTTACACCCGTCGATGTCGGATATGCACCTAACATGATATTAGAGCACTGGCCTCGCGGCCGAAGGCGGCGATTTCGATGCTACCAAGCCTGGCGCCGGTCGCGAAGCCGACCGCCTCTTGGAGCAGAAGGGCATCCACAAGAGCAAGCCCGACGAGACTGCGAAGGACGACACCTCGACCGCCTCCCCGACGCCCTCGGGCACCAAGGAGAAGGTCAGCCTGGCCGACAAGGTCAAGAACAAGCTGCACATCGGCCACAAGGATAAGCCGTAAATGGCTCTTCTTGTCCACCGAGTTACACACACATACCCATACCCTTGCGATTCCTATTCTGGCGTTGTGTTAGTATGATTACGAAACCCGGATGGCTAGCTGGCAGGCTGCGAATTTGACGGGGCAACCATGACAGCGGCGCTGGCCTGGCGCGGGTTTCTTTTCTCTTTCTCTTGAATTACCTTTGTATACTTAGTTTCTTACTTCGATAATGAAGTTATGATCCAATGATTACATCGCTCACGTGCAAAGGGAAGGCATGGATGAAGTATTACACTGTCTCGCGCTCTCATTTAATGTCATACACGTCATTGTATACGCCGTTCGCTTTGACAGAAAGAGACAGAAAATGAAATAAACCCCATGAAACAAAAACACAGTCAAGGAAAAGGAAAGGGAAAAGGAGAGAAAAGGTACAAGAAAGTTCAATGACCCGACCACAACAATAAGACGCCCGCCACCAACGTTTCCATAACACCGGTACCTAGCAAGACTGGCGAGGAGGCGGGAAGTGAGGAGCACACATACGCCCAACGCTGAGATCCCAAGTGCTTTGCCAGATGAAATACGCCATGTATGATCATTCCCGCCGACGAGCGAGAGGAGGGAGGAGGACAAGAGAGCTCAGAGCCGCCCCGAGTACGCCAGCAATGCCGTTTGCTTGAAGATGCATGCAATGATTCAAGAATCGGACTCTCATGACTTCGTGCGCGCGAGGGTAGCGTTGCCGACGCTGCCAACCCTCCCGCTGACCTTGCGAACACCGGTCTTGTGCTCTCCGCTTCGTCGTGACGGGCTGGATCGCTTGCCGACGCTGAGGTCGCCGCGGCCTGTGCTCTTTTCCCGCGCGGGCGTCTTGGGTCGGTTGACGCCTTGGTTCTCGATGTCGCTCTCGCCGCCGGGGACCCATGCCGTCGTAGTGATGGTTGAGGTGGTAGTGGTTGTGCAGCTCACGGCACGGCGCTTCTCCTTGGACATGGGCGATCGGGATGCTGTCCGCCGAGCCATCAGGCGCAATTGGTATTCCTCCTCGCTCTCAGACTCGCCTTGGGTGTACCGTTGTATGGTTGTGATCTCCGCATCGGGCTTCACGAAAGGCTCGTTCTCGTGAGCTCGATGAGAAGGATGCCTGCTGCTGACTCCCCCGTATAGCTTGCTTGTTTTCCGTGGTTGACCAGGTGTGGGAGCAGGGAGGTTCTCGTCTTGGATCATGGAGCTGCTTCCGCTGTTCTGGTCATTCGAGTGGATCTCGCCGAGAGCTGACCGCTTCTGGGAACCGTTGGGAGGTGTGAAGGTCTGTCCGTTGCTAGCGAGGCGTTGCTTGTGCAGAGTCCTCGTGGGTGTAGATGGCATCATTTCAGCCATCTTGGCCTTCATCGTGTCCTCGTAGTACCACTCCCGGAAGGTGCCTTGGTTGAGGTGTAGCCAATGTTGTTGCGGCCCAACAACCATACCCGGCCGCATGAAGCGCATGAACGCAATGATCTCGTTCGCCGTGAATCCGTGCCTGTATATCAGGTACGCGCCGATCAAGCACCCTGTGCGTCCGAGACCCGCCTTGCAATGAACTGCGATGCCTTGTTTCCGGACGGTGATCACCTCATGCGCCAGATTGATCCACTTCTTCACCAGTGAGAGAGGAGGGCAAGTACCATCATCGAATATCATGTCGAGATGTTGGATGTTGAGCGCTTCGAAGTATGAGGGCGAGTACAACTCAGAGTTGAGTCGCACGACCAGACCGATATTGCGCGCAGAGAAATGAGATAGCACATTCTTGAAAGGTGTGGGCAGATTCGATTTTTGTACGTCGGCGATATTCGTGGGGAGTGTGTCATACATCGGAGAAGATTGTGGTATCACGTGGGTAGGCTTGTGTTGTGGTGATGCGAAAGCGAGGAAACTCGGTGTCAACCAGTTGAAGTCTCCCATGTCAACGCGCTCGTACTTTTCATACCTGGGTCGCTGTCAGTGTCGCACACGATATGGTGGTGAGTGCACATACTCCTCTAAGCTGAACTCCTTCAGCCCACATAGGCCCTCCTCCTTGGCCTTCCACACTCCGTACACAACATCCTGGATGTTGATCACATAGTCGGCCTGACTGTACCCTGCATCTCTGAACGGCATGCATGGGGGATCCATTTGCGCAATCGGCGCGAGGGCTAGATGTGGTGGCCATGACTGTATCAGGACCATGTAGCATGCCAAGATGCAGGCCGCATTTGCGCGACCTTCAAAACATTAGGATCCGACCAAAACATATGTTGCTATGGGGACTTACTCCTTGAATCAGCATTGCTCCAGAAAACGACACCCCTATCCTCGTTCGCTGGATCTCCGAGCACTTCATGCAGCTGCACCGCGAATCTGTACAAATGTCCAATGTGGAGTGGGCCAAAGTCGGCGTGAAAGGCGTTGTATAAGAGATTTTTGTCGATTGAGAAGTAAACCGGAGGATTGTTTTTCGGGCCAGTAGCTGTGGGGCCTGCTTGTGCTCGCGATGATCGCTTGCTCGGGGATCGACTCTGCTTGGGGTAGGGAAACGGTGTGTTGGCATCTGGAGTATGGGTGTATGAGGCTAGGTACAGTCGGTCTAGCAGGTGACAATGTCAGCGTTAGGCAAGATTGGAAGGTGACAGTTTCGTGTCTCCAATGGTGCGCAAACATACCTTGAATGTACTCAATGACTTGCCCATAGCTGGTCGCAGATCCAGGAGGCATTGTTGTGATGGCGGTGTTTGGAGATGCGCCGTTTGCAGAGAGCAAGCACAACACTAGTAGCTCTCTCTCTCAATTCTTTGTACAGTGAGATATGTCTAAGCCTAAGACCAGGAGCGAGCAAACACTGAGGCGGCGAGAATGGCAAAGCGTCGAAGTGGTGAGCGGCGGCGGTGTGTTGTGGGGGTGAGTATGGTGTTGGCGGCTATTGTTGTGGTCGCAAGAGTCTCCAGAGCTTGTCCCGACATGCAATAAACAATAGCTGTAAAGATGTGGTGGGATCGAAGCGGAGTGGGAGAGAAGTAGAGAAGTTGTAGGTAGAGAGGGCCAGCACCTCTAGCATTGGCGATCTCCCATGTTGACAAACATTGGACTTTAGCGTGCTGGGACCTACGCAGCCCGCCAGCACGTGCGCCAAGGAACCGCCACAACAACATTCAGGGACCTCGTCGGTAGGAGCTAGGACAAGGCATGTTTCATCGCAAGTCCAATGGCTCACTTTGTTTGGTCTGGGAATGCGCTGGCCATGACTGCATGAACGACCCACCGCACACGCAGCACCACAACAGAGGAAAGGGTCTAGATTTTCGGATTCACCCATACCGGCGAAACAGCGCAAACAGTACAGAGTATTGGCAAGTATACAGAGTCCTATCTGGAAAGGCCCCGGTACGAATCTGCCGTCCCCAAGGGTACCGTGAAAAGTCTTGGAAATTCGGTCCGTAGTCATTATTCGTCTCCAAAGCTCTTCCTGCCATCAGTCTTCCGACAATACCTGGGGAACACTCAAAGATATACTCAATTCCATCCGGATAAGTCTCGTTTCTGTAGTAACCCTTACAAAAGACATCCGAGTTAGTCCCACGTCACAAATTTCAGTGATTACCCGGACCTCTGTAATCCACAACTGTTCCTGCATGATCTTTACGGTCCCCTATTCAGGGTCTCGTTAGGACTACGGTACTCATACAAACGCATTGAGACTGTGACTGTCTGTTGGACACGGCGGCTGTTCTTGGTTCGCACATTGGTACCGCCTGGTAGGGTATACCCAAGAGAGAATTCCTGCGTAAGCTCGACCATCAGTCGCCCGCGATGATTCGAAGAGGGCGACTACAAGGCTGGCTCAAACGCCCTATATCCGAGTTTCGGCCATGGGCAGAGTTCAATGGCGTCTCATTCGACGGTATCAAGATAGGGCCGCTACCTGGATTTGAGGGCCGCGGGTCAACCGTCATAGCGGAGCGAGACCTGGCTACAGGCAAAGAGCCACCTCTCGTGGTTGTGCCCACGGATCTAATTCTCTCCCTGGAAGGCGTAAATGTATCTGCAAAGGCTGACCAGCAACTGAAAGAGCTGCTTGACTCCTTGGGTCAGTTCGGAAGAGTGAGTCTGCTTTCATTCAAGAGACTCCCTACAATCTTCTGCACATTTGTTGCTACCAGAATCACACCCAATGATCACGAATATCGCTTTCTAAATACCAGGCCCTAACTTCATGTGCAGACTGCTAGAGGCGCTATATTGGTGTTCCTCCTCTTCCAGGCTTCAATATCATGCCCAGATATACCAGAAAGTGTGGGAGTGCCATGCCCACTGACAGAGTACGGCATTCAGTATCAGAGTACATCAAGATTCGCTAAGGTTTCTCACAGATATATCAAATTTCTTCCTGAGGAGCTTCTACCCACCTTTTGGACCGAAGACGAACACGAAATCCTTTTAGGAACCACGCTAAAACCGGCCATCAACGCGAAACTTAATAGTCTATTTCGGGAATTTGAAGAGGTCAGGACTGCTACAGCTAATATAGGATGGTGTAAAAAGTATTGGTGGGATGAAGATGACGGCTTCATTACTTTCGATGACTGGATGCAAGTGGATGCAATGTATCGATCCCGGGCCCTCGAATTTCCCGGCATAGGAGACTGTATGGTTCCTTGTGTAGATATGGCGAATCATTCGTCTGGCGATGCGACAGCCGCACTATACGAAAAGGACGAAAATGGAAACGGCGTGCTTATATTGCGCGACGGCAAGAGTATCAAGAAGGACGGGGAGATAACAATCACGTAAGGGACGGTACCTGTACGAAATGCACTAGCTGATAGGCTCAGATATGGCGACGACAAGGGAGCGTGTGAAATGATATTCTCCTATGGATTCATTGAAGACTCCATGGACTCTGCGAAGGTTATGTTCATTGATCTCACGATACCAGACGATGACCCTCTCCGGGCAGCGAAGCTAGCTGTCAGTACCGCCGCACCAGGGTTCCGATTGTTCGATAAAGGTGATCGTACGGACTGGGAAAGTGACTTCATATGGCTCGTCTGCATCAATGAAGAGGATGGTCTCGGTATCAACTTCTTGCGGACAATCGACGGCAAATTGGAGATGAAGTCTCTTTGGAAGGAGGAAGAGTTGGCTGGCACTGCAGATCTAAGAGGCCTTCTTCAAAACGAAGAGCTGTGGGATGTCTACCAATTGCGCGCGGTTGCCATTCTGCAAGGCCGCGTCGAAACCCAGATTAGGACGCTCTACGAGACGGGTGATCCTGAAAGAGGAGACCACATTAGAGACATGCCGTGGAAGCTAGCCGGGAGACTCCGTGAACTCGAACTAACACTGTTAGAGAGAGCCTACGGAGACCTCGAAGATCAGGTACGTCATCCATGATACCCAGCCCTACAGATACATGCGTTTGCCACCCCCAGACCAGCCAACGTGTGATATGCTCGCTTGCTCCCGACACCATCTTCCCCGCATCCTACGAACTCCATGGAAGCCACTGACGGCGTGAATGATGCAGAAGCTTGTGCTCGTTCAATCACAGGTCGTTAGGAAGTATCTCGGCCTGGATGATGACGAGGCCGTAGAAGAAGATTTTACCTAGGCAGGTTTGCTTCTGAGAGAAACGGCTTTCGGTAGAAAAGCAATAGCCACGGCTATTCAAGAATATCACAAGCATTTACTATGTCACCTCACCCAATATTGACACATCGCCCGAGCATTCTCATCGACCGAACAGTTACTTTCTTTTTTCGTTTCCGAGACTCACGGGAGTGTGAGTAGATAAATACGAAAGCGTTTGGTGATCCTCGTCAGTGTGATGATCACCGGAGATTGCCCCAGAGGATCCAGAGGGCGGCGCTCCTGAATCTACATGAGGAGTGCCCGCAGCGATCGAGGTGGAAACACAACATCTTGCACAACGTGGATCCCATCTCACAACTCCATCCTTGATTGCACATCTCCCACATGAGTAAGGGCTAGAATAGTCAGCCGGCTTCGCTGACCGCCCTTCCGAGCAGCTATTCCACACTATCCTACTATACATACACAGGCCTCCACTACGCGTTCATCCAGAGACTCTTATTTTTCTTTCTTTCAAAATGCCAGTGGCTTGACAAGAGTTGCTCCGACCGGCAGGCTGGTCGTGGGGCAGCCATCGGCCCAACTTAATTCAGGGATGGTGCCGTCTGGTGTGTTCACCTGCACGGCCATGGCCTCACCCGCCCAGGTCTGCGCAACCTTCTGGCAAGGCGCGCGGCGCAGTGTCTCGAACGAGGTGATTCGGCGCAGAACGTAAATCATCCTGGGGCAGTGGCCTAATGTAGCTTCGCGATAGAAGTCATATGGGCGCAGTGGGCATTGGCGCCCCTCCACGGGGCTGATCCTTGCCCCTCGCAGCTGTCATGGCTGGCCCATTGAATGCCTTCTGTCTCGATCAGAGCGGAACGGCAGATGTGATGGATGACGATGCTCCCGGCGACGCTGCGGAGAGGGACAAAGCCAGTGCTCCCGGCTCCGCGCCGTCTGTCAAAGCCATCATGTGCTTCCCCGCAACGACCATGGTCCGCGGCGCCTCGTGTTTCGGCGCTGGAACGCACTCAGGGCGCGGCCAGTGAGGATCGGGTGCCAGGCCCAAACGCGGAGAGGGTGCGGAGACGTGGACGAGGGTGCAGCAGTCTGGGGCAGGTCGCGACGGGCTCTGGCGACGAAAAAGGAACGGGAGGGCTCGTCCAGCGCGCCAGAAATGGGGGCGTGCTGATTCGCAGGCTGCAGAAGGCCCTTTTCCCCGCGAAGTGATCGTTTTCTGGGGTGCTGGGCAGCCCACGCCGCGCTGGGCAAGGCGTGCACAACGACGCCGCCGGCTCCTCCGCTGAATCCTCTCCCGCCACAGGCCAGTCGGTCCTCATATTCGCTGCACCAGCGCCGTTTCGCTGCTCGCCTGATCTGCTCCCTCTCGCATCCCGTCTCTCTCACCTCTCACCGCGCGTTTTTCTGGCCTCAACACCACGCTCTTACCCCCATTATCGTCGAATAACGCACGCGTCACCCCTCCGGAACCGCTGAATGGTGCTCTGCCGAATTACCGCACTTTCATCCGACGTCCTGCGGGACTAAATCACGCACCCACTGTTCTACTGTTCTGAGCGCCATATATACCGCACCACCCCCCGTCGACCGCCAACATGCCCGGCATTCTCCCCATGAAGGTCATCAAGGTCGGCAGCAGCGCCCAGGCCCGCATCGCCCAGGCCTGCGACCGCTGCCGCTCCAAGAAGATCCGCTGCGACGGCATCCGCCCGAGCTGCTCGCAGTGCGTCAATGTCGGCTTCGAGTGCAAGACGAGCGACAAGCTGAGCCGAAGGGCCTTCCCGAGAGGATATACCGAGTCGTTAGAGGAGAGAGTCAGAGCGCTCGAGGCCGAAGTCAGGGAGTTGAAAGATCTGTTGGACGAGAAAGATGAGAAGATCGACATGTTGAGCCGGATACATTCACATTCGCCGCAGCCGTTGCTGAGTCCGAGGAGGCCGTCGACGAGCCCGGAGATGGAAAGTCGGGAAGAGACGGTGGACAAGGAGGACGTGTTCAAGGTGCAGCAGAGCCCGCTGCTCTTGGATGACGAGAACTGTGATTCCTTCTTCGTTGGAACGTCAAGCGGGAGGACGCTCATCGGTATGGCTATCACGAACAGTTTTTCAAATCGCATTCTAACTCAGAGTAGACGCCTTCAAGCATAAGATGCAAGAATCCGGCCGTCTTTGCGCAGACATCAGCTCAGGCGCCTTTTTCGGCAACGGCTCGAAAGAATCAGCGAGCAATTCACGAACACGCATCGTCTCCTGGAACGCGCCGCCGCGTCTAGTGTCTGACCAGATGATCAACATCTTCTTCCAAGAGTGGGCGCCGCTGTTCCCGGTTCTTCATCGGCCGACGTTCCTCCACCTGTACGAGAAGTACGTCGCAAGCCCCGAAAGTATGACCGACAAAAAGTCAATCGCGCAACTCAACCTCGTCTTTGGAATCGCGGCACTGTCAAGTGATGTAAGTTAACAGTTGCTTATTGTGAAAGCTCTCGCTAATTCCCAAAGTCACATGAGGATAAAGACTTCGACTCGTTTGAGTCACAATGGCAGAGTGCGCTCGATTCATTCTTGATGGACAACTGCATGCAAACACTGCAATGTCTCATTCTTGCGCAAATCCATTCTCTCCTCCGATCGGACTTCGGGCGGCTCCTCAAGTATAAGGGGCTGGCTGTCAGCCTGGCTCAACGCTTAGGCCTTCACCAGTCCCAAAAACGGTTCGCGCTTGGTGCTCTGACTAGCGAGACCAGGAAGAAGGTGTTCTGGACCTTGTATACTATCGATTGGTATGACCGCATCTCCGAAGTCTTTGGATCCGTCGCTAACTTCTGAAGCTTTTCCGCTGCACATCTTGGACTACCCAAACTCCTTCGGGAAGAAGACGTCGAATGCGAGTACCCGGCTGATGCCGATGACGAATATGTTACGGAGAAGGGCTTTTTGCCAACTCTACCCGGCGAATTCACGAAACTCTCCAGTGCTCTCGCATTGTTCCGAGTCACTCGCGTGCTCGCCAAAACCCTCCAGGAACTCTACCCTGCGTCGGCGTCACATGAAATCTCTTTCCGCGCTCTAACGTCGCTCGCCGACGAACTCGAGGACTGGTTGAATAACCTCGCTCCTCATCTCAGATTACACTTCCAACAGGACAAGCCGAGTACCAATGTGACGAGTAGCCGATCGCCGATTCTGGTACGTGTCACATGCCAATGAAGTATGAGACCCGCAGCTAACATTTGATAGTCGCTTGCGTATCACCACATTCGCTCCCTAGTATATCGCCCAGCAGTCCTTGCCAACATTGGTGACCGAGGATCATCGGCCCTCGTTGCCGTTGCGGATTCCAGCAAGAGTATCGTCCAGATTGTTCAGCTGTTGGACGAGCGAAACCTCAGCTTCTCTTTCTGCCTCAATCGGAACGAGATCCTTGTTCAAGCCGGATTCGGTCTCCTGTTCCAGACCTTGAATCTGAACCAAGATGGCAAGCTCATGAAGGACTGTCAGAGGACAGTATGCTCTGTCATTGAGATGCTTGACCGCAACTCTGCAACCGGTGCAGCAGACTTCCGTCGCGTAGGCTGCTCCATGGTCGCTGTCCCCCGCGCAGAGAAAGCCCTCCCCATCACGCTATCCCGCCACAACTCCGAAGGCAGCATGCCCGCTCCTGCAGACACATTCAGGGCTACCCAGAAACACCTCAAAGCCATTGCCTCTCGCTTCACCCCGAAACACTCCCGCAACGGTTCCAATGAATCCCGCCGCGCCACTCTCGCCAGCATCACTCCCTCGATGACCCAGCACACCAACCAGTCTTCCTCTAGTATCTCCTCGATCCGCTCAGAACAAGGGCACGCCCGCTCCGAGCCCACAATGAGCCCCCTTACCCACCGCAGCTCCATCCCCACCAGCCACTCCAAGCGCCATCCCTCTGCCAGCCCTAGCAACAGCGCCCTACGTCAGAACCCGAACCTCGACTACCTCTCTTTCGCTCAGGACCCACTATCATCGTACCCGTTCACTGCCACAATTGGTGGTAAATCTGAAGTCTCGCCAACAGACTGGGAACGCCTCCTCTCGTCCCTCGACAACGGCCAGACGAATATCTATGACACCATCTACGGCGGCCCGCCCGTTGACGGGCTTCTCGACGTCCCACACCTTTCAGCCGGCGCTGAAGCGCATCTTGCGTGGGCGCCGGGTGTTTGGGGACTAGGCGATGTGGGCGCGCAACAGCCACCGCAGAGTGTGTTGAGTTTCAGCGATGAGAGCCTGACGAGCGGAGAGGATTTCGGGAATTGCGAGTTCGGAACGCAGGCCGGGGGGGAGCAGGTGTTTCACGGGATCATGATTCCGGAGACTGGATTGGATAGGAATTATGGGATCTAGGGAGTTCACAAAAAAAAATTGAGCAAGAGGAGGAGGCTCAGGCTGGGTTTAGAGGAGTACGAAGGTGTTATGCGACAATGATGGGTATACCACTGGAGTGGCGTGTGATATCTGAAACGTTTCAAATCTTTTCCTGGGATCTTGGGTGTTGAAAGGGTGTATTGGGAGAAAGTGTTGCTGTTGTATTGGATCTAACTACCTCTATCTTGAGAGTGTCCTGTGTTTCCATTGGCTTGCTTACCGTTAACAGCTGTTTTCAACCATCTTAATTCGTCTATTCATAATCTCCTGACTTAATATCTCCTGGGTTCCTGTTCCTCTGTCGCGGATATGGGGAATACCACTGTGTTGTCTTCCCTTTCTTCGTCTCCTTAGCCCCGGATTCACGGGGTACACCGCAGTCAGTCTCTACGACCACGTTTTCCCTTGACCCACCGTAGCGTTTCTTTCGTTAGTTGTCCGGACCGTCGACAACTTCTGTACCCCCCTCTGTACATCCCCCTGTACCTCCCGTCGGCGTTCGTAGGCGTTCCCCCTCTATCGCTATCCAGCAATAGTCCCCAAAATAGCTATTTCAGTACGAGTATCATCAATCAAAACCTTGCTTTTCCAACCATTCGCAAGCTACAATCCCTACCATTCATTGGTTCCCTGTGCCCTCCGACGTGAAACCTTAATCCAATCTCCACCTCCCCAATCTCGACCAACTGCCGTCTCTCACTCCCGCTCACCCATTCCCTCTAACGCCTCCAATGCACAATCGCCGCACATCGCTCGCCCAATCTCACCGCTCCCGCTCCCCCCTCAGCCTCATCCATCAACCCGACCACACCCTTTTCTAGCCCCGGGCCTACTTCGGTGCGCGCGGCGCTCCTAATTCCGCCACCATGAATCACGTTTGCTTTTTTCAGCAAACCGCGTCGGGGCATCGCAAGCGCTGCGACTGCCACAATCTCGCACGCTAGTCCCGGTAAGGGAAGAGACGTGCGTGTAACGTTGCGATAGTGAGATTTCCCACGTGGCATACGAGCGGAGGCATTCCGCTGACTCGGTGGGGTGGGGGGGGGGATCTGCCCATTCGCCCGGGGCCGGATGATAGGAGCACGTGAGGGGGATTAGTTGAAGCGTTGCGACTTTGGTGGCGATTATAGCGATTACGAATTGGGAAGAGGATGGGTGTGATGGGCTTCGGTGGTGGAGACGGGTGGTGGGGGCTGGCGGGAAGCGGAAGCTAGGAGGCGAGAGCGAGTGGTTTGGAGCTGGATGCGTGGCAGGGTGGATTATCGTTGGAAATGTCGCGTGAGGCTTTTTTCTCTTTTTTTAACATTAGGTGGAGAGAGTGAAGAGGACTCGATTTGGTAGAAAGAGTGAAGATGACTGATTTGGGAAGTCCTACCTGGCTGTCGCAAAAGCACGAATGCGATCTTTCGTGTGCATGCATGTCTTGGCTTTGGTGAGGTCAGCGGTGAGAAGTGTGTGATTGGTGGAAAGATTGGAGCGAGAATTGGAGAATATGCAGGCACGTTGTGCATTGGTATTCTGAGACTTTGTTGAGAAGGCCTGGGATGCATGGTCGGTGAGATCAGGTAAGCTCACGCGAGATAGCGAGACAGCGAGGGTTGGGATCTCCACGTGGATTAGAGTGGTGGAGTGGTAGGGCTCTGGGATGCCGTCGGGTCGGGGCTTGGGCACGGTCGTACGATCATGGCCTGGTTTCGAGGTGTCGAGACCTGGGTCTGGGGATTTGTGGTGGGGAGGTCGAGAACGTGGTGTGTGGGGATGAGGAGTCTCTGTATTGTGGAGAAGAGGGGAGATTAAGTTGTAGAAATGTGATCAAGATAATTGTAGATATACAATTTGTGCTGTGGATGATATATTCCGACTGTGCCGATGTTTTCCAAAGCTCATCGGCAAAGGGAAAACCTCACTTCTAGGTACCTATTTACTTTCCTATAAGCCCTATCTTAGCATCCCAAGTGCCGAACTTCACTGCCATCATCTCGTCCAGTAAGTCAACCATGCAGGGCAGTGTCCAGGCCTTTCTCCAAGTTGCTAGTTTTAGTGTTGTGTCACGCCATCTATGATGCGGCAACATCCGCCACCAACAACTTCTTCGTATCGCTGACATTTTCTGCCTAGGTTGAGCCCTGGAGTTGTAGACTGGGGATCCCTCCAAATATTGATCCTGTGTTTTCAAGAGGCAATTCTCTCCGACGCAGGGCTTGAGGAGCTCCACCCTTGCAGGCTTTGAGGGCGGGAAATTATCGTGATGCATGTCTTGGTAAAGACGCGTTTGATCCCACAGCGTCGTGTCCAGGGTCTGGGGATTCAAACCCGGGTCGTGCAGTGGGTTTGAACTCGTAACCCGAGGGAGCAGGTCCACCCAGTGCTACGGTACAGTACTGGGATAGAAATTTGCTTACACCTTTTTGACACCGCTCGTGGTGCTAATGGAAAGCTGAAGCAAGGAGCTGCAGGGTCGTTATGTGTGCATTCTTCACCAACGCCCCGAGGTAGCCCGGCAAGGCTTCAGGCCTATCAAGGGGATAGATCTGAATGTTCCTTCGATTACTAAATAATTCATCGAAGCGCTTCAAATGTACTTCGAACCGCGTCAAAACAGTGTCGACAAACTAATGTCCTAGTACCGCATTATTGCAAGAACTGATCATTCAGGTAGTCGACGAAGAGGTCCTTCACCCGCGCCTTGGAGAGCGAATGCTGCCGATTCATGGATATGAACTGCCGCCGAATGCGCTGAAGTTGCGGTAGTGTCGTAGTAGAAGCTGGGAGCTCGATCGACTTTCCGATGTCTGGGAGGGGAATGGTGCCGCCTTCTTCGCCTGGGTGATCCTTTTGCCAGGTTTGTATTTGGGAGAGAACGTCCGAGGTGGTTTTGTCAAGCTCGTAGAGGTAGTTTTGCTCTGTGGCAGGTTTCTATATGGTTTGTCGTCAGTGACTGATTCAACGAGGTAGGTGAAGGTTGATCTTTGGGACTACTGACCAGCACAGTAGCCAGGTTTTGTCTCACTACTTTCGTCTTGCCGTCACTTCCTACCATGGCTTCCCATATCTGGTCAAAAGGAGGAGTTTCATCTTCATCGAGGACTGTGAATAGCGGACTATCCCATCGGGTCATGCCATTAGGCTCCTCGTATCGGAATATCAGGTTCTCGAAGTCTTCCTCCACGTATCCGCCGTCAGTGTCTTTATCAGCCAGGAGCTTCTTATTTATCTCCCTGCACTTTTCAATGGGTGTCCCTATATGCACCTCTGGGATGTCAGATGGAGCTTCTGGTACCATGATAGACGACACGTACAACACAACTGGGCGTCTGGACAGCCTTCGCCTCGCAGAAGAGTTGGTAGCGGAAGCCCTTGATATAGTTCATGCCATCCGCTATGACGATGTCGTCCCGAGACAGCACGCGTTTAATGGCCGAGTACTCCTCGGCGCGCGCATCCTTCTCTGCCTTGGCAGTATGGTAGACATTGCGGGCCACGCCAAGGGTCTGGTCGTTGATGAGGTGGAGCTTGAGCCGGGCGACTCTAGGATCGGGAGCCTGTGCAATCTTCTGCTCAAAGAAGGCGCGTAGCTGCTGGGCACGCTGTGTCTTGCCCGACGACGGGTAGCCTGAAATGAGAATGAGCTGCGCGATATCGTCAGCCTCGGTCGCAAACGCCCCGCAGCCTAGATCCCCGGAGTGGCTGCTTCCGAAGGAGACGGAGTAACAAAGAAGCGTACTCACCGGCATGGCTGCGACGTTCAGCAGCAATTATCTTTGCGGCGGCGCTGTGTCTGAGCTTCGATACTTTTCCTCGGTATCGCGGACGGAACGCGACAGATTTGGCGGGGCAGCCACCCGAAGCAGGGGAGCTTGTTAAACTGCCCGCAGCTAGCATTCACCACTCTTTCACAACTCGGCAGGATAAAGTGCTTCCAGCCAGTTCGTAGTGGTTCAAAACGACTGACTGCCATGTCATTTGTGACAGGCTATTGAGCCACTGTAGACGGTGGCAGGCATTCGTATACGCCTAAGCTATCAAGCACATTAGAAAGACTGGATGTGTGTACAGTAAAACCTCGTTATAGTGATAGGGGTAGGGGGCTAGGGGTCGTATCACTGTATAGAAAATATCACTTTACATAGGGTCACGTGTAAGAGATGCGTAAGCCAGCCCGTCCCAAAACAGCCCAAAACGGCCCAAAAAGGAGGCGGCCGAGGGGCCACGGACCGCTCTCCCATACAAAACTAGCCTGGTTAGGATGATATTGTATGAGAGAAGGTTAGTGATACTATAGTAAGCAGAGAGCTAGTGATATTGCAGGCAAATTGGACCATCCGGCGACTTGTATCACCGTATAGAAAATATCACTGTACACCAGTATCATACTAACGAGGTTTTACTATAAAAGAGCTCCCGCGATCGCTTTCTTTGGTCATGTATGCCCAACGCTACTGGTGCACACTCCCAGTTTACAGCCCCCAACGTGCCGCCTCTGCGCTCTGGGAACGGGCTGCTGTTGTCCGGCGCGTGTCCGCGATCCGCTCGCTCCTGAGTCTCCTCCGACCCAGCACATCCCCAGAATCTCCAGCTTGTGAGCTGTTTGCGGAGGTTGCGTCCCTCGAGCTGCTGATCGCACCTCATGGCGCTCGGGTTGCAGTGCTGGGAAAGGCGCGCGCTCTCCGTCTTGCCGAGTCGGGACGGCGTGCGGCGGCGTGACGCAGCCTCGGATGAGCTCGCGCCTCTCATCAAAGACGCTCCGGCAAAGCTCCCGCCTGTGTTAGCCGTGCGACATAGACACAAGATATTTCCTTCTGGTCTCTCCATCTCTCTCCGTGTCATCTCTCTCGCTCCGTTCCCCTTCCAGATCCCGTTTCAACGCTGTCTGATCCGTCTCAACGTCTGCCCGCCAGCTCCCCCCCCACTATTCACCTTCACCTAAAATACTACCCCCACATACCACACCACCACAGCCTGACACCTGGACCCTGAAAGAAGATCTCTTCATCTCTGCCACATCTCGCAGCTTCAACCTCGCTCCCACGAACCAAGCCAGGCATACCTCACAACATGTCATCAACCGTCCCAAGTTTCTTCACTCGCCCAGCCTACCCGCACCTCCAGTCCCCCACCACACCATCTAGCTCGTCCAGCTCCGCTTTCCAGAGCTCCAGCTCGCTCTCCTCCCTTACAGCGCCTTCGTCGTCTTCTGCCCCGATGCCTTCACCATCAGCACAGCAAACACAACAGCCTTTCTTCGGCGCAATAAGACCGCAGCAACAGCAGCCCTCCCACAACCAGTCTCAGCAACAGCAACAGCCACAATACGCCGCCGAGCAAAGACAGTCAAGCTTCGACTACCGCCCCAACCGCGACGGCGCCGGTCGCACAAACGGCGAGACGAAGAATCTGCTTTCCGAGTACGCGCTTGTCGCGGAAGCGGCGAAACGCGCGCAGATGGCAGTGCTGATGCGGGATTTGGAGGGTGTTGAGTTGTGATCCGAGCTTCAATCCATCTCCTGCAACATCTAGCATGTGAAATAATGGAGGTTGATTGGGCTGGGTTGGGCTGGAATCTGTCAGGTTTGGATGAAGTGGTAATCGTCCCATCTGAACCCGGGATGGTGGTGTGCTAGGGCCCACCTGGATCTGTCTGGAGAAAAAGCGGACCGCAGATCGTGGATGGTAGCGGTCGTATTGGTGTGGAGGCCTCGTCAACTATTTCCTGCGGAGGCCCGTCCGCGGGCTAGGGAGTGGTACGCGAGGTGCATAACGTTCTGGACAACCACTCTCAGCCATTATTACCGAAATATCTTCCGGAACGGCTATCGGTCTTTCTGTTTATCCCCGCGTTTTGCCTTCTTGGACGTTGATGTTTCGTTGCGAGCCTCTCTTCCCGACCGTCCTAGCTCAGATTTCGAATTCGCTCTCTAGGCTTGTGTACACTTGCTAAGTACTGTTTGAGCTCCTCTGGTACATTATTAGAACCGAAACGGGACGGTGTTGAACAGCCGCTCTGCGTTCAATGGAGCCTGCCCGCCTTACATCCCTATCCTATCACCATCAACTAAACCTCAAATCTACTGTATATAAGTTTCACGACTCTCCTTGACGTTCTGCCTGACGGGACTCACAATTTTGGTCCCTTTGCTATTTCCTAACTTTGTATCAGATATCCCTACCCAGTTTTCCCTTTTCATTGCGAAGGAGTTTTCGGACCTAATGGTCTTTGGTTTCTTATGTAGCCGGTACCTGCTCTCGATTCCTTTCTATCTATCTCCGAGAATGAGGGCGATGAAAGAGGTCCAAATTGACGGACGGATAGATGATATGGTACACACAAGATATGGGATATATAGATTACGCAACGTGCGCAAGCAGATTAATATTCTATCAATACTCTATCAGTCATATCTCCAGCCGCCTTTTCGCCGCTGTTTGTTCTCATTCCCTCTTCGATGAACATGCAGGGTGGTTGATTCCTTAACACGTATAGCATAGCTCTGAAGGCAGAGTGGTCACATGCCCATGAACCTCATCACGTGTTACTCCGATCTCTCCTCTTTCCGAGAGTATTAAAGGTTCCGCCTCCTCGCCCTCTTCTTTGTCTTTGTCAGAGGTCGACTAGTTTCTGGGACATACGATGCAACACAAGCTCGACAGCAATACCATGGGATTCTGCTTGCGTCTGGGGTCGCTCATCAAATTCGCACTAATCCAGACAAATGGTTGGAGCTTGGTGGACTTGAGTTTGGGGGCTCAAGTGTTCAAAAGTTCCTACTACCCGTTCTATGTGGAAGTATGGTCAAACAAGCGTCGTTTTCGCCTCATGGGGAGGAAAGAATTGGGAAGGGATAGGGTCATCAGGCCTCAGGATGATGGTGGGTATTTCAGTCCATTACTACCTTCGTAAGGCTCCGCAGTAAACCCTCTTTCTAACATTCATCATTTTTCCAACTCTACACAAATGTTTCGCAGTACACTCCACTACCCAACAGCATCGACGACCCATCCCGAAGCACACCACCATCGCTTCCTTCCTACGGTCCGAACTCGCAAACACCATTGCGGATACGGAAGTTGTTTTTTTATTTCCCAACCGCAACAACGTTGTTCCCACACATTTGCTGCTCAAGAACCGGGACCCACACAGCCCGGGCCATTGAAAGACTTGTATGGCTGTGTTTGCTTTCCACCACAACACCAGCATAGAACTCATCCGATGCAGTCTTTTGCACAGGTAGAGCCATCGAGTGCCTCCGACCAGACGTTCTGATGCTCCAACTCTACTTCCTCCTCCATACCGAGAATCCAAGGCAGAGAAGAAGTTTTTATACCCCTACGGGAGCTAGATCACATTGGGCGCACGTGGTCTGGCCCGGATCCCATGATCGATCCCGGAGTCTTTGCTCTGGCCTTGTCTCCGCTTTGCGTCAGGTAAACGGTGGGAATGCACGTGATAGGCGTTTGAGAAGAGGTATAAAATCTTTCGCTCGAGGGGGCGGTTGACTTCTTCATGGTCTTGCATGGAGACGGTGATGGAGTGAAAGTTCCACGGTGAGGAATAATGGAGTGAGATCAACAAACCCCCTGGGGTGGCTATCGATGTGGTGGTTGTTGGTTAGGTGGGATCAACATTCCATGGATCATTTCACCATGGAGTCGGTGGAGGTGGTGGGACTTCGGGGTGGAGTTCAACAGAATATCAGGAAAGAGCTGATGGAGTTGGAGTTGGAGTGTCTCTGAGGGGATCAAATGATATGGGTCAGGAGGACAATGGAAGTGTTTGGAGCGGGTTCAGCTCACGGGCCATGGAGGCGGAATGGAGCTTGGTGTGGAATTGGTGTCTGGGGCTTTTGAGTTAGGTTCGATCGCCATCACTGTCGGATGTTGCTGCGCATTAGTCGTACCCCTTGTCAATTGCTTCTATTTCCGGTACTCTTCCTCTTCACGCGCGCCGTCGACACTACAAAGAAGATCCATATCATCAAAGCCTCCTACGATACTCCTTACCCCCGTCTACCGAGCTCATTGACCTCCATCACCACAACCGCTTTACTGACTCCCCAAGTCTCCCCTTTTTCCTATGCGTTTCCATTTCGGTGATTTTCACTCCACCCCACAGCGACTCTACCACATCGCAGGTGGCTCGGTGGCAGTTTGCAGCGCCATGCCTCTTCCACATGATTTGAAGTCCAGACCTTTTTGAACCCAAACCACCAACGCTCCGACTCCCATCGAGGTCTTTGCGTCTGGAGTTTCGAACTCCGTCCACCCACGACCCGACTCCCATGGTATTAGTGCCTTCGTAGTGCTGATCCAACCCAAAACTCGATCTCCATGAAAGAGAAGAGATGAAACGGAGCTGGAGGGGGGTTTTATAGTCGTTAAAGAGGGGGTTACTAAGCGCGCCCGTGAGATGGGGCAAGTCACGAGGACTCCCGTGTGTACTTGAGACACCTCTATTAGACGGTCGGTCACTTACGCGAGACGAAACTCGTGGGGGGAGAGATTCCTCTTCCCGAGAAACGTATTCTGGTAGCCCTCGGTCTCGTTATACTAGATCCTCACCGCCTCCTCCATAACCGGCTGGAGGCGGAGGATATCCAGCACCACCTGGGCCTCCGCCGCTACGGTCTATGCTGATGGGGTTGCTCTTCGACTCAAGGGCCATGACCTCGGGCCTCCTCTCTGGCGTTGGTACATCCCATCCTTATGCGGCGGCGTTAGCAATGACAAAATGAGAGCTTGCTCACTCAGCCATACCTCTCAACGCCATCCACTTACCTCGTCTTGAAGTCGCGCCCTCTTGAACTATCATCTTTCAGACCAGACACTCCCCGGTCCGTCTCGTGCAGACTCTCCATAAGCTCCTCTTTCTCGTCACGATACTCTACACATACATTCCGTGTTTCTACAGGCTCTGTGCGGGAGCACGCGACCGCCCTCGAGGCCCTCTGCTATCAGAGCACCAATCAGCCCAGGGAGACAATGTGGAACTAGCATATATTCTCAAGTATTAACTGTTAGAGTTGTCGAGATGCGTAGGGCGAGGAGAGAACGGGCGCAAGACTAAGGAGAAGGACGAAGCATTGAAGGAGGACGGAAAGTGGTAGGCAATGAGAGAGATAGGGGACGAATTACAGCGTCTGGTCGCCGGGGTGCCATCTACATTCCGAGACATCTCTGGAGCAAACCTGGCAGAGGTAACGGGGTGGCAGAGGAGTACAACTTCGCACCTGCTTTGTGGGTGATGGTTTGTGGTATTGTGAGTTAGATTCTTGATATACCTCTGTGGGACCCCGGACAAAGTCAAGCAGGCGGAAAAGTACTGTAACGTTCTGCCTGGTACGCACTCCATGATCCGCCACATCACCTCTAGATTATTACGAACCTTTGGGCCACCCCAAACAGCACCATGCAGCTAGAAATATAGCGTGATTTCACGTCCAACTTACGCTTGACAATTTTTAGCATCACCGCCGTATCTTGAATGCACCTCTGAAGCAATCCCAACAGCGTCAAGTAGCTATGCAAAACCTTGGAACGCTTCATTTGATATACGCCCTACGACCTTTCAGATTTATCACGCATCTACGAGTGATCCCTGACATCGTCACACACTAAGAGCATAAGGAAAAAAGCTCTGGCTGCGAATGACAGAATTGCATGTCTAACTTCAGTGATAGCTAACGCTTTCTGCGAACACCATACTTACCAGTCCATCGATTGAGGTAGAATTCCTCGTCAGGCGGTTTGTTGCGAAGGGCGACGACCAACGGGTCGTCAGCCGGCAAAAACCCTAGGACCTCCGACGGGGTAAACAATGGGTGACGCGGAGGTCCTTGGCTCCAGTCAGAATTTTGGATGAGTGGGGGTGGAGATTCTGCGGTCTGAGGGGTGGACGATGGTGCAAAGAGCGATGAACCAAGACTCGATGGCGGAGAAGCAAGATCTGACGAGGGTCGGCTTGAATTGGCTGGACCCCAGGCGGTCTGGGGTCGACTGATACCGCGCTGCAAATCATTGCTCTTCTTCATCCTCTCCGAAGCATTGCTCTTCAATCTCTCCAAAGCTTCGCTATCCAACGCCCCCAAAGCATTGCTCTTCGCCTCCTCCATCTCATCTATCAATTCCCTATGCCGCTTCTCTAGACTCGCAACATAATCATCGGACACTAGTGGGGAGTCCGGTGTAGCTGGACGAGTTGCAACCCGGCTTGATTTGAATCCCATCCGCCATTCGCTCAGCGCACACTCAATGCCCTCAAGAAAAGATTGGACTGCAATAGCACGGTCGCCCTTGAAATTGCTTTGACGCGCTTCGTTTTCAATCGCGTCAAGTCGTCGAACAGTCATCTGTACGGCAGACCGTGATGGAAATTTATCACTCGAAGGCAACTCGCTACTGCCAGAACGCGCATACTCCACGAGACGTGTTGATGCCATCTCTGCAGCATTCACGTCTGGAGGACGCCTCGATAAATGGGGCCTGGTGAATGTCTTGTCTGACGGAGGCTGGTTGCCACTCCTTTCCATAGCAGGAGCCTTCAAACCCTCCTTTGATGGAGGCTGATCGTCAGGTTGTTCCATAGCAAGATCGTCGGGCTGTTCCATAGCAGGATCATCAGCCTGTTCCGTAGTAGGATCATCAGCCTGTTCCATAGTAGGATAGTCGGGCTGTTCCGTAGTAGGACCGTCAGGCTGTTCCATAGCAGGAGCCTCTAACTCCGCCTTTGATCGAAACCGTTTGACTGCTCGCTCTTCAGGAGACGCGTTTGAAATCACGTTAGATAGAGGACGCTTCGAACCCTGGCTAACTCTTTTTATATACTCGCCGAGGGTCCACTGACGGCCACGAGGCTGTGTGGATTCCATCAGGTGGAGCGGTATAATGGAGGAATTGAGCGGTGCGCGGTCTAATGCTGCTCCGCCATCCTCGCCATCCGCTTCTGTTGCGAATTGAAGCGGATCCTGATAATCGCCAGGTATTGGAGTAGGCGGTCTTTTGCGCTCTTGCAGACCAAAAATGTCGCTCAGTGTAGGAGTAGGCTGTCTTTCGCCTTCTTGGGCATCTTCTTCGTCCGCTTCTGCTGCGAAATCCTGTGACAGGCTCGTGCCTTTCGGTATCCGATCTGTATCACGCAGACCGAGAGGATCGCTGGGTGTTGGAGTAGGCTGTCTTTCGCTTTCTTGGACATCCTCAATGAACTCTGGAGCCATATCACCCGCGTCATGCAAGACAACGTCCTGTGGTGGATCCGTCGAACTCGGTTCCAATTCAGAGGAACGAGTCTGCGGGCGGGCCATTTCGGAACGAGTGGGTTGTATTCAGTAGTGATCAACGAGTATACGATACGAATGGTAGTGATATGGTCTTCGATATGTGCCAATAAACGAACGGCGGTGCTGGAGATAGTGTAATTATGGGGACAGTCTGACGGCTGGCGCAGAAGGTAATTATGGGCCCATTTGAGAAAGGCCCCAGGACGTAGCTTTGGTAAGCGCATGAGAGGAGGTCATTACGACCGAACAAAAATCGCACCATGAACGGGCAGGACCATTGGGCTTTCTTGGCTGTTGGGGGCCGCTGCCTAGAGTGGCCCAACCGCTTTGCAGAATGTTCATAATCATGAGCTTACATCTCGTCCAGAGTTTCGAAAGTGTGTTGAGGCACTGTTGACGGTGGCAGAAGGGTGTACGTGCGAGGTAGGCGGTTTTCACTACCACCCCGCCATGATGCCCTTCAGCTTCTCGCTATCGTCCAAGACATCCTCCATGGCTTCATGTTCATGGTCCTCCGTCTCGTCTACTCCACGACTCTCTCCGAACCGTTCTTGAACCCGCCCAGCCACTCTAATGGCCAAGGTGCGGGTCTTCGCTAATTCAGTACCGAGCAGGGCATCTCGAGTGACCAGATTCGGTTGAATGCTCTCCTGTGGCTTACGATATGGCTCGAGCAAGGTGATCAGAGCGCGGTAAGTAGATAGCTTTTGCGAGAGCATCTGTCTTTGGGCGGATAGAGATTGCAATTGAGTGATGGCGGCCAAGTATCGTTCCTGATAAGTAGCTCCATCTCCGGTCGAAGACTCTTGGTCGGAGGAGGCCTCCTCCCAAGTTGGCGGAAGCTTCGCGATGTTACTAGATCTGTCAGTAACTATACTTGAGTAACACTGGAGGAATGAGAGGAAAGATTTAGGAGTATAAGGTTCAATAAATACATACTCGTCCAACGTGAGATCGTCTCCAACTCGTAGAAGGCCAGTGGTCTCAGAGTCGTCTGCATCGATCGCATCTCTGACTTCGATATCTGGAGCAGCAAGGTTCCAGTACAGCTGGTCAATTTGCTCCGCAACATAGCGGATCGATAGTGCACCGTAAGCCGTCTTTGTGTGGCGTCGCATGAGGCGATTAGCTGCAAATTTGGTAAGTATGTCGGGCTCATGCTTCATAAGTTACGCCAGATAATGGTAAAAGAGAACAGATAGTCCCAAATATGGACGCGACATCGTTGATGGTTTTTCAGAAACTGGCAAACGCAGGCAATGCGACTACGGCAAGATGAAACGATATCGGCGACGAAAATATACTCACTTTCAAGTGTGACATCTCGTATGATGCGCTCGGGTATAGACTCTGTGCCATCGCGCCATCGCTCAGATGGCCGGAGCTCTTGTGAGAGGATGCGCGTCTGCGCGCGAAGGAACGCAGATTTGAGCGCAACAACGGTGTGCTGGTTGTTCGACATGACAAACGGGAAGCGACTTCGTGGCGATGATGCAAGATATGGTGTTTGATTGTTACAGGATGAGGTGCCGAGGAAAGGTCGCGAAGAGAGTGGAGGTTGAAGTACGGCTGTTGAGCGGTCTTGGCACTCGCGTCGGCACGTGATCTATCCTCGTTTTCATTCACCTTAAGGGCAACGTGTTGATTATTCTCGCTGTGACCTACATAGTAGATGAGGAATATTATGGGTTCACCGTATAGGTTAATCTTCGAAGCATGAAAGCATTCCTGATGAATTGCAGCTCTACGGGTATTGTTCCAGACGCCATTCATCCATTTTTCATCACTTCGCCTTCGCGAAACACTTATTGAACCAAACAATAGCCCGAGCTTCTACTTGCAACCCTCTTTCGTGTTCTACAGGGTGGGTCTCACTTTCACGGACTGCGAGTCCGTAGCAAGCGCCCTCGTACCAAACAACCTCGTGATCACCCTCACCTTTCTACGTTTTCGCCTTCAGGAAAGTCTCGCACTCGTCGACTTAAGTCTTCGGAAAGCCCTTGTATAGTGAGCCGGCAACAATGCTCGTCGGTTTTCTGACCTTCGTAATATCGTTTGGGACAGCAAGACTGGAGGGATGGGCAGTTTATGTGCAGTGGACCAGAGACTTGCCGGTCTCCTTCTCTTCGTCGTACGCAAGGAGAGTTGTGTATTTTTCACCCTAGGAATTGACAATATCACTAGCATTTTGAGTTAAAGAGTAAGTTGCGTAGCCGGCAGAACCCGGCAGTGCCGACAGGCAGATCTGCAGCTTCAACTTTCTTGAGTTCGCGAAACATTGTGAAGATGCGAGAAGTTGCAACCGTTGGAGGGTTCTCGATCATATATGGAATAAAGCGTCTTATCACGCGGTAAAGGTGCCAGAATACTCTGATCCCACCGTCGTCAAGTGCGTGAACAGATACGACGAGGTCTGCAGTAGCAGTGTATCCTAGAGGCACTCACATCAACACTCATCTTGACAGCTGCGGTACAGTGAGAATGAATACAAGATTTTCAGAGCAGAATATAAGAACAGAAACGACAGTAGTCTATGAGACGTTCGAGACGAGACGAAAAGTTATGCTGCTTACCCACCATGAAGTCGGGCAGATACACAAGCCAGCCGCCCTTGTTCGCATAATTATCCGCAAGAAGACAATTGTTGGGTAATTCCCATTCAAAGCTATCTGGAATGATGACCATCTCGCCCTTTGCTCTACTGGTTTCGCGATGTAGCAGTCAAGTCTATGCAGCTTCGCAACTTTGTCAGTCGGAGCACCAGACTGGATCTCAACTGCAGCACAGCATTTACTGGACATCCTGACGTATTCTGATATATCTGATGCGCTCTTGTGCTTATTTCGTTACTGGTTGGACTTGAACGCGAATTGGAACGCCAGACGAAAGATGAGACGAAGGAGCTTATATTAGGCCCACCCCGGGTACTCGAGGCCCCCTTATATTTCTCTCTCCTCTTATGCCGATCTTCTAGGTTAGCATAGCATCAAGTGTGACAGTTCTATTACCCTTGTAGCAACCGAAGAGTTGCCCGGGACCAAGTTGCTTTCAGAGCTACGAATGATCCACATCTCACGGAGGCCCGTGCGTGGCATTATATCCGCCATAAAAGGTCCAACTCCATCATCAAGTGCGAAAATCGCGTCATATTCTCAATTTGCGAAATTTGTGATGGTACGCCTTAATGCGATCGCCGTAAGCCGATGATTGAAGAGCGATGAATTGATAGGGAGATAGGTGCACGCGGAAGCTTCGACGTTCGCCTCAGGGCTCACGAAGAAGAATGTGTACGCGCAGGTATTGGAGCACTCGCGCGGTCTTTTTGATGGGCAGAGGAATTGGGTATGTAATGCAATATTCATATTCCGCTGTTTGATTCTCACACTCGTTGAGCTTCATATATACATGGATCAATATGTGAGGTTGTATGAACATGCACAAAGATCCAGACTTTTGCGACAGAGTGACAAATCCCCTCGAAAACGCTCTCATAAACGTCCCCAAAACCTCTAAAACCGTACGAAGTTAACATTCTCACAGGTCTGGTAACCTCTTAAACCACCCTTCCCTCCCAAACCCTCCAGATTAACATCCCCAGCAACCTCTCCAACGCCTCCTCCCTCCTCTACCACGCCCTACACTCACTCCCCTCGCCCTCCTCCGCCGTAAACTGGTGCGGCTTCTACGTCCTAGATCCCACCACTCAATCACAGCTCCTCCTCGGCCCCTTCCAAGGCCACGTCGCGTGCCAAACCATCGGGTTCGGTCGCGGGGTGTGTGGAACGGCTGCGGCGACCCAGACTACACAGCTTGTGAAGGACGTGGAGGCGTTTCCAGGACATATTGCGTGTGACGGGGCGAGTAAGAGCGAGATCGTGGTGCCCATAATACAAGGGGGAAAGGTGCGTGTTGCGAGTGAGCTTTTTGGGGGTCGATAGCATTCTTTTGGGCATTCATACTGGGAGCTGGAGGCTAACATGTTGATTCATGCACAGGTTGTGGCTATAATCGACATTGATTGCGCGGAGCTAGACGGCTTCGATGAGGACGACAAGGACGCATTGGAAACGATAGCAGCGCTGCTGGCTGAGTCATGTGATTTTTGAGTGGAAGATAGTATGCATTATGAGAGGAGGCATTTTGCTTTGTGTGCCTTATACCAGTAAGGTGATAAAGGCTTGTGTGTCATTTTGCAGCCTTGAGCAGGTATGTATTTTCATCAGCCTCGTGCGGAACAAAATTTGTTTTCGGTGTTCTCAAATACAGTGCACGTGTAATCAATATCTCAATTATGTGACTGTAGATCGCAATACATGATGACCGTTGATCTGAGGAGAGGTAATATCTAAGTATCCGAGATAATCCAAGGAAGATTTACTATACCCTCTCACTCTGCAGCTGCCAAAGACGATGTTATATAATTCGAATCTTCAATCTAGACACTCCGTCGTACTTTTTGTACCACTTAGAACAATAATTGTTGTCTTTGTCGCTTTTACCTGACTGTTTGTCTTCGCTCGTCTCTTCGTCTTCCTCCATCTCGGATGGAACATCTGGAGATACTTCCTGGACAACGTGACTGAGATTCAAAAACCACACACCATCGTCTGGCTCAGTCACATCATCTCCATTCTTATATGTACCCGTGGTTTTGCAGCACGGGGCAAGGATTTCGCGAAGAGGTTCCTGTGATTTCCAGAGTTCCTGGCTCTCTGTTGCAATCGTCCCTGTCTCCCCAGGAATAGAATCAAGCGCAATTTGCCAAAAGCGGATGAACGCAGTAGTTTCCTCAGATATATCGCTTATAAACAGACAAAAGCGGCCCAGTCGTCGAAATGCCCCCTGGTCTTCGTTCCGTCTTTCGAGGATGAGTCCTGTTACGTTGTCGCCTCCGAGAGCCGGCATGAGCCAAACGTCCCTAGTCTGGTGCCGGTGTATGTCGAGGTCAACCTCGGCATGTAGGAAATTGAGATCGGGACCTCCTTTCACAGTAATTTTGTAGCCCGGCCCCCAAGTGACGTTCTTGAATCTAAGCACACCGGGCACCAAAAAGCAAGCGACATCTAGAAAGCCTGCCACAACACGAGCTTTCGAGGACGTCTCTCGATCGTTCGGTTGCGATATGACCTGGGCGTCCAGAATATCTACAAAAAAAACGGCACTCTCAGGGTCGGGCATTGAAATACGGCTGTCATTCAAAGTCAGCCAGGACCAGGTTGGGGCGATGTATGCCAATCGACGAGTGCAGAGATCCGGAGTCGACACTGACCAACACATTTGACGAGCCAGATCATTTCGCCACATCCCCACCAGATATTCGTCTTGCAGTAGCTCCTCGACATAGGTTGCGATACCTGCAAGGACAGCGAGCTTGTCTTCTTCGAAAGAAAGTTGTCCTATTGAGTACCTTGATACCACTGAATCCCATAGTTGATAGATCCAACGTTTGTAGGGTATTAAAGGCATACCCTGCGCTAATGATACCTGCTGGTCGCGGATTCTGCAGATATCCTTCCACATATAGTGACCGCCAGTGTCGCTACTTGAAAAGGTAGCTTTCACAATGAGGAATGGTCAAGTCCGAGCGGAGAGGTTTCGCAAGCCCTCATCTCGTTACATTCCCAGATGAGCTGAAGAGGCCCGAAGTGCAAGGTGCGAGGTGCCAGAAATATCTCCTGGATACACTACGCCCGCTGCATTAGCGGTGATGTGGTGATGTAACTCTGCCATCCGCTGTCGTGGTAGGATAGATACTGATTAGGCGCATGACGCGAAATACCCCATTTAACATCTATAACGTAAGGTTGGACCAAAGAGACGTCTCTGTCCACGAACAGACCATTAGAAGATGCGGCCACACTAGCTATGTTGCAGTATGAATTTTGGTACACTTCGCACATCATGGCTGATTCCCGAGTCCAATCTTCCAGAGAGTCCTGGATTATGCAAAGGCTAACGGAAGAAGTCAGGGTATAGTCCTATATAATGGAGTATATATGGGTCACTTACCTGTCAATCCAAAGATATCTAACATTCAACCATTCCCGAGCGACCTGTACTGCATCCCGCATTGTCGGTGTAAGCGGCCGTGGCAGCACTACTCTCTTCATTGAAACAAGCCCTTCGCTCGTCAACTTTGGCATGACTTGAGAGCCCTATCCATGACTTAAGGTTGCGTAATCTGCTCCAAGCTCTATTTCCTCTGCTTCACAAAGCTTCATTGGTGATGACGGGCTTATTCCGATGTCTAAAAGCCTAGTTGGGTGCCATTTGGGTGCTTTACTAGAGCCTTCGCAAGAGTGCTTTGCGCAATTATCCAGCCATCCGCGTACTCTCTTCCGCGTAGATGCCGAAGAGATTGATGACATGATATTATCGTAGTTGATGAGAGGACGAAATGCTACAATGTGAGAGCTCAGCACGTAAAAAGATAGGATGAGCAAACTGCCTACCGTCGAATGGCATTAGCGTGTAGGCGTGGGATCCAGGTCAGACGCTTCGCGACACCTACGGCTTCGGAAATGATGAAATCAAGACGTAAGGGCTGTGGCCATTGATTTGACGTATCAATCGAGACCCAGCTTGGAAGCGTTGGATTTCCCTCTTCAACTCGCAAACTGTCTCGGGTTCTTGATCCATGTGTGCCCATACCGAAGTACACAATTGGCATATTGCTGCATACTTCTCTAGGTCAAGCGCATTGTTGTGAAGAGGGAATTTCCTGTAACGATCATTCAGGAAACGACGAGAGGATCGAGCGCGAATAGGCGCTCACAGTGCTCACAAAGTCGAGCCAACGGCAAATGTCCTCCATCAACGCCAGTATGGTGATCTTCTGGCTACGAATACCGAGCAGCACCTTCATCGCAGTCCATGTTTCGGAATGAAAAGGGCGATGCTGAGCTGAAAGTTAATGGTGCGAAGTACAGTTCGACAAGACGGCATAGAGTGTGGACGTAGAGATGAAAGAGTAGGAAATCGGCAGCGAGGCTGAGATTCAGAATTCCACTTCATCAGCCTCATCACGTGTACTTTCTCTTGTGCTCACATTCTTGGGGGCAATTGTTAGTATATACACTCGATGAAGAATGTAATGTTTATGTTATAAGAGTAGAGAGCACATAGACGGCAACGAGAAGATATCGGGCCGAATGATACTCTATTTACGTGACTCATACGTTTTCTGTTATCTACAACTTCCTGGATGCCTTTACACAACTTTGAATGCATTGTAGACCATGATTGCTTGAACCAATATCATATTTTGTTGTCGGAAAGCTGGGCTTCTTCCGCTACGATGCTCTATCAGCCTCCCAGAATACACCTCCTCTAAAACCGGAATGAGACGATCACTACCACTTGACAATACACTCACCAATCTCGTTCTAGAAAACATCGTCCCTTCACCAGGCATTCCTTTCTGTTCTCCCCTCACTAGAACGCGAATTCCTCACCAAAGGGTAGCCCATTTACAACCCACTCCGTCCATGACCCATCTCCTACTACTACCCACTCCAATCAGACTAACCCTCCTTTCCTATACCCAACACTAGACCTCACCTCCACGCACTCATCTAGCATCTTCCGCTCCTATCACCCCTTATCACAAACTCACACCTCACAGAGGCAAAAACACATCAGAGGCACACTTAATAGGATCATATCATAACATCATTCACATTTCCACCCCTAGGCCCCTGGACATCACCCCTCCCCTCGACATCTTGTTCTAAAAGGATATTCGACGCCCTTCCAAGCTAAAGAGACAGTCCATCCATGCTCCCACCCCCTCAATCGCCCAAGAACGCCTCTCTAAATGCAAAGAAATTCATCTACGTTCGCGCCATCAGCTCGAACACAGCGGCCTTTCGGAGGAATCCTAGATTTCTAGATCCTCACGTCGATCGGCACGGCTCCAAAACCACCGGGACCCAGCCCAAGCGGCTACAGCTAACATCTACACTCTCTTCCTCCTCCCCGCCCTCCTTTGCTTGAAGGTGCAGTCTACACAACCACACCTCTCCGCACAGGACTCGCGCTCCCCCCCGCACTACTCCCCTCCGCCGAATACCCCGAATCACGATCCGCATCATCGTCAATATCGATATCAAACCCCTTCTCCTCCTCCCCCACCTTCCCAGCCCCCAGCTCCGGCGCACTCCCCTCGTCCCACGCCTTCTGCATCGCGCCGCGCGTGTTCCACCGCAGCGTGCGCGAGATGCTATCGAACCACTCCGTCGGCTGGGACAGCACGGTCGGGAAGGGGTACTGGCTAGCCGCGATGCTGACGTGGTCGCCCTGGCGCAGCTCCACGCGGCCTTTGCCGTCGAACGCGCAGTACGCCGTCGCGCGGGAATTGCGAGGCACTGCGACGCGGAGCAGCATGCTGTCGTTGAGGAGCATGGGGCGGAAGCTGAGGGTGTGCGGGCAGATCGGGGTGAGGAGGATGGCGGGGATGTCTGGGTGGACGAGGGAGCCGCCGGCGGAGAGGGAGTAGGCGGTTGAGCCGGTCGGGGTGGAGAAGATGCAGCCGTCGGCTTGCACGACGGTGAGCAGGGCGTTGTCGCCGTAGAGCTCGAGGTTGGAGACGTAGGGGGATGGGCCGCGGTCAATGACGAGCTCGTTGAGGACCTCGAATTGCTCGGATTCGATGTGGGTAGGGCCGGTGTCTGGGGGGTTGGATTGGGCGCGGTAGACGGTGCAGGTGAAGCGCATACGGAGGTTGACGCGCATGCCGGCGTCGCCCATGATGCGGTTGAGGGAGTCTCGGTATTGGTGGAATTGAAAGTTGGTGAGGAAGCCGAGGCTGCCGAGGGAGAAGGAGAGGATTGGGGGGACGATGCGCTGGAAGAGCCAGCTGGTGTAGAGGACGGTACCGTCACCGCCAAGGGTCAGGACGAGGTCGAATTTCTCAGGGGATGTCCAGCACAGCTCTGGTGTCCAGAAACGGAGCATTTTCTCGAAGCGAGCGTCTTGGGATAGTATCGAGTCCATGCCGAATCGCTTCGACTTGCGGAGCTTGTGGTCCACGTAGACATTGACTCCGACTTCTGAGCCATGCCGAGGGGTAGAAAGCAGCCATTGCGTAAGCTCGCGTGTAAGATGCACGAGCTCGTTGTCCCGCGCCTTCGTGACAATCATGACATTCCGGATTTTCATCTTGATCGGCCGGCGCTGGAGCTGCTTCGACACCTCACGCACGCTCGTCGCCGTCTGCATCAATCGAGAGTGCGAGATGCTCTCATCATCGGTGATCTCATCCAGCACTTTATCAATATTCACGGCGTGATCGAACTTCTTGTGGAAAAAGCATGGCGACGCCAGAGCGGCCATGTTCTTTGCAGACAAACACTCGCCATTGACTTGGAGGCCGCTTAGCGCTTCTGTCAGACGCGTGTGCGCAATGATCTCCGAATTCCTCTTGCTCTCCTCCTCTTGCTGTTCCCGCATCACCACGTCGTCTAGGGAGGTCGCAATCGACATGTTGGAGGTGGGCGGGGGCCGCGACTGGAGGGCCTTGAGGATCGTCTGGCGGGGGATCGAGTCGATCGAGTAGGTCTTGTGGTGCTTCGACTGGCGGTGGTCGCGGAAGGACTTTGTAGGTCGCGGAGTGAGGCTGTCAGAGGTTTCTGAGGCGGGCAAGGTAGCGGACTTTGCCTCGTCGGTCAGTATTTGTGTGGTGTCGTCCGGAGCAGCAGAACTGGGTGTGGTGCCGCTGGTTTCTGGCTGTATTACGTCGGAGGCATCGCGGACGAGGTTATCTCCGTGAAACGAGGGGGAGAGAGGCGCTCCTTCTGGGGGTGCTATATGCGGATCTGCGGTGAGGGCGGCAGGAGAGTCGGAACTAGGAGAAGCAGGGAAGACATGGCGCTGGGGAGAAAGAAGCGGGTGGATCTTAGTCGACTGCTTAAGAAGAAGCTGGTCCCGATGCATGGCTGCTGCGGCCGTTGTTGTCCGTCGGCTCGGTGAAGGGTGACGTGCCGTTTAACGCGGCCCGGAAGGCGGGGAGCTCGTGCTGGGACGGCTTCGGGCTGCTACTGGGCAACAAAAGTTCCGTACGACGGGTTCACAGCGCTGGACCTGCAGGCGCGCGAGGGTTATAAGATCCAGTCAGGCTGGGTGCCTGAGGGCGCGACTCGGGGTCGAGGCAGCTACTGCATGCGACACCGCGACAAGACTGGCGAGGCGGTGATAGTGACGGTGGGTGCAGAGACGCTGTGCGAGCAGAATCAACAAGCCGGCTCGACCTATAGGACACAGAGGCCACAAGAATGATCAAGAAGAGCAGGCTGCGTGACCTGGACGAGGAGCAAATGGCAGAAGGGGATGAGGATGCGTGGGTGCTGTGAGGACTCGTCGTGCAGCGCGGCCTTATTCTATCCTCCCTTCACCAGCGCCGAGTATCAAAAAAAGGCCCAAGCCAGGAGCAACATTACGCGCCCGCCTCCAGACTGACGATAGGGCCGGCCGAGCCCCGATAAAGCCTCAGCGCGGGTGAATCACCCTCTGTATCAGAGGCGTGGGTCCATTCGATCGCTGCCGCCTGCAACCAAGCTCCCCCAAGCTTCGGACAAGCTTCTCAACGTGTGCCGCACTGCACCTCCTCGTGGTCTGGCCGTTGTGTATCGCCTTCAATACACTCAAGCACACTATCGAGTGTGATAGCATATCCACGACTCCAATAAAGCTCCATTAGTGTTCCCGATCGGGCAAAGAACTAACCGAAGTAACCGCCCTTCACACCCCTCCGTCCAACCACCTCTTCATCCGCAGCCTCAATCAATCACCAACAGCACCGACAACATGCCCAAGGCTCCATCGTGATTGAGCCTCAGCCTGTGCCCTGACGGGGGACAATTTGACGGTGCACGCTGCCCGAATCGCCGCGCCGAAACATGCCAAGCTGCCTCCTCCCCCTGAACTCCTCGCCCTCAGCCTGTCTCGCAATCCTCCGCCACAGGTGCCTTTCCGCCCCTCCCAAATCTCGCATTGTACCACTCCAGCGTCGCGCTCGGGAGCCTTCCTGCTTCGGGAGCGCACTGTTTGACCCGCCGCCCTGTGCCCGGGAAATCAGACAGCTTGGAAACCCGTGGCTCCTCGCCCGGTTTCCGCGATGCCTGGTGCGGCAGCGCACGTGGCTCTAGAGCATCTCCTTTGCCATCCTGAAGCCTGCCAAGAGATAGGCTGTCAGGCTCGCTCTCCGAGCGTTGAGGATGCAGAGGCAGCGCGCGTACCGGGTCCTCAGCATTGGTCCGCAGGAGTGACTAGGTGCTGCTATCCACATCATCACAACTTGCTCAATGTGTTGCGAGATGCATTAAGTTAGTGCCGCAATTCCCTCAACAAATGTCGAGTCTGCTTGTTGCGGTTGCCTCGAATATGGGGTTGATAGGGTGCACACGTGCCAAGCCGGATCGCGTAGCATCTCGACGACATGATTCGTGCTGTTGCCGCTCTCGGATGCAAGACACAGAGGATTAGATGCAGTGTTCCAAGTTAGCTCGCATAAGGCCGAAGCGACGGGTACCGAGCATGGGCCGTAATAGGACTGATTATGCTTTTTCATCATAGTTATCTGTTGATGTGTTTTTGCTGATGCTTTCACTCTGCATCGAGGCGGTTGTGCGCGAAATTCAAGGAACTGGAAGATAGCGCATTTCAAGGTGGGTTCGGGTATGGACTATGTTGACTGAAAGCTCCATTTCTGATGGCCACCCGTGGACAATAGTAAGAGTTGAGTAGTGTTGAGGACTGAAGGTAGGAAGCAAGATGCTGAGCAAGATATGATGGTATGGTGCCTAACACGAGCAGTGATCAAAGAATGGGCGTCACCTCGGCATTGCCATCGCATACACGAGAGGCAAACCGCTTAAAGCCAGCAAGAGCATGACTAGAAGCGACGTAGAAGCGCTCAAATATACTACCGAGACTCATTTGGACCCCGAAACTTTGAAGCTCGTCGTCGTGAGCACTCTGATCCCCTCAGCCTCTGGTTCTCTTTCATAACCACCCCGCTCTGCAGTAACCGCAAACTCATCTCGACCACTTTTCCATAGGTCACTCCTTGTGGAACCGTTCGCCTCCCGTGAAAGCTCGTATGTGGAGTCTGATTCGATTGCTTCGATGCCCCGTCTCTTGTTGAGTAAAGCACCCAACCGTCCACTGCTTACGGTCGAAGGTTTCCCACTGTGTGCGTACTTGCGGCTTTCCGAGGCAGTCGTGGTGAATGATTGGCCAGTTAAAACCTTGAATGCCGGGCGGAGGACAGGAAGACAGCCTAGTGGAGTCAGTCTTTGAGTTTGAGATGGAGAGGAAGATATACGTACTAGCGAAGACACTCATATTGAGTTCCACTTGTTGCCAGATGGTTAACCGAGCAACAGTCCAGGATCTGTCGGGGTCCGCGAAGACCCAAGTTGATTCGTTGTATGTTTGGAATGCAGCAGCGCAAGCCACGCTGCAGGTCAAAGAGGTCAGCAGTCTGCAAGGCGGAGGGATGAAGAGGAGCGTAAGCTCACAGTAGTCCAGAAGTGAACATTAGGGCGACACTGAACTTTTGGATCGGAGGGAGATGTAGTTTGGCGACTTCAAATACGGGAAGTAGAACGATGATGAAGTCGATGATAGCGTGTGTGGCGCAGGTCGCAATGAACGACTTCGCAGGGTCAATCGGACAGACTCCTTTGACACTGTAGTCCCAGAGCGCATGAATTGGAATGCACTGGATCGCCGTCATGACGAGCTGGGGAGGGGGGCTTAGCGATTCAACTTTTGGCCTCCAGTTCGGCGTAACTTACTCGTGCAATAAACCACATTACACTCAAAGCAGCCATTACCTGAATCGGTATTCTAATCCTCGAGTGTTTGAACATGCGCCAGTAAAGCCACAAAATGGAGAGTTTCGCCAGACAGACGCCGATTGAGTACGGTATATCATCTGCCCAGAGGTCGCGCATGATATGTTGAGTCGTGATCACTGGGGTGGTTTTATGGATGTCTTGAATATGGCGGCCAAGACCGTTTGTCAACGCTAGGGAAGCCCTTTTAGCTCTCTCCATTACCTCTACCTCGAGATTCAATGCTCACCATAAACTTTCATGGCGAAGAACACAGTAGCACAAAACTAGAGCATCGGTCAGCAGAATGTTGAAGCAAGTATAAAGGGAGACGAGACTTACTCCGGCGGCGACAGCCGCATAGTCGTCAAATGCGAGAGCAACGCCTGTCAATCTTCTTGAGAAGATTCTCAGCGCCACAGCCGTGACAGCCGCCACATAGGTTATCGTCAACGACGCTGTAATTTCCGCCACACGCGATGTCGCCATAACGATCTAATAAACCTACTATTCGCGAGGTTGAAAAGCCTTGGACATAAAGATTGATTAAATCCACATGCTAAAAGGGCAATAAAACACCCTGCGGACGCACACGTTGTTCTGCAGTCTACATCTTCCTTCTTATTGTATAGAGCACCCTACTAATTTAGTTAGATATATCTGTGCGTATCTGCTCATTTTGCTTTTGCTTCTTGTAGTGGCTGAAACGTTCGCGTATTACGGACGCTTGGAGGAGCATTTGAGTGATATGCTTATCTGCTCTGCGGTGTCGTCGGTAAAGATCGCTTGCCGATCAAAGGAAAACCTTCACACGTGGATAAACGTGGAGGATAAGAAGAGGGAACTCACAGATGCGATACACAATTTGTCTCATTAATCATATGTCTTTCTAGTGGAGGCTTGTAAGAAGAATGTGGTGCTGATTGTTTTTGCAAAGTGACTGCACTCTTCCGTTTGCCCACTCTGCCCTCTACACCGGTACATACAAACCACCACGCCGTGGAGTATCTTATCGGGCCTTCAACGCCACCAAAGCCACAAATGTCACAAAAGACGACTTACAGATACCATGCAGCAAATACCCCCTGGAAGGAAGAGCATGATGTTCCAAACTATACCGGTGTTGCGCAACAGCGTCACGCCAGTGCCCGCAGATCATGCAGAGGCCGCTAGCCGTGGGATTGACACTTTGACAGCCGTTGTGAGTGTTGAGGACCTCAAGCTTCAAACCGGTAGCGAGTGCGACTACACCACGACCTCGTATTTGACTGTACGAAACTCGATCTTCTATGTGCGACGGTGACCTTGCTGTAAAGAGGCTATGCAGTGGAGGCCTTTACAAACCTGACAGATTCAATCCCGCGATGAGTGTTTTGCTTCGCCCCTGCGTTAGAGTCAAGGCCATTCTCAGACTAATCGTCGAACGTGGGAGAACGTTATCTCTGGAGAACCTGCAAGTAACTAGCTTCGCCAGAGGATGCGCGCTACTCTAGGGTCTAACCAGTTGGGTCCACTTCGTCTGGGGAATTCTCATGGTCGCCAAAAATTGAGCCTAGATCTGCACCCAAGGCAGATACGAATACCATGATGAGTAACCCTTGTAAGTCTGCAGCTTGGTTGAATACTGTATTTGGTATATTTGCTGGATCTCGGAGAAAGAGAGAGAGATGGCTCCGGCTTGGGTGCGATCTATTTACAGCAAGGCGGAAAAACGTTCGGGCCGTGATCATGTGATCCAAACACGTGAGTCCTACAATTCACTTTCGCATCAACCTGTAGGAAGATGTGTTCGGCTTCGGTCCTTAGTATTTCTGAAGACTAGTAATGCGCAAGCAGTACTTACATTTATCTGTGCTGCCATATTGATGATCTTACCAGTCTCGAAACATAGTCCTTGAATACATAACGTATTCCACAAGCGAGCCGTCCACCCAAGCGAGCCGTCCACTTCATCATGAAAACCGGCCTCAAACGTTAATTGCTCCACAACGCCAATAGATATCAACTATATACAACTTGTAGCCTAATCT